AGGCTCAGTCCATCGACGGTGGGAGGCGGCGGACATGCTGATATCGGTATCTATCGCGGAGGGAGGAGCGGGGGGAAAGGGCGAGACGTCGTTGCTATTCGTGTCATCATCATTATCATTATCATTTACGTTATTATTGGTGCCGCTATTGAGGCTCTCCGCGGAATCGAGGCGAGAGGCATCTGCAGACATCATGCGCTTGTCTCTGCGCAGAGTGGTATCTTCCTCGGCATCGCCATTGGCAGCTTCTGGTACCTTGCGCTTGCGACGGGTAGCAGAGAACTCGCAGCGTTTGCTTTCGCGGCGGCAGCGGACGCAGGGGGGAGGGCGGGGGTTGTCGACGCCTGTATCCGTCAGTTAAATGTTTCATAACTATTTCATCAAACTAGTAATCAATCGACGATTGTAACGGGCAAATAGTATATATATAAAATGGAATAATATATAATATATATATATATATATATATATAGAAGACTACATACTTCCTAAATCACAGCGCACCTTTCTCTTGCGGCACGGATCGCAAGCCTGATAGCCGCGGCGGTGCTGGGGAGCGGGTGAGGGCGATCTGCGGGGAGAGAATCCGGGGTTGGTACCGGTGTTGGCGCCCTTGCCGGCGGCTGTATTATTGGGGTTTGCAGCAGCAGCATCGTGGGGTTGCACAGGCTGGACGGGCTGGTGGCGATGGGAGTGGTGAAGAGTCTGCGAGGCGGCGGATGGAGCAACCCTCGTGGCCATCCTAGGCACAAACGGAAGGCGAACAATGTGGGGAGACGGGGAAACGGGGAGACGGGGAGACAGTGGCGGCTAGGAGGGATGAGCCACAGGATACACAACTCAAGACACAAGACAAGACACCACCGCAAGGGCGCGGGTGGAGATAGGATGTGTTCCTGTGCCTGAGTCAGTCTGGGGCTGTGGCCAGTGGTTATCGCCTATCCCGTTGGTGGATGGATGTTTGTGTGGATTCGGCCGATGCAAAGCGGCCACGGATGGGAATGGGGAATGAGACGGGACAATGGAACCGACCAAAGAAAAAAGTGGTGGATACAACAAAGAGATATAAAGACAGACAGAATAGAAGAGCAAAGAAGGGGGAAAAGCAGAGCAGAGCAGAGCGGAGAGTTGAGTTGAGCTGGGCAGAGAGTAGTGAGTGGAGTGGTGTAAGAGAGGAGAGGAGAGAGGAGAGGAGAGAGATGAGAGGATGAGTGAGGCTCAAGTCAAACCTGGAGATTCGAAACACATAAAAAGAGGACAACAACAACAACAACCCAACGGGCCAACGACGACGACGACGACGACGACGACGACTGGAGCAGAATCATTGCTAATAATTGCTGGCTTAATTGCGGCAACAAAAAAGACGGGGTCAGCATCTCGGGCCAAATCAAATCACCAAGACCCTTAGCTGATGCTACCCCGCCGAGTTATTATTAGTATTATTATTATTATTATTATTATTAAGCCCGGAAGCGGGTTGGGTTCATGTTCGGGGGACTCGTTTAGCGGGTTTCGTTTATTTCCCCCCTGAAAATTAATAGCGAAACACTGGCCGAATAGTTAGCCAGAATATCCACATTAATTAATTCTCTAATCATTCAAATATCATTCAAATGCAAACCCATAACTATACATCAACTCTTCTTTTTGATATGTCTTGCAATGCCAACTGTTCTACTGGCCCCGGTGACGTAAAGGTTAAACTGCTCCAACCACGGGCCCCCTATTATTATTATTATTATTATTATTATTATTATTATTTATTGAACAGGCTTCCCCTCAGACAATTGACGGCCAAGAAGGGGCAGGCTTGAACCCTGCAAGAAGAACCCGTTAACGCTGCGTATTACTCACAGTTTTCAATAAAAAATAGTATTAGAGATCTCTGAATACAACTACGTAGTATATAATAAATCATTATCAAGTTTAAGATATTCATTCACTCAGAGAGATTTTGAGCACTAATAATTTTCACTGAATTTAGAGCTAAAAGTCACTCACCACCCCCCAGTGGCTCATTATCTGAGTACTGAGCAGAAAGGATATTTTAAATGAATTGTAATAAAGAAGATGGAGTAAGCAACTAAAGATTATATAAATATCTTGGATTTTGTCGTGCAAGTATCATCCAAAAAAAAAAAAAAAAAAAAAAAAAAAAAAAAAAAAAAAAAAAAAAAAAAAAGTAACTAAAGATGGGGGAGAGATAAAGTCCATCTTATCTTATCATAAGCTATCAACGCCAACAACCATCTAACTGTCTAGAGGATGTATAAAAGACCCTCCACCACGACCTCGTTTATTACATTCTGTTGTTGTACTGTACATGTACATGTATCAACTTCCCATCATTTAGGCCTTTCTCTCTTCAATTTCTGCACTCATCAACCACCATGCGTCACAACTTCCCCAACAACTAACTGGATTGGTAGCCTCTGGGACGGCTATGAGTTGCACTGTGGTGAGAAAACCATATGGCGAATCGGCGAGAAAATGTCCGAACACTCTATCCTGATACCTGGTTCATCCTAAAACTGGTCCAGGTGGGCTGGAAGCCCAGGCTGTCTATCACTGTGAGCAGATTGTCCAGGGCAGACCCAGTAACAAGAAGGTCATTATCAAGGTCCGAATGCAGTATGTTCATGCAGCAAATCAAAACTTAAAAGAATAGCAAATCAGGTCTAGAAAGGGACATGGACATGTACATTACATGTACTTACTGGTAACAAACAGGGTACCCCCCGAATATCCCGCCAGCAACGACTCCAGCATCCGCGCAAGCCTCGCACAGCAGCAGCCCTCAGGCTGGATGCTCCAGGAGCTCCAGTCACTGAGATATTTTAACAAGAATGAATGCACTGTGGTTCCGAAGCTTCTGGATGTCGTGAGGTCATGGCAAGGCGAATCAGATATGCCCGTCCCGCAAGGCTATCTGGTGTTTATTGTGATGGAGAAAGTCCCAGCTGTATGTATCACTGGTCAAATTTTGGGAGTACAATCTTGTCCAGCGCAACAAGATCAGGGCCTCAGGGCCTCATTTCGTCGGAGCCTGACGTAAGGAGTAATACTAAGTTACCATTTATTGTTTGATCACCGATTAGCATGACTACTGACGAAAGTGGATGCATTTGCATTGGATAGGGCGCCGCTGCTCGAATTAGGTGCACGACCGAGTGATTGCCAGCTTGATAATCTCGTCTATGACGAGAGAACTGATACGTTACGTGGTACGCTGCCTGATATAAAATATCTCATCCTCCTCATATAGCAACCGTGCTGACATCGGTTCCCTTCATAGCTACTTTGTTGATTTCGAGGATATCAAGGTGGAGAAGACGAAACCGGCAGTGCAGTTTTCATCCGATCATTTCTTCATCTGGGGTTTGGCCAGAGATGAGAACTGTCAGGATGTTTATTAGCGGCCTGGTGCTGATCCTGGCCAAGATTTCCCCCCAGATGGTGTGCTAAGACTTTCGTAAGGTCGAGTGGAATTGCAAAATAAAACTCGTTATCCATACGTAGTGCGAATGATGTAAGAGGTCTTTTCTATTTTACAAGAGAGAGAAGGAGGGGGGAGGAGGTGAAGTTGGTTGAGATTGCGAACTTCCTTGCGTATGGAATTAGAGCTATGATATTTCCGCATATTCTAGAAGACAATATGGATGTTCTGCTCACACGCCTTCTCTTGTGTAATAGTCTCTTCGTATAACGGCGATTTGTTGAGCTCGAGGGTGTAATGCTCAATGGTGAGAAAGTAACTATCATCACATTTGCCATCACAGTTAGTTCTATCTAAGCTGAAATTTCCGCTCGAGCCTTTTCAACAATGCATTGCGCTTCTCCAATAACTCATAGATAAGTCCACACCTTTAACCACTCTTTTAACTTAATCAAGCTCATCCAAGCAATCGCAGACTTGAGCATAGCTGCCACAACTAAGAGTGCAGGGCCTCGATCATTTCTCGTTCCAATTCTCTACCTTCTCTCCATGAAGGGATCCAGCAAGACACAGATAGAAAAGCACTTTACAAGCATTCAGACGCTTCCTTTCAGTGAGTGCGCCACACCGTAAAGGAGTTCACACCGCAACGGAATTTTTGAAAATAAGTATCTTTTATATGTGATTCTCATATAAAAGATACCTAATTCCATTTTTATGAATATTTTCAACATCATAATAGATATGAGTTTTATATTATAAGTATATATCATATTCTGAGTGTATTACAATGTCTTTTTCTCAATAAAAATGTATTATCTACTTTTCTAGAATGAAATTTGCTCAATTCAATAATATTTTCAATTGCTTCTTGACAAATTCACTCAAAATTCTTTTTTAAAAAAGCTCACTGCTAGATTCATTAGAAATATCTCAATTCTATGAGTATTTTAATCTCAGTTTCAATCTCATAGACTCTCTAATTGCTGAGTTATTTAATCAAAATATGGTTGAAAGCTCATCGTAAGAAGAATTTTTATTCGCTTTCGTGCTGTAGTTAAATATCTGCTGCCTCACAGACACTTATTTAAATACACTAAAAAAATATGTTGAGCAGCTCTTAGGTGGTTGTATTCTTGAAACCACACAAGAGTCTTCACACAGGCGACAGGTCCGTCTCACATAACGTCTAAAACAATATACAACGGACAGAAATTCAAAACATGGCAGGTCTTCATCACTTTTGTTTCCTTACCCATGACACGATCCATCTTTCCATCTTTCCGTCATGCCGTCATAGCTGAAGGTCCCCGCGCCCTCGATATGTTCACTGGGCCGGTCGGTTTATATATATAGCATAGCGTAGGCGTCGACAAAGGTTCTGACGATGGCTACGTCACGGCCACACAATGCGACGAGAAGGAAGGCTAGCTAAACCCGAAACGGACGACGTCAAAAACTCGAACGGGTGAACCCTATAATGAAACTGAAGAGTAAAAAAAGGTGTCAAAGCCTTTCCAATCACTCAACAAAAATATAAGAGATAAAAGTAATAGGTGGAATCATAGAGGTAAAAGTCTGTGTTTGTTTTGTTCATTTGCGAGAATTTCAACGGCTAAGTGATCAGTCTGATATCAATTTAACAATTTCCGATATCATTTCCCCCGCCCAGGTTAAGGTACTTGACATGCCCCGAAAATAAATAACAGATAAAAGAAAGTGACAGGTGTATAGGTAAAGACTGTGTGTGCTCATTGCGAGAATTTCAAGCGGGTAAGTGATCAGTCTGATATCAATTTAACAGTGTCTGATATCATTTCCGCCGCCCAGGTTAAGGTGCCTGACATGGCCGAAAACATAATTCAGACCCACGCCTGAATTGAATTTACAAGCTGAGCCCGATCCGGGGCTGGCATTCTTTGCAACATTTCGTACCCCGGATTTCTCTGTTTGACCATACGCGGCGCTGTTGCAAACTCCGAAATAGTGATCGTAGCATTTCACGACATAGCACTGCCTTCCCGCCATCCTGAGTCTCGGGTTCCCAAATTTCCTATTGAACTGGCTATGAGTCCGTCTGAGCGTATCGTGGCCACCGCCGCCACGGAAATCACAGCGCCAGCCCGCAGCTGCGGCGTCAATGGATGCTTCAACAGGTGAAGCAACGGGTGTAGCGGTTGAAGTGGCTGCTAGAAGAGCAACAAGGCCGACAAGGGATAGTTTCTGAGTAACATTAGCAAAAGGATCTCAGGATCATGCATTAGTGCGCAGGTGTTGTTACCATCTTGAATGTTTTATAGCTGTTAGGTTTGAGAGGCTTGTGTGTAGGTATGTATATTCAAAACGCACGTTTGATGAGGCTGGATCGTCCGAATCTAATAATATTGAAAACACATGAGTTAATCTGACTGAGTAAAAAATCATGAATAGAAGGAATATGTACCTTAATCTCTAACTATTGCCTTGAGAGAAAGAAAGAAAAGCTCAAAAGCAAGAGGGAGTCTTCACAGCTTTATACTCCTATTCCCCTTGTATTGTCCATATCTCCAGCATCGATTACTAGAGTTAATCTCCGAAATTAAAATGAAATCCACAGCTAGTCCTCATTTTTAGACTGAGTATTCTTCTGTAAGCGACGCTCTAACCCATGACGAAACGCATATACCGCGCATAAGAATATTCTCCGGATGCATATATAGCAAGCTAGATAAACTACCTGTGCATGGTCGGTATATATGTACGTAAGATGAATAGCCATTCAGTCAAAAGTGACTCTCATTGGCCGTATGGTCTTAACGTTGAGGTATGAGATCCGGAGTTCAACCTGGCGTCACCTTGCCACAATGATATATCAGCAGATTGTAACCGATCACACCCAAGAATACCCCCGGGATTGTCTGGTATCCTATCAAAGTGGGGTGTACTCCGCCAAAGCCATGAAGGGAGAGCAAGGGACAGGGTTAGGATCAAGAATCCGGAGCTTTCTGCTCAAGTAGATGCAGGAGCTCGGGCCCCGTTCAGTTCTAGAATGCAGAAGTTGATTCAGATCATGTCGTGCTCAAATCTTACATCCGCAACTGCTCCTGGTAGCTAGAGAGATAGATACCTGTGGCAGAACATGACTCTCAAGAAAATCTAAGTTTCAATCTCGGGTATAGAAATGAATTGAAACTGAAACGCTTAGAAAAGAATGAGAGCATAGAATGAATCTCAGGGATTGTGGGAGGGAGTCCGGGGAGTTCAGCTGGCAGCCCCAACATTGGCTATTCACTCGAGTTGAGGCGAGAGACTTTTTGCAGGTTGTTTCTGCCTTTCGAATTTCAGACCTCGGGAAAACCGGAGAATGAATATAGACCAGCGATTGGTCAAGTCAAGGCGGCTTAGATTGACGACGCTCAAGGTGCCATTGCCTCCAGATGAGGAGATAGCATACCGTCTGCTAGCTTGATGATGCTCTCGTCCTGCTAGTCCACGGCGATATGACCTTTTCTGTAGTTAGTATATACCAGTTAGTTGCCGTCTCAGGTCCTTATCATGGATGGGATGGGTATAACTTTGAACTCAGAGGTTGCGCCGATAAGTTAATTGACCACGACATTGATTGAACCTCTATATCCTGAGGTCTCAGCTTGTGTATGAGACATAGCTTCAGGGAGGAATTGCTCACTGGAATAAATCTACCTGATATAGGCTCTTGTTGTAGGTAGACACACTAGAATGCGGGATCCTTTTGTTCAAATCTTCGAGTTGAACTCCTTGGAGGTTACAGAGTAATCTCTACAGATTCAATACGCAGTATGTTCTCCAAGTCGTTCCGCCGGTGGTGCCAATCCCGCCAAGCAACTAGTTAACTAACTTACACAGTTCCTCAAACCACCAAAGCACCAACAAGCACGATCACACCCCAGAAAGATATAAAGGTAATAGTGAGGAAAACGGAAGGAAACGAATTTCCGTTCCCCGTCACCTCAACCCCGTATTAAAGACATTATAGAACTTCTCAAAATTCTATAGATTCTTTAAAATGACCCGGATCAATTAGTCCAAATAGACATCAAGTATGTTATCTGAGTAGGCAGCTCGTCGTTCCTAGGATTTTGCCGTGTCAGGTTGCAGCCTTTTTAGTACGCACGCCACAGTTAAGTTACGCTGTAACTACTTACCGGAGTGTGGATAGTAGTGCTTATATATGTTCAGATGGCATGGCTTTAGAAAAGAATAGTAAACCTATGTTGTTCAAACAGAGAAGAGTACAGCGGAAGATATCTCTATTCCATTCGGTTTGATTGGGTGGAGCGCGGTGTCTAGCCTCTTATGATGAACCAATATCTCATGAAGGAGATAGTTAACCGCCTGTTACATGTACATGTACATGTACAATAATAATATCTCCTGTAACTACGACCATAGAACGACGTGAGCCGCCGATCCCCAAAGCTGTGTCGCCGGCATCGGAGATGTCGGTCTCGTGCTGGCAGAGTTCAGGGAGGCTGACATATTCCTGTTTATCATTTGGGATGGCGGAGGGTACAACTTCTCCTGTCTTTAGCAAGGTGTCTTTCCACGGCTGTAAATGACACTCACAATATCTTTATCCAGCAGTGGAGAATGGCTGTTTATCTTTGTTAAAAAGGTAGACTGTCTACCTCTACAGTGACAAGTCATCAAATTACCTACACAGCATGCACCACAGTGTCCCTTTCCCATTGGTAATTAATTCATCTGGACAAGATTATTGCACTTGCTCCATGTCTTTTTGACCCTCTTCAAGCTTGATGGCTGCATCTTGTGTCACTGGAACAACAACAGAAAATAAAGGCTCTGAGACTTGACTGTTCTCACATACTGCATCACAATGAGAAGAGCTTTCATTGTATAGCTCACGGGCGAGGGTCCAGAAAAAGCGTGGCTTTGAGCCAATGGAGCATTTCAAAATGTCCCTTCTGTCAAAGAGGTTATTTCGAGCGTGCTGTTGTGAGGTCTTGGTTCCCGAACTACTAGAGATGTTGGTCCGGGAGGACATGGGAGTCGATGCCAGAGGGGCCCGCCGGATTCTGAAGGAGAGCAACAAGATTGGGAAGTTGCTCAATCTTGAGCGAATCGAGTACGGCTGCGATCCCGGGGAAGATGCTGAAGAGTTTCGTCTGACATTTGCCCCAGCCGCTGTGCTGACCTAGATCCAGTTGTGATACGCTTCGCCGCTGGCAACGGAGCACTGCTTCGGATTTCACCCTCGATCACAACCAGACTGTGACATTGTTCCTTACTAATCGTCACAATTTCCTAGAAACCTATACTGCCCCAATGGCGCAACCTGTCTCCCTTGCTTCCGGTATCATCACCCTGGCAGGGTTTGCTTTTGCCTCAAATCACTGTATCAGGCGATCGAGAGCTTTTGCAATACCAAACGAGCGGTTAGGGAGCTGAAGGAGGAGTTTGAGTCTCTTGGTAGGGTTTTACAATCCCTTCAACAGGCGGTCGTGGCCTATGGGGAATGAACAGGGAATTCGAAGACGTGATCAACACATTCGTGACGCATCCGGCAGGTTCTAGGGCCAGCTTTCGAGATTGGGCAAAGTTGACATCCATGGGAGAAGGCATAGGCAGATTTAGATTGATGCTGGCAGGATACAAATCTACCATGAATATTGCACTCGGGGATGCGACGTTGTATGCCTCTCTAAGGTGTATCTTCCCAATCAAGCTGACGATATGGCTTATAGCCGCAGAACAATATGCCAACTAACTCATATCTGCGTAATATTAATGTATTAATCTATCCCCACGTCTGGCACAACAGCGTGGTTTTTTAGCGTGTACATTAGTGTATTAAATACACGAAAACTACTAGATTATATGGGGGATCGGCCGTATTGACGTTTTTTAGTGGAATTTATGTAATCTATTTCCATCTTATGCCGTGGGTGCGCCTCACTACAACACGTCCCCAGTCAACTTTGTCAAAACATTCTCTTACATCCTCCTCGCTCTAGCTCCAGCTCCAGATGCAGATCCAGATGCATTGCCCATAATATTCCCCGACCCTCCAACCCCAACTCCAACGCCAGAAGCAACACTATCCTCGCTCCCTCTCCGCGACATACTTGGACTCGTAAACCCGCTCCTAATAATATGATTCCCTCCCCTCCCCAATCCCCTAGCCCCTAGCAAGAGCCCACGCACAAACCCACCCCCTTGCCTGGCAGGTAACTCACTCTTCCCTGCCGTCAAAACGTACAGCAAATACTTCAAATTCGGCAACGTATGCCGAACATCAATAACCCTCAGCCCCATCCGATTCATCAAATACTCAATATTTTTATTAAGTAAAAACACCCCGTACTCAAACCGATAATGCGCATTGACAGGGTAGAGCGGGAACGTGCGCTGCGGCAGGCCCACGGAGATCGGGTCTTGAATGAACGAGTGTGATAGATATGGTTGGACGGGGTACGGGAGTGGGACGGAGAGGTAGAAGGAGAGCAGGTAGACGAGGTGCGCCGTGTAGCCCAGGGCGGCCGCGATGCACTCCTTATCCATGTCTTCGAAGGTCGAGTTGGGCAGTGCGCGGCTGCAGATGGTGAACGCCAGTGGTTTCTCTGGGATCGGCTCGATCGGGTATATAGCCTGCAGGTCCTCGCATATCCGCCGTATCTGGCCCATGGAGTCCTCTGTTGTCTTCTGTAGCAGGTCTTCGCTGGAGGACATGCTCGACTGTGCTTCAGAGAGGTAGGATTTTGTCTTTTCTTGAGACGCGCGGCCGCGAGCCATGGCGTCACGTCGCGCTTCTAGGCTCCGTTGGATTTCCTCCTTGTGTTGTTTGCTCTGGCGTAGTTGTTTCCTTGCAGATGTTGTGGCGCGTTTTACGGAGGAGAGCTTCTCGATGGCTTGAGATTTGCGGTTTAGGGTATTGATGGCGCTGTGGCTTTTCTCGAGTACCATGTTGATTTGAGTTTCGAGTTTCTCACGCGTCGCAAGGGCATCTTGTATGCAATCGTCGAGGTTGGCAAGGCGCATGAGCGCGTCGTATGATGACGTAGATTGCAGGTTGCTATCATCACTAAACCTACCAGCAGCAGTAGTAGTTACAGATGCTGGCAGCTGCTGCACAGGCGGTATATCCATCAAACTCGTATAAACACCATCCTGAAAATGGAACACAATGCAATTCATCGGTAACGGGTGATGGAAACTCTCCAAGGTTTTCCCGATATATTGCAACGAGCGCAGATTCACCTCCAGGCTTAGCAGCAGGATATACTCCGTCATATTCCCCGTCTTCGCCCATAGCTTGTACGTTACCTGATCCAGCCGCGATACCAGCGGCCCGCAGATGTTCAGATCGAAGTATTTAAAATTCGGATTCATCGCCCTCTCCACCACCTCGCTCACGTAGACCGGCTGGTCCATGCCCGCACAGTGCAGCGAGAACCAGGAATCCGCCATCCGGTTGCCGGCAATGTTCTCCAACCGATGCTGTCGAATGAATGGGGCGGCACCCGCCCAGGGTAAGGTATTTCTCCTGCGATGTATCTGAATATCTCTATTCCGCTCCTTTTCATTGTCACTCCCAGTAGGTCCGAAAGGGGAGGCAGTAGTAGCAGCAGCGCTCGTGGAGGGAAGCTGGCCACTGCGCTTAAGATCCGTGAATGAGCGCGACTGGTGGATTGATGATCGGGATTCATGTTCATGCATCGCCAGTTGTTTCGCTGGGGACCGAAGGGCGTTGGGAGCATTGTCGTCGTCTATGGTCTTGTGGCGAGATGGCGTACTGTAATTGACGACGAGATTGCGCACGGAGATACCCTGAAGATGGCGAAGCTTGCGATTCTACAAAATAAATTGTTATTATTCGTATATATAATGAAATAAACTTGAGATATTAAAAGCGGGTTAAGAAACAAAGTAGACAATGGGGTGTCCTACCGAAAACCGCGGCTTCCGACGTTGGCTATCCGCAGTGCTGAGCTGTTGTAATCGCTGGGCGAGGTCATCTGTCGATGTGAATAGAGTCATTGCTAGAAAGCATGCGATATGTGAGGCATAGTAAGTGTGGTTGTACACTCGGAGCTGTCATTCTCCTTGAAGTATTTATATATAGTGAGGTATGGTATGGGGGCGCTCGAGATGAGAATACACTGCGAAGTTTTAAACCAAACAATGCTGTCTAGGTCATGCTATCCCACCACCACAGCGAGTAGACACTGTCTTTAGCAGTCAGCTCGTAGACCTCGATGCTGCTTTGTCTTTGTTGGTTGTTGGTGGTGGTGGTGGTGGTGTTGTTCTTGTTGACTTGGAAGCTGAGCTTTGTCGTTGTCTTTTGCCGACGATTGTCTGACTGTTCCCAATTGGGCAATTCTGCTGGGTCGGACCGCAAACTCCAAAAAAACTTCTTCAACAACCACAACGACATCCGCATCCACCACCACTAGACTCCTCCCCCTCCTCGCACTCAAGGAGGCCTTCGACTACATCTCACTTCCAGCAGGCGCCACAATGTCCTAGAAATTCACCAATTGACTCCGCAGAAAGATTGATAAAACGCACCCGCATCAATGGTCGCCGCGAGCATGGCCGCCAGAGCGGCCGTCAGAACAGCCCCCAGAACAAGAGCGGCTATTAAAGCGGCTAGGAGAGCGGAAGCAGGGGCTGAAGCGGGTGCCGGCTCTCAGGCGAAGAAGCACTTTGCGAGAAAGGTTAAACACCATTCCTCAGACCTCCAGTTACCCAAGACGGTCAGCCCTGTGGTTGTCACCACCTTGGACGCCCTTCGGTTCCCACGAACGACAAAACCCATCCAGGGCAAGGTTAGAGAAACTGGGTCCCGTGCTGCTCTACTATGGCGGAGACAGGAAAGGGACAGACTACGCAAGGCGCTGCACCGACTGACGCATGGGAAAAATATATTCGCCTACAATAATATCCGAACGAACCAGGTTGTATATTCGTTTACAAGAGAGCTTGAGGTGAGTGGATTCTTCTTCCTTCCCGGATATATAAAAAGCAAACCTCAACCAGCCCTCCCAGAATGAAATAATATCATTTCTAACGCTGCACTGCTTGCTAGGAAAACAACGTCCTCTCCCAACTCGTCTACCACGGCAAAAAGACTGTACCCGCAACCTTGCGCAAGGATATGTGGACCCCTTATTTCTCTCTGCATTTCGCCTCCAACTCCCAGGGCCTTGAGGCCTACCGTCTCCTCCGCGAGTTTTCCATGCAGCGCCAGCTCGCTCCGCCTGCAGATATGATTACCGCCTCGGAAGAATGCGAAATCCTCACCCGCCAACGCCCGCGTGATCTCACTGAAGCTAAGAAATGGGACGAGGAATGGAAGATTCGCATGGAAAAACACCACATCCTGAGCAAACGATTGCGCGCCCGTGTGCTCATGGACCAAAAGGCTACGAGTGTCGCGGATGTGGCGGCGGTGTTGGCGCTGCAGGAGCAGAAGATGAAGGAGGAGCAGGAGCGGGAGGCGAGAGAGAGTGAGCTAGAAAATGAAGAGGAAGATGGGGGAGATGTAGAAGGCGGGGAGGAAGGGAAGGGGAAGGAGAGCGTACAGATTGGGGACAGGGATAAATCGGGGAAGAAAATTAGCAAAAAGAGACGGAAGCGGATGCGGGCGGCTATAAGAGCGCAGCAGGAGCTGGAGAAGGAAACCATGGAGAAAATCAGCGACTTGGAACGCATGCTTGGAGTTAAGATTGACCCGTCGCGGGCACCGTCGAAGTACCACATTGTCAATGAGGGCGAGGTCAAGATGTTCTGGACGGATCTGCATAATCTGCAGTATGCGGAGTCGTGGCCGAAGAATGTCATTCACGCTCAATTGAAAGGTGGCCGTGACCATATTATGGGTACCGGGATTGACCTCGCCGCAGGCGAGTCATTGGCGCTTGCTGGTGCTCCTGCTTCCAACGAGGGAGAGGGCGAGGGCGCGGAACAAGCTGGGGGCGCTGGTGTCGGTGGATTGGCTGAAGCCGAGACTAGGGCCCAGGAAGCGCAGGGGAAGGAGGAGGCTCCTAAGGAAGAGAAACCGAAGTCGGGTCTTGGGAAGTTGAAGTTCTGGTAGAAAGGATCCAGGGGCATGCCTGCCATGGTTTTATTCTCTTCTATTGAATACATTTAAATGGCTGTGTTGATAAAAAATGGGTGTATTATTTTTGCCTCCCTGTTTACCACGCCCCCCGTTTTGTTGAACACCTTGTACCATTTCCATTTCCTCTTATCTTCTCCTTTATGGTCAGGCCTTGGATCGTTGGCCATTATTTCCCCCCCCTTTTCTCTAGTTTTGTATACTATAAATTTTGGCGCAATCCTTGTTTTAAATAGACAAAACAACCTTATGGACATGAATATTTCCCTGACGTGATGATCTGACGGACCCGGGAAAGGACTGATATACGATAGAAAGGGCTAATATACGGCAGAAGCATGTTTTGATAGGCAAAGTAAACTATGTCAAACTTCTATAAATATCTAAATGAAGATTGAAATAGCTGCAGCTGATCTTAAATGATGACAATGGAGACTCGAAATGTAGAATTTTATACCCGTTCGAAACAAAACAAGCTTAATAGATAAGTTTCATATCGTATATGATATCTCATACTGTTCCCTAGTTTATTTTCGCCTGTCTTTCTCTCTTTACCCACCCCCCCCCCCCTTCTTCTCCGTCTCTCTCTCGCTCTGTATGTATGTGTATGCCACGCAGCACTCAAGAAACTGTACATGTGATGATGGTCGAAAGGCATAGATGGCAGGTAAAGAACCTAATAGCATTCATAGTCTGAGTGAGAGCAAAAAAAGAAGCAATGGAAAAAAAGAAAAGATCCCAACCCGTTTCGCACGATAATAACCCACATGGAAAAAAGAAGGAAAACATGAAGAAAGAAAAATATGAAGAAAGAGCACGATGATGATAGGCATAAAAGACATAAAAACATGAATGGAAAAAAAAGAAGAAGCGTGAAGACATAATATAAAAGGGGGAAAAGGGAAAAAGGGCTTTTTGCCTCCCTGCAAGAAAAAAAAAAAAAAAAAAAAAAAAAAAAAAAAAAAAAAAAAAAAAAAAAAAAAAAAAAACCTAGCTTCTTCTTCTGGCTTTTCCCTCCCCTTCCTATTCTTAATTTCGTCATGGAATAAAACACATCACGCACATCAAAACGGTCAAGAACAATGGTTCAAGTAAAATAACAGGGGAAAATAAAAAGTGAAAAAAAAAGAAAAAAAACCGCGAATAGGACCCCCTTCGGTTTTATCCCAAACCAGAAAACCAACCCATCGAACTGACCCAATTGCAAACGCCACGGGTTATCCACCTCCTTCCTCTTTCCTATCCCCCCTCCCCCCGCTCAAATCCAAATCCGCAACCTCAATCACCCCCTTCAACTCCGCTGGTGAAACCTCCGGCCCCAACTCATCATCCTCCACTGCCGAAAAGGACTCCACGGGCGTCAAATTCTCATCCTCACCTTTTGTAGCAGCAGCAGTGCCAGCAGTGGCGGCACCAAGTTCAGTCCCCAACTTTCCCGCGCGCGCCTTTTTCCGCGTCTTCTCGACGATCTTGTCCGCTTCGCTGATGCCGCCGAGTTGGCTTGGGGGTGGGAAGGATTCGGCGTTGTTATTATCAGTAGTAGCATTATTGGGAGTAGTATTACTTGAGGCGGCACCGGTAGTATTATCTGTCATAGCTGGTGGGCCGGCCGACGTGCGTCTTTGTCGTTCTATCGCTTCTTGGATGGCCTTTGTGTCGAAGCGGACAATCATGCAAGAGAGATTGTCGGTACTAAAGCGGGAGAGGGCGTGGTCGACGAGGATTTTCGAGGCGAGTTGCGGGTCCTCTGTGCCGCGGATGAGGTCGACGGCTTCTTGGTCGGAGCAGACATCCCATAACTGTAAACAGGAAGAAAGATAAGATACGATTAGTTTTTGGCAAGAGAAGAATAAACTAGTTTCAAAGATGAAAAAAAGCTCAAAGCAAAATACTCACACCGTCGCAAGCTAAAATCAGAAATTCATCCGTCTCAGGTTGAATGACCGTCTCCGTTGTGTACGGGTGGCCAGTGACGAGGTCTTTCATGTATGAATCCCCTAACGCCCGAGTGACAGCAAGAACGCCGTTTACGCGGTTATTCAAGATAAGGCCGCCTGCATTGGATATTCGTTTCCCCTCGTTCTCATCGCTGCCCTTGTGATCGTACGATAATCGAAGCGCCTTGCCATTCCGACATAGGACAACTCGTGCATCACCAACGTTCGCGGTATATAGTACACGTTGTCGCACGACTGTCGTTGTTTCTTGGGGCTGTTTCTGGTTTGCGGATCCTGGTTGGGCTGAGGCGGGTAATCCCGACGGTTCTAGAGATGAGGATGTCTGCACGGCTGGCGACGGGTTTATGTTACTATTATCCTTTTCTAGAGCTGACTTGCTGGGTGTCGCCAGCGGGGAGGATGAAGTCGCATTGGGTGGAGGAGCAGGGGGAGATGACAAAGCAGGTCGATCTTCCCATCGCAAGACTGCAGTGACAGCAGTGCAGCCGCTGTTTTTCAACGGGAGTTTTTCCAATTGCTGATCCACACTAGTGAATGCTTGGTCCAGGAGCTCTGGCACAGGCGCATTCGGGTGTTTTCTCATAATATCCTCTAAAATAAGATGTAGCTTTTTCCCACACCACTCCGCCGCGAAAGTCCCAGCATGCCCGTCAAAAATGGCAAAGTATCCGTTATCCGTTTCAATCATAGGTGGCAAATCGTCAGACTCTGTAGATGTAGATATTGAGTCCTCGGAGTTTTTGCTGCGGACAGAAGAATCGGCTCTGGCGGGCGTGGGGGCTGCTGTTCCAAGAAAATTATACAGATAGGCATGGGTATCTTCCATAGTCCTTCGACATTTTCTATTCTTATCTTCTGTGACTCCAACCCGAAACGACGAGCGCGCAGTTGGCGCTGATTCACCGGCTGAGTTATTCAGGGACCCTTGCGGCACAATCAAGGCGGGATCCATCTTCCCCAGCTTCTGCATAGGCGTTAGGGCTTGCTGTTCCCTATGGGACTCCCGTGGGCTTGAAAGGTGCAGGGAATTTTTAGCGTTGGAGAAGAAATTGACAGCCTTGGTCATAGAGCTACTTCGTCGCTTTGGCTGCTCCGCTGATGGGCTCGGGTCCTCGTTGCGGGGAGACAGGGAGTCGCTAGGCGAGGTGGCTTTGTTTCCGCGGCCAGCGGCTGTATTCTCCGTACTGATAGATAGAGTCGCCGAACCAGGGCGGGAGAGAGGGGAGGAATCGTCTTTCTCTTTGGTAGGGCTCGTGGAGCCACCGAACATTCTGTTCAGCAACCCGCCCTGGTTAGAGGAGAAGGTCCTCCGCTTGCTTCCTGCCAGCTTGACAATCCAACCAAAACACGGGAGCTTCAGTGTCGATGGGACAGAGAGGGTGTGGACGGGCGGCGAAGTTTGTATTCATTTATATCCTCCCGGGACGTCTTTTTTTTTTTTTTTTTTTTAATCGATTCTTTCTATTTATTTATTGTATTGTTTCTATCAAGTTTGAAAATCGCGAAGCGTGACGAGCGGGGGCCCTGGACTGAACATTGAAGTGGAAGTGTCAGTCGCATGCCACAAGTGCATATTTAGTGAAACAACACGATCTGAGTATTATCATGTAAAGCAGAGCAATTAATTATAGTCGGATTCCGTGCCTAGCAAACTCAATCCCGCTCGAGTGCGCCCGGACATCCAAGGTGATGGCAAGCGGCAAAGTAGGATATTGGAAGCACAGTTACCTCGGAAGCAATGATGACCAAACCCTTTTAAGGCTCGTGGATAACTACCACGGGAACAGCAATATCTCGTCAGCAAGATTCCATCTAGGGACCCCAGCGTGTGAATCGATGTGGACTAGGGCCCGGGGGGGGGGGGGGGGTTGTCAGTAAGGTGTAGCAGGCGTTTTGTAGCTAGAGGATTGTTTGTGGTTGTTGTTGTGGTGAAGATTGTGGTTATTGCTGATGATGTTGTTGTTTGTCTGGGAGGTGAGCACGAGGCAGGGTTATGCAGCAGGACTTTTCTGCAATCAAGATAAATTAGGTACTTTTTATAAACAACCATGCCGCGAGGAATCGGAAATCATGGCAGCGCAAAGCATTGAAGGAGAATTTTCTGCGAAATATAACTTAAAAGAGCAGTTATTTTGATCCGTGGGTTTATTATGGGGACAGACAGAATAGCCAGGGCGGGGGCAATATAGAGTAGAAAAAAAACAGACCCCCACCCACCCATGATGACGGACAGCACAGGGGCAACGGGGAAGATGTAAACAATTTAATATGCAGGGAGCAGTGGCTTACTTTCTAGTCAGTTGTAGTTGTAGAATTCGGAGATTCTAAGGGGGAGCGCGGGTTCATGGAGGAGTGAGTGTGGTGTGGTGGGGAGATGAGACGACGCCGGGAGGAGGATAAGGAGGCCAAGGTCTCTCGAGGCAGCGCTAAGCAGTGATTGGCTGACTGTATCCTGTGTCGTAGTGACGAGAGAGCAAAGAGACACAGAGCAGAGACAACGACGAGTGCTGGAACGTACGTGGAGAGAGAGTTGTTCTAGCTAAGTTAGTTCTTATTCTTATGTAGTTAGTTATGGGCTTGGCTGGCTGCAGGTTGTTGCCCGCGTGTTGCCCGTGTTGCCCGTCTTGCCCGCCGGGCTGGGCCTTAGCGGGGGTTATTAATAGGCGCACGCCCCGCCAAGACTTAGTGTTACAACTTCTACTTTTTAACTGCGTATACACTTGGATAGGATTTGTTATCGAACACCCTACGTATATCATCAAAGGGTTATATAGCTCCATTGTTTCACTACCTACCCACGAGAGATGTTACCAGAAAACAAAGTTACTAGCTTCGATGCACAGATATCTCCGTGAGTGGGTGTAACGGGTAACTCTAGATACCAACCTCCATGCGATTGATTGTATCACTGTCCATTACATATTCGTAGCAAGAAAAATCTACGAAAAAATGAAAGTATAAATAGAAATAGAAATAGAAATAGGAAGTATATGTAGCAGTCCGTAGCGTGGAAATCAAAACGCCAAACTCCGCTGCCTGCCACACAAAAGAAAAAGGAGGGAAAAAGGGGAAAAAGGGAATATACAGCAAGATGATAGATCACCGACGGAGACTGTCTAATCTTGCCTGTAAATCGTCGTCGTCTGTATTTGCACCGGCACCGGCACCGGCACCGCCACCGACTGCCTGCGCGACTCGTCCCTCGGGGACAGATGCCTTTTGCAATTCCGAAGGCGTCTCTCCCATCTGCGATAGTTAACTGTCAGCAAACATAGTGCTTTATAGAAACACATATCTCTCGAAAATATTCAAAGGAAAAAAGCAACAAGGGAAAAAAAAAAAAAAGGAAAAAAAGGAAAACCATACAGCTTGCCCGAGATCAACACCAATCTCATCCAGGACCTCTTTCACAATCTCCTCGCCTTCCTCCTCATCCTCTATTCCCGTGGCCTCGTCAATGGCATCGTCCATCAACTCCTGCCGCTGGTCCATGATTTCATTCTCCCGTTCGAATTCCATGGCTATCCGTTGTAGCGCGGGGAGGTTCATTTGTCTGTTCATGCTGCCCAAAAGCATTGTTGCGCCTCTCATGGATTGCATCATCTGCTCGTTACTCCTAACGGTCTATACAAGGCAACCCGATAGGTGTTAGCACGTCCTGGTACCCGGGGAAAACATAACCTCTGTTCTAAAGGCTCGTTTGTTTTTTTGCGCCGCAAGCAAAAATCGTACCTGGATCCGGAGGGAGATGGCTTGTAGCTGTGTTCGCATTGAGTAGAACTTTTGGATATACCTAGAAGAAACGATGACAAAATAAGAATAATCGAATCAGCAACCATGAGGTTTTGAATGAAATGATAACACACAAGCAGTGTATAAATCGCGGAAAAGAGGTTCCCTAGAAAGGAAAATATATCGACATACCGCCTCGTCCTAACCAGATCTTTCGCCTGAATCTTGCAGGCCCCTATTTGCCCATTCTTTGCGCTCTTCTTGATATCCTGCACAAGCTTCTTTTCCTGGTTTTCCAGCTTAACACGTTCTCTATCCAGTTCGCGCTGCGTCTTTTCCAGGGCCCGTTGATGTTTTCGCAGACGCTCTGCGGGGGTCATCCGCTTTCCAAACGCCCATTCTACGATCTGGTTGCCTAGTAAGCAGTCGTTCTAACGCGGGGTATGGTATTGGTACGTACATTCATTGCGAGTTGTTGTATGAGAAGGTAAAGAGAGAGGAAAATATAACACCCGGTAACTATCACAGTGTGATAGACAGCAGCAGCAGTAGCAGCAGCAGCAGCAGCAGGAGGCTGGATTGCACTTATTTAGCTGGTCTCTAGAACAACGGCTTGGTGCTCTGAATAATAATGTCGCGGTGACGATGTTCTGCTGCGGGCTGCTGATTGCCCAGAAGCGCCACGCCAAGCCCGGGACAATCAGATCCGGACCATCAGCAATAATTCTTTTCCACCCAACGTCATTAACCCGTTTTCCTCTGCAAAAACCCCCCCGGTTCAACATCCACACAACTACCACGTCTCAAACGACCCCTCTTCATTTCATGCGGGTGCTCACTCATCTCCTTTGATCGGCGCAGTTCGCTTGCTTGCCATGAGTCAACAGTATTTCCCGAGTGAGGCCGGCTCGGCGGCTGGCGAGGGCTCCTCCAAACACGCCACTGGAGGAGAATCTTCGAACAGCTCGCATCACCACGGCGAAGGGCCTGAGTATATGGTCGTCGGGTCCGGATCGGTTTCTCACAACGCGACATCGCTGATGGCGTCGCTGAATCACGATTCTGGCTATGGGGGTAGCATAATGGGCGAGAGTGCGGATGGATTGATGGGGGACCGGCCGACACCTTCGCACACACCAGTTGTTCCGGGTCAGCTCAATGAGGCTGGTTAGTTTATGGTTTAATTCTGCTGATTGGGCCTCTTTTTAACTAACAGATATTCGTTCTATATAGCCGAGCACGAAAGACAGATTGTCGCAAGCCATGTCCACCAATTACTATAGTATGTCTTGCTCCTTGACCCCGATCCACATTTCCCCCTTTTCCCCATTTTAACACTTTTATCTGTTCTCTCTAGCAACTCGAACCGAACCCAGCTTAGTCGCTCGATTACCCGCACCGTAGAACTTCTCAAAGAGCTCCAGCAAATGAACCGCAAGTGGCCCGCTCATTACCCACCCGTCCAGTCCACTCAACCCACATCCTCATACCCACCTGGTCCACAGCGTGTACAGTCATGGCAGGTCGATGCAGCAAATTCCAATCCTTTCGAAAGGCCAGACCCGTTGCGACGTACGACTGCAGGAGTAGACGGGAGTACGATTCCTGACTCTAGCGAAGCTGCAGAAAACAGACCGCCTCCCGGGCCACGGCTAGTGACGCCGCAGATCGCCCAAGAGTTTTCCATCTTGAAACTAGATCTGAAACTCGGCGCTTTGTCGCAGTCAGAGTTGGTTCATTCACTAGAAAAAGGCTCGATTGCGTCTTTGCTAGATGGCAGGGTCAGCCAGAGCATCAGACATTTACTATCTTTAAGGGATAGAATAGAAGATTTGTCCAGTAAGGTGTTGATTACTGGTGATCTTAATGCTGGCAAATCGACGTTCTGCAATGCGCTGTTGCGTCGCAAAGTTCTGCCAGAAGACCAGCAGCCGTGCACGAGTATTTTCTGTGAAGTGCTGGATGCGAGAGAAAATGGTGGCGTTGAGGAGGTCCATGCCATCCACAAGGACCGACCGTATAACCGCAATGATGAGAGTACATATGACGTATACTCCATACAGGACCTGGAATCGATAGTGGTGGACAACAGCAAATATATGCAGTGCAAGATTTATCTAAAGGATGTAAGGACAATTGACGAGTCATTACTAAACAATGGCGTGGTCGATATATCCATCATTGATGCCCCCGGCCTTAACTCTGATTCCGTCAAGACCACTGCTGTCTTCGCTCGACAGGAGGAAATCGACGTGGTCGTTTTTGTCGTGTCCGCTGCGAACCATTTTACCTTATCAGCACAGGAATTTATCATGAATGCCGCCCACGAGAAAGCTTATATTTTTATTGTTGTGAATGGCTTTGACAATATCCGGGATAAGCAACGATGTCAACAAATGGTTTTGAAGCAGATTGCTAAATTGAGTCCACGGACGTTTAAGGAGTCTGCTGAACTTGTTCACTTCGTATCGAGTAATGCGGTCCCTGTTATGCCTGCTATCACGGCTGGTGGAGGCGGAGGAGGAGGTGATGGTGATGGCGGTGATAACGGTCTAGACCTGGATGACGAGGATGGCTCAAAGGGCAAAGGAAAGGCCCCAATTGCAGCGGACGATAAGGGAAAAGGGAAGGAGAAAGAGAAAATTCAGGACTTCGAAAACTTGGAGGGTGCATTGCGCCGATTTGTCCTTGACAAACGCTCAAGGTCGAAACTTGCTCCGGCAAAGACCTATCTATTAAACATCCTTTCTGATCTTCATGTTCTTGCCTCTGCGAACCGAGATGTCGCTTCATCCGAACTCGATCGCATGACAAAGGAACTCGAAGAACTCGTGCCCGCCTACGAAGAAAGCATGAAGAGTCGAACAGAAGTTACCGAGCAGCTTTCTAATTCTATTGATGAGTCGTGCGAGGAAGTCTATAACCATTCTCGAACAACTTTGTCCACCAGAGTAGCGACACTTGGTGAAGCTACTCTTGGCGTCGAATACCCGGGTTTGTTCTCCGCGTTCCAGTATGCGGAAGATCTGAAGGTAGCTATGCTCGACGAGCTTGCTGCCACCGTCTCCGCGTGCGAGGATTACGCTCGCGGAAAATCCGTCCAGGGAGTCAACATGATCCAGAGCATCGGCCTCCTCCACGTCGGAGAAGATAAATTCCCCAACCTTAATTTCCGCGCGGATCTTATGTTCAAGCAAAAGCGACATATCACTGCCAGGCAGATCGATACTGAAATCGATATATGGGACTTTTTCGACATCGCTGGCCTGTGGCATCGGCAGGAAAAGGTAGCTGGGACCAGCATGGCGATGACTCTTGTCACTGTCCTTGGCGGAAGAGCCTTGGGAGGATCAAATTGGATCGACGGTGCGCTTGGTGCTGCTAGGATTCTGGGAACGAACAATATGCGTCGGATGATCGTGCCTGGCATGGTCGCAGCAGGTGAGTTTATTTTTCCTCTTTCCAGTCGGACCGCTTCATTAACCCCGGGGAACCCCTTTTCGTCCCCAACACGAGCTAACAATACCATCTTGAATTTCTTAGCACTATTAACCGCATCATACCTCCTCACCCAAATCCCCACCGCCCTCCCCACAAACATCTCGCGCAAACTCTCCGAATCCCTCGCAGAAATCGATTACATTCACACCAATGCCACCCGCATCTCCTCTGAGGTGCGTCGCGTCCTCCGCATGCCCGCATCCAGGCTACAATCAACCCTCCAGACAGCCACAGAAGAACTAGCCAAGCGCAAAGCCGAAGTCGGCAAGACCAAGGAAGAGAGCGAAGTTGCCAGCAAGTACTTCTCGAATCTATTCCGCGAGAGCAGGGATACTCGCAGGGCGGTTGAGCAGGTTGATCTAGAATCACCCCTGCCGGGCAGTATGGCGCAATATCAGCAACAAGCAGCGCGAGGTTCGCGTTCTTGATTTTCTTCTTCCTCCCCCCCCCCCCCCCCCCCCGGGACGAATAAAAGAGCTAGTCAGGGAGGGGCATGGGGATAATGTATCATCCTAGCTGTCTGACGTCAATCATCCCATTCGTTTTTTATTTTTATTTATTTTTATTTTTGCTCCTCCTTTTTGCTTCACAGTGGTTGGTGCATCACCTCCTAGACATCCATGCATACACCTCTTTATTCCTTTGCGTTTCTAATGCTTCTCATCTTCACATGTATGTATTTATGCAGTATGTACTAACGCCTTTTTCTTTTCTCTATCTTCCATGTAAATACCCCCTATCCGCTCCCTTCTTTACACCGTCTTTTTTTCCCTCACAACATCTCCCATCTCACAACCAATTACATACTCAAATGTGCATGGGTGTGAATAAGATTGGTCATCTATATATATTGTATAGTTCACGATGTAGATATGGTGCCTTTGTTTCATTTTACTACACCAAACAAGTAAAATTGAATGGAGCACTTATTACATGCTTGTGTAGATTTCTTTTGCCCTTTTTCCCTCTTGTTCCTCTGCCATGTTTATTTTTATTTTTATTTTTGTTCTTTTTTTCCCTTGGTATCCTAAAGGACAAATTACCCCGTCAACGCCCTATTTCTTTTTCCATTTCTTCTCCCCCGAGCGCGCAAAATCATTACCTGAAGCAAAGCATTCTGCTTTTATTTTTGCGGGGACCCGAAGCGCTTGGTGTACATTAATTTATAGCTAGCTACAAGTGGATAACTGTCCGGGGTTTATGCAATTCATTTTTTGACTATGATCTTTTTGTGGTTGGCATGCAGCTTCCTTCCTTTAATGCTGTACTTAATTCCCTCTTGTAAAAGCCCATTCTATCGAACCCTCTTTCTATCGATAACCTCGGACTTATCGGTTTAGAATAGGCGAGTTGAAATACACTTCATCCTACTATCATGCCTTTGTCTCAGCAGACAATATATATATTATCCAAAATGGCACTGGAAGCCACAGGGCGCCTTATTTACTCGCCATCAGAGTGTGCTCAGGACATAAAACCAAAATTTGCACCAAAGAAGAACCAAAAAAACACCTCCCCGCTTCCAAGAGAAAATTTGAACGAGTAATCCTCACCAACCAAAATATCACGCCTTATTCCCTCGCTTTGATGACTGCCAGCACAGAACGCGATCAAGCTTGTAAGATTTTGGCACACCTTCTGTGCGATGTGTATATACACGGATATATCTGTACGAGAAAGAAAATGGAGCCATAGATTAAAAGAAATCACAAAATCATAACCCCTCATACGTCACCCCTTTCCCCGACCTTCTAGTCCTCCTCCTATTCCCCCACCCATCCAGTGCCTCGTTCTCTTTAAGCACCAAACTCTTCGAGGTGATCTCACGGTGCCTAGCCGTGGCCGTGGCGGCAGCGGAAGCCCCATCTTTCCCATCCGCCACCCCCGCCGCCCCGCCATCAATCTTAGCTCTCATAGCCGCCGCATCGGGAATCTCATAGCCCAACTGCGTCAGATCTGGCGTGTCATCGTCGTCCGGGAACCCGGCCCCGCCATGATCGCGCATAGAGCCGCCATGCGGGAAATCAGCCGTCGTATGAGTGCGGAACATTTCCAACCGAGACTCCAGCAGCTGCTGCGCCTCTGTCTTATCCGTCTTCTTGTTTACGAGAACGGAGGAGGTAGAGACGCTGGGGGCGTTGCTGTGGGCTTTGGGGGTCGAGGAGCTGTCGAAGCCGAGCCCGTCGACGACGCTGCCGTGGCCGTCTTCGTTCATGGTGTCGATGGAGCTGGCTCGGGATATGCGCGTGTCGCCGCCACCGCTGCCGCCTGGTACGGTGGCACTTAGTAACATTGAGGAATGCGAATTGGCGCGGCCAAGGAGCTGCTTTCTGCGCTTGCGCTGCTGCTGCTGTACACCGTTGCCAGTACCGTCTCTATCTTCCAGGCTGGATGGTTTGGAAGAAGCTGCCCGGCGCTTTTGTTTTAGGAATTCATTCAGGGCGCTGTCGAGAGTCGTTTTGGAATTCTGGTTATTATCGTTATTATACTCGTTATAATCATTATTGTTATTATTATTATGAGATTCTTCTGCTGCTGGGTGCCTTGGTCTGACAGATGGCACGGGGAGGGTGGGGACAGGGGTTTGGTTGCGCTTTGAAGGGGACGGGGAACGGCTGGCTGTTTTCCGTGGCGAGTTTGCTGAAAGCTCTTGGAGGGCGCTGCCGGGTGGGACACTTGGTTCTCGCGCTACTGGAGTGTATTTCCATTTTTCTTTAGTTCGGGCAGGAAGTGTGGGTTGTTTAGCTGTGTCTGGGCCGGTGTGTGGGGATATTTCATCTTCTAACAGCGCCTTACGCTTCTTGGGTTCATTTTGTTTCACTTCATCCCGTTGAATAAGTTGGGTCGGACATCTAGTGTCCTGAGGCTGTCTATACTCGATTATATACGGTGTGAACGGTTTTCTCTCCCCAGTCTGAACTGAAATCCATAGCCAATCCGCAATGACAGCTGGGATATTCCATTCCGCGACATGTCGCAGTTTTTCTTGATTCGGGTTTCCACTGTTGCAGATAAGCACTGATGCTTTGGGCGTGAGAAACTCGTCATAGGTAGCCCCTAGTAACAAATTAGCACCAAATTGTCGCTCATGGGGATAAGGCATGTCAAAACACATACCCATTACCTTGACGAGCTTCGAAAGATGTAAGAGATCAATACCGGAAAATCCAGTCGAGCAAACTCTCAGCCCTTGGAATGCTATTCATAGTTAGATATATGTAGTGTTTAAACGAACAAGTTTTACGAACCTGGTATTGGGAATTTCGGGAAGGGAGTGCTAGTAATATGTGCCTCAGGAGGCACGAGAGCATTGTTATGCAGGCACTTCTCAATCCATAGGTCCGTCACAATTTCTGGCTCTACGACAAAGTCATCAATAGATGGAAGTTCGGAACGTGGTAAATTATGCGGCACGAGTATATACATTGCGGGTCCACTTGTTGGGATGTCTCCTGCAAGTTCATTTAGGCACGCAACGATTTGAGCATCACGAGAGCGCAGGTGAGTCTCCAAAATTCTAGTCTAGCGGAACGTTAGATATGCGGAAAAGGTGGTGAATAACTGCATTGCTTACTTGACTTGAAGAGAACCCTTTTATAAAAAATCTAGCGCCGAACCAAAATCCACGGCGAGCTACATCAAGCTCCTGTGATTTTTGTGTGGACATTTCGGTCATGGCAGGGCGAGCTCTTTCAGTTATGGTAGTCTCGCTAGCGAAGGACTTTAGTTCTTGGATCACCGCTGGAGTATCAGCCATTTGCCCGCTAGGATCAGTTTTAATGCTAGCACTCGAGTTTGAGGTTCTCGTAGCATCCCCTACAATATCTGTCCAGATATCCTCGTTTTGGCCACCCAGTTTCATGCTTGCAACTCTGCGGATTTTCCGAGTCCGTTGAGGATTGGTTATGGCCGCTTTGGGTCGCTTCACGGGAACTCCCGGGGCGGATCTATTCCATGCGCCAATGCCCTGCTCTTCATCCGGGAGCAGAGGGTCATAGAGGTTCTCATCAAGAGCCATCCCTCGCACAAGGCTGTCTTCAAGCCACTTTAGGCTAACCACTGTTATTTTCCACAGCATTGCATACTTATATTTTTGACTATATCCAGATCGCGCAATCAGATGGGTGACACTCTTTGTAAGATCCCGGCGAAATTCCGCTCCATTGTCCGTGATCGTCTTCTGTAGGGAGTTCCTGTGATTCACTTTTCGTGGTGAGCAGACTGTGTACACCGACAAACGAGAAGTGACAAAACATTGCATCGCTTACTGTCGTCAAATCCCGTAAGGCATATAGATAAGCCAGCAAATGTGGGATATCGATATTGTTCTTCCAGCTCCTGAAGATTGGTATCCCCCCCAAGTACCCAGGATGACCGGACAGCTTCAACCCATTCCGCCTTTAAGACCTTTATGTCAGCCCGCTCCTTGGCCACATATCTATATTTTGGGGTATTCAGTTCTCCGACGATCAAATGCGTGACATCTGAAGTGAGATCAAATTTATGGACAGCTCCCATCTGGGTGGCCATGGAAGCTATTTCTTCCTATATGAACCATCAACAACTGGAGAAAATTGAGGTATGGATCTGGAGAAGACAAACCTACCCGGTACTCTGGCAATATCGACGTACAGCAAAGAATCACCCCCGAAAGAGGGCGTTCCTTGTCTAATATCTATCAGCATATGAATGGTATTTTATAGAGCACCAGATTACCTACCTGGTACAACCTCCCCTTCCATGCTTCATAATCGAAACCAATTCCACTTGCCCATAACATCAGCTAAATTGGTAAGTTAGGGTTGAGCTTTCCAAATATCAATAGCCAACACCGAACTGTCGCATAAATGTTTCTTCGTATTAAATCATTGTTGTCGACGGTAGCTGCAAACACGCGACCCAGAGCCGCCGAACACGCGATCACATGACCTTTATGCTCCAATTCATTTTTACTTGACAAGTCACGTGATTATTTAATTGACATTTCTGCGCGTCTTCAACCCGCGCGTTCGAAACAGTAAATAAATAACAAGAAAGCGCAAAGACAGACAGACAGACAGACCTCCTATAGAGACGGCGATGGCATCGACAACTACGAACGGTATACACGGCATATTACAGTAATCCCCAGGTTAATTGGTTTGTCTGGGTGTTACGCGCAGTTGTTTATGTCCAATTACACTCGTTTGACTCGAGCTTCGACTGCAATTGTTAGCCCTTCCTTCATTATTCGGCTGGCCTTACGGTTGTCGTTCCCATTTACGTCCCACCGAGGGCGAGGCTTTGCGATGTTTAATCAAGCGGTCCGCAACCATACTGCTCCTGCGAGAACTCTTTTTCCAAAGGCTGCTCCTCCGAACAGAGCTGCCCCTGTTTCTTCTAGTCAAACTGCTGGGATAAAACGAAAGTTGGATGCTGTCCAGCCCGCTCCGGAAACCCCCTTAGCGGTACTTCATAGCAACGTGTACTTTGATGAGAATGATTTCGACGATGATATTGATCTAGACGAGCCTACCAGCTTTTCAATAAACCTGACTCAATCGCAGTCGTTCGCTTCCTCTCGGATTCAACCACCTGAACTCCCTCCCCCCCCCGAACAGCCGGCACCGCCAAGTGATAATGCTCCTCCAAGCACTCTTCCACTTCCGTGGTCATCTTCCCCCCCTACAAATTTACTTCCTCCAGCAAAACGGCGTACTTTACCATGGGAAGCCAATGAAAACCCTGAACCGGAAAACAGGCCTCGAACGAAACCTGCACCAAGATCTGTTATCCGCACTCCAGCTCCTAATAAACCGTCATCCTTACCATGGGATAAGACTATGAGTGCTGTGAAGGAGGAGCAGAAAGAACTGCGAAAACAACAGAAGATACGTGTGAGCTCCGAGAAAAACCAGCAGCACCTAGGCACAAGAGCTCCAAAAGTCGCGTCTATCTTTCTAAGCGAAGAACAAAAAAGAGTAGTAGAAGCCATCGTTAAAGATGGCAAGAGTATATTCTTTACAGGTTCTGCTGGGACTGGTAAATCAGTTCTCATGAGAGAGATCATCAGACAACTACGGCTAAGATATAAAAGAGAGCCTGACCGTGTTGCTGTCACTGCGTCAACCGGACTTGCAGCGTGTAACATTGAAGGTGTCACACTTCATAGCTTTGCCGGGATTGGATTAGGAAAGGAGCCTGTAGCAGACCTTGTAAAAAAGGTTAGTGAGGAACTAACCTCCGTTGTTAATTGAAGCCTCTCATTGACAACCCCCCCTCCCCCCAGGTGAAACGAAACCAGAAGAACAGGACCCGGTGGTTGAGGACTAAAGTTCTCATCATTGATGAGATTTCGATGGTTGACGGTGACTTGTTTGACAAACTTGAGGAGATTGCTCGCAAGATCAGGAATAACGGTCGCCCATTCGGAGGCATTCAGTTGGTTGTTACTGGTGACTTTTTTCAACTGCCCCCGGTGCCAGATTCAACCAAAGTGGCGAAGTTTGCTTTTTCAGCCTCCACCTGGAACACCACTATCCAGCACACAATTCTTTTGACCCACGTCTTTAGGCAAAAGGATCCCAAATTCGCTGCTATGCTGAATGAGATGAGATTGGGGAAATTGAGCACCGAGACGATTGTAGCCTTCAAAGAGTTAGCTCGCCCCCTAGTCGATGATACACTAGAAGCAACAGAACTGTATGAACTATTGTCCCGTGTTTGAAATTGCTCAGCTGATTCTTGAGATTAGATTTCCCACCCGATCAGAGGTCGAAAATGCCAACTCTGCGAGAATGAGCAGGCTATCTGGTGAGACGATGGTGTTCACAGCTGTCGATGGCGGAACAATGCAAAACGAAGCGCAACGTTCACAGCTCTTGGCTGACTGTGTCGCACCCACCATTCAACTTAAGAAGGGAGCTCAGGTCATGCTTATCAAAAATATGGACGAATCCCTTGTAAATGGGTCATTGGGGAAAGTGGTTGCCTTCATGGATGAAGCTAAGTTCGACTATTACTGCAAACACGACGCAAATTTTGATGGCGGTTCGGCAAACGATGATCCCAATGAACGAACAATCAACAAATTGAAATCTTATGAGAATGCAACAGGGAGTGTCAGCACGAGGGGCATCTGGCCGGTTGTTAGTTTCGTCCAGCCAGATGGAACGGAGAGACACCTGCTTTGCCAACCAGAGACGTGGAAAATTGAGCTGCCAAATGGTGAAGTAAGAGCGCAACGAACGCAGATTCCGCTCATACTTGCATGGGCACTCTCTATTCATAAGGCACAAGGTCAGACTCTACAGCGAGTTAAAGTTGACCTTGGACGGGTTTTCGAGAGAGGACAAGCCTATGTTGCGCTTAGTCGGGCGACCTCTAAGGATGGCTTGCAGGTTTCCAACTTTGATCCCCGTCGAGTCATGGTTCACCCTAAAGTCTTAGAATTTTATTCCAATTTATCTAGCATACATAGCATCACAGACGCAACCAATACCAATGCCAATGCCAACTCCGTTGCGGACGGGAATGCCAGCGCCGTTGGCACTACCAGCACCACCAGCACAAGCACCAGTACGAACGCAAATACCAACGCTACTGCCAAACAGAGCCGTGACCAAGCCATGACTGTCAAGCGAACAGGTACAGATTACATGGATGAATGGGACGATGAGGTGCTTCAGAGCATATATGCATGAGACGCATATTTTACATCGCAGTTTTGTATGGAGCAAAGTTTGGCCACATCGGAGCATTGTTAATCATTTATAGGTATATGTACATGTACCATTCAGTCGTCAGGGGTCATCTTTTTTTTTCAGCTTCAGCATATTTTGTCATACATCTATAGCTCCCCCGCCGAAGCAAACAAAGCAGCCACAGAAAACAAATTTTCGGATTCCTGATAGATCCTTACTAATTATTACTGCACACTCTATGTTTACTTGATTTCTCACTGCATATACAGAGTATAAATAGAGTCATTCCATGCGCGTTCAAGATGCAAGGATTTACGGTCATTTCTTCAAGGTTATCGATAAGGGGGTCACGTGTCATCGCAAGGTTTCAATCCTCTAAGCCTCAAAATCGGTCGCCAGAGGGATAGCTAGTTACATGATTTCGAGAACAAATACTTAACACTCTTACCTGTAATATTTCTAGCGCTATTCGAAATCCAAATTTTGACTCTTGCCATTTCTCCATTTACCGCTCTAATTTCGCTATGGCGGCGGACTTCGTGGGATATACCGTCCTCGTTACGCTCAAATCACCCCCAAATTCTCAGGTTCAAGGCGTGGTCGCTGATGTTGCAGGACAGCGACTTACGCTTCAGAATGGTCTGTGGTGTCTTCCACATTCTATGGACAGGGCATGTGTGCTGACGCAGATACAGTAACGCTTCTATGGAGTGGGCAGCATATTCCACTGTACCATATTGACGCGCCGGGAATCGCTGACCTAGAATTGTCCTCCCACCAAATACCGCACCCTCCGGCAACGAACAACTACGAAGCAACAGTTCATACTCCCTTCCAGAATGGCAGCACGTTACCCCCCCTACAGCATCCATCGCAACTTCCGCATCAGAGGCAGGACAGTATAGTTGAACCAATGCTGAGGGAGCCTCAACCTCAAGGGTTTGTTGATCCGGCGATCCTAAGCTTCCAAAAGCCCCCTAAACACCACTCGTTTTCCGCCACGAGCGCCCCTCCATTTACTGCCAAACGAGACGCTACTTCCCCAGTCATGATCGCTGATTCGGAGCCTGCCACCCGTCCTAGTGAAAAGGTTATGGTTCCTACCCCTGTAGCAGCCACGGGTCCAAACCGAACGGATGTAGAGGATGCCGCAGCAACACTCAGCGAACCGTTTAATAATATGGGTTTCAACGGAACCGAAGGTTTGACGGAGGATCAAGGTACGCAAGTGGGAAAGGGGGAAGAGGATATTCCGGAGGGTCGAAGAGGTGCAGGGCCTCTCGAAGTGCCACTCAAGTACACTGGAAAACGCAGTCGAAGGGGTGGAAGGAACAAGTTGAATAAGGATGCTGCTGTGCAATCCTCCATCGTTAACCCAATAATGGAGGACCCTACTGCTGCGACAACTACAACGAGGCCGAATATTCCGGGGAAGGGTTGGCGTCAGACAGCGTTTGTTGAACCTGCTCCAAATCCATCTCCACAAAAATCCACTAATGGACGGGCGAGACGGTCAAAAATGCGGAGCAAGAAGTCATATGCGGAGGACCTGAGCGGATGGGCAACTGAGGACGCAACGGATATCCAGGAGATGGGGGACTTTGATTTCGCCAGTAATCTATCCAAGTTTGATAAACGTCGTGTTTTCGATGAGATTCGCAATGATGATACCACAACTGGAGAAGAACGATTGGTTAGCTTCAACAGAAGAGTTCACAGACCAGGGACAAATGAGGGCAAGAATTTACACTACACAGAAAATGTACTTGATGACGGTCCATCGAACGATAAATGGAACAGTGAAGCAGGGGAAACAGACGAGGATGAAGCCAGCGATGAGCGTTTCAGCAGCGGTAGAAATTCCGCGAGGGCTAGATCGAGAGTATCCGCTGCCCGTGCGCAATCTCGAAAAGGGAGTGCGATTCTCGGGTCGACTCTTGTGTCTTCCCAGATCAGCTCCTTATCTCGTGGCCAAAAGACATCGTCTCGTACCGAAAGCCCGCAGCCACACAAGAGTTCTCCGTTAATTGGACCCACCTCATCATCAACTGCTTCTCTGTTGCTCACAACAACAAAACGGCAATGTCCCTGTGTCGGTCCACTTCAAATGATTGAGATAGAGCAGTTGGCCATTGCGGAGCTTGGCTTGGGAGAAGACATCATTACAGAAAACGCTGGACGAGGTATTGCTGAGGCTGCAGTTTCTCAAGTTTCCAAACTTGCAAATTCCTCTACGATATTAGTTTTAGCTGGGAATCATCGAACCGGTAGTCGGGCTATATGTGCCGCTCGACATTTCCGTAATCGGGGATATCGAATAACCCTATGTGTCCTTGGCCTGGATCGTGAAGACGAGTTCATGGACGGTGTACGAAAGCAGATTGATATTTTCAAGAAGGCGACCGGGAGAGTCATGAGATGGGAGGAACTATCAGCGCGATTGACCTCTGGTGACTACGCACCTTATCTTGTGATAGATGCGCTATTTGGTGTTCATATAGCTTTTGACGACCTACGAACTGACGACCAAGCGACCGCCTTCGAAATGATATCGTGGGCTAATCGCAGCAATGTTGAAATTCTGTCCGTAGATGTCCCATCCGGGCTTTCTGCTGTATCAGGTACGACTCCTTTATTTCTGTGATATATTAATTACTCTTCACCTTGGCTAACTCCCTTTCTTCTATTCAGGCGAAGCAACCGTCGTCCAAGGCTCACGATTGAGTGTCAATTCAAAATTTATTGTATGTCTAGCAGCGCCAAAAACGGGGCTCATTCATGCCCTTGGCTCCGGCGAAGGGCTAGCCTGGAACATCACCGTCGCGGATATTGGTATCAGCCAGGTTGTATGGAGGAAATATGGTAGCCGACGGCGATATGGTGTTGACTTTGGGAATCAATGGGTGGTTCCTCTACGATTCCAGCCACCAACGCCCTGAATATTCTCCCATTCTAGCGAACAGCAGCCTTAAAATCCGACTACTCGGAGTGTATTACTTTCTATGTCCAAACCAAGCGGTTGCGATTAACGGAGTCATGATACGACCCCCTTTTTTTTGTCGCCGTGCAATATGGGAAGAAAAGGGCAATATTTCCCTTTTTGAATGATCTTTTATTAATACCATCTTTGTCTTCTTCAAGGTGTTGGGTCAGGAGAATCAGGATTAGGGTCTGGCGGGTTGATTCTTATTCATGTTGTCACTATTAATTTTAATATATCCTCCCAGCTACTACTGCTTTGTTCCAAAAAGATAGCGCAAACCGTCTAAGTAATTCAGTATCCATCCTCCCTGTCCTACTTCATTACAAGGAGACCAGCTTGGCATTCAATTGTTTCACCTGAGTTTATTTGACGTCTTTGAAGCGATTTGTAGAGATGTCCAAAAGAGGATTAGTGTTTGGCGGAAAGCGTAATTACCCGCTGATGTAATTAATTCAAGGCCGCAAACCAACCTCCGATTTTTGTGTTTTGCGACAGCGAGGTTCGCCGCTGGCAGCAGTTTTGATAGTGCTCTTCTTTGAGGATTGTGAACATGGGAAAAGGTACGCCGTATCGCGTCACTATTTGCCGCAAAAAAGTATTCTGTTATACTAACTCATCTTTTGTCTTCCAGGAACCGATAAGCTCTATGTATGGTTGAGACCGAGGGCGAAAGCTACCCCGGAATACAGTTTCCAATATTGTTTCAATGCTAACTACCCTTTTATTATAAATAGATTACCCATTCGGAATGGGCATCCGAAGATGCATACTCTGCGAGTGCTGGCTCCGGTGTCAGATCGAAAGCGGGAACTGCGCACGCATCCTTTAAACGCCTTCCGTTCAACTTCTGCTCACTCTCCCTGCAACCATTCTCCCACCCCGTTTGCACGCTCTCCGGCACGATATTCGATCTCACGAATATAATTCCCTGGATTAAGAAACATGGCACAAATCCCGTAGACGGAACCGCTCTCAAAAGCTCCGACCTTATAAAACTGAATTTTGCGAAAAATGACGAGGGCGAATATGTTGATCCCGTTACTTATAAAGCGTTCACGGATAATACACATCTTGTGGCTTTGAAACCATCGGGAACCGTTTTTGCGTGGGACACAGTGGAAAAGCTAAATGTCAAGGCAAAGATGTGGAGAGATCTGGTAACGGACGAGGAGTTTGGACGGAAGGATATCATCACTTTGCAGGACCCGCAGAATATCGAGTCGAGAGATCTCAGCTCATTTAAATATATAAAAGATGGAGAGAACACAATGTCAGATGAACAGCTGCGGGTAAAAAACAGTAACGTGAACCTAAATGCTATGGGGAGCTCCGCGAAGATCTTGAAGGCCAAGGAGGCTGTTGCGAAAGCACGCGCTGAGCGCGAACAAAAAGCAAACGCCGCTGCTCTTGAAAAATCGAAGGGGAGGGATGCTACAGCTTTTGGTAAAGATGGTTCCGCGAAAGGGTCAATAATGAATCAAATCAAGAAACCAACTCCATACAACGCAGCGAAGCACACGACGGGGCTTGCAGCTGCCTCTTTTACTAGCACTGGCCTCACCCCGCATACATCGGCCGACCTTGCTCTTCTCACTGATGAACAATACATGTTGCGACGGGGCCGCGTTAACATCAAGGGGTATGCGCGCATTAACACCACGATGGGAGATCTCAATCTTGAACTACACACAGAACATGCACCCAAGGCAGTTTGGAACTTTATTCAGCTAGCTAAGAAGGGATATTATAATGATGTCACCTTCCACCGGAACATTAAAGGCTTCATGATTCAGGGTGGTGATCCCACTGGTACCGGCAGAGGTGGTGAAAGTATCTGGGGAAAGAATTTTGAGGACGAGATTGAGGGGCCGTTCAAACATGATGCAAGAGGGACGGTGAGCATGGCTAATAAGGGCAAAAATACGAATAGTAGTCAATTGTGAGTACAACAACGTCCGTTCATCTATTTCACCCTCCGCCGGTAGACACGCATGAGAATTGTCCCCTTAGTATGTGCCAATTGAAATATCAAACACCACTAACCCATCAAAATCAGCTTCATTGCCTACCGCGCTCTCCCCCATCTAAATCTCAAACATACCATATTTGCCCGTTTAATCGATGACCCTTCACCCTCATCTACGACTCTCAACGCCCTAGAAACTGCCCCAGTAGATTCCACCAACAAACCCACCACACCTATCCGTATTCTCAACGTAACAATCTTCGTCGATCCATTCGAAGAATTCTTGAGCCAGAAACGCGCAGACGAGGAAGCACAAACGGGCGCCGCTGGTGGCGCTTCGAAAGGTTCTGGCTCGAGAGACGAGCAGAGCGATGACCAGCTAACCTGGACAGGTAAGCGCGTGCGAACTGGAGGCGCGGCGAATGGCGCTGCAGCCTCTGGTGGAAGTTCCGGTGTGGGGAAGTATCTTAAAGCAGCTACCACCGCCGCCGCTGCCGAAGCTCAGACAAAGGCTGGTGAAGACGAAATTGTAGAATTTGTCGATGAGGAGCCCGAGCCTGAACATGTGAGAAAGAAATTCAAAGCTGCGAGTGGAGGTGGTGGGTTTGGCAATTTTGATAGTTGGTGAAGAAAATTTCATGTGTTTCTTTTCGGGTCGGTATTTGTTATCTTTCCCATGAGGCCCTTATATTCTGTATTTTATTTTATACCAACATTTTCCAGTGGCATTCAAGTCTTCACGGCGCAGCTAGGTGATGGGAAACCTTGAGACGACAGTTCCGGATTTTTTGTGGGGATGGAATAAATGGCGTTTTGCAAGAATTTTCTGGTTTTCTGCTTGGAAGATTGGGATTGAATGGATTATATTGAAACACTACGTTAGCGATAGGCTCCCGTCGTAGATAATTCTTCATTGGGGATTCTGGGCCCGCCAATCGAGCAGCAGTTGTCAAAATCGATAACTTTCGTGCAAATAGGCTCCCCTGACACTAGAACGCAACCAGAGCAAGCCAATGACTTCAGCGCGAGTATCATTGTCATCTACGAAAGTGGTTTTATAATGTCCTAACCCTACATAATCCGCGCTTACGACAATTCACTGACCATACAAAGAATGCCGTCCCTGTCAGCTTCAGGGGGTTACTAGCAGTAGATACAGTGCTGATTGTCGAAGAGAGCAAAAGGAGTAACGCTTAGACTCTATAAAGGACCCAATCGAGTGGGGAATCCACAAGCATTTGGGGTATGATATAAAGAAAGAATAAATATCATCATGAGCGGTGGGGGACATACAAAGAAACCAGGGGGATTGGGAAAGCTCAAAACAAAACGGCGCTGGTGAATGCTCTAAAAGAGGGGGAAAGCGAAAGCTTCAACAAGCAAGTGATCATTTCCCTCCTCCTCCCTACCAAGAATCGTTAAGTTGAGATCAAGCCCTTCCCTAGAAGTTCCTGTCCTACTTCTTTAAGAAGTGGCTCTTTTGCAAACGGCTTCGCTTGCGCTTTCTCTTTCACAATCTCCTGAGCTTTCATCACCCTGCACAAGTCCATGACCTCCCCATCAATAGGCGCAAGGTATACAAACAGTCCCAGGGATAATAGGTGACCATGAAGACTTTCCACGCTCTCAGTCTCCAGCCTGATAGCCTCAAGCAGCGACGCAACCAGTTCTACCTGGTCCGCCTCCGACAGCCGATCTGGCGCCTCATCCAGTCTCGCATTATGGTTAAACGCCGCAAGATTATACATGAACGATGCGCCAGCTGCGCGCAGACTGACCTGTGTGGCAAGGAGGGAGGACGTGGCGATTTTTATGCAGGTTTCGCGGAGAGTGTCGTGGGATACTATTTGATCTAGATATAGGGGCGACGTGAAGAGGTTGCAGGCCAGCTGTGTCATTACGAGTTGCTGGTTGTAAGGGCAACTGGACAGATTGCTGGCTCCGCCCAGTAGAGTTAATAGTGATTGGTGTGCTTCTTCCTCTGCGAAGAAGCCACTGACACGGGCGTCGGAGAATGTGGCACGAACTAGATCGATAATTGCAAAATGAACGGCCTGCGGGAGGGACAAGAATCTGGATTTGACGAAGTCTTGCAATAAGGAAAGGTTTGGTAGTGCAGCGTCCGCTGGGCCACCACTATCTCTTGATTTGAGGAACTTGACCAAATCTTGAAGGGCAGGTTCCTCGCCTGTCGAGCCGAGTTTTTGAATCAATTTATCTAGCGGGGGGATATTCTTGTACAGCACGTAGGTGCCTATGGGACGTTCTAAATTCGGTAGCCTCAGTCGCCTATGAGGATGAGGCGGCCAAGCCATTTCGATAAGAAGTCGAACGTTTCCTCGTAATGTACCTTCGTTCGCGCCACTCCATTCACCTTCTTTCTTTCCTTTGAGAAATGTCATGAAAGTTGGCGTCGCCCTGACCCCGTATTTCGTGCTGACATCAAAAGCGCGAGATAAATCCACTTTGATTAGGACAGCTTTGTCGCCAACTTCTTCTGCAAGTTCATCATACACCGGATACATTATTTTGCATGGTGGGCACGTTGCGGAGGTGAAAAAGATCACTGCGCACGAGGACCTTGCAGAGTTTAGGAGCTCCTCTACCTCCCTATTGCTTGTAACATTGCGGACATACCCTTTCTTCACAGGGTGTGAAAGCTTCGTGTGCCCAGTGACGGGTCTTGTAGCGCCGTTTGCTTCAAAGAGAGGAGGCTGGTTTGCGGCAACTGGATAAGGTCGCTCCGGGCCTTGAGTTGCACCGCGAAGCATACCATCAATATATGGCCTCATCATTTGGCCAAAGGGTGTGTTCAGAAAAGTCTCAGGAAGGTTTCTGATATGATCAGGGATACCCTTTCCAACTAAGAATGTGGCGAGATCATGTGTAAAATTGTTGCAGTTGCGGAGGAAAAGATCGTAGGACTAGTGACCGCTTTGATATAAGCCTGGGTCTTGCCTAACTTGTTCACATATTTTATTTTGGGAGCAAGGAGGGGCACAATAAAGAGTTACATACATCTTCCGTGTAAACCTCCGCTAAAGACTCCATGTACTCAACTATCACCTCGATTGGAAGCTGGGAAGTACCCATGTGGATCATCTCGATGGGTTCTCCATGGTGGGTTGTTCCAGGGGGCGCTTGCTGAATCCCTCTACCAAAGAAGTATTCCACGCCCCCGAATACTAGAGACGTGTGATATATTGCATCTATCTGGGTACCAGTTATAGCAAGTGAGAGCTATCGGGAGTTAGCAGTCGCTTGATAGGAGAGGAGAAGCTGGAACTTGCTCTCGCTTACTTACTTGTCGAGCAAGGCCCTAGTGCATAGTTAGATGTCGTTAGCTAATGCCGTAGTAAAACCAACAGTTGGGGTCAATCATGCACCTTTGAGATATCATAAATACATAATACAACGTCCATGTTCCACCAGGGTAAGGCAGTGGAGCTGAATATCCCCGCCGTGCTACGGGAGAACGATATCAGATGAGTTGAACAGTGCAAGCCTAAATAAATATACCAAGTACAAAATAACACGAAAACCTCCCCAAGAGCAAAAAATGAGTGTACCCCGAATTTAGATAAGGTGTGAATATCCCAGGCTTCTATCTGACGTATGTTCCAACAGACAGACGTGATGAATGATGGATGCTGCTGACTTAAATAACTTATTTATTATATAATGCGCCAAGCCCGACGTCAACCACATGCTGCCAGTCGCAAATAACTCCGCAGCGCGGATATGATATTGACCATATATCACCAGCCGCGATTTATGTCTTAAATATGGTATGTGATAGTCAATGAAGCAATGAAGATATCAACCTCTAAGTCACGTTAACTCCTTGCTAACCAATCGACCCAAAATCAACCACCGCAGCCACCAAAACGGCGCTCCGCACCCTCTTCCTCCGCAACGAAGAGAACGCGTCAGTCCAAACTTGCCAAAGAGAACGATATCACCGGTGATGAAGAGGCGGAAATTAAAGAAGCGTTTCATCTCTTCTCTACCAAAAGCGACGAGTATCCCGCTGAGAAAGAAGGCGTAATTAAAACCCAAGATGTCCGTCGCGCACTGATGTATGTTTGCAATATACCCCATGCCCCCTCCCGCCCCCGGGGGCCCCAGAGCCGTTAATCAACCGAAATGGGCTCCGTATACTCCCCTCCTTCTTGATTCCTGTCCAACTCACCACACACACTCAGAGCCCTCGGCCTCCCACCCACAGATCAAAAAGAGCTAGCCTCCATCCTCTCCGCCGTCGACCCCACCTCCACCGGCCTAGTGACCTACGAACCATTCCTCTCCGTCTGTGCCCTGAAACTGCACTCGCGCAGCGACGACGCCATCGCTGCCGAAGTCGAGCATGCGTATAGACTGTTCACACGCGGGACTGCGGGACCCATATCCGTGGCGCATTTGAGAAGGGTGGCGAGGGATTTGAAGGAGGATGTCAGTGAGGACTTGTTAAGGGATATGGTAAGGGAGGCGAATGGTGGGGATGGGCTGCATGCTGGTGTCTCGCTAGAGCAGTTTAGGGAGGTTATGGTGAGGGCGGGGGTGTTTTGAGGGCGGGAAGGGGAGGTGAGGCGTTGAATTGCGGTTGGGGTCTTCTTGTCCTTTGGTAATTCCTACGGTTGAAGGGTTTAATTCTCGAGATGTTCCCGGCGAAGGCGTTCAGGATGATATCGGTAACATATTTTATTTGAAGCAAGAGACATCCGTAGATAGCATAATTAATGGTATATGAATTAACTACTAAGGGTATACAAAGACACTGTTTATACAGCACATACTCCGCTCACGTTCTGAAAAAAACCAACGTAGGTGGTAGTGGCCATGTATCGTAAAAGGAGACACCGACTGGCCTATATCCAGCAAGTGTCCGTGTAAGATGGTCGCATCCATGCGCCCCGGCCAACCGGACTAAAAAAAAAGGGAAAAAGACAACAAGAATCAAGACGCCAAACCAATGCCTATAAGCGAATGAATACGGCGTCGGACCTCTATTCCATCGCACGTTGTTAACACCTGTAAAAAAGGGAAACAATGGTAAGGAATTCTACCGGAACCTCTTGAATAAAATACAACCCGTAGAAATCGTAAATCGATCCAACCGCTGGAGCCTATAAGCCTCAAGTAGTTAATGGCAGATTTAGAACTCCGAGTAATAGACTAGCATATGTAAACGGGACGTGTTCTCATGACTAGTTATCATGCCTTGACCATCGAAGGGCCAGGGTTCACATTGGAACAGGTCTCCTGGGTGTTTTCGAATGGTGTCACGGCCGTCTTCATTGCTGGGGCAGGCTGGATTTTATCTGTCCCAGGAGAGCCGTTTTCACAGGAGAATGACGATGCGGTAGATGTATCAGAGACGTCAGAATTCGGCGAATAATGGCCAGCCACAGAGCCAGTCGATGTTCCTGATGAGTCTGGTCGATTTTCCATCTTATCTAACTTATCCGCAACAACGTTTCGGGAGCGTAGGGTACCACCAAACCCTGAATCTGCTCCTTGAGAATTGAACGAAATTTCCTGCAAGGGAATGTCTTCCTGCCCAGGTCGTTTCTCATCCATAGACTCGGTCGCTATCTCACGATGTTCATCGATACACTCGTAAAACAACATAAATACACCCCCCTGAGAAAGCACATTGCTCTCACTGACTACACTGACATCTGCGTCACTGAGCCTGAACCAGCGTTCCGTGGCCTCCTTCTCCCCATCCGCATCTACAACAGCCTGGGGAACAGTAGCCGGGAACGACTCGACAGAATACTTTCTATAACAAATGTAATGCCCATTCTCGTGTCGCCCGTAATGAGTTATCACTGCCCGCAGCTCGTAGCCCCTGTGAGGAATGTCTGGGTTGGTTCCAGGGCGAGAGAGCATGGACTCTGAAGGTTTCATGCACCAGGACTCTATGACCTCGCCGTGTTCCCCCGCCGATTTCGACCCCAAACACCATTCACCCAGATCCAAAATCTTTGGGAACCTTACATCAGCATAGTTTTTCCGGAGCATGCCGGTCGTTTCGTTGAATACACTCCGGTTCACGTGGATAACAAGAGACTTGGGTGCTCTTGCAATGACTGCTTGTCTTGATTTTGTAGACGAAACACGATTCCGGGCGGGAATATGGCACTTCTCAGATAAAGTCTTTTCAGAGAAGTCTTCATTCTCAAGCGCTTCCTGGACGACTTTTAATCTCGTTTCAGCAGAACTTCGTAAAGCATCCGCCAGCCGAGGAATGCTGGCTCCTTCATCAAGCTCCGCATCTGAATCAATCTGTTTCAAGAGCTGCTCCAGCTGACGTTGGGTTCGTAGAAGTGTACATTTAGCACATTCAACACCATCAATAGCTTCCAAATGTGTATATTCGTCCAAGCAATCTCGAATATCATACTCCCAGTTGGGGCCTAGCGACACCGTGAGGCAGTTAAAAGGAATAATTGAAAGTCCCTCTGTCCATCCACATCGCATACATCCAACGCGTTGAGCGAGGAGGCCCTCGAGTGGGTTGCGGAAAGTGCACGTGTACTCTCCGTACCCAGGAGCCTTGAGTTCGTCGTTGACCTGCCTCCTTTCATAGGCTGGAAAAGGGCCAACCTTATGGCTATTCCGTTCCGTATCAACAAACCTGAGGCCAGCGTCGCTTGTTAGGCCCTTAGAAGCTCGGCGAATTTCTTTATCCACTTGATCAATCACTTTAGAAAAATATTCTTGCGCATCTTGCTGTTGCCAACTGCTCATCGACTTCAATTCCGGAGGCGTCCATAGTTTTCGGCCTCCGTATGAGGGGTTATTCAGTTTGTCAATGATGTCCTTTAGAGCGGTATGAGTGCAAAAGGGGTCGCGATCGCCTAACTCGCGGAGATTTCCTTCCAAAAATTTATCTAAAGCACGAAGCGATGCAAATCCCTGAATGATGCTATTTTGATAACAGGAGTTATCCCAATTGCCAAGTCCGGGGGGGCAAGGTTCCTTCAGCCCCAAAAAGGCCTGTCCTATTCCCGAGAGACTCCTTCCCCGAGGTAGGGATGTGAGAAGTGAATTCGCATCCAAGCCTAGGATCCTCTGCATTGCGGCGCTTTTTGCGGCGTGTCTAGTTCTCCGTGTCCAAGAGGGGGGTGCGTCCAACTCAGAATCCGGTCTAGAAGCAAATTCCTTATCTAAAGCTAATATAATGCGTGAGGGAGTAAGGAAGACGATGAGGTTCCAGGAGGTTTGCAGGAGCGTTGAAATAATGAGATCGAGGTATTTGAAGATGCAGTAGCCCAAGAGCACTAATACTGCAAAGTACGCTATAGTCGATCGGTCAGGTATCCATTCGCCGAATCGGTCATCGCGAGAGTTATCTTTCCGCAGTGTAGTATAAAGGTGGTGGAGACGACGGTGGGAGGAGAAATCCGAAGGGCCGGGCATATTTCATGAGCGAGGCAAGAGGAAGGCACCAGATGCTGTCGAAAAGGAGGCATCGGGCTGTCACAGTGGTTGACCAGAGAAGTCACTAGCTATCCGCATGTTCGGGGCTTGTAGATATGTAGTGTCAGCAGTGAAGCATGGATAGTAAATGACACAGTGAAATTCTGGCATGTGGGGGAGGTCGAGCACTGAGATGAGCTTGATGTTGATGCTGAAGTTGTTGGCGAGAGAGTTGAAGCTAGGAATGACGGGGAAAGTTCCAAATATTAGCCAGAGCGAGGTGGGCGAGATGCCGCTAACCTAATTTGGGACTAGGACCTGCACAAGTGGTCGCTATGCCCCGCTGGGGATTTTATGCACGTTCGTCCAACGCAACAATCCCGCAACCCCTCTAGTGATAAATATGTCATTCAACATAACAAACCCACCACAATCATGGCAAAAACTCCGAAACTGAAGGCAAAGATTACCTGTTAGTATTCCCCAAGACAACTTGTATATGGCTACATACCAGCTAACAAAATCCCCTCTTCTTAAAGCAAAATCCCTTCGCTCAAGGGCTGTAAAGCGAGCCGTTTCTCCAACCGATGAATCGCTATTGAAATCTCTTCCCAGAGCGGAGCCAATCCCGACATTCAAGCCACATGTCCTATCCGCGCAGCATAATGCCGGTATTACAAAGAAGTCCAAATCCAAGCAGCTGACTCGTGCCCAGCGGAGGCGGCAAGAGAAGGGAATGGAACGTGCAGAATTCGTCATGGATAAAACTGAAAAGAAAATAGCCAAAAGTCTTGGTAAAGGGAGGGTTGTGAAAGAGCGAAGGGTGAGGATATTATTTTTTCCTTTCTTTGCTTTTGCCAGTGATATCTTTTTTTGCTGGACTTTTTTTACTTTCCCTTTCGTTTATATGGATAATAAAGCTAATAGAGAAATAGGCGACGTGGGAGGAGATGAATCGTAAGGCCCTTGCTGCACTTGGCAAGCTGGTCTCAGGGGGTGGGGATGAGGACAACGCTGAGGTTATGGACGAAGATGGTGCATCAAAAGGGACATCTACACATAAAGCGATTTCTAAGCCTTTACAACAGGCAGCGCCTGCCCAAAAGTTTGAATTCGAAGAAGATGGAGAAATCACCTAAAGAGGGCTGGCTCTATATACTGTGGTATCTGACATCCCGAACGAACGGAACTAAAAGAAGACAGAAGAAAAACTACCGCATTTGCCAGAGGGTTGGGGGATTTTTCTATTTCCTTGGCCTTAATTGGTTGATCATTCGGTCAATTTCACCCACGGCAAGACCGGATGCTTTCCCTCTGAGCACTTCCAGGCTGTCAACGTCCTTGGCCTTAAGTGCCTCCTCTCCAGCCTTAACCACCATCCCGCACTTCACCCACATCTCGATTCTCTCGCTGACTGGCAGATTGGTGCACTTCGGAATGAAAATTGATGCGAGTTTGGTATTTCCGGCGCTTAGAATTTCATCGTAAAATGGCTGGGGGATTCATGTTAGCATTGACTCCAATATATATAGACTAATGAATGAATGAATATAAAATCATGAGACAAAATAAAAATCAAGAAAAAAGAAGGGAAATAATATTACCTCCCATCCAATCGGAGATTTCTTGGGTTTCGCAAGCTCCTCAAGCTCTCCCCAATCTCGTTTGGCTACCAAAGCCCTCAATCTCACCCACCAAAAAGCCTTCTCCGGTACCTTGAATTCACTTTGTATTTTGTTCGCACGTTTTCCATATCCAGATTTTATTAATCTGTACATAGTTTCGTTTATGCTCAGACCAACAAATTCAGTACTGCCGTCCGCAATATCCTTATCTAGTCCATCTTGAATTTTCAAGAGTTGCGCAGCTTCCGCCAATGATTTCTGATGTGATTGCACGCTCGCATCTTTGGAGTCCACCAACAATCTAGATGCTAATCGTAGCTTGTCTCCAATAGCTTGTGGGTCTGATTGAGCCAGCGCATCTCTCAAAAGTAGGTTTGAACCATCAACTGAACGATCATCCTGATAATACAAATCTTTGAGTAACTCCACATCTTGAGATCGGGCAGATGCCTCCACGAGGGCGGATGCAACAGGGCGAGTATTGATCGTTCGGAAAAATGTTGCCAGGGGAAGTTTCCGTTTAAGCTGCAATAGGACAAAATATATTAGGTCCGTGTCGCCACTTTCTATGGCTTTGTCCAACGCAAGGTTATCTTCTTCCATATTCAAAAGGAGCGGCACCTGCCTTCCTGCTCGTGGCTCGAAATTAAGTAGCTGAGTGGCCAGATGCCCACGACCTTCATCATAGGCAGATTGTGCTATCGTTTCAAACGATATCCCTCGCTTTCCCTGAAGTTTTTCTACAACCATATCGCAAATGGTGTCGTCATCTTCCGCGGAAGTCTTGACCTTTTGGCTAGCCCAGTGGACATAAATTTTATCCGTCGGGAGGCGGAGATATTCGGAAACGCGGATTGCAAGCAGATACTCGTGCCGGTGGGTCAATCGTTCAATCAACTTCTCCGGAGTCAGGCGGAGATATTGTTCGTACGAAATAGGGATACCGATCCGATAGTCGCGTACTGCATTCAGCACTCGCAGACGTTCACACATATCCACAAAGTCGTCACTATTGTAAACATCAATAACCGACTTTCCAAATGATGCTGCCTTTAGGAGCTGTTTTTGCCAATATGTATTAAATTCGTGGCCTGCTGCCTTTACACAGGTGTCGACGGCTTCGAGAAGGTTACCACGGATGTGCTGAATGTTCTCATCAGCTTTCGGGGATTTCTTCTCGAGTAGTCCAACCGAATCAAGGAGAATTGAAGCGGGAGAAGTCGAGCCCAGCCTGAATACTTCTTCCGTAGCATCTATGGGTAGATCAGCGGCCTATATCACTTTCTATAATGTACCTCGACAACATACCGGGGACCTTGTGAATAAATTCACATGCGTCATTGGTGAGCAATCTCACACCGTCAAAATCCGGAATGATATGAACGCGGCCGTCGTAAAAATATCTTGACTGAGGTCAGTTATATAAGCCAGATTGAACAAAATAAATTAGAAGGCCAACCTCGCCGCAGCCCCATTAGGGCCAACCATATGGACTTCGTCCTCCCAAGAGAGGACAACGGAATCATTGCCACACCACACCACGTTGTTTGGAGGTGTTCTGGTCCCGGAATGATATTCGCTAAGTTTGTTTTGGAAGTCGCTGCTTACAACCCAGACTTTGCCATCGTTGGTATACAAGGCGACAAATCGCCCATTGGGAGATACGCTAACATGTTTAAATGGACCGTTCTGTAACATGCGGTCTTCAGCCTCTGTCGCGTCTACAACGTAGATCGTTTGGTCAACTGCAAGGAGGACTTCGACAGAGCGTGAGAGCGTGTAATTGGGTGGAATCAATGACCATGAAGATACGTCGCCTTCGGGAGGAGATGCAAGTAATTTAGGCCGCGGTTCATCATAGCTCGAGACAGCAATGAGCTGATTGTTATTTAAGAGAGCAACGAAACCGTCCGACCAAAAACGGCAGGATTTCACACCATGTTCCTCTGCCACCTAAGGTAAAAAGTTAGACGAAGTCACAAAAGCGCTGGTTAGACACATGCCATACAGTTCCTAGAGAAAATGGCGTAAAGTCCGCATGTAAGCCATAATAACACCGCACGGTGCCATCTTGGGTTACTACAAGTAACCTCTCATCGTCCAACCAACCCAGGCCTCGGATTGATCCATGTTCCCACTAGATCAAATATCAGTATGAAGAGCGGAAACAAATAGAAAAGCTGAGTGCTATCACAAACATTAATCCGACTGATTCGTTTGCCAGAGCAAGAATAAATATCGATAGATGACTTCGCTGTCTCCGCATCTCTGTATCTCTGGAGTTTGCTTTCATCGCGATAAAGAGCTACGCCAGGTATTAGAACAGAACCATCAAATGTAACCAAGTGATTAGGTTTCTAGGCATTAATTCACCTATAGCTCCCCCATATGGAGCTCCAGCGACAATGAAGTTTTCCAACTCAAGCTCCTCGTCAAAGACAGCATCGTACACTCGGACCTTCCTGTAGAATCGGTCTCCCACCCTCTCCCAGTCAGCCAGAGGGTTTGTTGGGGCCATAGGAATTCCAACACCGGCATCAAACGGTGAATTGTATCGTCATTTCATAGGTCCTCTAGCTTTGAACGTCAAAATTGGGCTTAATCATAACATAGCTTGTCATATACAAGCAATACATAGACGCAGCAGAGGTTGATTGGAACATAGCTATCCCGTTTTGGACGATGCCTGGAGGCGCCGTATATTACGTAATTTATGATACCTTAGAATACTCCATTTACAATGGCTGTGGCACGAGATAATAATAGATTACGGTAATAGTAATACAGCCACATGTGACTTCCAACTCCATCCATCTTTCTTTGGATGCGACAACGAGAACGATGACAACAAGCATATGCTGTCACAGCGCCTCTTGATGTTGACAGCTATGATTGTCTGTTTGGAATGTACGCATTGAAGATCAGTCTCCGTATTCAATGGATTATCCTAGCCTTCATGACAGAGTAGAGGACCTGTCCGATATTGAGGTGGTCGTACTTCTCAGTCTTGTTGCGCGAGAGCATTGCATCATCGACACGGAAAGGGAGGTTTTGGATGATTTAGAAAATGAGCTGATTTTGGTATGCAACGGTCCTCTGAAATATATATAATATATATGTTACAAACTAAGTTGACATTCTGTTAGATTGCTGAAAATATCTTTGGCCTTTCCCACGCCACCCTGAATTGCTCGCCTGATACCACTGTGGAGGAGTTCAGTAATGCCATCCTGGCTCACGATGCTGAGAGGCCAGACTATGATAGACTATCGTCATTTACTAGTGGTGAAGGGGGGAGGGTAAGAGTTCCTTTTTCCCCTTTTAGAGCCTGCATGCTCGTTTTTGGCTTGTTACGTAGACGGGTTTCATCACTACCCTACAAAGAATGATATGGCTAATTTTATTGTAGAGCGTTGATCGGCTGCCCTTTGGAGGTGGACGGCTTTCTCTAGACAAATCTAGCTCGCGGGTACGAACAAGCGTCCTCGATGATCGCAAGGTGGTAAATGTTATCGTTGCCAAAAATTTCGATCTGGCACCGGATTATGTCCAACTACTAGCACTCGACGTATGTAAATATTTGGATTATTATCAGAAACGGATACATAGGATACCGGCAACTAAATGAATTGCAAAATTAGCTTATTCGAAATAAACGGATTTATACACGAACCTCTTTCCACAGTGCCCCTGAGACTTTTCTTTTTATTCCACTTGTTGAATCGAAACCACAGGGATTGTCCTCATTGTTGAATCGTCACCTGGTGAGTCCATTTATTCCGAGCTTCTATTCTTTGTGGATCAACCGGATGCTAAACCAAGGGAAAGAATGACCATATTTTTATGTCGTATTACCATGATCCCCAGAATGGATTCATGAATCTCGAAGAAAGCAGCGAGTGGTTTTCAGACGATCAAGGGTCGATATCCTCTGTCATCAGAAAGCCAAACCTGCCTCTGCCCAAGGAGTTCGATGAGCCATATTTAATTCGCGAAGAGGTATGGTGCTTCCTGTTGTATTTTCTTCTAGGTTCCCCCATGCTTGCACTGTGCTAAAGTAAAAATAACTCTAGCACATCAAAACCCTACGGCAACTTAGCGACAATGTGACCTTGTCTGCAGATATGATTAACTACCTTCAAAATATCATTGTCTTTCTCCGGATGAATCGAGGGGTAGCTAGTGGGGTGACTGCTACCTCGACTCGACATTTCCAACTGCTTACCCGGTTAGTCAAGCCTCGTTTCCAGCCATTAAAATATAAACACTGATGTTTATCAGATGCCTTGCGCCCTTACAACGAGTGGATTATGTTTTCCCTTCCTTAGTGGCTCTTGCTGCTAGAAGAGTATATCGTCACCGCATCTACGTAGCCGAACCGGCGAATGATAGAAGTCTGATGTATGGAAGTTCCTTGAAAGCCGTTGACTTGGTACTGGCCGGCGCTTCCCCCGAAATGATCATTGAGGAAGTTTTGGCAGATGTCGAAGCACCTTTATGAATGGCTGCCAGTTAGCCTTTATGGCAATGTCTTATCCAATCATAATAGCCTATACATATTCATAGAAACGAGAGGGAAGCCGAGCCAGGAGCTACAAAAGCGGCAGGAGAAGTTGCAAATACGGGATCACCAAGGCTCTTATCTGGCCCTACCAGCAACTCAAATTAGGCAATTATAACCACAGCTTCAGTAAGTGAGCCCGCTTATTTACCTCAGGATCCTACAGTTCATCCAAAGGTTTATTCTAATTGTTGAGCCGGGGTAATTTTTTCGGGTTTAGAGCTCTACTAGTTTCATTTACTGATACTCATAGGGTCCTAGCTCTATCATACCATCCGAAAGCGAGGCTCTTATGTTTTAAATACCACTGCTTTGATGAGCAATCTAGACTGTTTAACCTATTTCAGTCCCGAAAACTGCACTCACCTATGCCTTGCACACCATAGTTTTTTGAAGAAAGAACCTGCACAAAATTTGTCCGTTTAGATATATTATTATATCTAAGCTACCGTGGCTATTTGATATCCTTCTCCCATCCCCAAGTGCCTGAGGAAGGCTATCTGCTAGAGCGCTTGGGTTTCTTCTTTTCTTCTACAACTTACATGCCCTTCCGTTCCATCTGTGGTTCTTCATAGCAGAAAACTAGTATATATTGTGGCGGTCATCTTTATACAGATGCATGCTCCGCTTGTATGCTGAGGAGTTACTTAACCAGGACATTGATATCAAATTTCCTCCCAGAGGAAGACCCTCAGAGTAATAATGTTTATTATGTTAACAGCTCATGATGAAACAGGCATGAGTGGCCTGTTTTCTCCTCTTAAGCTAGAAAAGAGAATTCATATTCTCAGACTCCTGATTGGGGACTGTTTCTCTTTCAGAAGATCGAAAATGTATAGTGATAGATGGTTATTGTTTCCTGTGAAGACAGTTCCTACTACTTCCAGTGCATTCGTCGCGGGTTGTTGGGGCATAGAACACACACAGCAGGCGCTTCCTATTCCTAACTGCTGGCCCCTTGTTTATTTCTGCGAACATCACATCCCCAACGCACCAGCCAACTACCACGTCGCTATCACTATCTCAATCGACGATACATCTTCAATAAACATACTATAAAACAAGAGCGGGAACACATCATCCATACAACAACGTTATCCTCTACAAAACACATAGCTTAACCAACCATATTCGCTCAAAATGCCTCCCACAGAGCCAGACGATGACTACGATCCATACAGATATCCTATATTCTATGTAAGCCACCATCTGATCATAGAGGCATCACGACTTATGGACAAGAGGTGTACACGCACACATGCTTACCCCTTCTCCCTTTAGCTCCCTGACATTACCCTGGCCGATGACCCGATCCACCTGCCTGCCCCCCTAATTCCCGAATTCCGCCACAAAGACCAGGAATACAAACTCCTCTCTCATCTCTGGCACGTGCAGTTAGGCCACGACCAAGCCCGGCACCACTGGAATATCCAGGCGCTACATGGTTTCTGGCGCACATACGGACCCCGTACGTTTGAGGGCAGGTACTATGGCTGGTCACCGACCTGGATCGTGGACGCACTCTTTTCGCTTCAGAGAGATCTGGAAAAACTGCAGAAGGTGGCGGATAGGATCATGTTGAAAAGGGCACGGATGCGGGCGCAGGCGAGGAAGATCCTTAAAAGGGCGGGTGTACAGGTGGAAGATGAATCGTGGGTGAATGATGAGGAGGTGGAACTTGCTGTGGAGTTGGCGAGGGAAGACGTAGGGGATGAGGGATGTGCGGGGGATGAGGAGGTGATGATCAAAAAGATTCGGAGGGATAGGGAACGGGAGAGGGAAAAGGAGAGGGAAAAGGAAAGGGAAAAGGGGGCCGGAAAGGAGAGAAGGCGGTTAGGAGCGCGCGCGGGAGGGAGGAGGAGAAGCAGATCGAGTGCAAGACTTGGTAGTAGCGACAGCGAAGCTACCAATGAGTCTCCTACGCATAAACCGCCGCCAGCGCGGAAACGACCCACCACGCCTCCTGATTCTTCTGCTATTGACGCTTCGGAGAGTGCCAGGAAGGCGGATACGGTTGCGGATCGTCAGCGGGAACAGGGGCCGAGAGGAGATCGAGAACAGAAGAGTGTGCCTCAAGACTTTCTTTCTCGTTTGACTTGTTTCCGTCTCGGAAACTCTCTCTCCAAGGAGGAAATGACTGGCACTCCGCCACCGATGGACATGGAGATCCAGGTGTCTGAATATGAGGTTTCTTCTGGATTGGATTCAGAACCTGAACAATTGAGAGAACACATGCTGCATGACGGTGATGGTGCAGGATTAGCTTGCCCCAACAACGACGAGTTCATGTATCCTGGCGAGGGTAGTTTTAGGCTTACTTCTCCAACACCGGAAAGTAAGGAGTGAGCCGGGTGGAAACCTGTTACAGGAGCGCTTATTGCTATTTGACCCCTATTGTTTTTCTTTCCTCCGGCTTTCACAAAACCGACCCGATTCTTATCGCTTCTATCTTAATGCGCACCATACCTGGCTTATTTCCCTTAAAGCGATAGATTGTATTGAAATATTGATTTTTAACAACCAAGAATGGGATGGCAGTGGGGAAATATATGCAGAAAACATCCGTTAAGATATCCACCCGTAGACAAAGGTGGAAGCAAAAGCAAAAGCAAACGCAAAATGAAATGAAAATGGGGATATATGCAGTCTAAACACTCACCGCTCACATAATGCATGGACGTCGTCGTCCATATATATCATTCCATCAGCAACAAACGTAACGAAGTAACGTCATATCCCATTCCTCACTCCCTCATCGCGCTCTCGCGTCGCCGTTCGCATCCGTATAAACATTTCCATCGGCTCATACCCTCCAGCATCACCACCACCACCTACAAGTCCATCCTCCCCCCTCACAACCGTGACCTTCTTCCACTCATTCAAAATAGCCTCAATCTCCACCCTCTCATCCTCTACGATAGCATCCATCTTAATGTCATTCCGATCATACCCAAACGGATCCTCCAGCTGCGATCCAATCCCCTCAATCCCATACAGCGTAAAAATAACCAGCGAGACGATCGGCACAGCCCACCAGCCCATCTCATCCACCATGGCAAACGGCAGCACGGCACCAAAGAGCGCCAGCACCTGTTTCTGATGGATGAGGTGCGCGATGGGGATCGGCGTTAGCTTGATGGTCTCCATGCGCCCGTACGCGTCCGTCAGGGCGTTGAGCTGGGCTTGCAGGTTGCTAGCGCCCGGCGCTGAGAACCAGCCGCGCTCCAAGCCACGCTTTATGAAGCCGTCGACGAAAAAGGTTAGTTGGAGGGGTAGACCCAGGCCTTCGTCTTCGTGGGCTTGCATGCCCATGGGCAAGAGGCTGTCGTATTCGGGGTTAAACACTCGCACGCCATCCTCACTATCGTCGCCGTTGTCGCCATCGGCAACGCCGACCCCGTCCCCGTCCCCGTCCCCGCCCGCGCGGGTACGATTGACATTACCATTCCTATCCGGGTGTCGCAGTATCATACTACTCTCCACAGCATGGCTGAGGCTCGCGCTCCCGCCGCCACCATCAGTCGCACCACCCATTTTAGGATTCGGCGCCCAGGCCGCGCCCCATTCGGCGCGTAGGTAATTCTTCACAGCGAATGGAATCGCCATGAGGACTCGGATGGTACGTTCAACATCATTTTTCTCAGCGAGGGTAAGAGGTCCCGCTTGGCTGTTGTAGGCGTGCGTGAGGATTGAGCGGGTCAGGTTGCGGACGGAAGTGTTTATGGCGGAGAGGTTGTTGCGGCCGTCCCAGAAGCGGTTGTAGGAGGTTTGGTTGCGGAAGACGAGGATGAGACCGACGACTATGGAGAGGGAGGGGATCTTAAAGAGTTTTCTATTAGCTTTCACATCTTTCGGCCCGTGGGGAAGGTTTTGAGGTGGAATTTTAGGCTTACGATTGTCGCGGGTAGGCCAAGACGAGTGTAAACGTATTTATCCAGATAGACGACTAAGGCGGTGAAGAGCGCGTGTAGGATGACGGGGATGAGGATCGCGCCGTGTACGGCGCCTTTTATAAAGCGGAGGACCAGAGGCCATCTGTTAAACCAGTCTCAATCTCAGTAAATTTTCAGTTAAATAGTAATTTTCACGAAGCGCGACGCGTTTCTCGAAGTCGGAGTAGTTTTATAAACACTCCTCCTCATTTCACAATTGACCAAAGCCCGCCCGGAGGATGGTCTGTATACTATTCTCCTACATATACGCTATACATGTAGACATCGCAAAACATGGAGTAAAAAATGATATCATACCTCCGTGGCTTCGAACGGCGTGACTTTCGAAACGGAAACGTCCCTCTTCGCAGGTGATGGCGCATTCTGCCACCACCGTTGCCATTTTTAACAGGGCTTTGCGGTGGTGGCGGCTCAGTAAAACGCATACTGCGTAGTCAGGGGGGATATGACCTGAGGAAAGGAGGACAAAGAGAAAAGATAGAAATTGGGTGGCGGGTCGCGTGCGTTTTTCTTTTTTTCTATTTTGCCGTTGGTGGTATTGGGTTGCTTCCAAGCTTCAGGGGGGTTCTTGGGTGGGATTTTAAAGTTACGGGTAAGATTTTAAGCTTAATAAGGGGTCATATTTGGTTCCAGGTGGGCCTGCGGGAGCTTATCTTATCGGTGCAGGTGGTGTGATGGCGAGAGGGATATGTACTCTGTAATGAGCGAATGCAAATTATTAGCAAAAAGTAAGCTGAGAAAAGTTGGAATTTACATTGGGCAGGGCAAGAAGGAAGGATGAGATGTATTTTTCCGCCGTTGTTTTAGAACCAACGAGGGGGTTTTAAAGCCTGGCAAGTATGATGCGGGGAAGGGAGCATGGGAAGAGGGGATTAAAATATGCACAAGTTTTGTGTAGTTAATGTGTTTCCTCTTCCTTTGCTGTGAAATAGCTAACGTATCGTGTGGGGATTGGCTGTTGGTTAGATATTAACTTCACCGCTATTCACCCTACCAGTATAGGAAATGGTCATTAAACATTAGCAGATTCCTCCCTCCACTAGGTCTAATATGAAAAGAGAAATTGAAACAAGCAAATGGGAAATAAATAAATAAATAAAATAAAAATAAAATAAAAATAAAAATAAAACAGAATAAAGAGAGGGCAATAAATGACCATGTTGCGAAACGAGACACCCACACACAAACCAACAAAAATCCCAAGTCCAATGCAAATTCCAAGAAAACATTGTAGAAGGGAAAGATATAATGAAGGTGCCGGCGCGTGGAGACGAGGTTATATATTTATGTAGCGAAAGTGAAGAAGGAAAAAGGGTGAAAAGGGTGAAAAATGAAGTCCTACACATCAAAAACTTCCCAGTTTGCACACTCCTGTGCTCCCAACAGGTTCCTAATAGTGATGAACAAGAAAAAAAAAAAAGAAAAAAAAATATGAACGGAAAGGAAAGAGCAAACTACGAGGAGAGACATAAAGAAAAGAGCTAAGAAAGGCATATAAAATAGGATCACGCCACCATTGTCAGGCTAGCCTTATCCCAGAGGACTTCTGTGTTGTTGTGTTGATGTTCTCGATGTTTGGGTTTTGAGAAGAGAGGAGGGATGAAGAGCAGAGTACCATGTAGCCAAAGAAGCTATGTTACTTGGGGATGATGGGGTGGATGGAGATGGGAGGGTTGAACCATGCTTTATAAGAGCTAGACCAACCAGATTAATCGTTCATTCAGGTAGGTGATGCGGTGAGAGTTACGAGCGCATAAGAAACGTAAGAAAAAGTTGTTCAATACCTGAACCCAGGCGACTAGCATATAAATGAAGCACGTAAAGCGGAACCAAAGGGGAAATAACATGACGCAAGGTATGAAGGGGGGAGAAATAAAGCAGCAGGAACGCCATCAAAAGCAAACAAAGGAAACCAAACCATCGTAGAATGCTACAACCGGCCAGCACGGCCGTCAAATGCTAAGGGTCCAAAATCATTCCGCGGCGTTAATGGGGTATCTTCGAACACATCATTTCCACCTCCACCACCACCACCACCATCCCCCTGGGGCTGCAGTCCTCGACGACCACCCACAAGCCGTAAGCATTGCGGTATATCGATGTTAGAACTCCGCGATAAAGTCTCACCAATTCCGTTAGTCGCCTGCTCGCTTATTCCATTTGTCATCGCCATGTCAGAATCTCCATTCACGTTTCCGTTCGCGGTTGCGTTTGCGTTCGAGCTCACTCGCCTCGTAGTACCGTTTTCGGCTCGGGGGGTGGCTATAGGGGCCTCGTCAAGGTTCATCATGTCGACTGCACCAGCTAGGCGGTCCTGGTCTGCAGTTGACGGTCTATGCTGGCCATTCGGGGCGGAGGAAGGGGTCCTCTCCCCTGTCGAATTGCGGGCGGCTGGGTTTGTGCTATTGTTATTGTTGTTATCACTGTTGGGATAGTCTTGTGCAGGCTGGTCTCGGGATTTGGGAGGTTCCGGATGGGCCTCGTCTTCAAAAGGGTCGTTCGAATCGTCTACTTCTGCACTGAGATCTGTGTATGCACGACAGTTTGGGCATTGGAACATGGGGTATTCAGGCGAGTGGATGAGGCGGCGTATGCACTTGTAGTGCCAGACGTGGGCACAAGCAGCCATAAAAAGACATTGATATGGACGCTGTATTATTACCACGTTAGTTTGAAGCAACAAATGGCGTTTAGCTCGATGCGGGGAGAGGAGGGGGAACGGACCAACACTGAACCAAGACAGATTGAGCATTCCCTGCTACCCGCATAATCTGCTGCATTTTTCCCCTTCCCCAGGTTATTGATTAGAGCCGCTGTATTTTTACTGTTGGTAACCCGCTTGTTAGTATGAAATTACCCCACATCCCGAAAAATTACCAGTGCCAATTGCATGGACTAGGAGCAGAAAATACAAATAAATAAACGTACTTAAACTCATTTGCCTGTTTCTGCCATGACCGATTGCATTCGATCCGCATCCGTACGCATCTAAAGATCATTTCCTCCCCGCCCCTAAAGTCAATTCCTAGCTGCAGAATATCGCCATCTCTAATGGCATACAGCCTGGACGCCATGTTGGGTTGGCTCAGCCGCATGTGGTTCAGGAAAGTCCCTGACGAGCTCCCTACATCTCGAATATGCCATTGTCCATTAACGAAGGAAAACTCGCAGTGTCTCCTGCTCACAACTTTGGATTTAAAGCCAACGGGTGCATCGGATGGTTCCGTCGGATTGTGAACGGGAATGCCATCCCGCTCTGAATACCGGCCCACTCGAATCACGGAGGAATCATCTGGCAATGTCCGGGAGGTGGTTGTGAAAGGTAATGATGGCCTTGAATTCTGATGGGGGTCCTGATAGGCATAGAAACGTATCGTAGGCTTTGGGGGATCCGATTTCGAACCGACATCTGGGGAAGGCTGGGGAGTAGTGTCTGCCCGTCTACTGGGAGACCCCATATTCCCTGGCGAGGTGTTCTGAGCTGTATCAGCCGAGCTTTTAGGACGGGTCTCACTGAGATTATTCCGAGCACTCGAAGGCGTTGGTGACGAGTGCTGCGACAGGTCCTGGTTGGCTCCGAGCAGATCTATGCGTGGCATATTCCGATGTCGTACCATGCCGGATACTAGCTGCGGCTCTGACGACTCCGGGTCGTTGGACGGGGTAGAATGTGAAGAAGCAGATGAAGAGGGAGCGTGGGAGTGAAGGTCTGAGCTGGACGAGCTCTCACTTTGTGCGGAAGGGGTCGTAGAGAGCCTTGAAGCATCAGTCTCGGGACATGGGTGGCGGATAAGTGCTGATTCGGTGGGAGAAGCTGTAGTAGTAGTGGTCGTAGTAGCTAGACGGTTAGTAGTTGTAGAAATAGCAGTAGCAGTGTCAGTAGTCGGTGCAGCGTCTGCAGTAGACGAGGCTGAGGGAGCAGCAGAGTGCGATGACAAGCCAACAGCCCGGGTCAGGCTATTTCGATATGAACGGTGGCCGCTGGAATGAGCGTACGCCCTGAGGTTGCTCAAGCGGCGTAGACGACTGGGGCGCGAGGACGAGGACTCGGAGGGGACCGTGGTAGTAGTGGCGGAGGGAGAGGACATAGACATGAACTCGAACTCGAGCAGGCTGCAATAGACGATTCCCGCTGCTGTTGTTGCTGTTGCTGGAGTTCAGGCGATGTACATGTACATACAGTACAAAGGGCGGACAAATAGATCCTCGTGAGGCGGACTGTAACTATTGGCGGGTATTTATTTAATGAAATAGAGCGGGGAGAAGGCACAATTCGGGGTTCAAGCCGACGACGAAACAAGGTGGAAAAATGAAAACACAAGCAAAGAGGACGACGCCACACGGAAGAAACCAGCTGAGGATTGTCGCTATCCAGCTGGCGAGGGTTGAGGAGGCTGGTGGGAGACGCTAGAAGGTGTTGAATGGACGAAGTTGAGTAGAGTTGAGGACATTTCGATGTAACTAAAATAAATATTTGGCTTTTCTATCCAGCACCAGAGGGCAAAACTGCATATCCAGCCAATGCGTGCACATAAATACATGTAACTATGTATGTACTGTACAAGGACTCGCACTTAGGGAGTTGGGGCCTACAATGGCGGTAGTGAATTTATTTTTTATTTAATATGACCGCTCGTATTTTTGTGTCTGTCTGTCTGCAATTTTTCGCCCTTTCTCGCGCCCTCGGGAGCCGCTTGACGTTGAACATGGTCTAAATAACCGGTCTGGTTGACCCCATGTGTGAGTGATGCAGATACATATTTTACCATATAAATCTCTGCTGGTCGGGCGGTCTACGATGGAGAAATGTATGAAGGATCTGAAAATTGAAAACCCCTTCCTGTTCTTTAAATAATCCCGAGTTTGACTGATTGTTATTATTAGTGGTGTGATATTAACGGGTGCTACCACTTCTGCTCCACCAAATCGCAAATCCCAGGGAGCAAGGCTCCTCCTCCTTATCGAGCGTGGGAAACCGCAAGAATTCCCCACTATTTGGCCAGTTCAAGCCGAAGGGGAGCCCTAGAGTTGCTTGCTTCAACCGCTGCTCAATAATAAATAGCTAAATACTACCAAGCCGCTAAACCTAGCTTAGCTGCACACTACCAGGGCATGTCGCTGGGGCCTGTCAATGCTGTCAATTACTGTCATTCAGACAACCAGGTTTAATCAAAAGGATTGAAAATATCAACTGACCTTGCACAGACCCTGGCTAAAGGCAATTTTATTAGCGCCTCATTCATCCTAGCGTTCATAAGCTGTGCGGAGAGTTAGCCAGTGAGATGCTAAACTCAAAACGTCATACTGACGAGAGAAACCGATTGAACTCTTGGTACCAAAATAGAAGGAGAAGACGATGCAGCCGCGCAGGGAGCCGCAATTGCAGCCGACTCATACCTAGATACCTAGATACAGTACATGTACAATCCGCGGTAGAAAATATACCACCTTTGCAGATATCTGGAATAATGGAATATCATCTTCATATTCGTTCCACTTCTAAGCATCTTAACACCAGGATGTCAAACAGCTCAGTGAGGGAGAATTGATACAAGGAAGGGGATCTCCCCACTCACACGCCCTGCCAAGTCCATTTTGCCTATAGCTTCGAATCAAGATGTCATCTGTATAAGAGTGGCAAACGCAACATGCTTGCGAAAGCTGGTGGTGGCTCGTGGATTTGTTAATCAGAGAAAGGTATCTTCCAATGTGGCTCATTTTCTCGAGGCGCCAAAATTATGTGAAATACATGGGATATATAGCAATTATATACAAAAAAGAGCAGCCAAAACCCACAATGCTGAGACATCTGAAATGAACCCTGGCATGACCACACCCTGGGGCCAATTAAACACCTACCCAATAGGCCGTCAAAAAAGCCACGTGTGACAGCACTACATATCTCCCCATCATTCACGACGAGTATAACACTGACACACCAACACTCTTCCATCCATACGAGCTCAGCCCACCAGCAGCACCGGGCCCGCTCGCAGCAAGTGAAGACGCATATGACAGCGACGACCGCGACTTCGGTCCCAGCGCAATACCAGCACTCACAACGAGCTCCTTAACCCGGCCTTCCCACAATGCACGGATATTCCAGGACTGGTCGACCCGGACCTTAATTACCGAATCGGAAGCGTGGGGACGCTGGGGATGATGGTGCATGTCGTGGTCGTCGCGCTGGATGCCTGGAAGACCATCACGCTCGGGATGTACGGAGACTGCAGCGTCCTGTAAGCCCATCTTGCGTCTCGCCCAGGTCAAATCATCTACAGCAAAAAGCGGAGAAGAGTTTCTCTGCAACGTGTGTAGCTTTTTGCTCCGGCGCCATAATTCGCAGCCGGCTACCATCTCGCTCTCCCAGCTATAGACGTTGAAGCCGAAGCGGGAGCTGAATGCGAGATTTGGGGAGGCGAGGAGTGAATATGTTGTTGACATGGAGCCGGTTAGGGGTGTTAATGTCAATGTTAGAGTGTAAGGGAATGTGGAATGTGGGTTTTCGGTGGCGGCGGGTAAAGTAGTAAATCGCAGACCGGTAGATAGACCTACGACGGAAGAAACGGGAGAATAATATACCTCCCCGCCCGCTGAAAGGAGAGAGAGTAAAGACCGGCATGGCTCCCGTGCGGGGTCTCCTCCGTTCTGGTTCTGCTTCCTCGGATCCGGCCCGAAGTTCCAAAGCCCCTTGAACCCAAATAGTGCATTGTCCGTACTGAACAGAAATTCTGAGTTGTATTTTCCAGTATCATATAATATCTGAGTAACTAACGTTGCCTGGGGTGCGGACTTGGATGCGGGAGCCCGGCTTGAACAAAACGCAAGAGAGAGTTGGGTAGTAGGCGATAAACGGCGGAGGAATGATCCTGTGAGCGTAGTCGGAGGCGGGAGATGCAGTGTCGCATGTAGTAACGTGGCTTTTTTCTTCAGGTCCCCCTCGGTGCCTCCGATAGCTAGATCTCCGTCTCGCCCATCTGCTGCCGGGAACGCAGGGGGAAGAGAAGGGGGGTAGATCTGTCGGTAACCTGGGACAAGTTTGCGGAGCGGTATTAAAGTGCTTCGGCTGGGGGTATCGTGAAGTGGAATTGTAGTGAATAAATAGGATATAGAGCCATCTATTAATCCCACCGTGCCGAGGGTATACGTCGTCGCGAAGTGGGGGGTTGAAAGTGAAGATAGATTCACCTTCAGCCGTTCAGGCGTAGAGAAATCGAGGAGCGCTGTAAAAATGATGTAAGCGCACTGTTCATTCTGAATATGATACCAGGTAGACGAATCACGGCAGAGAAGCTTTCTGTGACAACATACCATTCGCCGTAGTTGTTAGCTGTGAGTAGGAATTGTCGCGGTTCCACTTGGAAGCATCGTAGAATGCAAGCTGGATGTAGTCCATGAAATCACGCATGTTGGGAATTGAGAGATGGTCAGCACCGAACTCTATGGGTTATTCATCGGCGCGCGAGGAGCCATGCATGTACGTAGGAATGGAATGGCTAATATATAGAATATCTATTGCATCCCTTTTCCGTTTTCCGTTGACTCTCTGATCGCATCGTTCGCTCCTCCGCGCCAAAAGATCGCGATGATTGCCAGGCTAACGCTTATCTAATTGTTAGCTTATTTCCTAGTTAGGACTAGCGTTATCTGCCCCGTATCAACGTTGTTCCGTCAACGGCGGAACGTTTAATTTTTGATATCAGGCAAAAAAAAAAAAAAGGGAAAATCTATAAAATATAAAGCAGACGAGAGAAAAAATTACTAGAGAGGAGAGGGAATAATATATATATATATATATCCGTTCATCTGGTTCTTCAGTCTCTCGATTTCCCATAAGCCAAGGCGCGACAGCTTCACGAGTACACCTGCACACGCACACGCATACGCACACACAAAAACACATACTCGCACATCATGCCTATCTCCAAGCGGGCGCGGTTGGTCCATGAGTCCAAAGTCGCCAAAAAGTCTCACAAGGAGCAGACTAGACGGTTGTTCGCTAATATTCAAACGGCCGTCACTCAATACGATCATATCTTCTTATTCTCGGTGGATAACATGCGGAATACATATTTAAAAGACGTGAGGACTGAGTTTTCTGATTCCCGGTATGTAGTAATATCCTATCCCCTTACTCGACCTAAGACAAATATATATGTGTGCATGTATATCTAACAACCCCCCAGCCTCTTCTTCGGAAAAACAAAAGTAATGGCCGTCGCCCTCGGCAACACCCCCGAGACCGCCTGTGCCCCCAATCTCGAAAAACTATCCCCCTACCTAACCGGCGCCGTCGGCCTCCTCTTCACCTCCCGCTCTCCCCAATCAGTCCTCGATTTCTTCGACTCATTCCACCCCACCGACTTCGCGCGCGCCGGCACCGTCACGCCCCGCTCCTTCACAATCCCCAGCGGCATCGTATATTCACATGCGGGCGAGGTGCCCAGCAACCTGGACGAGCCGCTCAGCCACACGATTGAGCCGACGCTACGCAAGCTAGGTGTGCCGACGAGGTTGATTGCGGGTAAGGTTGTGTTGGAGATGGATGGGGATGGGTATCAGGTGTGTAAGGCTGGGGATACGTTGGATTCGAGACAGACGACGTTGTTGAAGATCTTTGGAGTGGCGGTTGCGGAGTTTAGGGTCGAGATGAAGGCACAGTGGAATCGGCAGGATGGGTCTGTTGTTATTTTGGAGAAGGATCAGGATATGGCGGATTGAGCTTGACGGTTAACGGTTAACGGTTGACGGGTTGAATTTTATTTTTTTTCCTGGCTGGGGGTCGAGGGGTTGTTAATATTGTGGAGGATAGAAATGGGAATCTGAAGTGGCATGATCATGGAGTTTGAGTAAAGGCGTTTGTGATTTTCGTTTTTGTTCTTTCTTAATCTTACTTTTACTTCTTTGCATTTCCTCTCGCCTGCTTTCTATGGGATTACTGACTTTGGGGATGCCATTCTTGGGAAGTGCGAAGAATTCAAGATGCGAAAAAGAATTTCCCTATATAAAAATAAACCATGATGACAGCCTTCTTGCTCTACTATGAGTCCCAAATTACCTATCATGAGAAATGTTCAATGTGAGTACCAGTCAACGCAAAATAAAAACCGTAGATATCAAGACAGACAAAAGAATATAAGCACAACCATAAGCAAACAGAGCTATTCGCACAACTTGCGAAAGATCAATGCGAAGAATATTTGGACTAGCCAAATAGCCTTACCCGATCTTACCTCGAACTTCCTTTAGTAGCACCATTTCTTTCTCTTTCACCCTCATTCATCCCTCGTTTCTTTCTTTCTTCTGTATTCATTCCCAAACAGCTCTCCTAAAATACATACTTACCCACCAATAAATACAACAAGGAGCGAAACAAACAAAGGAAATCGGGAAAAGGAAAGGCCCGGTGCCACTTAGGTACGGGGAAAAAAGGAGAAATATAAGAAATCATACAAAGCCATCCAATCGAGCCGACAAAATATGACCTAGTGGGGGGGTATGGCTACGGATCGATTGATGGCGAGAAAATAAAATATTCTATGAAAAGAGTTGCGGGCGTGCAGGGATCGCAATCGGCGTGGTCGTCATCTTGGATAGTGGAAGATTTTATAACAATACCAGACCAACGGATAAATGGTTGTTTTCGCGAATACCTCCACCTTACCCTGGACGGACGAAATTGGGTCAAAGAGAAAATCGAAGAACTGAAGATACCCACCAACAAACCGTCGTTGTAGAATGAGAAGATAGGGTGTTCAGTATCTCCTTTTGCTCCGGGGGTCATCGTAAGCGTCGCCTTCGTGATATCGTTTTCGCGAATACTCATCATCCCGTCGCCCATACCTATCTCTATCCCGATCGCGATCGCGGTCTCTGTCTCGGTAATCACGGTCTCTGTCCCTATCTCCCCCCCTACCACGGTCTCCACCCCGGTCCCGGTCCCGGTCCCTGTCACGATCACGGTCACGGTCACGGTCCCCAAATCCATCACGGGGTCTTACCGGCTCACGATTGCTTCCAGTTATACCGCGAGCTTCTCGTTCATGCCTACCACCTCCACGATGTCCTGCTCTATCATCATAGGCACCACCTCGTCTAGAATCACCATACCCACCCATGCCATCATGCCCATTTGCACCACCTCCATAGCCTCCACTGCGTCCCCCGCCTGGACCTGAAGGCGCATTTGGCGGTGCCTGGCCACCAACTCCATTAGAGGCGCCAAATGCGCTGCGGCCACCTGGCCCGCCCTGGTATCCAATACCACCTCGTCCACCAAATCCACGGTCACCACGGAACCCACCACGGAACCCACCTCTCCCGCCAAAGCCACCGCCGCGGAACCCACCTGGACCGGAGGGCGCGAAGCCACCTGGACCCATTGGACGGGCGGGCATGGATTTGGTATATCCTCTCCCACCTAGACCACCACCAAACCGGCGTGGCTTCCAGCCTTTCACCGTACGACCGCGCTCAACATCGACTAATACGCGGCGGTCTTTGATACGGATACCATCTGTCTCTTTGTAGGCCGCTACACGTACCCAAGTAAATTCCCGATAGCATTAGTTATGGATCTGATTACCTTGCCTCATTGCTCCAGCGGGGATTGTTGAAGGGGGGAAAAAGAAAGAAAACGAGTCCACTAGGAAACTTGATGGACGGGAAAGGGAGGGGATTTTGCAGTGCTTGGGATTCTGTACCCTTCATATCCTGCTCACGCTCATAGACGATAAAAGCATAGCCTCTGTGTGGTTTCTTAGGGTTCTTCTTTGGATTGTGAGTATCTACGACAATTCGAATCTAGGAGGTACGTATGTGCATATGTCAGCTCTTATACCCCTATTTTCTTTCAGGGAGTACTTTGCTTGTGGAATGAGCACATACCCGTTCGATCGGACCGAAACGGCCAAACTCCCGTTCCAAATCAGCTTCTGTCACATCGTAGCTAAGCCGCGACACGAACAGCGTCTTAAAAGCATCACCTCGGACTTGAGGGTCATTATTGGGATTATCTGTCAGGTTCGAAAAAAAGAAAAGCGCGTCAGTAAGACTCTAATAGATATTTATACTTTATACCCAAGGGGATTTCATAGTTTAAAAAGTTTGGAACACATACACTCCTTAAGACCCTCAGTAAGATGTTTCTCAAGCTTTGCTTTCTTCTCCTCTTTCAGCCTCGCCTTCCGCTGAAGCCAGCTCTCAGTGGCATTGTAGGGCACCTCTTCGCCATATTTCTGTAGCTCATCGACGAACTGTGCCACTCCACCGATCTTGCTTGGTTCTATGTCATCTGGGGCGCGATCAGCAGGAGGTATATAGCGCAGGGGAGGACGAGGCGCGAAGAGCGCGAGGAGGTTTGGCGGAAGCTTGTCTGTCATGGCTCCTGCACACGAAGCGCTGTCTCTCCAGAGATTAGGGCGACAGTATCTTCCCCGCCCCTTATCCGCTAGCAGGATTTGATGGGTCTTAAGGATAGCGACTCAGCACGCGGAGAGATGTGGTGTTCAGAATAGACAGGCGCCAACATTTGCTGGTTGCTCCAATCCGCTGCAGAAATGACTTTTGCTTGGGCGAAGTGCTGAATAAGGCATTTAGGCTGGGCGCCTGGGCGCCTAGGCGGTTATTACTATATCGGGTCTAGCTCAAGAGATGCCCGATGACTAACACTTGTGTACTCTCCAGCCAATCAGCGTCTATTTCGCTCTTGGGCATCAAAGTCGAACATTCGAACCAACGGAGTTCCAACACTATCATTGCTTGGATGGTGCGATAGAAAACAGCAACCGCAGCAATGCCTATCCAAGGAATCCGAACAGTGGCTACCAGCCGAGTATGTGTTATTTCGCTCTCTACCATGAAGAATTCTCCGAGACTAATGAAATTCAACGGCGCAGAATGGCGTAGGCGCCTTTATCCTCCAATGCAAACGGCTCGACTTTCATTATTGCGACTGGGCCGGTAGCTCAAGAGGGATGAAGTGAGTTCCGCCCCAGTTTCCCCAGCGAAAGAAGCAAAAACAGAGGAGAGAACACACAAAGACCATTCAGGCAGAAACTCGGAGCCTCGAGAGTTCGGAGCTTACGATCCCCCTTCCACCCACCTAGTGCATTTCTCAAATACACCCTCCCCTCCTTCGCCGCCGCAAACCCACAGATAGAAATCCGCGTATCCCCCCGACCGAAGAAACACCCCGTGATCAAAGGTCACTACATCAATGGCCGTGAAAAGGCCGTGTGCGTCCGCAACCTCGAGAAAGAACAGATCCTAGCGAAGGCGTTGCTGCTCAAGGAGGCTAGCGGAGAGAAGTTGAGAAGAGTCAGGAAGCCTGTGTCCAGTTTGAATGAGAGTGTGAGAGGCATTTGGAGTCCTTATCATGGCGATGTCAAGACGGTATGATGTGGGATGGGACGCGGTGGGATTACGAACGGCTATATGTCATGTTTGGTGGTGTGGTGAGTCCACGCCGGCCGCGCTGGTGTTTGAAAAGGAAATGGGCTTTATGAACGATTTCACAGACCAATAAGGTCAGGATCTGAGCGATTGTGCATCGCTATTGTTTTATATATATGTGTGCATTTTGCATTTTATTTCGTTGTTTGATTTGGAAGTATATTTACTTTTGTTCTGGATTCGATGGGTCACATAGACTGGAATAATGTCTTGTATTTCTTTATATGTATAATAGAAGCTTTAAAAGGGTTAGAAGAGCCTCCAGTTGACGAGCGGTTCATCTTTTCCTGCGGTACATCAGCTACTAATCACTCTATGTATTACGCTTCAGGCGTCGTAACAATAAAATACTTCGTAAAGAAGTAAAAATGCACGGGATTCAACAAATCATAGAAATCAGGGGCATGTAACACCGCAGCTACAATAAAACAATTTCTCTAAAATCCTAATGTGCCCTAGTCCATAAAATGGTATATATGTACAAATCATTATGCAGTTCCATACCCTCGCTATGCTTGTAACAAAAAGAAACCAAAGGGAAAGGTATAGCAACAAGGGGGGGGGGGGGGAGAGAAGAAGAAAAAAGAAGAAGAACAGAGCTAGAGATAGATTTGAAACATCGCACGTGGTTGGCTAACCATCTTGCCGCAGTCGGGTACGACACATTTCGCAAATGGTTTCGTTTTCGGAGAGTCGGCACTGTCTGCCCGCTTTCTCGAACGCGCTCGGTATTTCGTACATTGGCCACAATAAACCTATGAATATAGTTAGTGAATGCTGTTTAGATAAAGGCAACGAACGTGAGGCCGCTGAAGAGAAAACAGAGGGGCAGAATCAATCGTACATGTCCACATGGCTTAGCCACCCATATTTGCTTCTGCACTGCATCATCACCAGTCCCTAGTTCGTGGTCACAGTTGGGACAAATCACAACCTCATCCTCCCCGACAGTCGTTGTAAACCCTGGAGGCGGCGCTGACGGAGCCACATACGCGGGTGTTCGTCGTGTCTCGCCCGACCCGAATCCGGCCGTTCTGTAATTCAATTCAATGGGGAAATCATCCTCCACTTCAACCTGAATGGGCCGTTCCCCGAGCCAAAACGGAGAAATGTTGGTAGGGAAAATACGTGCAAGGTTGCGGCTCCTCAAGCTCATTTCTTCTCGGATTGTTTGCTGCCGCTGCAAGTATGAGGAAGGCGGCCCGCTTCCGCGAATTCTCCTAATCATGTCCACGAGACTAGAGCCTCTTAACGTAGGAGGGGCTTCTCGATTTCGGTGGCTATTCTCATTTTGACGAGTTTCTTCCGCCGGCCGTATTTGAGTGCCTAGGAACTGTACTTCTGGGCTTGAATACTGTTGGGGCTCGTTTGTAGTTGACTCTTCCTCCAGATCAACAACATCTGCCATAATATTTCTTCCAAATCGAGGTGGACGTGAATTCCTGCTGGCTGCTTGTCGTAGAGGTGTCTGAGTGGCTCTGTCTGACAGAACGTGATCAGGCTCCTCTGTCAAATCGATAACGTTATCTTGTTGAGGGAGAGGAGGGGGAGAGGAACTAGGTGCTGATGCGGTCGCCATGACTGGTCTTCTGAAATCGTAGCCGTCGCCTGGAAATCTCAGGTGTGGTAGGGGTGGAAGTGTTGGTCGATGGCTGGAGAAGACCCGGGACCCAGGATTCGAATTCGAACCAGACGGCTCTGCGTAATCCCATGGAGATGTGCTCCGGCTTTCAGAATGCGAATTTATCATCTCATGGTGCGGTCGCTAGAAGCAATCATGAAAGCAAAAGAGTTAGCTAAAGGTGATATCCCAGCGGTGGTGGTGAATGCTAGCAGGGGCAGTGGATAAAGGTAGCGGAAGTGACGAGGGAGGATAATGCTTACTTTTCTCGACTGTCGGGCAGTCAAAAGTTGAATACTCGGGTCTCCATTCATGATAAACACTTGACTAGGAGAGAGAGTAGCAAAAGGGTGTGGTTGAGCGTGAGGTGGTTGGAAATGGGTGAGGGGTCGGAAGAAGGGTTGTCCAGGTCAGAAGTGGATGTTCAGATGGTTGCAGCGGCGGCGGTCGTTCAGCGGTTCCCAGCCTATGTCTTGGTCGAGCTTTCGCCGAAGATATGTACCAGCCGCCCCCAACCAGTGGCAACCACAGAACTGGAGAAAAGTAACCAGGATGGAAATCCCTGGCCGCGGCTCAATGGGATAACTAAGCGATCGAATCGCGGCTTACATTAGTCAAATCTGCTCGTATTGAAAAAGGTGCGAACACCTTGCTTGGAATTTATATAAAGAACCCTAGAAATTCACGAGTGTTTATTGACTAGACCCTAGGCGCCAGCATTTTCACACAATGAAAATGGAATATTAGAATACAAATGACTGAAGAAACAGGATCCTGTTATCATGGCTTTGCTTCCACCACTGTAAGAACGCCGTCGCCGTTCAGTGCCACAATTCCCTGCGCCGATTTTCTCCACTCTGCTGCAACAGCGAGTACCGCGCTTCGCAGAGGCTCTGACCATTTTTTGGACGCTTTGGTATATTGCTGTACTGTCACTCCGTTCGGGCCGCCAGTCAATAAAAATTGTCCAGTGTAGTCCCAGCTAATGGAATCGACACGGTTTCCTGTTTCTAGCACCTTGATCTCCGCTGACTTGCGCAAATCCCATATCGAAACCGTGGTAGAGTTTTTAGTCACGGATGCTAGCCAGGTGCCATTCTCTGAGAAGAACAGAGCTTTGAGCGGACTGCCAGCACTGAAATTAGCTGCGCTTGTTCCGGTTTTGACGTCGAAAATTTTAATTTGGCCGTCAGCACCACCAGCAGCGACAAGATGGCCATCAGGGTGGAACTTAACACAATTTAAGGCTACAGGATAGCGTTAGCAGATAGTAAAATATAATTCAACAGGGTAAATACGTACCGGCGTCACTGTAAATTTGGGCAATGACAGAATTGGAAGTAAGATCGTAGAGAACATAGCTTTTATCCACGCCCACGGACGCAATGATATCGCCCGTAGCGTGTGTTGCCAATGAAGTAGCCTCCCCGGCATGTGAATTGAAGGTGGCAACCTCCGTCCCGTTCTCAAATATTTTTACTGAGCCCGCGGAAGTCGCAACAGCTGCCTTGGCCCCTATCCATACAGCATCCGTGACAGCACCCCCCACTTTCAGAGATGATACTATCCGCTTCTCAGCCAGCGAATATATACCAGCTACACCATCAACACCCCCAACCAACGCGAGATTACCCGAAGGATCGAGGGATAAGGTCTTCCCGCCGGGATAAAGCGCCTCAGAGCAATCAGTGGGTTTGAACTCTTGTATCGTTTCTCCAGTAGCCCATTCTTCTGGAACTGTCCGCTTGCGGCGCGTTTTCGATAATCTATGCTACATTAATACCGGCTCTGGTCACAGCCTAAGTTATAAAGCAAAAGAAAACATACTGTTCTTGTGTGGCATCTATCCTAGCAATAACAGCTGGCGGCAAGCCAGTGCTGTCTACTTGCATAGCATCGCCATTGCTCGGAGCGCGACCTGCACCGACTGTCACTTTTGACAAGGCGTCACGAGCCTCATCTCTTTCCTTTGTTAGTCTTGCGATGACCCTGACGGCTGCATCGTGTTGGTATAGCGCGGTACTGAGCTCTTGTCGCGTCTGAGCCAGGGTTTGTTTTAGAGTATATGTTTCAAGTGCGAGGGCATCCCATTCTTCTTGGAAGACTCCTAGGAGGGATGGAATGGATGTGAGGGTAGGCGGGCGCGGTCGAACTACGCGGGCTGATTTGAGTTCTAGTAGGTCTTCGACACTAAGGTCTTCTCCAGTAACAGGGTCTTTGCCATTCTCCGAGATGTATGCCTCGATGAGACGCTTCTCGAAGACATTACCTGCGTCAATTTTAGCATGTTAGCTCCAGTTTGAAGCCGACCGATGAGCAGAGCTACGTACCGCTCTTTCGCGAAACCACAGGCACCTGGGGAGCTTCTCCGGAGACTAAAGGGAGAAATTAGCAAGCGTTCAAGACAGTTAAATAGGCTAAACAGTAGACTCACTTGCGCACAGCATGGTTAATTGGCTTGTTCAGACAGGGAATTAGCGTGAGGAAGCCGTCAGAGAGCTGTCGACGTAAATAATGCCGTTGGTTTGGTTGAGTTTCTTCGTTTCTGCGAAGCCGGAACATAAGTGGCTCCGCTCCGGCGATCAGATAAGGAGCTATGGACATCCACCGCAAGGGCAACTTGTACTGTACTAATATCTTCTAAAACAACCGCAAAATGCCTAACTATTTAACCAGGAAGCCTACGCTATTACTACTAAGACTCATATGACGTTCACTCTATACAATTTTTATTCCCTGATACTCCTGACCGCGGAAAACTACTTCCCCGCTAGGATAAGAGGACCTGAAGAGATGAATGGTCTTCCAACGCTCCGCTCCTTGCACGCCTAAACACTTAAAAGTCTCAAGGATCCTTTTGACCCTCATGTACATCTACCTATAATGAGTTTCAATGCAAAGAACCTAACTTATGGTATGCTTTGCCCTGGTTGTCATCGACCTCCCTGTCGACAATTCTTAGGCCTTCTTCTAACAAGCATATATAGAGAAAAACGAACCTGCATTTCTTCGAAAGCTGAGAAGCCAATACGGTGATGGAAGTGGTTTTCGCAATGATAGACCAAGCCCACGTCCTACCAAAAAAAAGGATGCTGATGATGATGACGCCCCTACATACGTGGACGAGGCAAGCAACGAGATAATTTCCAAGGAGGAATACGATGTGTTGGTGAGAGGGGACAGCGACAACAAAATAGGGGAAAGATCTGGAAATAATAGAAATGAGAATGAGAAAACAAGGTCAACAAATGATACAGGAGATGGCGTTGACCAAGGAGAACGGCAAGGCCCCAAGGCCAAACGAAACCAACATTTTGCGGAGATTGGTGGCGCAAAGAAACGAAAGCAAGCTAAAGTAATTGGAGAGGATGCGACTGAAGATGCCACCCGAAAACCTCCAGCATCACGGAAACCGAAGCTGAAAAAGAAGATTAAGCTATCATTTGAACATACTGACTGAGATTCAAAATATGTTTAACATCGTATTTACCAGTACAGATTGCCTGTATGCTGAACCCTTTTAGGTAGTTTTAGACATATAAAGCACATGAAATTGAAATTTAATTAGCTTCGTTATTCTATTCTACCAGACCCCGTTCATACTTCTACCGCAACATCACAACACTACGGTGGACCACGCGACTCCATAGCGCATGGTGGCACCGCCGACGCAAAATGACTAATCCGCATATAAAAGGCTCATCGTAGCTACACAACTATCCAGGAATGACTTTCAGCAAAAGAGAAAGCGGTTGCTGCCTCAATCTGCTTTATTTGAGTTGACATATGATATTGGATCTATAAGACTGAGAAGAGCGAATATTAGTTCTTGAACGTGCGGAAACCCTTCCAGCCTGAGCAGGGTGCGGGTACTTAGGTACTACCTACCAATCCTCTGCATTAGCCTCTAACAAATACCCCATTGTATGTCTGGGGTGACCAGATGTCACGATGCCTGTAGTTAATTTGGAAGATCTTGTCCGCCTTCAACAGAAGGCGGAAGACGTTAGAAATGCATGCCTACCCCCCTCCCCGCTACCAAACAAACACCCCTCCTTTTTATCTTTTTTAAGTTCTACCTAAACATGGTCAAATCACCGTATTTGGACACGGGCTGACATTTCTGGCAGATATGCATCCTTGCACATGTCGTAAGTGAACTAAAAGTCCTCGTAATTTGAGGATCAGCTATTGAGATATGTTCACTGTATAGGACCACGGAAAGACGTCCTTGACGGACAGTCTGATTGCTACAAATGGCATCATTTCGCCGAAGATGGCGGGGAAAATACGTTATCTGGACTCCCGCCCAGATGAGCAGATACGAGGAATCACGATGGAGTCGTCTGCAATATCACTTTATTTTTCTATGCTGAGAAGGGCTTCCAAAGACGCAGATCCCGAACAGAAAGAATACTTGATCAATTTAATTGACTCTCCTGGCCATATCGACTTCAGTAGCGAGGTTTCCACGGCTTCTCGGCTATGTGACGGTGCACTTGTTTTAGTAGATGCTGTTGAGGGTGTTTGCAGTCAGACCGTTACTGTGCTGCGACACACATGGGTTGAGCATCTGAAGCCGATCCTGGTTATCAACAAGCTAGATCGACTGGTTACAGAATTGAAAATGACCCCCGGGGAAGCATACTTACACCTCAGCAAAGTGCTTGAGCAAGTAAATGCTGTCATTGGAAGCTTCTACCAAGGAGAACGTATGGAGGAAGACTTGCAGTGGCGGGAGAGAATGGAAGAACGAGTAAACGCAGCTACTAGCAAGGAGAATGGCCGGACGATACAACGGGCGGATGACATGGCTGATACAGCCTCGCAAGCCGATTCAACTGAAGGTCAATTCGAAGAGCGTGGTGATGAGGATCTTTATTTTGCCCCAGAAAAAAACAATGTCATTTTCTGCAGCGCAACCGACGGGTGGGCGTTCACCATACGGCAATTTGCTGGCCTGTATGAGAAAAAGCTTGGATTTAAAAGATCCCTTTTGGAAAAAGTACTGTGGGGCGATTTCTATCTTGACCCGAAAAGCAAACGAGTCATTGGGCAAAAACATCTAAAGGGGCGACATTTGAAGCCTTTGTTTGTTCAACTGGTTCTGGAAACTATATGGGCAGTTTACAATGCGACGACAGGTGGTGGGCAAGAAAAAGGGTAAGAAAGATGTGCCTCCCATTCAGTAACTCGTATGAACTAACGGATGTTTGCCAGTGATCCTGCACTTCTGGAAAAAATAACCAAATCACTCGGAATTAGTCTACCTGCGCATGTGTTGCGCTCACGGGATCCAAGGAACATCCTCATGGCCGTATTTGCGTCGTGGCTTCCCCTATCTATAGCAGTTCTGGTGTCTGTGGTCGAATACCTTCCCAGTCCCCCAGTCGCTCAAGCAGCTAGGCTTCCAAGCATGATTGAGAACTCCCCGGGTTCTGAGGCAATTAGTCCCAATATTCGCGACGCGATGGTAAACTTTAAAGCAGGAAAAGATGACCCTGTTGTGGCATACGTCAGCAAAATGGTTTCAATACCTGAAAGTGAACTTCCCCAAAATACGCGGCGACCTGGAGGTATGTTAAGTGCAGAGGAAGCGCGGGAGCTGGCACAAAAGAAACGAGAGGAGATAGCAAGATTACAGGCCCAGAGCAATGAAGGCCAAGACACAGATAGCTTCGCCCACGCAACATCCGCTCTCGAGAATGCGAGCGTGGAAGATAGTGGTCCGACTACAGTTGAAGAGAAGGAAGATCCAGAGCACCTCATTGGCTTTGCACGCCTCTATTCCGGCAGGCTTTCAGTTGGAGATTCTATCTATGTCATACCCCCCAAATTCTCTCCATCACACCCCCATGCATCACCTACGCCACAAAAGGTGGAAGTAAAAGCGCTTTACTTGTTTATGGGACGAAACCTAGAAAGCTTGCAGAGTGTTCCTGCCGGTGTTGTCTTTGGTATCGCTGGTATGGAAGGCCATGTCCTCAAAACTGGAACGCTGTGCAGTCAGCTCGAGGGAGCCGTGAACCTAGCAGGAGTAACGTTGTCTAGTCCTCCTATTGTTCGCGTTGCTCTCGAACCTGTCAACCCCTCAGATTTGAATAAGATGATCAATGGCCTGAAGCTGCTGGAAAAGAGCGATCCTTGTGCGGTGTACGAAGTTCTTCCAAGTGGAGAGCACGTTATTCTCACTGCTGGGGAACTTCATCTCGAGCGATGCCTTAAAGATTTACGGGAGCGGTTTGCCAAATGCGAAATCCAAGCCGGAGAAGCAATAGTGCCATATCGCGAAACTATAATAAATGCGCCAGAGATGTCACCTCCAAAGAACCCCGACCTGCCCCGAGGGACAGTTCTCAATGTTTCAGCATCAAAGCAACTAACTATCCAGTTAAGAATTCTGCCGCTACCTGCGGGAGTCACCGAGTTCTTAACCAAACATGCAGCTACGATCAAACGATTCTACGCAGAAAGAAGGACAGGAGCTCATGAGACCATGCAAGCAAACAACGAGCACAGCGACATAGATGACGAAGGTGATATCGGTAGTGGTGAGACGGTTGCTTCGAAGATTCTTTCACTTGAAGAATTCAAGAGAGAGCTACAGAGTGCTTTCGATCAATCCAAAGACGAGAAAGATGCCTGGAAGGATGTCGTGAATAGAATCGTCGAGTTTGGCCCGAGACGGATAGGTCCCAATATCCTCGTCGACTCCACATCAACAGGCTCATGTGACAAACTGTGAGTGCAAATTGTAACATAGTCGTCCATCATATACAACACAGGCTAACCTTTTCCCCAAATTTCTAGACTCCTTGACAACGCAAACGAAAGCCCCCAAGATCAAGCAGCAATAGAAACAGGCTCACAAACCTCAGCAGATCACCAGCGACGAAGCATGGGCCTATTTTCCGACAAAATCTCCTATGCATTCCAACTCTCCACTGCCCAGGGCCCTCTCTGCAGCGAGCCTATCCAGGGCATTGCGGTCTTGATCGAGGACGTTTCCGTCACTAAGACTGGAGAGGAAGAGCTGGGCCGTCTTACCGGTGAAGTGATAAAATCCACGCGAGACGCAGTCTGGCAAGGTTTCCTCGATTGGAGCCCCCGACTACTCTTAGCTATGTATAGTTGCGAGATCCAAGCATCCAGTAAGTTAGGAATTGAATCATCAATCTATCATCCATTCCTTCGCACAGACCAATTATTAGATCCCCTTTCTCCAAACGAACCCCCCATAAAAACTAACCAAAGCCCCCCCCCCTTACCCCAAACAGCCGAAGTGCTGGGCCGCGTCTACGGCGTCATAACCCGACGACGAGGCCGCATCCTCTCGGAAACAATGAAAGAAGGCACCCCCTTCTTCACCATCCTCTCCCTCCTCCCCGTCGCTGAATCCTTCGGCTTTTCCGACGAGATCCGCAAGCGCACCTCCGGCGCCGCCTCGCCGCAGCTTATCTTCGCCGGTTTCGAAATGCTAGACGAGGATCCGTTCTGGGTGCCGGCGACTGAGGAAGAACTGGAAGATCTGGGCGAGTTGGCGGATCGCGAGAATGTGGCGAAGAGGTATATGGATCGGGTGAGGAGTAGGAAGGGGTTGGTTGTCAAGGGGAAGAAATTGGTGAAGGATGCAGAGAAGCAGAAGACGTTGAAGAGGTGAGTGGGGTCGGTCTGGGGGTTAGTAGAGTATGGAACGTAGGACTGGAGTGATTGCGTTGGGTTTATCATAGTGGGTTGGTTACCTTGGCTGGAGTTTTATGGTTGTAGTTTGATTTTGGATTCTGCGTTTTTAAAAGTTGTTGCATATTAAAGGCTTTGGGAAAAAAGATAAATAGAAAATAAAACAATAAAAGCAAAAAAAAAAAAAAGAGAGAGAGAGAGGGAGAGAGAGAGAAATATGAAGAGAAAATTCCTCCTCTTCTGGAATTATGTCTTATGGGTCCTTGATCCCTTTTTTAAAAAATTGGTGTCTGGCATGTCTGTTCATTAGGCTTTCCGTGCTATGTTTCTCCTCAGCACAAAGTTACGAGTATTTGTATTATTTGTAGATATACTGCAGCACCCAGTAGTTGATTCTTGCCTATCATGCCATGGTATTCTAAAAGCCCACCGTCTTGTGCCAGACAACAAAGTCTTTCCACCCGTCCATTCACCTGCGTTCATCATAAAGAGAAAAAAGAAACGAGATTATAGTGTAAACCCAAGCGGGAGGATAACTTAACTACTCCAACCTCCATCGCCCAACCAATAGCCCAACCACCACCCAAAACCCCGATAAATATAATATAAAAAAATAAAGAAAATAAGTCCGCCTTTTAATACGGCCTCGCGACCTTCCTCGCCTCCCTCCTCCCACTCTTCCCATCAACCATCTCCCTCCAACTAACCGGCACAAGCACATTCCCCTCCTCACTCCGCCCCATCACAACGCCCAACTCATTCCTCGCCGTCGAGCAGTAATAGAAGCTCTGATCGCCTAGCGAAATCACCACGGCCCGCACAATGTCGCCGACGCGGAACATCTCGTCCATCACGACGCGGTCCTTCTCGACGGCGCGCACGTCTTCCTTGCGGATTAGTGCTTGGAAGCGGAGGTCATCGGCATTGAGGGGGTCGGCATTTGTGGTGGAGAGGAGGGAGGCGGGGAGGTCGTTGACGGCGGTAGTTGTGGGGTAGGGGGAGGAGGGGTTATCGTCGAGGACGACGAGGATGGAGAGGGTTGCTTGGCGCTTTTGGACGCGGGTGACGCGGGCGAGGACGATGGAGCCGACGGCGGGGAGGGTGTTGTATTTGTGTTTTATGGGTCTTTTTGTTGTTGGTGTTGGAAGTGGGGAGGTATTTACTGGAGGTTTTTGTGCCTGCGGCGTGCGGCTTATACTGCTCCCACTCTTACTACTATTATTACTATTATTACCAGTCATAGCTCCATAGGCCCCCCCTTCAAGCGTCTGCGCAAACGAGCGCGCGACCATCACAAGTGTCCTTTGTTGTTGCTGTTGTTGTGCTTGTTGTTTCTGCAATTGCTGTCTCGACTCCTCTTCCTCCCCCCCCTTCTGTAAAACGACGGGGCCGGCAATCGAGGCGCAGACGAAGGCATCCTGGATGTGAGTTCCCGGGCCTGGAATGAACGATGAGGCAGGGCCCAATCGCTGGCCGGGGACAGCGATTGACGGGAGGGAGATCGCCATCTAAATTGCTTTCTTGCACTTTAGGTATGTGGGTAGGGTAGGGTAGGTTGTGGATCTAAATGTTTGTTCACAGTGAAGGGGGACAATCGGTAGGTAGGCTGAAGTCCGCAGCGGGTGGGTGCGAATGATCGGGTGTGATGAGTGGGATGCAACCCCTTTGCCAGTTGACGGGAGGCTTTTCTTAAGGTAGGGATATGGGCAGTTGGGTAAAAGCTCCAGTGGACGTTCTCACAAGCTTGAGGTGAAGGTTAAATTTTAGATTGTCATCAAGGCGATTTTGATATTATTTAATAGGGCGAAACATCTGGCGGTGTTGCCACAGCAATCACCTCAGCCACCTGTAACTACGGAGTACAAAGCCTCTCTTGGAAATGAACTTGAATAGAAAAGATAGAATGATCAGTTTCATTTATTTATCCCCCCTTTCATAAGTTAGTGAACCGCCCTCAGTTACCCAAATCTGAAGAATAAAAACACAGTTGTAAGAAAACATAGTTATTGATGCCACTCATACCTCTCACAACTTATTTAAGACATGAATCAACCCTCAATAATCAAGCAGCCTCAATTATGAAGTACAGTCAGTTAATTTCACAGGATATAAAAACAAAACTTGTTAAAAAAATATAAACAACACTGTCATGTATACTTGTAGATTGTGTACCAGCATGATCAATTAAACTAATCATAGCAATCATTTCACAAAAAAGAATACATGTGTACAGATTATTGTAAAACAAGCATTTAGATATGTGTCTACTCCGTACTGTGTAGAGCAACCAACCAGTTGAAAACTGCTTGATTACAGAAGAAAACAAGGCATGTAAGCCAATAACTACCTATGTAGCTACATAGGCAGCAAAATAACAGCGAAGTTACATGGAGAAAAAGAAATAAAAATAAAAATAAAACAAGGAAGGGAAATTGCAAAAAGAATAATGTAAAATGATGGCTGAGTATTCTTATTTCCCTAATCTGTATCTTTGACAGCATCAAAATATCAAAGAACAGGAATCACTTTCTCCGCGATGTCGAATATAAATATATATGCAAATAGCTATTCCAATGATAATAACAATATGGATTCTCTTACCCTTTTCATCGCAATCACATCTTCTTCATCAGATGCCCTTCTTTCGAACCACTAACAATCGCTCTCCTCATCTCTCTTTCCCCCTTTCCGACCAAGTAATATACCTCATTCTCTGATAGAAAATTTACATATGGATGTATGGAGCGTAGGAAATATGCTTATGCTACCTCATCCATCGCAACAACAGCTAGGGCTCATCATTCCCCTGCCTCCTGGAAACCCTTTCACAACCTAGTACTAATTCACCATTATCATCAACAGAAGGGGAACAAAGGATAGTAAAATGAACAGAAACGAGGAAAAAAACAAAAAGAAGAAGAAAGTGATATACCAAAGGGAATATGGGTAAAAGCGTAGGACAAGGAAGAAATAGGAAAATGGAAAGAAAAGAAAGCTGATCAGCGAAGGCTGACAAGCAAGAATAAAAACATTTAAGACAGTGCCTCTCATGGATGCCAATGCTGGCTGTTCTCTTGATCACACATAGCAGAAAAGCGGAGAGGAAAAGTATGGAAACAGGGAAACAGAAAACACAAACACGGGAAAACTGACAGGGATGATTTATCCCCATACAACAATAGAAGACAAAAAAAGGAACGGCAAACAAAAAGCACCAAACACAAGCAATATGCCCCCGTGGAACTCCTCGCGAGATGGAAAAGATGATTATCGGGCGGTATAAAAACTACTCGGGAAACGATATACGGCGATGCCAACAATAAAACAATACCACAAAATACCAACTGCTAGCACACCACCAAATGAAACTAAACAAAACAGACAGTCAGTGATCAACCATCAACTAGTAGTTGCTTACGACCATGGCCAATCAACTCCAGAGACCGCCGCGCCAAAGCAACAACCTCGCCCTCGTCATCCTCAGCAGCTTCTTCATCGTCAGATTCCACATTCTTATCAGCAATCGTCTTAACCATGTCAACAATATCTTCTGAGCGGGCAATATAGCCGTGCAGCTGCTTGTCTTCGGACTCGAGAAGCTGGAGCAGAGTCCAGATTGCGATGTGCTGGAAAGTTGGGTCACCGCTGGCTAGGAACCGGCTTAGGTATCCGTGAATGCCGCCGTTCGGCTCTGACCAATCTCTCACGAATATAGAATAGTCGCCAACTAGTTTGATTTTAGTTTTTTGCTTCATATTTTCTCAATTGTAAGGGCAAACCGGGGGATAAGTGCGGTATACATACCCTTAGACGACAAGTTTCCCAAGGCAGCCGCGCTATTTCCTTGAACTTCTATGCTTTCCGAATCCGTCAGGGGTATCAAAACATCGAAAACGCCTAGCTTTAGCAGGTGCGACTTCAGCTCGTCACTAAGGGCAAGAACTGCAATTGCGGCGGTCATCTCAGACTGCACGCTCAAGGGTACTTTCAAGACAAGCTCCTTGCATTTCTGTACGGCACCTGCTTGCAGGACAAGCTCCTTGTTACGATCTGAACTGGCTGCTAAGTTCCGTAATGTGGATATGGCATGGCATTGAATTTCCTCGTTGTCTATCGAGCCCAGTAGATCCACGAGTGGTTTTAAGAATCCGGCATCAATAATTGGAGATTCGTTATGAGGGTGTATAGAAATATTTCGGATGCATGCAACCGCTGAGAGGATAAGCGGGAGGTATGACGACTGTAGTAGTCTGAGTAACGGTGCAAGGCCCCGAGCACGGACGATCTCGAGTTGATATTTCTCATCGGAGGCAAGATTTCTCAGGGCAAGGGCAGCTTGGCATTGTACTTTAGGTGTGGAGGAGTCCATGAGCTGAACGAGGGATTGAACAAGGCGGGATTCTGTTTGCGCGAGCTTCTTTCTGTTGTCCGAATCCACTGCAATATTGCTCAGCGCTGTTGTACAGTAGTACTGAACATCGACATCGGATGAAGAGAGTAGTTGCACTAAAACGTGTATCGCGCCGGCGATGACGAGCTGCTGTCGATTTTCATCTATCATCAAGAAAAACAGAAAAAGATGTTATTATGCAATTGTTTGGGCCATATTTGTATTCTTGTACCAATGAGAAATGGCATACCAGAATGGGTCATGTTTAGAAGGGCTCCAGTGGCATTTCGTTGCACACGCATGTCTTTTGATTTTGCCAGTCTTGTCAAGGGGCCAAGGGCGCCCGATCGCGCAATTTTCGCTTTATTATCTTCGTGGGTGGCTAGGTTGGTGATGCAACCGACGGCATTGCATTGTACTTCGACATTGGGTGACATCATTTGTCTTATTAAAGGTGCCAGTCCCCCAAGCAGGACGATATTGACCTTGTTTTCAGCTGCATTGTAGGTGAGCAGTTAAGAGCTTTTCAGGGTGGAGGGAGGTATTATATGAGTAGACGTACTATTGACAGCGAGGTTCCCCAGAGCTGCACTAGCCGCTCGCTGTACTTCGATATCGGGACTCTGGAGGAGGAATAGGATAGGTTCGAGAGTTTCTCTATTTACTTCCCGGACATCTAAACCACACAGGTTCTGAATCAGTACATAGAGCAGGGAGCATCAGCCTCATAGCTCTTCCCGGCAAGAGACGAACCTCTTTCCGTTATCTCCGCGAAGGTCAAGCTGGCGCTTCGTTGGAGGTCAACATTATCTGAGTATACAAGGGTGCTAAGAGCACTAAGTGGTTCTCCGCTGAAGAAATCGGTTTCATTTCGCTGAGAAGACGAAGTAGTTAGTATGGTAAAGCAGCTAGTGCCGTAAGAGAGCGATGGAGGAAAGGGGAGGGAAAGGGAAGGAAGGAACGGAGGGGGCCAAAACGTACGTTCTCGAGGTACTGGAGGAGATCAGCGACGGCCTCGCGTTCGTTATCTGCTAGGATGGGTTCGTAGAGACCGTCCCTAGATCGACCTTTGATGGGAGCCAGTAAATAAGATATACGGCACCATCTATCGATCTTGGAGAAGGTACCTGTCAGGCAGGCCAGGCAAGCATTCCCCATCTCTGGCGCGGGATGGACCAGTCCCCAAGGGACCAGAGAGATCCTCCGTAGCTAACTAGACGGGAAGAGGAGAAGCTTGGAGCTGGCGAGGCGAGCTGCAGCAGCAGTAGGAGTTCTATTTTTAATAAAATATTACGTTCGTTTCGATGATATCACTGCGTCGGGATTGGAGAGGGCGCGGAGGGGTGATGGGACGAGAGAGGAGCGGCTGGGTTCGTTGATATTGAGCCTGCGGGGGCGCCACACCTGGGAAGACCTCAGGAGACCTTGGACTGCAGCGTCGTTGAGAGAGGGAGATCGACTGGTTAAGCGCCAGCGGGAATGAAGAGGACGTTGTGGGGGAGCAGAAACAGGCAAGGCGCGTGATTGGGGTAGGGAAGAGCTAGTAGCATGAGTGGAAGAGATATTAGATGGTGGAGGACGGACGGGGATGGGGTTGGATGGGGATAGAGTTGGGATTAACTCAGAGGGTAGTGGGTGGAAGAGCTAGTCTTGTGATTGGGGCATGGAGAGAACAGGGTCTGTCTCTGTCATGCGAGAAGAAGATGGTGGATCGCCAGAAGTTTGGTGGTGATGTGATGTCTTGGGGTTGGACTTGGCCCGGGGATGTTGTTGAGGAGACGATCGATGTCTGCGCTGGGAAGCCACCAATCGCAGCCCGGCGCAGGAAGCCGCACCTTACGCTGTAACCGTGCCAAGCGCAACTTACTACCACTAGAGAGAGTGAGTGCGCTTGGCACGGTTAATATCTATCATAGGTATCTAACATCCGTTTATCATCAATAGCCAATAATAGCTATATTAGGTTACGCACGCATCTACGGGCTCCCAAACACCTGCTATATATCTTATATCTTATTATATCTTATTATATATCTTATATAGTTATAATAGTTATCCTATTCTATTTCCCCTTCCACTACCTATATCTATCTATTTCTCCTCCCCCTGCTGACCGTACTGCTGAATCATTCCGGGCCGGTTAGGTTTGCAGCCTAAATAGCAGATGAATCTCTACCCAAGCATCCTGCTATTCCAGGTGCTTAGGTCCTCGGCATATTTATTTGTGCTTCACATACAGAGCTCATCCAACACAGACGGACGCGCTATTGGTGACAAGAGCGTCCGTGTAGAGAATGCCCTTCTCTCTCCTCCTTAGGTGGACAGGGTCTGTTTTACATACATAGCTCGCCCAAATCCGCCACTTCTCCATCCCTAAGGCTGTGTGCGGGCGCTGTAGCTTGAAACTAAAAGGACCATGTCCTGTCCTGTCCTATATTACCTAGAAAGCCGTGCCAAAGAAAATCGAAGGAGGAAGGGGGAAAAGGGAAAAAGAAACACAGCCTGTCAATAGCGAACGGTCTGCCTACGTACAGTGCACAGTACCTCAACGCAGTAAGACCCAGGAAAAACATCCACCTTGCCTTCATTCCACACCATCTCAAAAGTCTTACGACGCACATCATCATCGAATGACTCATCTCGATATTTCTCACAAAGGAGCCCCTACAGAAGAACTGCCCACCGGCGTCCTTACGCCGTATACGGGACGGACCCCATATGGGCACCACCATCCCAGCTGTCATCAACAACGGTTCCAACTATGCCATACGATACAGGTATATATACTTTGTAGAGGTTGCTCCGCACTTCGTCAACCTTGCAAATGGAATCGAAGAAACCAATCCCAGTTGAAATGAGACGGGTGATTGGTTGATGGGTTATATGTAGCCTCTAGATGTGTTTCCCGTGTCCGGTCATAATTATCACGAATGGGATGCTTGCTTGGACAATGACAACTCTCCACATTTAACCTTACTTAGTAAAGTTATTGAGCAGTTAGTTCTTCCCCATCCAAGGTACTATACAGTTCATGGCCTCTTGAGGCCCCTCATTATGCGGGATCCCTCCCCATACTACCTTCTGTCCATGTTTTGGGTCTTATGAACATTTTTCAAACTGCCCACGTCAGAATGGATACACTCCCAAGTAGGTTTCGCCCGAAATTAGATACAGAGAAACGTAGATCTGATTGTTTAAATTATGACTTTATATATAATAATGTGTATTTTATGTGAGTTTCCCAAGACGATTTGAGGGATTTGTAGAATCCAGATGCCACATTTATCAGTTCGTACGGCAAAGTTCTGTACAGATTAGTGTTAAGCGGAAGTAAGGGGCATCCGACCGACACAAATTTACCGGAGGTTATATGCGTACGGTTTCGAAACGTTTTATAGGCGGGCGTTGATGATATCGACGACTGTGCTCATTTGTTAGTAAATACAGAATATGTTTGAAGGTGGACGTCGGGAAAGAAGGTGAATGTCAGGTGCAGTTAGTAGAAAATAATAATGTTAAGAACGTACAAGCCGGCTTCAAACTTGCTCCGCCAACCAAGAACCCGTCAACATCGGGTTGCTGAGCGAGATCGCGGCAGTTTTTCTCCGTAACACTGCCTCCGTAGATCACACGGGTATTCTCAGCGGCTGAGGGGGAGATCTTCTCACCCAGCCACTTGCGGATCGAGGCATGGACTTCCTGTGCCTGTTCCGTGGTGGCAACCTTGCCCGTTCCGATGGCCCTGCAGAAACAAGGAAATGAGAACCATTAGTATGGTTGCCCTGTTTACAAATGTAGAGATTCCTCGGATGGGCATGCATAGCTGGGTAAGGGGCATTTTCTGGTGGGCGTAGAGGGGATTCAGTACCAGATGGGTTCATAAGCAATGACGACCTTCGTCCAGTCTTGAGGAGAAAGCTTGTCGGCGACGGCGTTTAATTGCCGTGTCACGACATCAAGGGTCTTGCCGGCTTCGCGTTCCTACATATGGAGAATTCTGACGTCAGTTCCCGCTTTAACATGGAACCCCTACATCATGTGCAATGGCTTAAAATTTCAATTTCGCTTTTTGTCCTCAAAATCGAAATATCAGAGCGAGGGGCAATTAAGTACCTCGAGAGACTCTCCAATGCAGAGAATCACGCGGAGGCCGCCATCAAGGGCAGATTTTGTCTTGCGGGCAACGAACTAAATACTCATGGAATTAGCGAAAGATAGTAGTAGCAGTAGTTCGAAGAATAGTTTCAAGCACTACAGTGCAATAAAAAGTTAAACTACCCCCTCTAGTTATGGAGAAGAACGTTTTAAAGCCCTTGGTTGGATGAAACATTTGCTAAGAAGAATTCAAAACATACATCATCGTCCTCCCTCAGGATAACCCTTCGCTCACTGTGTCCAACCAGGGTCCAGTCGATTTTTCCATCTTTCAGCTGTTCCACGCTCAACTCCCCAGTGAAGGCTCCGTTGGGCTTATCAAACACGTTCTGTGCAGAGACAGAAATCTGCCCGCTCGCAAGCTCGCGTGCGAGGACCAGGTAGATGGCAGGAGGAGCAATGACGACTTCGGCATTAGGATCGAGTTTGGCAGAGTTGAGATTGGAGATGATCTGGGTTATCGACTGGGCTGTGCCATTCCTGGAAGGATTGGAAGATAATAGCACTTTGTTAGCTTGTTGTTGTCATTTGAGAGGAATTGGGAGACATTGTTTGGGAGTTGAGGGGTATGGACGACTTTGATTCTGGAGTGGACATACATCTTGAAGTTACCGCCGACGAAGAATTTGCGAGCCATGGTGACTGATTGGAAATTGTTAAGTCCTGACAAGAATAAATGATAAGGTTAGCTATATGGTAGAGGAATTTTGATTCTAAATTGGTTCGTGATGATCGTAAAGTAGAGTTGCGGGAATAGCATCCAGGATATGATTAACCGCAATTGAGTGGAAACCATTGAAGCGGCCTAGAACTGTGGACCGGAATGAAAGCAACGCACCTTAAGAGGAGCAAAGTGTGGAGCAAGAGCAATAATAACGGAGAAATGTGAGCAATAGTTGAGGTTGAAAAACTAACGATGGGAAAAGATAAAGTAGAAAGGAGGAACAGGAAGATGGATGCGGCGGCTGAAAACGGCGGGGCAGGAGGATCGGGAATGACATAATAGTAAAGCTGTCTTGGCACCTGCCCCGCCATGGAAGGGGGACTATTAACTATCGCCGTGGTTAACAGAGGAATAACTACTCCGTACTGATCAGTGCCAAGTTGAGATGGAATAAGACTGTTTAACATACATAAATTAGATAGCAGGCTAAACTATAACTAAAACAAGTGAAGAATAGGATAAAAGTACAAGGAAAGAGAGTCAGAATGCATACATATTTTGGGTCGAAATCTCACCAATAGAGGCATCCGTGAAGAGTCAAAATAAGTATGAAAGAAATAAAGAAAGTATAGAAAAATAACCAAAAAGGTAGTGGAGAAGAAATATTACAATCACGAGAATAGTAAATTAAACATCAGCAACTGTTGAAGCTGGGGTTTTCAGGGGTGTGTGGTTGTTGATATCCTTTTCACTAACAACCAGAAAAAGTGAATAAAGAGAATATATCAATACTAATAACCATTACAAACATGTGCCTTTTTGCACATTAACCGAATCCAGGGGAAGCATGCAGCCATAACAATAACACACGAGGGACATATCCAATTCTAGTTTCCAAACCAAATTCCCAAATCCTTACCCGGTACCTTTTTATTCCAAACCTAACCTGCCGTTTCCAAATCCCATATATGCCAAAAGCGCTGTCAGCAAAAGCAGTTACCATGTCCAGGAAAGGGATATAAAAGGACAATGACAACAATAGTAGAATGTATCGCAACAGTGGTCAATTTCAGCGGCCATACGTCGGATAATCATCTGGTCGGGGTGGTTCCATGTGAGGTTGATAATGGGTGACCATCCGCTCACCGTTCATTTGGCCAAAACCCATTGGAGCTTGATTCATTCTCTCGTGACGAAAAGGGACCCAATCGTTCAACGCATCATTAACCTCGTAGGTGTCTTGTTGTTGATGGTATGGCATACGAACTTCTCTCATTTGTTTAGGTTCCGCCATCTGTGCATAGTTGTCGAAACAATCCTCTCGCGGCGGTCCAGGGGGGTAATAATCGGCACCGCCCTTGGCTGGGGGTGTGGGTAGGGTTGGGGTTGCGTGCACTTGAACTCCCTGACCCCAGCGTCGACGTTGGCTGTCCCTTTGACGCCTATCGTGTACGTAGTCACCCAAGGACCGTTCGCGTTCGCGTTGCGTGCGTTCCCAGTCGCTATCACTCCTAATGTCGTCCTGGACATTGGCATTGTTGTACCTCACTGGAGAAGAAAGTGTCTGTGTTTGACGCGGAGAAAGAGGAGCCCCGGGATGACCTCGCTGGTTTGTGAGCTGTGTTAGGGGTGGAACCACCGGATATGACACTATTGCTGAACGACGATTCCTTCGTTTGTCCGTGCTATTTTCTGGGTAGATATCCACCTCTCCGTCCCAATTACGCGGTTCGGTTAGAAGATGCTCGCTAAACCGTAAGTGCCTGCTCTCAGGGCGGCGCTGAGACCGATAGAAGATTTCGGGGGCGCGGCCTCTGGAGTAACAGCGGTGCAGTCGTCCATCGGCTTCCCTTAGAGGCATGTACTTATCGTGGTTATTGTGCTTATCGGCGAATAATGCATCATCGGTAGTTGCTGAGCTCGCATCTTCGAACTCATCAAAAAGTACGGACTCATTTTCATCAATGCTGCTGTCCCCGTCTCGAAAATCTCCATGTCCCGAGGCTTTACGTCGCGGAGCCTTGCCCGTATTTAAGATTTTAGGTAAGCTAGGCTTTGTTCGATGTTGTTTCGGACGCCCTGGAGTAAAGTTTGGGAGACGCTGTGCTTGTGGCATTGATGGTTGTTGCTGTGGCTCCTTGTTTGGAGACTGGAGAGGTGGATGTGGCGGCGGTGGGGCTAAAATGTTAGTTTCATAAGTTGGTCCACCATTAATTACTTGGATATCAATGGGGGGCGCTTGTTGGCCGTGCCTAGAACGCTGGACATAGTGGGTGTATTGACCGGGTTGAGTATGATGGTGAGCTTGAGCATGCTGAATATGTTGAGTAGGATGAGTATGTTGAGTGGGATGAGTGGGATGAGTGGGATGAGGAGGATGAGTAGAATGAGCAGGATGAGCAGGTTGAGCAAGTTGAGCAGGTTGAGCAGGTTGAGCAGGTTGAGCAGGTTGAGCAGGTTGGGCAGGTTGAGCAGGTTGAGCAGGTTGAGCAGGTTGAGCAGGTTGAGTCGGATGAGCATAATAGGGAGGAGAATGAGAAGGATGAGCAGGATGAGCAGGATGAGCAAGTTGAGCAAGTTGAGCAGGTTGAGCAGGTTGAGCAAGTTGAGCAGGTTGAGCAGGTTGAGCAGGTTGAGCAGGTTGAGCAGGTTGAGTCGGATGAGCATAATAGGCAGGTTGAGCAGGTTGAGTCGGATGAGCATAATAGGGAGGAGAATGAGCAGGATGACCAGGATGAATAGGTTGAGCGAGTTGGGCGGGGTGAGCATATTGGGCACTTTGGGCGAATTGATCCTGTTGGTTTCCAACAAGGGGAGTCTCCATGCCCATTGGTAGGTTGGTGTGATTAATAGCCGCATTCTGCTGCTGACCACCAGCAACCACTCCACCAGGACGTTGGTGAAGTGGTTGTTCAACTGTAGTCTCGGGTAATGGCTGACCATGCGAGCCTGGCAGTGGGGATTTTATTTCTTTTTTCTTTTTATTCGCTGCAACCGGGGGACGAGGATCGCCAGGGGAAGGTAACACGATGCCCTGGCGTACTTGTCTCAGAAGAATCACAGTGAGGGATACGGTAACGTACTCTATGACGAAGGCGCGAACATTGACAGCTTTTTTATCAAGGTAGATGTAAACACAATTCCAAGAAAATCGTCTATCTCCATCGCAGTTCTGCCGATCAATCATCAAATTTTTAATTTGGTTCTGCTTTCCACTCCCTAGAGCTTCGTACTTTTCCTGTACGTTCTCGTTTCTCAGGTCCGCTGTCCGCTTTTCCAACTCGTCTTGGGTAAGAGGCATACGTTCTCGAGTAACGTTTTTCCATGGTGATACCTTTGAGGAGTCTGCCCGGCGTAGAATCCATCCTTCTAATATCCTGGGGATGGCAGGTAAATCTTCACGAGCGTTGGGGATAGAGGCCCCGATGAGAGCTTCTTGCGTTCTGCCGGAAGAATCTGGGCCCAGATTGTGATTATTAAAAAGGTAAGTCATGCTAACGAGTTTCTCGTCTGTGTACATTGGATATATTGACGCCAGGCTTGGATCTGTAACTCTTAACGGCTGGTTAGTGCTAGCAGGCTTGGTGTGAGAATACCCCGTTTGGTCTTGGGGAAAAGAGCGTGGTAGTATATGCTGCGGTGGAACTGGTGGCCGTGATCATAAATATACCAGAAGAGAAATATACTTGGCTCCCACAGCAGTGATGGCACTCATAGATTCTGCGTAACAGATTAGAAACGTCTTTGAGGTACTTATGGCGTGCTTAGATCGAGCACTGTAATGATCAAATTCTGTAGGATTCTGGCATCGATGATCTAAGAGAGAATGATGCGGAATCAGACATGTTCAATTATCGAAGTGTTGGTGAAAGGCCATCACACCTTTAAATCCGGGTATGTAGGAGGGCGACGATATAAATATACTCCTAAACGATCGAACGAATTCCGTGAAGTCAAGAAGTGATGCGCTACTATGCTGTACGTCCGAAAGAGGGTTCTTAAAGGTCAAAATTGAAACTGAAGTAAGATTGGAAGTGGGAATGTTGCGGGCTTCACTCGTTTTTGTACTGTCAGGAGAACTCTCTTTGACCTCAAACAAAGCCATTCACTGTCGGTAGGGGTCATATCAATCCGAGCAGGGGTTTCAGCATTTCTGATCAAGTCTGCCTGAACAAGACTACCTAAGCTCGTCGAAGATAAACGGCGGCTGCCTTGCGGGGCGCAGAATTTTGTCGGCATGCGCCAAGCCCAGCGCCCCGCTGCTGAATCTGACGCCGAACGAGAAAAGAGACAAGAAGTGTGAACAAATAGCAACTCTGCCACGATTGGCTGGGTAGCTGCAGGAATGGAGGCAGGTCATGCAAAGAGGACGCCCTACTAGCGTTCAGAGTGGCCGAAGAGGGTTTGGGGTTTGGAAATCCAAGGAGGGACGGCAGATATTCCCCCTCCATTCCCGTCCGGTCGATTATTCCTCTAGTGATATGAGAAGCTTTGTGAAAATGGAGTTAAAACACGCCTATCCGGAGCCGACCTATGGAGATAGTTAACTGGACTCCCCTGCAATATCAAAGTCCCTTGGCAGTCAAATAACACAAGATTGTCAGCTGAATGTTCGTATCTTTCTCAGAGCGTGTTGCTTAGGTTATCCTGAGGGTCTGCGCTTGCACTCAGTTGGCGCACACCGGCCTGGAATCAGAAATAGCCTTGCGACTAGTTACTTTAGCCATTGCTCAAACGCTCGCAAGTAGCCGACCCTTGTCTTCGCCCCCAGACTTCAGGAATCAGAAGTAACCCCGCATTGTCTGAACAAGCCACACTGGAATGCACCTCCCGCGGTGGCGGTGCCCTCCCTTTAGACTGTAGATACCTCTTGGGAACGAGAATAGAAGTCATACAGTACATAATTCACATCGTAATTGTTTTCTCCAAGACAGAAACTCCCATTAAACCCCAATAGAATTTCTGCGGTGCTCACTTTGCGAAATCCATCAATCGTTGGGGGTTGTCACCGTCGATCCAGCTTGTGGTTGTTTGTTGTCGGAGGTTGATACAAGATGTTGGAAGAGCCGCACTAACCCACAAGCGGCTCCACCCGCTCCCGCCCCACTAAGCGATGGCTTCATCTATAAAAGCATATACGTTGTATCACACTATTAATATAACTATCTAACCCACTGTATTTTTCTTTGCGTTAGTGAAAGGAATATGGAAAATAGAATAATGGACTGAAATTATATATATTTCTTCATAGGAACTGTTACGGTTGTTGGTGCCATTTGTTGAAGTTAAGGACGCGGATGCCGCCAAAAGCCTGAATGAGAAGTGGGTTTTTCGGTGTGATATTGAGGTCCTTTCACTCCTCCTGTGTCACCTTAAAATCATCAAGCTGATCTGCCTATAACGCCACCAGCACGGCTCAGGGGCCTTTGCCCTTGTCCTACCATTATCATCCACAACAGGCACCTGATTGTTGAACGACCTGATAAATCTCCTATTCTTTGACAACTGGCAGTGGCATGAAGTTGATAATAAACCCTGTTATTATTATTGCATACGAGCTACAGCGGAAGGAAACCGGCATCTCCGCTGGCAACTCAACTAAACCTAAAAACGCGCCGTGCCTCCACTGATTTGACGTGCTAGAGAGCTAAGAGCCATCACGAGTTGGACTCTTAGTAGAGAACAATACCGCCTCATGCTTTGGTTGTTATCATATGACAATGCCCGGAGGATGACAATCAGAATAACACGTTATGAGGATGGATGGCTATTTCGGTCAGAAAGCCGCTCATCTAGATCCATCACGGGTTTGAGGATTAGAAGGCTTCCCACCAAGGTCCCGCTAAAATACCCTCTTTTCCGGCTTCTCGGTGAGGGTAGAGCATATATATGCATGAACCGGTGGCGTGCAGTGTAGAGAAACATACGAGAAATTGTAAATCTCTGCATGCACTGAAGAATACACTGTAAAACAACTAGGAGCAAGGAGATCACAGCGGGAGAGAAAAAAATGAAACAAAGGGAGACCGGTGAATGGGAATTGAGCCTCACTAGACTTTTGCTTCTAATGAATAAACCCTTGGACACAGAGTGCGCCAGGCTGCGCTACCTACTTTTGGCATTCAAAACACTCGCCTTCCGCCTCAAATTTAGATAGTGATCTCTCACCGAAACCCTACCAAACTCGGGATTTTCTCTTTCGGTGGTTTCGTGGTGCGCAAGGCTGAACAATAGATGGAGTGGGGGTTCGGATCGGCAAGCCAATGTCCACTGCAGCAGGTTTCTAATAGTTTCTAGAACACGGAGGATGTTTGGATATCCTGTCACATCTGGATGATGGGTGGGTTGGTGCGCTCTGTGAGCTCGCTGTCGAAGGTTCGTGCGTCGTTATGTTTAAAAGAGACACTTTGGGGTGAAAATTGGGCAGCTTGTACGTAAGTGATTGGTCTCACCCAGTAGTCGTCCTCCTGAGTCGAAGTAATCGCCAACTCTAGTGGATTTTAGCCAAAGTTCAGTGGGTTGTTCTAGCGGCTTAAACAATAAATCTATCATGCAGAATCATGATTACCTGCTTTAGTAGGAAGTTAGTGTTCCATGCCATATATTAATTTATAACCTACCAGGCCGGAGTGTGGCTCGCAAATGGCATGCTGGCATCGATGGAACCAATTATGACTGGTGGGGCAAGCCTTTCTAAATTCCTCTATTCTTCTTTTCGAAGAATTGATGTTTGGAACAAAAAAAAAACCCAGATATTTATGCGTGACTGAGCCGTTCGTGATAGTACACAAATCACGGACTGAATTATTCCAAATATACAGGAATTTAAGCCCTTGGTAGTATCGCCACATTTTGCTGTAACTTGATTGTCATCACAAAGACAAAGCCCTGTCTAAGGGACCCAAGGGGTCACACACAGCCTTTCCCCGTACGCTAATTGTCTTCGAACGAACACAACGCATGTCAAAATCAAATTCCACAGAACATGAACCCCTGCAAACACTGCCATAATCCAGATGTGTGGTGGCGCAGACGACACAGGCCTGGACAATAATTAATAACCGCGAGATTTTCGTCCATTCGGCTTGTTGCCTCACTTTCAAAAGAAGGCTCTGTTTCCTCGTTCCTGTTTCCTCACGAGATCGGAACGTGGATAGGCTCGTATCTTCCGTCATCCCATTTTTACGAACCAAGCTTTCCGGCTGCCACTTGGGGAGGGACGTCATGATGGTGGTATCGTCTTATATTAGCGCACCGACATTTAACGCTGCCGCTGCCGCCCTGTTTGGAATTTGGGCATATCAATCCCAGTTCTGGATAACATTGAATCAGCAAGGAGGAACGAACGGACTAATCTAATTACAGCGGATCGATTCATCCTTACCCCGTCAGCTCAGCTGGGATGCACAAATGCTGTACTGAGTAGCAAGTACGATGCAAAATTAGTCCAGGCTTGCACGCGTATTCGACCGCTATTGGGCGGCCTCTTCAGCCCCCTATGTCAACACGTCGGATGTGTGTTTTCCCAAGTTATGTAGGTAGGTATGGATAACCTCTAGTTATATTGTTGCTTTCAGGAAAGAACCGAGATATCCTACCACTCAGAGAGCAAGGAGATATATTTGGCAGGAAAATGTACTAGGTCTCTATGTTAAAGAATGTTAGTTTGTCAGAATCAAGTGCATTCAACGTGTTGGCAGATGATTTCACAAAACAACCCATTTTCGAACAACATAGCACACAGTATAGCAAACATTTTGGAAAAAATAGTGGAAAGGCGGTGAAGGGATATGAGATCAATATCCCTGACTGAAGAAAGAGGCCCGACTCAGTGTACCGAACCCTATATTATGATCAGGATTAGTTCCAAGGTTTGTGTCAGGAATCCGGCGTCACGCGACTCGTGTAATCACGTGATCGTTATCGTACCGGCGGCCGTCACCATAGCAACTGCCAGCGTCAACAGCAGAATCTAGATCTGTTCTGAATGTGAAGCCCAACCCGCAAGAAGCGCTGGAGAAATCATAGATATACGAATTTGATGATCAGACGTTATTTACATATTTTGCATGTACCTTTTGTCCATGGTTAACGAACGTGTTTTGCGATTGAGGTATGGAATGCGCTCCCACATCGGGTCATGTGGATGCATGCGACCATGACCTGGGCAGATATTTGAAACCCGGCAAACTCCAGGGCGGCCCACATTTATTATACAAGTATATGTTTACTTATTAAAATCAAACAGCTTGCTAACATGGTGAATATATACCGCAGGTGAAACTGACTGTTATTTTGCCGCTCCAGGCCATCATCATCAGACCTTCCCCGGCCGAAACCACCAAACCTACCCATACCCTGCCGCACTCCTGCCCATATATCAAAGTTCCCGATTATAATAACTGCTTGTTTACGAAAAAAGAGACGGGATAAAACATTACGTACTTTATACACTAAGATATGAAATACACTTGATATTTCCAGAATAACAAGCAACATATACACGACGCTCGAGGAAGGGTAAACACAACACAGCACAATACGACACAAAGCAATAACAGCGGAGACAAAGCTGGAGAAAGGGCACGACGCAGAAATTCAGAAACAAAGGTACCGTGATGAACGTTCAATACTTATGCCCATGAGAGAAGACGAAAAAAGAAAAACGATGAGATAAAAAGTTTATCAAAATCCCATTTCTTGTCTTTCTATTTCCCCGGCTCATTTATTCTCTTCACAACCCCCTTCCAACACATTTACATACTTTGTTTCCCTCCCCTTTTCATACATGTACTTAAACCACCAATCCCGTCGCCACGACCTCCTCAGCCAGATCGTGTATATATTGAGAAACAACAGGAATATGGCGCTGGATCCGCGCTTCTACAATGGCCTTGGAGACCCGCCATCATTATCATCAGCATCACATCTGGGCTCCGGAGCCTCAATGGTCTCGATAAACGGTGATGGCATGATCGTCTCCCACGCGTCGCAAGCCCCGTCAGCCCCGCTGTCCGTTTACTCTAGTGCGGCTCCCAATATCGCGCCAAATGGAGGACCCTTGTCTATGGCATCATCTGCAGCGCTCCGATCGACAGCTTCGAGTCCGTCGTTGAGAGCGAGGGAAAGTGTTGTGGTTCCGACGAGCCGGGCGGGGACGCCGGTTAATGGGGTTGGGGGAGGGGGAGGGGGAGGGGGGAATGTAAGGGTTGTAGTGAGGGTTAGAGGGTTTTTACCTAGAGGTTAGTTTTCTGAGCGCGTGTTTTGTCAGGGTCCATTTTCTGTCCCACTACGTTGTTCCTCTCTCCTTGTTCTAACGAAATTTTGGGCAAATTTGGCCAATAGAAATAAAACGAGGGGCGGAATGTCTTATATCGATGAACCCGGATACTCAATCGACCACCCTCATGGCTCGCCCCAGTTCTGGTCAACAAGATCCAGTGAATGCCAGGATACAGAGCAGAGCGAAAGTCCTTGAAGACAGAACTTTCACTTTCGATAATTCCTTTTGGTCCCATGATAAGAATGATGAGCACTATGCCACGCAAGAGGACGTGTATAATTGCCTCGGCGAGGAGTTCCTGGACCACAATTTCGAGGGATATCACACATGTATTTTCGCATACGGCCAAACGGGGTCGGGTAAAAGTTACACGATGATGGGTACAGAAGAGCAACCTGGTTTGATTCCACGGACATGCGAGGACCTTTTCCAACGTATCGAGAGTTCAGAATCGCCTGATATTAGCTACAATGTCCGCGTCTCATATTTTGAGGTGTATAACGAGCACGTTCGAGATTTACTAGTACCACGCACAGACACACCGTACTACTTGAAAATCAGAGAGTCGCCAACAGATGGCCCGTATGTAAAAGATCTGACAGATGTGCCAGTACGAAGCTATTCAGAGATTATGCGGCTCATGCGCAAAGGAGATGCTTCTCGTACTACCGCTAGCACGAAAATGAACGACACTAGTTCACGGTCTCACGCCGTTTTCACAATCATGCTGAAGCAGATTCATCACGACTTATCGACGGATGAAACCACTGAACGAACAGCGCGTATTAGGCTTGTGGACCTTGCTGGTTCAGAACGAGCTAAAGCAACAGAGGCAACAGGACAAAGACTAAGGGAAGGTTCTAATATTAACAAATCTCTTACTACCCTTGGCCGTGTCATTGCCGCATTAGCAGACAATAAACCAGGTCGACTGCGCAAGAATAAAGAGGTGGTCCCATACCGTGACTCTATCCTGACTTGGTTATTGAAGGACAGCTTGGGGGGAAATTCGAAAACGGCCATGATTGCATGCATAGCCCCATCAGATTACGAGGAAACTCTTTCCACCCTGCGCTATGCAGACCAAGCGAAGCACATCCGCACCCGCGCCGTCGTCAACCAGGACCACGTTTCAGCTGCTGAACGCGATGCACAGATTGCGGAAATGGCTGAAATTATCCGCGAGCTTCAGATTAGTGTGAACCAGCAGGCTATCAGCAAACGAGAAACCGAGATGAAGAATGAGAAACTAGAAGAGTATCAAGGCCAAGTCGTCAAGTTGCAGCGCTTGATGGAAGAGACCAAGATGGTCAGCGAATGCAAAATCCGGCAGTTACAGACAGAGAACGATGCTCTGCGCCGCCACTTGAAACTTGCCTTGGAGAGTCTTAAAAACCCAATCCCACCTGTTGAGGTAGTCAAACGGAAGAGAGAAAGCGATTTGTTCTCTGTTCATGAGAAACAGGAGATCGTGGACGGTGTACGGATTATGGATGAAGACGAGCAGGAAAATGGCACACCGACTCCAGAACCTGATTTGGTTTGGGAGGACGGTGATGATGACGCCAGCTTTGCCGATGCTAGTGAACTGGAAGCCATGGAGATGCAGGCGCGCATGGAAGAGCTCCTGCTTGATCTCAACTTTTTCAGAAGGAAAGTAGCGGATGATCATGAGCGATTTGGGATCAAGCGACATATTTCGCCAGCTGCGAATGTTGAAGAGAGGCAGGTTCTCGGGGATGTTCAATTAAATTAATGATGGACCACCTTTTTTGTGTCTGCTGTTCATTCCTTTTGGTTCCAATTTTTGTCGGACTTCGTGGCGCATTTTTCTTCCCCCCCCCCTTTTTTTTTCGGTTCTCTGTAGGATAGGGTACTGGCAGGAGTCACTAGAAAGCGAACGGGCTGACAGTCTTTTTCTACATTTTCTCTGTGCAATTTCCCCCCTCTTTTTGTTTAATTTTATTCTCTTTCTCGTTTGCTATATTCTCATCAGGAGTGGGGGATCCTTTGTTTGCCTGTTTCTTATTGACCTGCTTTTTCCTTGCATACTAGTTTATATGTTATTAGTGAGATGAGCAATGAAGAAAAAAATGAGAGATGAGTCACTAGGGAATGAAGCTGTCAGTGACACATTCACACATAGCCAGTGGGCTGCTTCACAGTTATTTATATGTGGCCCGCATGTCATCAGTACATGTGTTCCTGAATATGAGTGGAGATGGCTGTTGGTTGGGCATGGAACTGGGTGAAACAGAGGCTGTGTGATGAGTGAAAGAAATAGAATGACAAAAGAGTTCATACCTAAATAAACATGCCATATCGCACTTTTTTCCTCTTGAACTACCTGCAATATATCACCGGCATACCGTGTTGAGGTGTAAATTTCAGCATTCAAAATGTGGTACTCGCGTTGTCGACGATGGGTGCGGAACAAAATAAGCCGCCGCCCGCAGCGATCGACACCAAGCACATCCATGACTCAATCAGTGGCCAAAAAAACCTCCAACAACTCTCTTCCTCTCCCGCAACTCCCCCCACCCGCACAACCAACTGCAGCAATCTCTACGATTATGGGCCCTCCACCAAATTCTGCCAAAGAGGCAGACACTTCACTGCAGAATACTACTCCTAAAGCGCCAAGTCAACCTAATCGACCGGGTTCTGAAGTTCTAGCTCCCACCATCACCACCACAACAAAAAGCGCGAAAGTGAATGGAGCCCCGCAGGTTGCAACTGCGGCACCGGCAACCACCGCTACCTGTACTACTGGTACTACTCCTGCCGTGTCGAAACAAGATAACACAAATCCGCTGGCTGATTCAACCCCGAAGCTCTCCGGCGCGGAGCTAAAAAAGAAGGCAAAGGCGGAGAAGGCTGCAAGGCGAGCGAAAGAGAAAGCAGAACGCGAGGAAGCATCTGGTGCGGTTAGTGGCAGTGGCATTGGCAGCGCGAAACAGCAAATTAACCAGCCACTGTCGAAGAAAGGAGTTCCTGGGTCGCAGGCGCAAAAAAATCCTGAGGTGAGTGGTTTGGGCGGGAAAGGACAGAAACAATCAGGTGGTGGAGGTGGTGCTGGTGGTGGCGGGCGACATGGCTCGATTACACATATTAATACTGCGGAGTTGACGAGGAGGAAGAAGAGAGAGGAGGAGGGCATGGGTGTCGGTAAGACGGTTGCGGTTTTTAGCCATTTGTCGTTGCAGAAGCGAAGAGGTACGATTGCAGGGGCGGGAAAGGAGATTCATCCGGCCATATTGGCATTGGGGTTACAGATGAGGGATTATGTGATTTGTGGGAGTAGTGCGAGGTGTGTGGCTATGTTGCTGTGTTTTAAAAGAGTATGTTATGGCCCCCCCCTTGTTGAAGCCGTTACATGTTTTCTATACAGGCGATTGCAATCAGAGACACTTGCTAACCCAACATCATTGGTTTTAGGTGATCGAATCTTATAGTACACCCATTGGAACATCGCTAGCACGCCACTTGATGACACATCTCTCCCACCAAATCTCATATCTCTCGTCCTGTCGACCACTCTCCATAAGTCAAGGCAATGCGATTCGTGCTATAAAACTCGCAATCTCAGCTGTGGACCCATCCTGTCCTGAGAGTGAAGCCAAGGAGTCCCTTTGTGACTATATCGACGGATTTATCCGTGAGAAGATAACGGTTGCGGACCAGGTGATCGCAAACAGTGCGGCTCAGAAGGTTAACGACGGTGATGTTATCCTCTGCTACGGTGGGAGCAACATTGTTCAACAGACCCTTCTTACAGCTCACGGCCAGGGCAAGAAGTTCCGCGTCTCGATCATCGATTCCCGTCCCCTTTTCGAAGGCAAGAAACTTGCCCGCACACTTGCCAATGCGGGATTACAAGTACAATATTCACTCGTACATGCAATTAGCCACGCGGTAAAGGAAGCTACGAAAGTTTTCCTAGGCGCCCACTCCATGACTAGCAACGGCCGCCTTTTCAGTCGCGTAGGCACTGCCCTCGTTGCAATGTCTGCAAAAGAACGTGCAGGCGGCACCAACATTCCCGTGATTGTCTGTTGCGAGACGGTCAAGTTCACCGACAAAGTAGCCCTTGACAGCATTGTTCTAAACGAAATGGCCGATGCGGACGAATTGGCCGCAAGCGAACCTTCACACCAGATAACACATCCATCTCCACCACTCCCGACAAAAACTGCCAAGTCTGGCGCTGCGACAAACCAAAACGCAGAGTCAATGGCCGATACTGTCACTGATCCGAACAACCCTCTCCAACATTGGAAAGAGAAACCAGGCTTACAACTGCTGAATATCATGTATGACGTCACACCAGCTGAGTATATCGATATGGTCATTACGGAGATGGGCAGTTTACCACCTAGTGCCGTGCCGATCGTGCATAGGATGAGCACAAACTCCTAAATTCGATCGTGCTTGTACGTTTCATTGTTTCTTCCTTTTCAGTTCCCTCCTCCCTTGCTTTTACTTTCTTCCCCTATCCTTTTCTTGGGGGTTTCGGATTTCTCCATGTCATTTGCCCTCTATTTTTCCTTTCTTTTTGTTTCCATCTTATCTCTTCAAGTGTATTTTCGTTCCTCCACACATTATTCTTTAATTTTCAATTTTTATAGTACATGTCATGGGATAGACAAAGGAAGGGTACGCCTAAGCGCCCCACAAAAATGAAAACTGTGTTGTTGCGAGGTTAGGCGAAAAATATAAGCATGGAATTAATATAAAAGCAGGGGCTTGTGATATCAGGGGCATTACAATGGAACAGCAGGATTTTTCTTTCTTGCTCTGCCATTTTTCTTTTCCTATAATCTTTAATTCTTTTCTTTTCTTCTTACATTACTTTCAGCTCAAGTATGACTAATTTATTCACGTCCTTCTGTAGGATAATTGAAGAATCTATTGGTCTGGCTGGCTACAAAGAATCTATATCCCCTTGTCTGGCCGTGAGGCACAATTAGTAGAGGGATCCTGCAGCGCCAAGTCGCATGAAATATTTAGTATGCACGGCCTTCCTATATAGGCATAGATGCCACGATTCGGCGCTGCTGTGGTTGTAGGCCTTGTAAATATTGTATTCATCTAATTGAAAACCTCTTGTATGCCGGGTAATGGATATAATAATAATCCGTCACTGTAATAATCTCATCATCATGCTGCAGCTGCAGCTGCCACTGCTGCCAGTATTTGATAATCTGATTATATTATTCAATATTTTTTCAGCTTTAGTCACTCTTTGCTAAATATGATATTTGAAATTCCACTTGGAATTTAATCATATTTTCAGTCATTTCACATTCAAACTGAGAGAGGCCGCAAGTAGCTGAGCTTTATATTCACGTGACTCTTACCTTATCAGCTCATCACAACTGCTTGGCCTCAACAACAGCTACCCACAACAGAAATAATCTCCAATTGACAGACTTACAATAGCTGATGACTTTCACTCTTAAAAGTAAATGGTTGAATCAGTCAAGATGGTATGTCACAGATATCAAGAACAGGGCCCAAACAAACCGTTTTTTTTTTAACACCCATGATCCAAAACCAGTCCAAAGACTCCTCCCCAAACCACATCCACTTCCACCACCCACGCCTCGCCGACCTGTTCGAGGACTTCAACCGCCCCTACACCTCAATCTTCCCCAGCAACACAGGTGCAGGGGCCGGCGCCTCCTCCTCCAACCCGGCAACAAATACAGCATCAACCATCATCAACAATCCGTCCACAAACCCTTCCTCAACAACCCCGGCCACCATCAACTCTTTCCTCCCCGTCGAAGACATCTATGTGGCCCCGCAACACCAGCCTGTGAACCCTGAGGATGAGGACGACGTTGTACCCGACCAACATGCCGTGTTTGGTATTACGCGCGCCATGGATTCGCGGCGGGAGGTTGTGTGGAGGGATTTGGCGCTGGAGGAGCTCATGCGCGGGGCTAGGTTGGCGGAAAGGAGTAGGGGCGCTGGAATTATTGTGGGCGCTGGTGGTGGGGTGGGCGGCGCTGGCTCTGGGGGAATTAGGAGAGGTGGATTGGTTGTTAGTGGTGTCGGTGGTGTCGGTGTTGGTGGCAGTGGTGGGGCGAGGAGGGTTATGTGTCTAAGGTGATGGATGAGAAGGTAGACTTACGCGATTCCTGGATGTTTTTTGTGATGGGGTGGATGTTCTGGTTCTCACTTTATAGGCGTTTGGTTTTTATTTCGCATTGTTGATCTCTGGAGTTCATGGGTGGACGGGAGCCTTGGATGGGGGAAAGGGTTGTTTTTATTGTTACGCTCTTGTCAAGAGGAGCTTCTATGCGCTTACGATACCCAATTGTTTGATGCGGAATATTTAGATTCCTGGAGCAATTGCATTTATGTGATGAATTAACCCATTTGGAAGCATGAACCCTTATCCCTAACGCCGGTCTCGCCAAAATAGTAATCCATGACACCCATTCGTTATTATATAGACTTCCGAAATTTTCTTAGATCCTAATCACATCCACTCTTGCCCGTTCATAGACATTGTGTCCAACTTGTTTCACATTCATTTCTTCTTCAGTGAACGTCCTCGGATGCAAAGTCATTTGGGCATATGATCCAGCTGCTTTTCGTTTTGACAGTGTGCCAGGATTAATGACAAGGACACCCTCGACTACCTAAACAGTTGGCACATGAGTGAGCAAAAGTTACACAATGGTATCGAGAGAAATCAGTTTGCAATGCAAAATTTCCAGGGACTAACCTTGACAAATGGAGGTAATATACTAGGCGTAATGAGCACATCTGGTCGCGCATTCCACCACTCGCCCAATTTCAAATAATTAATATCGAGCATCGCGCCAGTGGCGAGGCCACCTTCGAACCCAGACTTTGGAAGGTTTTCTCTTGCAGACGTGGGGAAAACAGGCAAGAAATGGCGTTGTTCGATCAAATATCGTGATAACCTGGTTAACAACCCACCCTCTGAAGGTTTGCCTCCTACCACTTCCTCTTGTCTTAGCTCAAACAGAACATCATGAGAGCACATTCCAAACACGTTTTCGTTAAGCGACAGAGTTACTGGGTTTGGAACCGTTCGAACCTGCTTCGTCTGGGATAGGTCGAGGTCCTTTTTGGGCAGCCTTTCCTGTGGAAAGGAGACGTGTTTGCTGACTGCATCGCGAACTGAAGGAATGAGGAAAATGCATATGCTCGGCACTGTAGACACAAGTTGCTTTAGGAGTGGGGTTATATAGCATCGAAATAATGTTGATAGGGTCGCATTTTCTGGGTCAAGCCCCTTTACATCTGGTAGGTCAAAATCACCAGATGCGATGAGGGGGTGTTCCAGATCCAAGAACGGTCCCGTTAGAATCAAAGCATCAGCATACTCATCGCCCGCCTTGAGGCATAATGCTCTAAGGGGTTCAAAATCAAGATTATCATCCGCCGTGAAAGGTCCTGAAGCTATGAGTATATTTAACGCGCGTTCTGCATCGTTGTCCCCAAGTCGGTCATTTATCGATTGTATTACTGCGGGTGGAGATGCGGCTGGCGGTAGCAGAGGTGTGGAAAGGACTTCGAATACTGTGAAATACTCTCGAGAAGCATTTATTCCTCGAAGGGCAACAATTTGGCCGGGGAAAAACTGAACCGAAGGCAATGAGTCCACCTTCAAGGGAACTCGTAGACCCGCACCAGTACGTCTCGAAGTTTCCAAGACCAAGGATGCGGTATTCAGTTTTCCCTCCAAGCTGTCAGAAGCAATTCTTCCCACTGCAATAATCTCCTTGGTACTTTGATTTGCTGCACTGCCAAAGACGGTATCGTCCAAGCCATGATGTTTTTGAATGATATCCGTAAATTCATCTATCATGTTATCTAGCACTTCAGATGCCTCGTTTAAATGCATGGACATCGGTTTATAAGCAAATTTCTTCATATCGGTGTTCGCGGTGGGCTTTATACGTTCGATTGGGTACGGAGCTATAGGAGGCTGTGGCTGTGAAAGATGGCTATTGATCGTCTCCAATACTTGTCCACTATTTTGTCGTTCAGAGAAAGGTGTTGATCTGTCCATCAATTAGATGACCTCTCATTTCTTCAGAAAATTTAGGGAAATTGGATATTTACTGTATTCGTCCAAGGTCGCCATTCGATGGCCGCGTTGGAGTTTTGGAGTCGACGAGAGATCCAGTGCGCATTTCTACCCTACCCATCTTTGATGCCGTCGAATTTTCAAAAGCAGCTTTCCTCTTCACAGCGCTGGCACTCGCACCATTCGTAGTTCTGTCTTGTGGTGATGAGGTGAAATCATCGAGCCTTGGAGATATTAGTCTTTCGTCTACCAGTCAATTGAGTAAGTATGTAAAAGTATCTTCTGCAACCTACATCCCAAAAACATCCCGAGTATTAGCAGCAGCTCGAGGAGTTGCTGAAATAGCATTTCTTTTATCAGCTCCACGCATATGGCTCTTCCCCCGGCTCTCGCGCTCCAAAGCATCTTGGACATCTCTCTTCAGGCCTCTAACAGTATCCAAATTCAGTATTGTCTCGTCTGCTCCCATCTTCAAGCAGTATGCATCCCACTTGTACGATAAATCTTGGGCAGACATCGAGTGAAGCCGCATAATCGATCGCAGTTCCGCCGCGACATCTTGGGGAACTCCGGAAGGGCAAGACGCAGAGAATGCATCATTGAGCTCGCTTTTTATTTCCTCCATTGTTTATTCTGTTCTTCCACGTCGATCTCAAATTCGTCGTTTAAGTCTTCTGCTATATACATACCACGGCGGTCAAACGTCCAACCGCAACAGGGAAGCCTCGACGTCTTGAATTTCCTCAATGGGGAGACGCGTTTGTCACGCGTTTTTAAGGCCTTGGCATTATTCTGCCAAACTGCCAACTCATCACAGCTCCTAATTGGCTAATTCATCCACCGCCTAGAGTATCAGATTATCCAATCAAAAGTACTCGTGCAGCCAAGTGGATATCAGCCGCATTTCTGTCCTTCTGGCGTGAAGCAACGTCTGTTGATGTGGGTTTTTGTCCCCTGTTTTGTTGCTCACTTGTCAATTCTTACAGAGATGGCCATAGAAACAAACGGTGCTCTAACGCCAGTGGCGGAAACGCCTGTTGCAGCTGCCACGAAGGATGAAATAAAACAAGGGTCGACTCCGGAGGACGGGTCCAACAAGCCAGAGTCTCAGGATTCAGAAAGTCCTCCAAAAGATGAAAATCTCCAATCCCCAGCTACAACTGCAGGCGATGTCATAAAAACACCGTTTACATCGCCCCTGGAGTCCTGCAAGCCAGAATCTCCCGCCGAGTTGACTTCTGATCAACAATCGAAGTACGAGCAGCTTCTTACGGTCGTTTCTGAATGGACAACAATCCCAACTACGACTGCGAAAAATGCTCCCACCGAGCCTATTACAGACGACGACCGCATGTTCATGACACGGGAGTGTCTGCTTCGATACCTTCGGGCTACCAAGTGGGACTTGGCCGCTGCCACCAATCGTCTCAGGGGGACTCTTACCTGGCGTCGTGAATATGGTCTTGCCAAACTTACACCGGATTATATGTCGGTTGAGAACGAAACAGGCAAGCAAGTCATTCTCGGATACGATGTGAACGCTCGACCATGCTTGTATCTGAATCCAGCCAGACAGAACACGGCGTACAGCGAACGACAAGTGCAGCACCTTGTTTTTATGGTGGAGCGCGTTATCGATCTAATGGGACCGGACCAGGAATCACTAGCATTGCTGGTGAATTTCAGTGACACACGATCAGGGCAGAATGCGACAATTGGTCAGGGGAGACAGGTGTTGAGCATTCTTCAAAACCACTATCCAGAACGCCTTGGTCGGGCGCTCGTTGTCAACAGTAAGCTCTTCAACCGCGCGCATGAGGGGCCAATTCGTGAGCACACTAGCTAACTCTTAAACAGTACCTTTCTTGATTCACGGATTCTTCAAGCTTATTACTCCCTTTATTGACCCTCTGACGAGAACGAAACTCAAGTTTAACGAGGACCTCCGCAAACACGTTCCACCTACACAGCTACTCAAGAGCCTAAACGGCGAAGTGGAATTCGAGTACGACCACTCCACGTACTGGCCAGCCTTGAACAAGCTGTGTGAACAACGACGAAAGGAGTACCATGAGAGATGGGTCCAAGGCGGTAAAGTTATTGGAGAGCACGAAAGCTATCTAAAGGGTGGATCCGATAAAGGCCTCAATGGGAGCCGGGCGCCAATTGCAACGATCGAGGAAAAAATGGAGCGTTTGGAAGTTAATCTCCCGCAAACCAACAACGACCAGTCCGTCGACACTATCACCCCAGCATAGATTCAGCTTCGCCTCTTTATTATTCGCCACTAGCATTTTTAATACCACTAGCGTGTTATATTTCGGGCGCTTTTGACGTTTTGTTTCTTTTCTTTTCTTTTCTTTCTTTTCTTTTCTTTTCTTTTCTTTTCTTTTCTTTTTTTTTCTCCCTCTCTTTCGTTAATTTTCCATACCAGTTTTATTCCCAATTGCTTTTTGCGGAGATAGATGGATTGGTTGATGAGGTCCAGCCCCTATGGTTCTACGAGGGGCTCCTTTTGGTGAATAGATATTATATGCTTTTTTCTTTTTTTTTTCCCTTTTTTAGAGAGGCGTGATGGTTGTTAGATTCTGGGCATACCTAGGCAATATTTTAATATTAGTAGTTAATTCATGGGCATTTTATAGACCAACCTATGCCTTTTGTGAGCATTAATGTCATTCTTGCTGTGACCTGTCCAGAGTGGTGAGAGTGGGTCAGTCCAAATACCCATTTGTATTCCAACTCAGATAGCAGAATATCATTGAGGATTATATATAATATGGCGGAATCGTAGGAGATTCCCCAGCTATCTCCATCTCTACTAACCCGCCTCACTGATAAAAAAAAAAACAAACCTTCCATTATCCTTTATCCTTATCGAACCTTGTTTGGCGGGGTCGGAACATCTAATGGTCCGTGATTCAGCAGCATCCCATCTATCACAACCACGACCAACTCGTCCGTACAACTTGGACTCCCTTTAACTGTCGACTACCATTTACCAGTTAAGTTGACTCTCCCTGCTTAATGTCCGTGCTATAGCTCCAGCTCCCCCCGAATTATATATCTGGATTGCGCGAGTTTAACAGCTGTACCCGCAGCTCTGTGTCGTATCGGTACATCTACTTCCTCTCCCATACCAACTATCTTGATCATAGTTGAAGGGCAGATTTGCAGCTACATGACCGCTCGACTTCCATACCCACCTTGGCCCAGCTCAATCGCTCACTTCGCATTGGTTTGTTGGGTTCTACCTGCAAACGCCCAATCCCACTACGACGATTGCAGCAGCCGTTTCTGGAGTGAACCAAGCCAGCTACGGGGTTCCTGTTCTCCCCTCTACATGCAGCCGCTGTCACCAACAGAGCAGACCTGTTCCGTCCTCACACCAGCAAGATGAACGATGATGCCCTAGACCGACCACATACAGCTTCGCCGAGGCCTGCCAGCATTGCTCCCTCCGCTAGTACGTTGGCAGGGACGGGCCTTCGAAGTGGTCACGAGGCTGGCTTTGTGCAGCCATCTTCCTATCTCCGGCCCCGGGGTCTATCCCGCCCCATGACTCCCGCTCAACCAGAACGAGCTGTCGATCGCGATGAAAGATTAGCGCTGGTAAGAATATCCGTGATTTTCTTCCTCGTGTTGTTGGTTTAAGCTTTTTAATTTGCTCTGCGACTCTCGCTTCCCGCCCCTCCCTCACTTTTGGGACTAATGCGGGGTCGGATCTGCCCCAATCCCTAGCGGGAGTGGGGGAAATTCAAAACCACCGATCGATAAGTGAACGTGGATAGGATTTTGCACTTGTTGCCTAATTCGGCTCAAGGAAGTTAATAGAGAAGAGGAGACAAAGAATATGAATTTATACTTCCGTCCTTTTGGACTTATGGCTAACATGATTCCTTGCTGTTATGGCAGCGCGAAGTCCGAAACCTCCTCAAAGACCATACCAGCTATGACATTTTACCTCTTAGTTTCCGTCTCGTTATTTTTGACACCGCCCTCTCAGTGAAGGAGAGTCTCAACATTTTGACCCAGAACGGTAAGCTGTACTGCAGAGGGTCGCACCGCTGTTCAGGGGGGTCGTCGTGGAATATGCCGGCTAATGATAACCGGCGAAACTTCTACAGGAATTGTTTCTGCTCCGCTATGGGACTCTACCACCTCAACTTTTGCCGGCTTACTCACCACGTCGGATTATATCAATGTTATTCAGTACTACTTCCAGCACCCAGCCGCATTGGCAAAAATAGACCAGTTCCGCCTCAACAGTCTTCGTGGTACGTTGTTTTACTTCATTACTAGCCTCCATTCCATCTTTTTGCATATACTAACTGGTCGTAATAGAAGTTGAAAGAGCCCTTGGTGTGGCTCCACCAGAAACTGTCTCAATTGACCCTGAACGGCCGCTTTATGAGGCATGCCGGCGAATGCTCTCCTCCAGAGCACGTAGGATACCTTTAGTGTCGTACGATTCTCAGACCGAAAGACCCTTGGTAGTTAGCGTAATCACGCAGTACCGCATTCTAAAGTTTGTAGCTATAAACGTTCCTTTAGCAGCGCAAAAGTTGCGGAAACCCTTGAGAGAAATAAATGTCGGGACTTACAAGGACATTGTAACTGCTACCATGGACACACCTGTCATTCATGTCATCCACAAGTTGGTGGAGCGCAGCATATCCAGCGTTCCCATCATTAACTCAGAAGGTGAGAGTCCCAACATATATACTCATCTTCTATATTCTAAAATGCATTGACTTATGTTTTGTTTTTTTGTTTGGCAGGCGTAGTATATAACGTTTTCGAAGCCGTCGATGTCATCACATTGATAAAAGGAGGGGTATATGATGACCTTAACCTTGGAGTAGGCGAAGCTTTGAAAAAGCGCCCGGTTGTAGGTCCTCACTGCTGCTCATATTCCTCCTGAACCAGCAACTTACTTTCTTTTGTCCTTAGGGTTTTCCCGGAATCTATACGTGTTCGCCTGATGATGGCCTTGACACCATACTTGCTACAATCAGTCGGTCACGGGTTCATCGTTTGGTTGTTGTGGATGACCATTTCCGCCTCAAAGGCGTTCTCGCATTGAGCGACATTCTACGCTATCTCCTTCTAGAGGGCGAGCCAGACGAGCCATGATTGGAGAAACACTTGAATTAGTAAAAGGATCAGATCCCTTCAGATATGCATCGGGTCCCGGAGTCATTTGCCTTTGCTCCTCTGCTGGTTTCCTCTTTTCCTTTTCTCATTTTCCTTCTCTTCTTTTGGAACGGAGTTTGGAGCGGCAAAAATAAACCCACGCATCGTCTAGATCTGGTAATTGGCATTTACCTGACGAACGTGCAAGGTACGTTACCTAACGGGTCAGGTATGGATGTTATTGGCAGACACCCAGTTAACGGTGTTCATTTCTTTTCTTTCGTTTTCTTTTCCATTGGAAGCAAGCATTGGCTTTTAATGTTGGAAAAGAGCCGGTGCTTCGTCTTTCCTGTCTCAGATTTCTTCTTCCCCCCATTGTTTAATTATTTGGTTTATGATTGATCATAGCAGGTATATGATGCCACACTTCTGAATCTAGCATCTCTATTTTACTTCATGTTGTATGGGTTCTGTCATTTCCTTTTTCTTTGCATTTCCTTTACAGAGAGATGATCGGTATGGTTTTTTACACAATCTGTGTATTTTCCCCGCAGTTCCCATCATCCACTGCTATCAAGCGATCAACTCCCGAAATCCGCCCAGGCACGCCTCTTACTATCACGCACAGACACGCCTCTATTGTCCATATATTGCGTCCCTTCATCAAACGGCGGTTCCCGCGGGGAGAGCCGTTCCTTCCTCAGCATGGGTCGTTCTTTCCCTGGTCCTGCGGCATAAGTTTGTTTGCATTGCTGTCGATATATTTTTCTATCAACCGTATCCAGTTCTTTTGCATCCTTACAGGTCTCCATTTCAGGTCTTGTCGGCCTCGTCGACCGATTGTTTTTCGATACTACAAAAGAGCATCCAAAATTGAAAAATGGGCTTCTCAAAAGCTTTGCGTTGGTTTTCTCGCAGACGTTCGAAACATAAGCGATCGAACTCCACTACTTCACCAATACAAACAGAGCCTACTATCAGTGATCCAAAACATTCGCAAACAAGTCCTTTCGTCACAGTCATTGAACCGAGTCAGGAAGATCTAAACGCAACGGATAACCTAGTTAGTAACGCATCGAATCAACAGATAGGCGAGAGTCGACAGGCTCAAGCTTTGGTCCAGGCTCCCGAGCACCAAGCTGTTCTGGACAGTGGACACCCCGTCGAACCAGTTAAGAAGGCCAGTACACCGTCAAGGTCGGCTTTCGAGAACCTACAGATCGAAAAATCGGGTGGTCGCAGTCAGGGCTCGCCCATCCGTATATGTCAATCTTCGAATGATCATGAAGATGAGATTTTACCAGCAAGCAGCCTGTCGAGCGAGATTGAAGATGAGAATCACAAAAGCACTGCGGGTCTATCCAAGGGCAAGGATGTTTGTCTTGAATATAACCAGGAAAATAAACCTAACGAGTCAACAAGGCAACTTAGCAACGAGACGATGTTGTCGGATGTATCCTGCGCGACTGTCCAGCGTAACCCATCGAGATATTGCCAGAGCCCGATTGCAACCGTAGACTTCAGGATTCCATCCGAGAATGATAGCCCATTTTCAGATAGACATGCCATAGGGAGGCGGCCCGACATGTCTGGTTCGGAAAACGTGTTAAAACCTAGTGGATCGCTTGCTTTGGTAGAACGTGGCCCGAGTACTTGCTCAAGTAGCGAACCGCATCGCCCAGACACTAGGAGAGTACCTAGGCGCTCATCAGATATAATATCCAACAGAATAGTATCCGGCACAGCTGTTCCACAGAGGGACACCCTTCGTTCCACAGCCTCGAACCGTCTCCATACCTCCGTTGAAGTATTGGAGATTGTACTACCCTCCAAATCCCAAGATGAAGCTACAAATCTAGGTGAGAGAGATTAGAATTTAATCAGCTGAGCGAGCACTTATGCTAACCATATATTCTATCAGCGGAAGGAGACAGCTTGCCCAAACGTTCCGATTCCTTTCTTGGTCGTATTCGGAGCGTCAAGTCGAACTTGGGCCTGAACTGCAGAAACAGTAATAGGAGAACACTGCGTCGTATCCAAACCTTTGCCAACTTACCTCGACAATACCATATCGGTGATTTGAACGGTAAAGGATTGGAGGAATTGGCCCGCCTCGGAGGACTGAGTTATCTGGATTTGCCCGAGGGGTACGGTCCCCGTAAGCTAGCATTGCCGACATGTTTCGCTTCAACAATGGGCTACCTTTTGGAAAATGGTATGTGATATTTCCTTTGTTCCCCCAAAAAAAAAAAAAAAAAAAAAAAAAAAAAAAAAAAAAAAAAAAAAAAAAAAAAAAAAAAAAAAAAATTAAACTAAAGCAATATTTTAATCACAGGCATCGGCATTTATGACCTGCATCAGAAACATGATGATAATGATGTCGTTCGTTCGCTGTACAGTGAATATGCCCACCAGGTGCTGTCTGCCGCAATGAGAAAAGATACAATTGACAAAACTACGAGAGCCGTCAGACAACCAAATGCGTTGGTACCACCACTTGATAAGCCCTCTGGAAGAAACATGAGATTTATACACGATGTTTCCACAGTGTTCAAACACTTGTTATGTGGTATACCTGGTGGCATTCTGGGATCTGTGTACTTAGGCAAAGTGTTACGACAAATTCAACAACATGAATTCAAAACCTTCTCAGTGATTAAAGATCCGCACCGAAGGGAGTATCGCCCCGATCTTCCACTTCCCAAGGCTGCGAAAATCCGGTTAATAGCACTTGCCCTGGCTGCCTTAACGAGCGATATGCAATTGGACTTTATATGTGCTATCTTCGGCCTCCTTGCTTTCACAGCTGACGAAAACGCTAAGGTCCGCAACGCGCCCGATTATAATAACAACAGCTTCTTTACTCTTCCAGATTCTGAGTCGTTGGATGGGATCTTTGGTTTTGTTCTTGTGGACCCGAGTTCGGCTCCATTAATTCCTGACGAAAGCTTTATTCTGCAAGACCCCGGAATCTGTTATGAAGGTCTAGTGAAAATGATCATTGATCACTGGAAGGACATTTATGTGCAGTTGTCATGGATGGAGGGTTTTTAGTTGACCTTTTTCGTTAGTTGGTTCTGTTGGTTAGTTTTTTTTTCTCATTAATTGTATTTTGTTAAGATTCTATTCTCGGTTGCATTGTTTTAGTCGGGTTTTAAGTGCGCTTTGGGCGAAAAAAGGAGAAACATGAGTATTCTTATATTATCTTCTGCACTTACGAAGGTTGGATCGCTGCTGCATTGGATTGCATTATATAGCCATTAGCACTAGAGAACTGATGTCTCAACATTGTGCTTGTTGGCCAAGCTGTGTTCGCCGAATATGGCATTGTTACGTTTCAGCGCCCTTTGCTCCCCGAGATTATTTCATGTCTTGGTGATAGAAGCAACTGAACCCAGACCGGTAAGATCTTTAGATTCAGACCAGATGGAGCTACAGGATTTGCATGTAAAAACTTCATTGATTTGCTTCTGTATTTGCTCTAGCTGCCTCCAAACTTTGCCCCTTTTTAAAAATAATTACTTAACCCCAGGAGCACTTATCTTCTTCATAACTCATCACTTATCACGCCAGGGACCATACCTCAAAATACGTAGCATGGCATGAGACTGTCCAGAGTATCTAATTGATTTATTAAATGAACAAAAAAATATAAAAATCAAAAATCAAAAAATCAAAAAATCAAAAATCAAAGGAAGAAGAAGAAGAAGGAAAAGACGAGAGACGAGAGAGAGAGATAAATGGGTGTGTTGTACGTCAATAACACAAAATAAGCAAGAAAGAAAGAAAAGCCTCGTCCATTTCATAATATTTATTAAAAGGTGAAAGAAAGATACATAATAACTATCATTAACAAGAGGTAATGGAATGGAGAATGAATGAAAGATATACTCCTTTCCAAAAGTTCCAAAAATAAATAAAATAAAATAAGAGAGAGAGAGAGAGAGAGAGAGAAGAAACGCGTCACTGTCATTCATCCTTCGCCACCAACAAGTCCAACAAATTAGTAGTCATGTAGCCGGACACCTCCATCATCGTCGATATCCTCTTCATCATCCGAGTTAGAAGACTCGAGGAAAGAGCCCAATGGCGAGTTTATACTGCCCGCACTCCAGGGCCTGGAAGTTGTGGAACAGCTGGAACGCCTGAAGGACTGATCTTGGCTTTCGACGGTGTTGGGGATAATAGTGGCTGCGATTGGAGGTGGGATTTGATCGATTTCTATTGCCAGTCGACATCATACCGTTATTGTCAGTAATAGTAGGGAATATCATTTGCAGATTTATATGTATGTTTATTCTGTACCTAGCCCTCCTTCTGCCCCTATCCACAAATGATCACTTTCTCTCACCGATTCTGGTATCTTCTGTATCGTAGCTGACGATGCAACATTTGCCCGGGAGCCGCCGTGTTCAAGGCCTGAAATATCAGAAAAATAGTCAGCGCTACCATATTCCCCAAAGTGGACGAAGATAAAAAAAAAAAGAGGCCAAAAAAAAATAAAAATTACTCAAGCCGCCATCATTTACTCCAATCTCTCCACCCCACTCACTTCCTACTACTGTGGACTGCTCAAGCCTCGCCGCCGTGGATGTAATCCCAGTGCACGAGTCTGGATGCCAGTTAGATGGCTTTTGCTTCTCAGCGATCTGGTGCAGTGCATCCCTCCGTATATCCTGAATCATAGCGTTCAAAATATTCCGCTGGCGGATTTGGCCGTCCTTGTCTTCTTCACCATTTGCAGCACTAGCGTCGATCCTGGTATTAACATCGGGAGGACGCCAGTTCAGGTAGATCTTGCAGTGGGATGCAGGCTCTTCGAAGCTACCTGGGTGGTGTCGGAAATATAACTTGCAGCAGTAACAGGCGGGCTTGCTGCATGCGATGTATCGATCAGAGTCTTCGAACTGCAGGCCCTTTTCGTGAAAATGCTCCAGTACTTGGATCTCTGCATGGACTCGCGGGCGGATGGTTGGGTCCGTGTAAGGGATTAGGAATCGGTAGGATATCTGGGTCGTTTCGTCCATCTTTCGCAGTTGCTGCTGGTAGAATTCCAGCTGCGGAGATTTAGCGGGAAGCATGCGGACAAGCACTTTGTCCAGGAGAGTCTTTTCGCGGACGGCGGCTTCGTCGATTGGCGGGAGCCATTCTGCGCGAGCCGGAGTAGTGATGGCACGAACGCTGAATCCGTCAAGTATGTGTCTGAGATTAGGTGCGGTTGAAACGAGAGAGTTGGCTGCTCGAATGTGATGACCAAGGCGTCCGATGTAGTGGCGGAGTCGGCTGAACTTGTGATGGATTGCGTCTTTACTAGTTTTGTAAAGGGGTTCCGCACTCAACTCTTTCAGACGATTCATCTCTTGTGACTTTCGCTTCTCAAAGGCGAGTTGGCATAGAGGTACTAGATTGTTGGGATCGGAGTTGCTAAATCGTCGTAGCCACAGATCGAGGCCGCCCACTGTTATGTGTTAGATTATACCGAAGAGATTTAGCACCAAGAGACCTTTTGAAACATACAGGTTTCCTTGTTCGTTTCTATATATTTCGTGCATCCCTCCAACTCTCGAGAGAATATTGATCGATACTTCTTAATCCGCTTGGAACCAAAATAAATGCATAATTTAGCGATATCTTCCTTATCCCCTTGGCTTGGGGCATTCACATTTGCAATGCGTTCCAGTGTTTGCAAGAGGACTTTGAGAAAAGGAATGACCTTTGCAGCCGGCGATGTATTTGAGGCAACCCAGAACGTAGAACCTTGCGGGGTTGACTCCAAGCCGATAGCAGTGACCGTGTCACCACCCTTATCATAATCGCAGACATATGCCAGTTCGTTCAAGAAACCCCGCCTGCAGTCTCTTACACTGGAACTGTCTAGAGGCAACGAAGGCTCATGTTTTGTATGAATGCCTCTAGTGGAGCCTAGGGTATGTAAAAGAACGAGAGGTTCATAGAAGCGACGGAGGAGACGTTCACGTTTGTTGGGATACCGACGAGATATTTCGGTGGAAGATGATGCACTCTTTTTCCTAGGAGGCTTTTTACGTTTTCCAGCCATTGTGGTGCTTTTTATATGATGCAAGGCTGAAGTACGCGGAATACAGTAAGGACATTCGACAGGCTTCTGCTTGAAATAAGCAGCATCTATATATATATATATATATTCTGGATATCGATATCCCCCCATAAGGCCTTAGTCCGACGAACACGTTGGGTGTATATATTGGTTAGAATTTGGCGCGCCACTGTTCCCCTCATTCATGATGAACTGTTTCGACCTGCATGCACGAACGACACGCACGTAACTCTGCCACCAATTAACTACTGTTAGCCTTGGTATGCAATGTCTGCTGGGCTGGGGCTCGTAGTGGATAATAGAACAAGGGTTGGTAAAGTCCTGCGTCGTAGCTGTGACCGCGCCTGATAACTCGTCAAGCGCTCGCAAGAAGATCAGTAGAGACGTCCAGGCATAGGGGAGGCAAATATATGGACGGTCATTGAATTCCACCAAGTAGGATGCTGGCTCAACGTTGAACATGTTTGAAAAGAAAGACTCAATCTGCATAAGAACGCTCCGATATTATGAGTGACGCGTCTTCAAAAATGGTCTTCGTCTCAGAGCTCTCGTCTATTTTCATTTTAGTTCATCTCATTACCAAGGCAGGCCATACTATATAATGTATGTTGGGTTCAGGAAACTCATGGCTATAGAGAGCGTTCCTGTCGAAGGGCTCAAACGACGTGTGTCTCACGGCGAAGAACAGGAAAACCGGCTCTGCGATAAGAACGGAAACTATGCAACAGAACTGCACATCTTTCAATTCTGTGTTGAAACCGGGGGGATCAAGGGCAGGCTGGTGTTGTGCTGTGGTGTACGGAGCTGATGGTTAAATAGTTAAATAGTTATTTAGTTGGTTGGGGTTAGGGTTTGGATCGTTGCGCAGAGCAATATTTAAATACAATAAAAACTGGGCAAAGATAAACTGCTCGGCTTCAACCAAACTCCCAAATTTCCATATCGTTAATATTGCAGAGGGCAAAGCCTATCTTGGGTGGTGTGACATCAAATGTCACGATAGGACTTGCAATATAAATAAGCAGAGATCTTTCTTTTCAATCCCATCTATTTATTGCGCCTCCTGAGCAGATCACACTGGTGTTCACATTCTGCATCGGCGAAACGATGACCAGAACAAGCGCAACGGCCATGCGATCCCTTCTATCAATTGATAGATCTGCCGTCAGCCATCCTGATTAAATTCTCCATTCTGGAAAATGCACATAAAATGGGAAATCAAATCATGTCGGACGTGGCATGGATGGTCCTCCTAATCTCTAACTTATATCTTCCTGCATCTTTTTTCGTTTCCTTTCTCTCATTCTCTTCAGCGCTCATATTTTCAATGTTTCTTTTTTCTGACTGCACATTTAACTAGGCCACCGATTTGAGACTCTTGTCTTCTTTTAACTTCAATATTTCTACTTCTTGGAAGTGGCTGGCCACTTCAACCACAACATTCATTTTACCGTTATACAACAGAGGGCAAAGGATGAATCCAGAAATCATGAAAAAACCTTCGCCTCGCCCTCCCACTTCTTGCAGCGGTCACCTCCGGTAGGACTCTCTACGCTCGTGATTACTTGGCCACCCGAGAGGGGGATAACCTGGATACCTTTCAGGGTAACGGGGCTACTGAACCGCTAGGGCTCAATGGAGCATCATTCCAAAACTTGGCGCCTACTACCCAGCAGGATGCATGTAATGCGCAATTCAATACCTGTGTCGATGCTGCCAGCACCGCTAAATGCCAGGAGCAGAAAGGTATGTCGAATCCGTCTAATCACCCACGAAAGCTCTAGACTGGATCGTTTGGAAATTTACCAGGATATCTAACCAATTATATGCCAATGGTAGCTGAGTCCGCTGCTGTGCCGGATGCAGTGATCACTGGACAGGTACAAGGACAGGCTCAGAACCAGATGCTGATGGACAGCCTCTCCAACAAAGCCAAGCCGCTCAGGATGCTCAACTGGCCAATGGTCAAAATGGTCAGGGCCAAGATGTTCAGCAAGCTGACCGCACCCAAGATGCTGCAGTGCAAGCTGTCGGTATGGTATCGCCGGTGCTGCCGGCGTCAGTGCCGCTCAGAACGCTGCCTCCACCGGTGGTGCTATGGCCGCGGGTGCGAATGTGGGCGCTGAATGCGCGCAGGCCATTGCTACCGCCAGGCGACGACGCGACGTTGTGACGCTCCCTCTGAATGGATTTAAGGGGCAGAAGCGATATGTTGGTCCCGTGGAGTGGGAGGGAATGGGGGAGGTTGGTGCATTGGTTTAGATTCATAGGACGATTGTTGGGAGGAGTAGAGGAAGGGAGCTGGTAGGAACGCAAGGGCTGTAGGGTGTGTTGCGGCATCAAGGTCCCTTTTTTCGTTACCGTGAGCAAATCTGGGGAGACGTGGGTGTGCACGGCATTATCTTTCTGAGGGCATCCGAGCCTGTCCGCTGAGTGCGATACCTCGTGGTGGGTTTTGATGTTTGCCATTCGTGTCTATCTCTTTTTGCCCCTATGTTTTAAGATATCACCACTGTAGTGTTCTCCACAAGTAGCTTAGTAGCTAAATGCGTTTGGTATTGAGAGGCCACGTTCCTTTTCCTATGTCCTGTAGATTTTTATATTGTCGTCTTTTATATATCATGTCTATCTAACTGACGAAATTGTTTGGAAGATAAATATATGTAAATTACACACAACCCTATTGCGAGAAACGGAAACAAAACGGCGCAAGAAAACAAAATAAGTAGCGTACAAGTGCTCAATTAATGTCAATGGCCCTTACCCTGTCACACAGACCAACCACCATCCAATGCTGCGTACTACGCTCCACCAAGCTTTCTCTTCACCACCTCCAAATACTTCTCCCGCACCCCATCCTTATGTCCCCGCAGGCTTACAAATTCGTCCACAGCCTTATCTGATCTTTCGTGCTTGAGTGCAAACTCGAGAATCTCCTTCTCACTTGGCAGGGCGAACCGCTGATGTGGGTATTCCATATAGTCCGCATCAGGGTTTAGGAGTGGCATTCTTATGTCGCCAGCCTCGATGCGGAAGAACTTATGGACGGCCTCATCGGTGACCTCCTCCAGTTTGGCAGGTTTCCAGGCCGGCTGGGTTGGTGGCTTGTTGACCAGGCGAGCGGTGACGCCTTCGACGAAGTCTGGATGAGCCATGAATTTTGCGGCGATTTTCTCTTCACGCTGGAAGGTTTCCGCTATGGACCATGTGCGGCCGATGCGGAGTTGGCGGAGGGTTACTTTTAGAGAGGTTGGGGAGCGGGAGGCAAGTGTTTTCAGAGTCTTCTCAGCCCATTCCTTATTGACCTGTTCGTTTTGAAGTCTGCTGATAATTTCCTCCATGGTATCTGCGGAGAAGCACTGGTCAATGGATTCGCGGATGCTACTTGATGGGAAAATTGGCTCCTCCTCCTGTGAAGGCAGGCCCGTGGAAAACTCGGAAATGGTGCTGTTGACAAGGTCGAGGCGTTCCCCTAGGCTAGCAGTGTCCTTAAAGACTAGTTCAGATAGACGTCCAGTTAGGTTGGCAAGAATGCTTGAATGGAGATAGTGGGTGGCCACGCCGGCGTAGAGGGTTTGCACTCCAGTTAGTCTTTCAGATGTCAGAGCTAGGTAGGTTCCTAGTTCACCGTCCAGGCGAGGTAAGAAGAACGATCCACCGACATCTGGGAAAAATCCAATTGTAGTTTCGGGCATGGCGAAAACAGTTCGTTCAGTCGCAATCCGGAAGGGCGCATGTACACTGAGTCCGACGCCGCCGCCCATAGTGAATCCATCCATGATGGAAATGTATGGCTTGCTGTATGTCGCAATGAGGTGATCAAGTTTATATTCGAGGGAAAAGTATTCAGTGGCCTTCTTCTGGCCTTCTGGTCCTTCAGCGCATTGTTCAGCAAGAGCTGCAACATCGCCGCCAGCACAGAATGCTTTCGATCCGGCACCGGAGATGATGATAATGTTCGCGAGTTCGGATTTTTCCCATTCCTAACGTGCATTGTCCAGTTATTCAGCCGGTTCCGGAAAAGTTTGGGTTCGTAGAATAGAGGAGCTCGTCGCATACCTTTAGCCTGGGTGTAATCTTTCTTGCCATCGAGCCATTCAAAGCGTTCAGTTTCTTAGGTCGATTGAGCTCAATGTTGCGCACCCCGAAAAGACTGCTGAATAGGACATCATCTGGTTCGTCACCAGGAAGTTCTCTGGGTATCTCTACGGCAGTAGACATCTGTATTGACAACCACGGAGGATTAGTAGCTACACAAACGAACATTGTATGTATACACAAGACAATCCAGACCATACCTTTGACAATCCAGACCATGCCGGGGCCGCCAATTTGGCTCTCAAAGGCATCCTGGCTGCGGGACGGGGAGAGAACCAACTTAACGGTGTGGAGGACCGCGGGCAATGAGGTCGAAGGAACATCAACGGCGATCGATTGTTGCAGGGCAATTTAATAAGATATTATAGGGATGCACATGCACAACGAATTGCCGTGGGATCGTTGTGTGCCTAGGTAATTAATTAACTACTCAGCAAGAAATAGGTTCGGTGGTTGCGGCAACGATCGTTGTCGGCATTGGATGCTGGAAAAATTGCTCCGGCTCGGCGGCTGATGCAGCACCATTCTCCGCTTCGGTTGACATCGGCGACGGGGGTCTTTCTCGGCCAGCGATTACAACAGCATCTATATAATGTTGCTGGATTCATTCAGCTAAATAAGTGGATGATGTCAAAGGTATCATTACGAATTCACTTAAAATACACATTTGGAGGTGGAAGAAGGCTTTAAAGCGTACTCTCTGGGGAGCGAATCTAAGGCTAAGTATCCCGACCATTTCTTACGACTAAATTTAAAAAGTAACGCAAAGCCACAATCAAATAGTAGAAAAGACACCCAGTCGCCGAACTATCTTACAATCAGATATGTTTAATCTCCAGTATATCATCATGCCCGTGCAGGCTTAGACCTCAGGTCACTAGAATGACGGAATAACATTCTATCCAGTGCCGTTTTCTCAACGATTAACCGCCCCGTTTCAAGGAGGTCTTTCACATCCACGTCTTCTCGGTCCAATACTCGCGCATGCTGCCCAATTTGTGCCACAGCCCTAAACAGTCTTTCCTTCTTCACTTCTGTAATCATCAACGACCGTCCAAACCCCTTGCCCCATTGGTTTTTCTCGAAAACATCGGTGAGCCAGTATGGGCTGACTTCTCGTGGAAAAGTGATATTATCATTAACGATAATAAGCTGCCCTCGTCGATACCGGTAACTCAGAGCTGTCCGCCATGCCAGGTCGTAGACTTTCTTGGGCAAGCCCGTTGAGAAGTCCCGAGGATGGGGACCATGGGCAACCCCACCACCTCTCAACATTGGTGACTTTTTATCTCCCAGTCGCGCTCTTCCGGTGCCCTTCTGTGGTCGGATTTTCCGTCCACTACCGCGGATGTCGTCTCTCCACTTTGTACTGGCCGTCCCCTGTCGAGTCTTGTCGCCCTCGTACACAACCGCTCGATGTAATATGTCCCGCCGCAATGGTAGAAGAAGGTGCTTATGGCTGTATTCAAGAAATTTAAGGGGTTCCATAGTCGGAAAGTCGTAAAGGGTCGCAACCGCAGGCGCGGGATTCCATACAGGTTTTGGAATGTCATCGGGATTCGGAGGTTGGCCGGCAACATGCGCATCTGCGAACGCAGTCAAGGGAGAAACGCTTGGAATCTCCGTTTCTGTAGTCATAGACCGTGATGTATTTTTGGGGACGCACTGCTGCTCATTGAATTAGCCTGAGTAAGAGAAATATGAAGCGCTCTTCGAGTTTTTTTATCGTACAGTTGGCGCTACGAAGCTGCTGGCGAACCCATTGTAGCTACGCGTGAGCCACCTCAACGTTCCCAGCGACTTGCTTCCAGACATTATAGAATGGTATCCCACGCAGCTGAAATAGTAGAATCGTCGTTGAGGGATTGCGTGAATGATTGAATGCGAAAGAACCGGGCATGGAGGTATATAAGTCTTTGAAGATTTTGGATCTGGCCCGATTTGGCGCTAGTGCACATTGGAAAAAAGTTTGGTCGCCAAACCCTCATCGCAACAGCCAACAACAACCACTTCCATCTCCATCGTAACCACCACGCTCAGCGCCACGAAGAGTCCCATAATGGCGCATTGCGAACTAGCCTCAAGGCCATTGTTCCAATGCCTACGGCACACATACAACAAGACCCTGCTCGTAACCCAATTTTCGCCTACCCGCGCCTTCTCATCTACACCCACCACAAAAGATGAGGCTCAATCAGAAACTCCTCGTAGCGAACCCTTCTACAGAGCTCCAGATCCGGCACTGGTAACGAGTCCTCGGTTGGAGCGAAGGCTTGTCCGAGCTGGCAATCACCCAATTGGATCCCGTCGACGTCGAGCGGCCCTCCAAGACTCGCCTAATATCCCCTTCGAGCTGCTGCCATATCAATGTTTCCAGGAGGCCCGCAAGGTCTTGTTGGAGGATAGGGAGGAAAAGCTCAAGCAAATAGAGATAGAACGTGCTAGAATAGCGAGACTACGTGCGGCCGATCCTACGACTGTGGGAGGAGAGCTTCAGAAAAGTAATCGCCTGAGGAGCATGGAGAAGCACTTGGAGCACTTGAAAATCCTGGCGGATATCAATGACCCTGTGATTAAGAAACGATTTGAGGATGGACTCGGTATGTTTTGAGTGCTCGTAAGCTTATGCTTTTACAACAGAGTCTAATGTGGAATAACCAGGTGACATGAATCGGCCGATATATCGATACCTAGCCGATCAAAAATGGAGGGAGTATAAACGGAAGATCATCGTTCAGCGTATAACCCAGATGAAGGTGGTTCCTGATGTTCTTCCTCACCTAGATCCCATTGTCGAGGTGAAATTGGCTTTCGGTAGACGACCAATACCGCCTGGTGAATTCGTAGATTCCCGAGTCAGCTCGCTGCCAGCCAAACTAAGTGTCCAGAGCTTTGAGCGAGGCGAGAAGCTGTTGACCATTGCCCTTGTGGACTCGGATGTTCCTAACCTCGAAAACGATACTTTCGGTTTCCGTTGCCATTTCCTGGCCGTTAACGTGCCTATTTCACCTACTGAGCCCAGAATTTCCTTGGACAAGCTGTCAACAGACAACCAAGTCATCCTCCCTTGGCTTCCCCCGTTCGCCCAGAAGGGAAGCCCATATCATCGGCTCTCTGTAATTATTCTGGAGCAAAAGGATCAAGCCGCCTTGGATTTGAAACAAGTGGCAGAGAAAGTGCAACGAGACGACTTCCGCCTTCGAGGCCTTCAGACTCGACACCAGCTCAAACCAATTGGGGTTCATCTTTTCAGAAGCAAATGGGATGAAAATACAGAATCTGTAATGAACGAGTTTGGTATTCCGGGTGCAGAGATTGAGTTCCGGAGAAAGAGAATTGAGCCTCTACCATATAAGAGAAGGAATCCCGCCTCATTTAGATAGCCTCTTTTGTTGCTTTTTGTATCTGTTCGGTTAGGTTTTATAGCAATTGTTACAATATATTGTATATTAGAGCTCTATAGCACACTCAATTTTTTTATTGTTTACATACAAAACATGAAAAGCAAAGCCAGCCTTAATGCCATCTCAATTCCCCAGGTTGGAGTGCATGTCCTAATAAATCCGAAGAAACTCCAGTTCTATGCATGTGCTTGTATCTCAATCATCCGAAAACTTGGCAGGTTCCAATGTATTCCGTACCCACCTAGGAAAGGAATTACCTTTCCCCTTTGCAATGACTTTACCCATCACCAACCCCAACGGGAGTGGTCCGTGAAATCTCGAGTCCCTCGACCAGGGCAAATTATCGCCAATGACCCAGACATGCCCTTCGGGGACCTATAATTACATCAACGAGTCAGTAAAGATCAAATAGTGGAAGTCTGGTAAAAATGAAAGAAAGAAAAGAAAAGAAAGAAAAAGAAAGGAATAGTTTCTAACCCGTATCATCTCCGCATCCTCATCGCCAGTCGCATCATCCCCGGATGCCGGCGCATTCTTCAGCACAAAGTCACCCGGCATGCCCAGCACCCGCTTGGTCGCCGTCCGCCCTCGAAAAAGAGGATTCTTGAACATGACAAGATCCCCAACTTCAACCCCTTTCCCGTGCTTGTGGAGCTTGGAAACGAGAAGCCATTCGCCCCGAAAATTTATGGTCGGGTACATGGAGGGGCCGGAGCATGCCTGGTATGAATAGCAGTGCTCATTGAAGAGTTTCCAGCCACCGGTGATGGCCACCGCACCCAGGACGGTAGGCCCCGTCCGTTGCTTGAGGGTGGTCAGTATGCGGCCATTCATTGGGGCGTATTTTGGTGGATTTCTCGTATCCTAACGAGCTGGAATGGGTCGATTGAGGCCGGGAAGTCTGAGTTTGCCCTGAGCTCCGAAATAATATCACGTGGGATCTTTCGGATAAATATTTTCCCTTTTCCGCACTTTTAAAATCACATTTAATGGAGATTTTTCTTGCTCTTGTTTTTGCTTGCTTCCTCTTCTCTTCACAACACTCAGTTCCCATGAAAAACAGCCAGCAAATCTAAGCTGATTGCACATTAATGTCGCCTTTTTGTTTCGTAGAAATCTATTATGGGAATCCTGGTTCACATTTATCAGGCGCAATGACATCAATTCAACCCCATTCTCCGCCATCGCTGACAATTTTGTCAGAGCACTCCTCTCCTCTACCTTTCAGCTGCTTATCAATTGCCGTTGAATGAGGAGCCGGTTTTCACTCAGTATCAAATATCGACTGCCTCCTCCAAAGGCGTTATATCCCCAATACCCCCATCAACGAACTTTAGCCGCTTGAGACAATTATCTCCGCTGTGATATTTGTACGCTTCTATAAATGCTAGAGCTTGCCGTTTCCAACCTAGGACGAGCAAGTGTGGACGGTGAAGCAATATTATAATTATACGTCTCGATGACATGCCATAAAATGGCTGGGATATCCCCGAGCATCTGTCTTGACTTCTGATCCATTTCAGTATGGATGGTGAGAAGCTGAGCAGGTGCGGGTGGGAGACATTTCTTTTATATAATAATATATATACTTTCTCATAATTTCATTCAATTTTATTTTTCATTTCCAGTTCCAAACAGCCATAAGTTGAGTGGCCATCTTTCTCAGCAACCTTGAACTATGATTACATCTGGGTCTGTTGATGGGGTCAACAAAGAACACCCTACTCCGCCATACTGCTATTTGCTCGTAGCATTAACGGCCTTGTTTCTTCCACATCGAATCCGCATCTAGACGCAAGAAAGCAGTCAATACCGATTTTAACAGCAAGCAATATGAGCTCAAAAAGAGAGTGATGAAGAGCCAACGTACTTGGATGAATCTCAAACCCTTTACCGAATTCTTTCCTTTTCTCCGCGTTTTCATCGAGATCCACCCCAAATTTCGACTTGTGGTCTTCCCTCAATTTCACTTTCCCACCGGGAAGCACCTTGTTCAACGCCTCGTCGGAAGTTATACTGCCCATAAGCTCTGGCACTCCCATTGGTAATTCGTCGCCCCTATCGACCTGCCACAGATGGTATACCTTCCCATAAAATGTGACAAGCTGCGATAGCTCCTCTTTTTCTAGCTCGTTCAACTTTGTCCGGTCCGTACCTAAACAATTCGTGCGGCGAGTGAAACCTTCGGGTTAGCCCCTTGTCATGACACTGGGCGATCAATTGCTCACTATCCCCTAGAGTCGAAGGAGAGTTACAACAGGCGATGATGGTGCGCTATTGAATTAAACGGACTTACACTCTGGCGGCGGAGGCATGACCAACATCCCACTCTTTATCTCATAAACATGCGAGTGCCAGAGTACCTGTTCATGCTCCGGCAGCCTTTCATAAAGCTTTGGTGAAATCAAATACTCGATGCCGATGAGGCGGGCTCCGGTATCAGGAGAATCATAGATGATACATTGTCTCATGTCTAGAGCCCATACGTTATTTTTTTAGACACCGTAGATGCAGGACTTCACGTTCCTTAGCTTACCCTCATTTACCATTGTGCAGTAGTGATTGGCCTCGACGAACCGGGTCGGATCTGAGGCGTAGGCATGGTAGGCATGTAGGTGTGCGCCAAATCTTGCTGATAGGCGCGAAGTTTTGAGACATGATAACGACTTTTGTGATGAGCTTTTGAAATATTTTGTTTCTCGATTTTCCTTATGATCCATTTTTATTATATATATATATATATATATATTGTTCTGTGACCTTGGGGGCATCACGGCAAATCTAATCGACTCATTTAATAAATATCTCCATTTGTGATTCCTATTTTCCTGTTTTCTTGAATTACATACTAGTACTATCTTAATTTGCTCTGCTTGACGTCACGATGAGAGTATGCTAACACGAAGCCCGAAGCAGTTTAAAGCTTAATTCAATTGCACAAAATATGTACGAAGCGGCTCAGAAAGCATGGATGACTTAGTCCAGCATAAGAGACGTATTCAGCATTTCAATACATACGGATGTACGCAACTACAGGGAATGCGAAATAAGTGAATAATTTGTCGAGAAGACTCCTGTCAGCACCACGGCCATCAGCTACATTTTTTGAACCGCCGGCTTTGATGGCAAGTTGTTTTTCATCTCACGCAGCGCATGCATCACATCAACCGGATCAGTTTTGCCCGTAGCCTTTTGGATTTCTGGATCCTGAGAGAGAGTTAGTCACGCAAGCATCGACAGGCAGGCACTTTCCCCATAAAGTGTATCGAGGAATGTTATGGATGGGGATGGCTTACGTTGACCCTCATGAACACATTATGTAACTGTCAAGTAAGAAGATGCAATTAGCCAGTTTTGCCTTGGGACTTTCTGGTTTCCACAGACGGAACCCACGCCGCATAGGTGGTGACCGCTAGCGAGGCCTAGAAGGAATAAAAAAAGTCAAAATAGAAAGAGAAGAGTCTGTACCTTCTCGTCGCCAATGGTGAATTTGCCTTGGGTTTCCCGATATTTTTCTGCAAACCACTGTAGCCGCTTGATTGGTTCCGATTGAGATACTTCGATACAAAATGCCACGTTTGATTTTGTATATTCGTGGCCGGGCTGTAGTAATTGAGCGGAGTCAGTTATAAAGTGGGTTAAAGTACGGCACTGGCATCCTTCTCTTCATATAATTTACTTTTCGATACAAAAACAATGGGATGAACCTACATAAACCTTGGTATCATCTGGCAGCTTAGCAAGAATATTATTTAGGGCATCATGCATCTGCTTAGCAGTTCCCTCGAAGAATCGGCCACATCCTATTAGAGGTATTGTTATATTAGTTTACAGAAAACTCACTCGGTATCAGCTTGGTGGTTTAACATGACATATCTGTTTTGTTCTCTATTCTCAACCAAAAGATGTTATTGGGCTGTCATGGCTGACACATACCTCCAATGAAAAGAGTATCTCCTGTAAATACAACCCGCTGGTCACCATCTTCTGCAAAATAGCAGATGCTATCCTGGGTATGGCATGGCGTATGCAAAGCAGTCACTTTAATGCGTTCTCCGATGTTGAAGGTCTCCCCGTGCTTGGGAGTCTTTGAGACGGATTGGCAATCACTGCCTCCAATGACGGGGAGCTTGCCGAATTGTTTGAGCTAGATCCATATGGAAGAGTAAGTGATATGACAAGGAAATATATACAAAAACATGTTATCTCATTAAGTTGGAGGAACTTACAATCCCCTGGTTGCCACCTGAATGGTCATGGTGACTGGAGAGAGAATCAGTTTTGGTGGATGTTTACATCCAGGCCGTGAGAAGAATTTTAGGGTACTGACTGGTGAGTATTTATGATTGCTTTGAGATTAATTTTGCCGCTGTCGATATGGGATTTGAGAACAGGAATGACTCTGTAAACGGAGTATTGGGTGTCAGATAAGTCGGTTAGCTCCTTTCATAAAACAAAGATATCATCACCTACTCCGGAGGATGTGCTGGGTCCACGACCATTGCATCCTTTGATGCTTCATCGGATATTAGGTAGGCATAGTTATTGCCCGACCCCGTCCCTGTTGATTTTTATATATACATTAGCTGCTTTCACTTATCAGTGGCAGAGATAGACTTACACATGGGAATGGATTCGATATGCATTTTGCGCTTGAATACTGATGTACCAGGAGTTATCAACCGATTGAAAGCTCTGCTTACGATCATGAGTTATCGGTAATTTCTATCCCATCCAGGATGATGATGCAGGAGTGTTGATTGTAATTTCTAAGCATGTGCTATAAGAGCTAGCATAATATACGAAGTGGATGCTTTGAATGCTCTTGAAATGAAGAAAGGATGACGTTGAGCCGAGCCCTTCCGCGATTATTCCTTGCTGGAGAAAACCAACCCCGCCAAGGAGGGTTTTTCGTTTGTACATGTACATGTATGTACATAACGTAACAGAGATCGAAATGCAATTGTTAATTGTCTCTGTTCATTATTTTCTAATCCAGTGTAGTGTGATGAGAGCGTAAGAATTTTTTTTTTTTTTTTTTTTTTTTTTTTTTTTTTTTTTTTTTTTTTTTTTTTTTTTTTTTTTTTCACCTACGAAGATTGAAATTCTTTGTAGAAGCGGCCAATCGAATATGCCAACCACTCGCTTTGTTAGACTGCTGTCCTTGACACTGGATGTACTTGTCTTAGTTTAGGCTCATAAGCATAGAGTATTACAAGTTCCTTATCTATGGGTACATATGTTTTCTAAGCAACACCTATGGGTTTATACTTCCAGCTTCCCTTTACATCCCACCCGTAACTCCGCAGCAAATTCGAGTCCAAGTCCGCATCCATATCTACGATTTCCTCGACGGATCCGTCCTGCTTCCCTAGTGTGGCTGCCCCACTACCCGTGCCTAACTCGGAGGTACTATTGCTATTGGCTTCCTTGGTTGCGTCTGTATCCAATTTATGCGAATGTTGGTCCATTGAAGATCTGAGACGGCGAGCCCAATAGCCGGAAGCATCGTGACAGGCTGCATCAACGTGACAGGTAGAGAGGTACAGCCTTCTTGCTGCAGCCCACGCACTCGAGTTAAAGATGTGGACCAGCCATAAATATATAGCCTCTCTGTAGGGGTCTCCCTCCGAAGTATTACTATCCTCATCGACAAGGGCACGCGCTAACTCGCCGCTTAGTGAGGTCAGAAATGTTATCCTGTGTCGACACAGCTCCTTCAAAACTACATCCCACGTCGAAAATGTAGCTTCCATGGAACTTCCTAGACTGGAACAAAGTGTTAGCAAAAGCGAGTTCACTTTCCGTAAGCGTGCTCAGATACTGACGTTCTGCTAGCTGGAATCAAAATACCCTCCTCCAAAAGCACTTGCGTGACAGTCTGCTCTCCTTGCTGATGTTTGAGAATCAGAGCGACATTTTCTAAGCCAGGAAACGACTTCAATTTTCGGGAACTCCTCCGTGTCGCAGAATTTTCACCCAGGTTGCTCTCACCAAGCACCACATTTTTCAGCATCTGCTGAATTTCATTTTTCGTCAATTGAGATTCTCTATTCTGCTCTAGAACATCCATGCCCGCATCAGCAGTCTCGATATCCCCTAGCCCGGCCCAGTAAAATTCCCAGAGCCATTCCAGGGACCGACGAGCTGCATCCCGAAGCACGACAAGAGCGGGTAACTCCCTATGCGTCGCCTCGTGTCGCAGTTCCACAAATGAAGCTGGTAGACCGAGTTCCATTGCTCTTTGGAACATAGTCTGCCTCCTCCCGTACAACTTGGAGTCGACTAGTCCTGTAACAAATCTGCGTTGCACATAGTAAGTAACCCATGAACTTGCGGGGGGGGGGTGGGGCAACAGCCAATCAACAAGAAAGGGATATGATAATTTTTGTTGGGGCTGGGGGCTAAAATAGTGTCTTGAATGAATCATGAGCAAGAAGGTAACCAACCCACCTGCAAAAGGCTGCCGAGTAAGTTGCTCGAATAGAAAAGATGGAATTTTTTCTCGCATCATCATGTAGTATAGCATCCGTTAATAGCGCAGTCGCCTCCACCGTATGCGGTAGGTTCCCACGCAATTTCCAAACCCACACCTGTTATTGGGGAATGAAAAGGTGACAAAGGTTAACATGGAGGCAAAACGAGAGAAAAAGTGCACATAAAACTGCATTTGAGGATATAGGCATACCGTCGAGCATGCTATCGCACGCATATCTGCAGGCTCCCCTGTTGTGGTCATAGAGGGGTAAAATTGGCTGCGGACAGATAGTAGTTCAGACGGTTCCTTCCATGGAGTAAACTGAAGCCGTGGCATGTTGATTTATGATATCGTTTGGTTGCAGACTAGGTGACAAAAATAGACAATATAAAGCAATCCCGTGGGTATGTAGGGAGGAATAGAAGGGCTTAAAAAATAATAAACGTAACTTTGCGCAATAACAATCGGGTTAGGCTCCTTGCATAATATTCTGGTACGAGGTAGGATAGGCGGCTGTGTCGCAACAAGCTGTCCGTACAACCTGGATATGCTCAGGGGCTTAAGATGTCAAGGGAAGAATATGTATGGTCTTAAAACAGATCAACCAGCTTAAATTCCCATCCGATGAAAAATGGGTAACTGGTGCGAAATCACAGAGGAACAAATAGAAAATAGCCACGTAAGCTAAATCTACTGAAAAGAAATCGAAAGTAGTAAATGCCTCTTTACTCCGCCAGTCGGCAGCCAGACCAGCAATAGTTGGGTGATATCTGTTGCAGTAACGATGTATATTTCAGTGCCTGTTGAAATCTTCGTGATGCTAAAGGGTTTGCGAATGAGGCGAAATTAAAGTTTGGTCTAGTCTTGAGCCTAAATGCTTATTTGGGAGCACAGCCAATGATTGCGTTGCTGGGTACAACATTGAAAAGCAGAATTCAAATCATAGATAATTGTGTTGAAAGGTAACTAAGTTAGTTAACTAGTATTTTCTATATTATATAACCAAACACTGAATGAGCTCTTGAGATGTTCATGTTGCACGCCTCCCCTTCAAATGGCCACAAATTAATTAACCAGAATGCAATGTTCTATGATACCGTACCATGCTATGCAATACGATCCCAAACAAACTCCACGCTTGGAAAAAAAAATAAAAAATTGAGGAGATACAATGGTCAATCTCCCCTCCATTAAATCCAACCATACATAGAACCACTATAAGATGGTACAAACATATTGGGGGGGAAACCCATGACTTCCTGGTTCGATTTCCTAGGTACGAGATTCGAGTCCTGCTCGTCCTCAAAGAAAAACGACCTGCCAGCCATATCCAGATGATACACAGGACTACTATCGGGATCATGCTGTTGAGAAGATAAAAGCCATGGCTCATTTTGCTGAAAGTGAGAAGGATTCTCGAAGGGGCTGTGGGATGCTTGCATCATTCGCTCGATCCGAGGATTAGGATCCTCTGGCGTTTGTATCTCATCCGGCCTCTGGTTTTGCTTCCTTTGGCTACAGTCGTCGTGGTAATTGCCTTGATCCTTTTCCTTCTCGGTATCAGTTTTATTTTGTCCCCCCTCCTCGTCATCGCTATCATCATCGTCAGAAATTTTGATGGTGGAGGGGTCAAACGTTTCCTCCAATTTCAGCCCTTTACCCCCAGACCGCTTTAAGAATATTGGAGAATCTGTGTTACTGCTCAGTCTCAAATAGCCGTTCATTGAGTAGTCCCAGACCGGTAGCCCTTCAGGTTCGTCGTAGAGCCCCACACCGACCAGTTCTTCGCCGGGTTCTTCCCTATCGGGAATGAGGAGCGGGGTTTTTGGTTCACTGTCATTGTGCTGAGTAGGAAGGACGTTCGGTGCTGAAAGTGTAGTTGGCACTGTTGAGCTACTCTCAGTATCATTTGCGCAAGGCATACCGTAGCCAATTGAAGAGAGCAAATAGTTTGTTGTAGGTGGGTCCGAAGAGAGTGATTCCATGACGTAGAGAGAGTTGCGATTAGAAACATCAAGCTGGTATTGCGGGAATTCCATTGGAGTGCCTGTTTGATTGGCATAGAGATTGGGGACGTATTGTTGAATGTAGAATCCATTGTTATTCATATAGGTTGGCGGTGTAAGCATTTCATTAGGTTGATATGTTCCAGCCTGGAGCGTGCGTGATGATCGAGTATTGTTGGAATATGTAGTGGTTGGATGCCGGGGAGACGAGAGAGATCTAGCTGGTCTCGCATCTGGAACGGTCCCCTGGAGAGCGAAATGGAATGACTGTTCGCGCATACTATTTCGAATGGCGCGACGCTGTCCATGGCAATGGTTCACCATCATGTCTCGCTTTGCAATCCGGCTAGGACTGTTATCAGCACTTGTGGTTTTAAGTATGCGATGGTGGATTCGTCGTTGTTGTGACGTATGGCCGCCCTCGGGGGGAGTAGAGAATGGAATATTGCTGGCCGAGCCAACGAAAGAAGGCCGATACCAACAGTTGTCAGCCATGATCAAAGAGTATGATTCATTAGAACTTTGGTTTTGTGACTTGAAAGAAAGGATGCAAGAAAATATGCGAAAGCTTGTGAATATAAAAAGGCTGCGATGTAGTAAGTATGCAAGCATGTACTGTATGTAAGCCGCGTTCTTGGTTCCATCAGTGCACATATATAGTTATATATATGTTATGTATGCGTATATATATATATACATGTACTAGTCGACGGGGTGAGTCGAAAACCACTAGTTGCGCAAGGCTATGGATAGGATTCTCATGTCTAATAATAAGGGAATAAGTAAATGACCCATTTCTGATACAAGAGATCTGGGCGGCTGGAGTCCATTAATTGTTATTATTGCGTAGTAGGAACCCGCCATGCAGTTTGGTAGGGCAAGGCACTTGGAAGCAGGGGAAAATGACATGACATGAAAGAGTATGGGTCTAAAACAGCCGAGCTGTTGGCTGGTTGCACTTCTTCTTGTCCGAGGACCCAAGATAGTCAAAGTCCACACAAAAGAAGGTTCAGGAGATGGAAAAACAAAAAAAGAGAAAGGTGGTATTATTTAGCAACAGCAAAAGTTTCGTGTTTGGGGTACCCTGAATATCAACTACTCAAATGGATTCTTTCTTAGCGAGATGGGTCTGGGGCGCCGCAAGCCATTCCACCCACGTCTTCCTTGTCCGTGTCGTAACTTGGTTGCCGCCTTTTTTCCCAGAGCCACAAAGATGAATAATGAACCTAAGCCGATGGGACGGGTCCTGGTCCCAGAACAGGGGGTTGTGAGTCGTGACGCGCCCAGAAATGTTCCGTGTTTGCAGACATCATACATACAATGATGCCAGAGTTGCATGGGGATTTTTAGCCTCTTGCACAGCGCCTTTCTATATTTCGCTCCTGGCCTCGGAATTCAAGGGTGGAGCAAGCCATGGCAGAGGAACAAAAAATATGTCTGGGTTCTGGGTTTCCATAACATCCGCAGGTAATACGGGGCACTCCACTGGAGAAATGCGGTTAGTTTATTCCCACGAACGCTGGCTGACGGACTGACTCCACGGGCCACGGCTGCTGGAGTTAGACTGGACCAGGAATAGGGAATATCGCCCGCCCAAAAGGATGATTGATGGCTTGTTGTGTTTTTATTTGTGCTCACAGTGTCATTCAAGCCCATCATCTTACGGTGCACCTCTCCCTTGGTTTCTCGGTGCTGAGGAGCGTCTTACCAGACCTGTGCCACAATTTTTCTTCTGGATTCAAAATGTTGGATCTTATTACAAACTGCCCCGACGGGGCCGTGGCCCGTCCACCCGTTAACTACGGAGTAAGCTGTCTTGAGTCACAAAAAAGATGCCACCTCAGCGAAAGCGGCAAAAATGGGGGGGAAAAAGAAAAAAAATTCCAAAAGCAAACCACACATGCCAGTGTCCACCAGAGAAATCGAGCTACCTAGGTAGTAGTGGATACCTGAGAAACTTTTGCTCTGCAGCGTGGTTTTGCGCACAGATAGTTAAACCTAACAGGTGCAAACTCAAACTCTCTTAACGGAGAAGGTTTTTTCTCGCCGACTAATCGGGCTTTTAGCTCAACGATAAGCGTGGACACATCGCAAGGCCTTGAGATCACTGTTATAAGAGAAAAAGAGGGGCAGTCCAGTCCGTGTAGGATGTCTCCGTCTACGACAATCATTTATCAAACCCTGTTCTGTTACTTCTGTATCAAGGGGTGGGTGGTGCGTGAGGGCGGTCAGGAAAACAAAAGTTGCTTCTTCGTTTCGTCGTACCTGGGTAAGTTAATTATGCAAACCTCGCAACACTTCCCAACTTATTATTTAGCTCTCATTCAAAGACAAACCGTCTCTCAAAGAGCGGAAGCCAGTCTGATGGTTCGGCTTCAGGTCGGTTCACAGCACCTGAAACTTTCTGATCTTCTTCCCAAACTGTGTTACAGAGAATAATAAAAAATGCCTGAACTAAGCAAAGTTAGGTTTGTCCATCCTGAGCAAGTTCCGACTTTCTCCATCCGCATTGAAATCCATCTCTCCATATGAGGACAAGAAAGTTGTTGGCAAACTAGCATTCTTCTTGTGGGTCAGGTGTCCGGGGCCGCAAGAAGAAAAACGATGTATATGCGTGGGAAAAAAAGCTGGGATCTAAACTTTTGTTGCCCTGGTCAAGCAAGTTACGTGAGGACGAAGCTGAAACTAATGTGCGATGGAAAGCAAAACATTCAAGCCAAGGAAATCCGTAGCGCGCGCTGTAACCGCTTCGTAATCGAAGAATGCATGATGCCGGTGATAGGAGACCACCCCACCACCGCAAAGAAAGGATGGGACCGGGGCAAATTACCCACCCTGCCACTGTCAAATTTTGGATATTGAGGGGGGCTGGAGTCCTTTTTTTAACTATGGATTTAGCTAAAGGTTGCTGGGAAGAATAGCCAGCTGCAAGCTGCAGCCGATATTTAGGGGGGTTCTAGCCCCCAACTAGGGAACCACGCTAGGCTAGGCATTCTTCTTTACAAACTTGTGCCCAGAGGGCCAGAGTTAGGCGTCGTTAGGCGTGCGTGGGCGTCGCTCGGCGAAGTCGGTGCTCGCCTTCAAGGATAAGTTAGGAATAAAATACTGCGTACGTTTTTGTTCCTGCTTCTGCGGGGGCAATAATTCGTCCCATGTCCAAGGAGAGCGGTACCACGGTACCAGCACCCAGCCGTTGGTGATCGATTTGCTCATTCTTCGCTTCGAGACCTAGAACATATTCCAATCTTCTCAATCTTACCAACGGAAGGCTTCATAGTTAGCCCTGAGTGGTAGGGGTGGTTGGGTGTTAAATGAGAGATCCCGGTGATGTAACTATGTACAGCACTTTTATGCACATTTTCTTATCACAAGTCAGCCGTTTTGTCTGAATATTATTCTTCAAAAACAACTTTGCAGGAGGGGCTCTCAGCTCCCAAGAGCAGTCCAGTCCAGTCCGCTGTGAGAAATCCGCCCAAGCACCTGGCACGGGCGAAGTACGCTGTATGATCCTCACCTTTAGCTTCATTTTCGACTGATATCCAAGGCATAAAGGGGCTGCCTTCTGAGCTCATGTTTATCATGGCTCACCGCTCAGCATTTTGGCTCTTTGGGGAATCAGGTTCATGATTTTGAAGATTATTTATTTTGTAGTTACACCTGACACAAAGAAGCCAATGAAAGGAACAGCTGTGCTGTGAACAGCAATAGAATTATGAAGAAAGCCTGCACTTACATGCGATTTGACATGATACGCAACCAGTGTGATTCTGAGGATTGAAAGATGGAGGAGAGTGTGTCTGTTATTATGATTCATCAGCAGAATCTTCAAAAATCTAGCCTGTGGTTTATGCACAATAATACATACATATCACTTGCATACACCTCGCCGCGATAGGTTTAGTGTTGGCCGCAATTCTCAGAAGCTGCGTCGATTGGGAGACGGATATGTTGTTTCAAGTAGCCCTTGGCTTCCCGTGTGGACCCATTTAGCAAAAATAATCAAAATGATAAGGGAATGGAATGGTTGAAGTAGAGGCATCAGTTTGTTCGTGGAATCATGGTTATCATCCGTAAAGCGTATTCGTATCGAACAATCCATCCATCCCTCCTCCACACATTACGCAGTAGTGACGACGATTCAACTATCATTCAATCACCATGGCCCCAGTGATCCCAACCAAATGCTAAAAGACAACTTCTCCACTATGCTATGCACCATTACATTACTCCGTAGTTAGCGGAGCTTGATAGGCATATCATATCAAGACGCCACAATGCGGGTGGGTTGCCGTCTACGGTTGGAGCCTTTTCTGATAGTGATGGGATGGTTGTCTGAGCCCTAACGAACTGGTCCAAGAGTCAACGCACAGCCCGGATCCGCTTGAACCCCCCGCTGAACTTGGATGGCTAGCAATCTCAACACGGAGAAATTGGATAGATACAATAAATCATGCAAGCAAAGAGTCAAACTTTGGGAGGTGTCGGTAAATTTATGCAGCCAGACCCCAACCATGAATCAGACAAACTCCCTGTTGCTTGGAAGCTGTGATATTTACTATTGGCAGCGGAGGCATATCAAACAGAGACCGGTCCTGCATTAATGATTGACTTCTACGAATATTGGTCGCGAAGTCTAGGACGAGGCCGGCATTGATAAAGGCTCCACCAAAGCCGTTGTTGTGCCATATACACAGTACAGCAGGATTTGAGGCTGAAGCAGAGACTGGGTTCGGATGTGCAAAGCTGATTGCCGTGAGCCCTGTATTATTGATGGAATAATAAACATTCAAGGTTGCAGTCTAGTCTCAGACATGAGGTCAACAGAGTGTTTGGCTCATCGGGATCCCAGCATGTACAGTATTCCCACCGCTCAAGAACGGCATCTTACAAGTTCTCATATGAGTTCGCACCAGCTGATCAGCATCCATGGGCAACTTCGGCATTCGATTTCCCTCTGCCTAAACTAACAACATAATAATAACTATTGCTCATGGTTCCCTCCATGATATCCTAAACTTCCAGTCCCCAGAGGCTCACCTCAGCGCCCTTTGACATTGGCAAAAAAACGCAGAACCCGAAGACGTTATCTAAATTCAAGGAAGACAGTCGATGAAGAAACGGGATGATTATCAGAGTGCATGTCTCGTTCCGGCAACCAAAGGAGATTCTGGAGCCCTTGAGATAAAAAGGCAGATTAATTAACGCGCTAAACGCTAAGCTCTCCTGATCATTCGGCCCATAACAAAGCGAACAGTCCTTACTCCCGTTATTCCTCCTCTGGACAGCGATTTGTAAAGCCGAGCCAATGAAATTTTCAGGTGGCCCCACCGAGGCAAAACCCTCTAGAGAAGCCCGCCGGTAACAGTCCTGTCTACGCAGCGTAGTGTCAGCATCGAATTCATTATTATTGGTTCACGACAATAGTGCGTGCTGGCATGAATGTTCACAAGCTGAGGGTTCGACGAAGGAAAAAAGAAAGGTAAAATTATAAAAGAAAAAGAAAAAGAAAAAGAAAAAAAAAAACAAAAAAGAAAATAATCTGTGCAGGGGAACGATTCCCACCCTGCTGGGCAGAGTTCGCGCCAATGGAATCTGAAAATTGTTCTTTGCCCTATCACCGAATGTGCTCGCCAGAATGGTGAGACACGGAAAATCCGCAAATAATGATCAGCTTACGAGTTAACTGTTACCTCAAAGAGGAGAGTACTTTCGTACGGATGTATGTATGTTACGCAGCGTACTCCTTACTTGATCGCAACCATCACGACTCTGTTAACCGGTATTTTATCCCGGTCCAACCCTAGTTTTGCATCTTGAATAGGACCATGGGGGGCGCATGGGCTAGGGCTAGTCTGTCTCCAGCAGCGACCGAGCCACCGGCCCACCGCATGCTCCAAACATTCATAATAATAATATAATTACGGAGCATCGTCATCAGTAGTATTTTCGAAGGTTCGCTTGGAAGCAGCAAGGAAAAGTGATGACATGTCCGTGCGGAAAGCCCGAGCCTTAACTTTTGGCTTTGATGCTTCTGTTGACCTATCCTATGGCACAGCCCAAACGCTGGAAATCTCTGTGATGTGATGGGGCGGCTACAAAATAATTCCAGGTGGCAAGGTTTTCAACATCAAATCTGACTTATTATTCGTTTGAACCACCCAAAATAGGCAACATTAGTAGGTAACTAATGTTTCCGACGCCACTGCGGCGATTTCCTGGTTGTGATGATTGTGCGAATTTGTCGTGATGCAAAGAGCCATCGAGCCATCCTCGTTCCAATATCACAGGCGCAACACCACCATCCCATCCATCATTCATTCCATTTTGGCCAACATATTGTTTTTCTTCTTGTTCGATTCAGCGCGGCCTGTGATATTTCAGCCTAGCACATGTAACTCCATGGCAAGACCGGACGATCTGCCTTTCACGGAAACGAAAATTATGCAAAAAAGGAAAAACTGCGCGACGGAAAATCCGTCTTAACATGGAATAAATTGGACCGTTTTTTAACAATTCTTATCCCTCACAACACCCACACACACCACGCGCAAATAAAAACACCCGAGGGCCAAGAACCAACTAAAGATGGTGTGCACATCTTAGCCAAGCTGGGATAAACAATATCTCTTTATGCCAGCTGTCACGCTTGAAAAGCAGCAGCAGTCTTTGGCGGCCGAACTACGCAGTACCAGCCGACGAGTGAGTGTCAATCTTGGGAATCAATCGTCGCAACATGGCCAGGGTTTCCACGGACATGGTTTCACCAGCAGCCGCTGCTTCAAAATAAAGTGGTTGTCTAAATAATCCCCCTCACCAACTTTCTGGGGAGGGGCAAGGATTCTTTGTCTCGAGCGAGCTATTGTGGCGGACATAATACTTGCGAAAACAGAATTTTCCCAGGCCCCTCTGAAAATTAGTAGCAAAACACCACCAAAAAATCAAAAAATCTGCATTTCTCTAGAATCATTCAATATCATCCAATACGCGTCTTTTTCAATCAAATATCATCCAAATACGCGTCTTTCTTACCTTTATCATCAAATCCACATATATCAATCAACCCTTTTTTCAATATGCCTCACAATGCCTGCTGTTCTGCTGCTTCGCAAGCCTGTACAAAGACTCCTACCCTGTACCTCAGTCTCCTCAAACTACCTGTTCCAGAAGTTCCAGATAATGGAGAGGATTCAGTCAATGATGAGATGAAGAAGCAGATGAATGAGAAGAATATAGAGACTCAGTCTGAGAATTCTATATCTGTGAATCTCTACCTCTGAATCTGATATCTTATACAGATTGTATGAACAGGTGATTATCAATAAGATAAAGAACAAGAGAGATGATAAAATGATTAATAAGTAGAAAGAAGAAGAAGAATTAGAAGAATGAATCTACAACTTCTACAATCAATTCTTTTATATAGATCTCTCAAATGTCAGTGATTATATTCTCTTCTTCAGCTCTGGCAGCTTCAACTTCATTTAATATAACATTCTCAAGTGAGATAATCAATGTGATGATGATGAAATATATGATGAAAGGAATAGAAGAACTGAATTCATAATCTCATTATTATTCACATCCAGATCTGCTGTTGAAATCTTCTATTGAATTCACTGTTGAATCTTTCATTGAATTCACCATTGAATCTTTCATTGAATCCGCTGTTGAATCTTCCATCAAATCCACTGTTGAAATCTTTCATCAAATCCGCTGTTGAAATCTTCCATTGAATTCACTGTTGAATCTTCCATCGAATCCACCATTGAATCTTTCATTGAATACACTGTTGAAATCTTCCATTGAATCCGCTGTTGAATCTTCCATTGAATCCACTGTTGAAATCTTCCATCAAATCCGCTGTTGAAATCTTCCATCGAATCCACTGTTGAATCTTCCATCGAATCCGCTGTTGAATCTTCCATCGAATACACTGTTGAAATCTTCCATCGAATCCACTGTTGAATCTTCCATCGAATCCGCCGTTGAATCTTCCATCGAATACACTGTTGAAATCTTCCATCGAATCCACCGTTGAATCTTCCATCGAATCCGCCGTTGAATCTTCCATCGAATACACTGTTGAAATCTTCCATCAAATCCGCCGTTGAATCTTCCATCGAATCCGCCGTTGAAATCTTTCATCAAATCCGCCGTTGAAATCTTCCATCGAATTCACTGTTGAATCTTCCATCGAATCCGCTGTTGAATCTTCCATCAAATCCACTGTTGAAATCTTCCATCAAATCCGCCGTTGAAATCTTCCATCGAATCCACTGTTGAATCTTCCATTGAATCCGCTGTTGAATCTTCCATCAAATACACTGTTGAAATCTTCCATCAAATCCGCTGTTGAATCTTCCATCGAATCCGCCGTTGAATCTTCCATCAAATACACTGTTGAAATCTTCCATCGAATCCGCCGTTGAATCTTCCATCGAATCCACTGTTGAAATCTTCCATCAAATCCACTGTTGAAATCTTCCATCGAATCCACCATTGAATCTTCCATCGAATCCGCCGTTGAATCTTCCATCGAATACACTGTTGAAATCTTCCATCGAATCCGCTGTTAAATCTTCCATCGAATCCGCTGTTGAAATCTTCCATCAAATCCGCCATTGAAATCTTCCATCGAATCCACCGTTGAATCTTCCATCGAATCCGCCGTTGAATCTTCCATCGAATCCACTGTTGAAATCTTCCATCAAATCCGCCGTTGAAATCTTCCATCGAATCCACCGTTGAATCTTCCATCGAATCCGCCGTTGAATCTTCCATCAAATACACTGTTGAAATCTTCCATCAAATCCGCCGTTGAATCTTCCATCGAATCCGCCGTTGAAATCTTCCATCGAATCCGCCGTTGAATCTTCCATTGAATCCACTGTTGAAATCTTCCATCAAATCCGCCGTTGAAATCTTCCATCGAATCCACCATTGAATCTTCCATCGAATCCGCCATTGAATCTTCCATCGAATCCACTGTTGAAATCTTCCATCAAATCCGCCATTGAAATCTTCCATCGAATCCACCGTTGAATCTTCCATCAAATACACCATTGAATCTTCCATTGAATACACTGTTGAAATCTTCCATCAAATCCACCATTGAATCTTCCATCGAATCCGCTGTTGAAATCTTCCATCCACTATTTATAGTGATGAGAACAGATCTCATACTACTTTCACTTCTAAATTTATATTATAATGAATTGTAATCTGAATCTTTCTAATTATTATAATACTATTCTATATAAGTAGATCTGAAATATTCTTTTATATCTTTTTCTCTTATGAAGTTCTCAACTGTATGATACAAAAAAGCTTCAAAATCTTCATCAAATCTCTTCAGAATTGAAGAGATATCTGATATGATCTTTGACTTTATATCACATATTGAACAGAGTTCTCTAGCAGTTTCAAAACAGTGAAGATTTCATTGAATTCAATATACACAGGTGATAATCAATGCTTCACATGATCTCAGCAGGCATATAATCATTCTTAAGAAGGTATACAATCTTGTTGGTGGTGAAATTACAGAGTTGAGGTGACATATTGATGATAAAGATAAGAAAGACGCATATTTGAATGATATTTGATTGAAAAAGATGTGTATTGGATGATATTGAATGATTCTAGAGAAATGCAGATATTTTGATTTTTTGGTGGTGTTTTGCTACTAATTTTCAGGGGGGGCTGGGAAAATTCTGTTTTCGCAAGTAATATGTCCGCCACAATAGTTTAAATTGGCGGAATGATGACGAGAGGTGATCCAACCCCCACAGATTTATCTGGCTCTTACTTACAGGCTTATTCCGCCGCTCAGCTACCATCAGCTACCATGGCCTGTTGACGAGGCTTTTGGTGAAAAGACGACCAGTCGTACGAGGCATGCATGTGTCTTTTTTTGGTTTGGCGGTGTAATTTACTGCTCATTATTATTGAAGACTTTTCGCACTTGGAAGGATCTCCAGTTCCTGACTTGGCAAGTTGCCTTCCTGCGCAAATTTAGCCAAAGACAACCACAAAAGAATATTTACTGCTTCCTGCCGTCCTGCAGAATGGATACAGAATGCACTGACATTGACATATATTCTGGCTCTCATCCATGAAACCTTGTCGAAAATGTCCAGGGATTCAACCGACAACAGCAATGCATAACCACTCTGCAAAGCCCTTGATCATGACGCAAGAACAATTTTCTTGCGCAATTCAAAGCTGCATCTTGTAACAGACAGTTTTCATCAGATGAAGTAGAGCTTCAATGAACTGTGTTGTAGCTGTCTGACTGAAAAAAGAATTGGGTAGTGAGTCTGCTGCACTCACTTCATTATTGTTGATCTTCCATATAATTTTGTTACAACCAACTAGTTAGTAGTGATAATTAGGTACAATTACTACATCATGACTAGGTGCAGCAAGGGAGCGATGTATGGAGTGGGAAAAAATGAGCGAAGTGGGTATAAATTCCACACCTCATTACTACAACCCTGCGCATTGTCTGCTATCGCCCAACTAAACATCTTCACTCGTCTCATCTGCGTTCACGCCTCTAATCGCCTGCCATCTCGTGGGATTTTGTTCACTCCGCAGAAAAAGCCGTGTCCAGGGCATGGAATAGAGTACCACTTGAACAAATGGCATCAATCTCTGAGGCTGTTTCAAATCCCCTTCATTCTTCCATGGATGACGCCCATACTGGGACCACGCCGCGTGAGGCACTGGCGAAGACGTACGTAATAACAGAGGAGGTATAAGTGTGCAAATTCATATTAACAACATCTATAGCTTTGACTGGAGCTTTGTACCTAACTGCAATGACGGAGGGTTTACGTTCTGGTCTAAACATTGCGTGCCCGTGTTGTCCTCACTGCTGCGTAATGTTGGATCTTATACCGAAGAGCAGCAAAAATCTCATTTAGCGTTCCTAGAGAACTATATTATTCCGCACATGGGTCCTCCCCCAGATAAAACATATCCCAGATCGCTCCTTACCCCCAATGGCGCGCCATTTGAAGCCAGTATCAACTTCAACAGTTCTGGGAAGGCATGTGTACGATTTACTTTTGAGCCTGTGATGCCAGAAAGGGGGAGTCTCGCCGACACGCCAATCCCCAGAATCGCCGAGGCCGTGAAGGCAGACATGCGTTGGTTTAAACAGTTCTCGGCAGGGTATTTCCCATCAGAAGAGGAGAGGGTGGTTATTAAGGGCAAGATGCCACCGGATACCGCGCGAATACCGCGATGCTTCCTCGCTTTTGATCTCGATGGTAGAAATATATCGATGAAAGCTTATTTCTCCCCCATGATGAAGCACATGGCCACCGGCCTGGATTCTGATGAAGCCACCGTTAATCTTCTCAAGCGGCTTGATCCCTTTGGAGAATCATTCGTACCGGCTCTCAATTTCATCGAGAAGTACCAGTCAATTTGCCAACACCCTCCTCTGGTTCAAGTCGTCGGTATTGATTGCACGGACCCTGGTATCCGCGCGAGGGTAAAGGTCTACTCGAATCCTCGCGATAGCTCCTTCGATGCAGTTTACGAACATGTTACTTTTGGCGGAAGGCGTACCGACAAGGCCACGCTTGAAGGCTTATCAGTCCTACGTGAACTGTGGCACTTGCTAATTAACGAGCCCGAGGGACACGCAGACACTTCATTTTCCAAGCCAGTGCTTGATCCAAATGACGGGCATCGAGGCGTGTGCTGTAGCTGGGAGCTGCAGCCTGGTCAGGAAATCCCAGAGGTAAAAGTCTACGTTGCTTTATTCCAATACTTCTCGGGAGATCGAGCCATCTCAGAAACCATGGAAAAGGTTTTCGAGACAAGAGGTTGGAGCTGGGGCGTTCAGGGAACGTACAGATCAATGGTCAGACAGGCTTTGTAAGTCCTTCTTCATCCAATTTTTCACATTCGCCATAACGTAACTTTTTTCCCCCATTTATGGACTAAAAGCGTTTCCAGTTGGGATGATATTGTTTCCGACGACATCAAGTCGCCCACGGCCAACACATACATGTCATTCAATTTCTCTAAGAAGAAGAGGGTATATCTCACGACTTACTTAGCTCCATTTGTTCGACTCACATAATGCATCCGCTATACTACACACCGGGACAGAAGCACGACCGAAAGAGATGATTGAGTGCAAGTTCTCACCAACAACGACTTGATTGCCACTAGTAGAGGGACGGGTAGTAGTCACACCTAAACAGAATGTCTATAACACCGGAGCCAGGATAACCTCAGGAGAAGGAATCGTGTATATAGACTCCGTTTTGCGTGCGTGATGAGCAAGGGACTTCAAAATATATAATGTGTCTATGAAATGTATATGTATAGGCCACTAGGGCAAAAGAGCTCTCGATCACCACTAGGCTAACTGGTATTTAAGGGGCCGAACCATTCCATATGTCAACAATATGTAGGTTTCTAAAGGTTTACAGTTACTCCGAGAGATTACTTGCCATAGCAGCAAGGAAAAAGGGTGCAGACCCTACGGTATCCAGGTCTGCGGACCCCATTAATCGGGCCAGGGACACGACGAGCTGTCACCATATGCGCCCTTGTCTCCTTGGGACTCCATTCAAAGGCCTCACTTGTCGCAATTGGATTCTATCGATTGCAATAAACATTCTGCCTCCCCATGCGGGCCACTTGAACCGGACATTCCCACCAACACGTTGCGGACAATTAGCCCAACGTTGCTCGTCTGCCGTAATCGTAGTCTCTTACCTATCCATCTTTCTAAGTCAAGAAGCCAATATGACACTTGCTGTAATATCTCCATCTGATCTGAAACCAAGAGTTAAATTAGCCGGTGCGCTTGGAGGCTAGGTAGAACATCTGTGCACCATCTTTTGAACCAAGAGTACTCCGTACATGGATATGCCTAGGTTCCAGATCAACAAGCAATGGGGAAGCTAAGTTCTGACACACTGTCGAGGGAAAAATCCTCTGGCTCAGGCTCAAAGGCCTAGGATCTTAGACGGGGGGTAATTTTGTTTCCATATCGAGGTAGGATAAGCAGACATTTTGCCCCAGCATTGGGGATAATTCTCGGTGTAATGTGGTAACAGTGGTCCTCGAACATTTCCTCGTAGGGTGAAGCGGACTTCTTCCTCGCTGTGCTCATTGTCCTACTATACAATGGTGTAGCAGGAGAGCTCAGGTGTCCATCGGCTGGGATACCCTTTATTGCAATATTTTCTCAGCTGGGGAACTGAGATGCGTTCTGAGTGGAGAAACTTATGGTAGGAAGGATTGCAGCTTCCTAACCTCCTCTCCTCCGCTAAAAAGAAATAGAATAGAAGAGAAAAAGAGAAAAAGAAAAAAGAAAAAAAAAACACCGGTGGGGGTGTTAGGAGTATCTAGAAAGGTATCCAAAGCAAAAATAAGGGATAAGCAGGAAGCGATGCGGCGATACTTCAAATCCTAGCGAGGGCTATGTAACTATATTCCCGCCATACCCTCGATTAACTCATGGACACCAGCGTGTGGAGACATAGGGAGAAGAAGAAGCAGAGATATTGAGCATCCTTGATGTATTCGGTTGGGGGCCATGCGCTAAATAGACCAACTCCTATTCCAAATTGACCCCTCTCGGGGGAAAACTTTTGACTCGCATGCATATTCAGGATGCAGGAAGTGTATATAAATCGCCCTTTCTTGTCCGCTAGGCAAGAATTAGAACTCTGCCTTGCGGGGTAGATGTTACATCCATTGCCATATCCACATGCGCAGGAGACAAGTCGGAAACCGCTCATGACATGAAATAGCAGTCTGCGGGAGCGTAGGAAAACCGCCCAATACCTTGACACTGCAGAAGGCGCCACTAGCAATCGAAAAATGGGTTCAGTCTCAGGATCAACGCTGTTGGATTCACGCTCAGACGAGGATATATTGGCCGAACTCCAGACTTTCACTCCTGTCAACCCCGATTCAGAGAGAAACATTTGGGGCATTCTGGGACCGCGGCAATTGCAGCCTGCAAGCCATGGTGCCAGCGCAATATTATCAGCTGGGTGCGGCGGCATGGGAAGTCTTGGACTGTCCGCGTCCTTGACATGGTCGACGGCTCGCCAACCCACTATGCTAACTATATCCCCGACACCTCTGAGTTCTTTCCAGAGGCTTTCCTCAAGCGTCGCATGGCGGGCACGCATGCTGCACCTCATGCAGCTGACTTAGTCCGCCTCCCGCTCCTGTACTTGCACGGTGGCATCTGGGTCGATGTTGGCATCTGGGTCGATGTTGGCTTCATGCTCTTCCGTAGCCTGGATGACCTCTTCTGGGAGAAGCTGGAAGATCCTGCGAATCCTTTCGAGCTCGCTGGGTTCAGAATGACCATAAACGACGAGATGTCCATGTTCTGGAATGGGCTTATTGCAGGGAGAAAAGGCTGCATTGCTATTAAGCATTAAGCACTGGCATGATACTTTTCTTAAGCTGTGGGAAAGTAGAGATAGAACTCAGATGCCCACGAGTTGCTTCATCACCTACCACGGTATGAGGTGCCATCATCAACCGGTAGAGCACCTGCGTTTCAGTATGGTCACTACGTCGACTATTTGATCCAAATGTTTTGCCTCGAGCGTATCCGCCACCTCGAGGATCCGACTATAGCGTGGGATGGTCCAGCCTGGTTTTCACGGAAGGTGTTGCTCTTTGAATGCGTTAGTGAGGTATACTGGGTACAGCACCTCACGCATTGGGACGGGCGGAAGCAGTTTGACATGCTCAGCCGCAGACAAGAGGGATCGGAGCGTGGTGAGGCTTACAAGGAAGCCAGCCAGTTTGTGCAAGCCATTCTTGATACGTCGTCGACGATGAAACTATCACATGGGATTGTCACAGAACAGAGGGAGTATCTGGCTAGAATCTGGGACGAGGAAAGAAACAAGGACGCAGATATTTCCCCTGGAACTTTTGCAGCGCATTTGAGGTGGGCCAGTGAGAACTTCAAACAGGCCCGCCCGCTTGTACCTTTACTTTTACCGGTGCGTGAAGATGGCTTATTAAAAGGGGGCCTTGCTTGAGGCCGTTGGAACCCGTCATCCTCACTGGGACGTATAGTCCTGATCCAGAGGCATAAACTATATAAAGCACCGGGGGAGGCAAAAATATTTAAAATGTATTTTAGTTCTTATACTATATCCAGCTATCTGGAGTTCAACAAACACAACTGTGCAGGCAGCACTGGTACCAAACCCAACATTGACATAAGACCCCATGCCCAGTAGTTTTCTCGAGGATATCGTAGTATCTGAGAGTAAACACACATCGTGCAGCCAACCCGAACAACTGACTGGAAAGCTAAGGATGGGGCCACCTGGAGACTTGGACCAACTCCTCCCGTAAGCAGTACATCAAAGAACATCCCAACAACACTCATCAGGAGCATCGTGTTCCCCTCGCCGAGTCTGACAGGTAGTGTCTTCATGCCATCCTCCGTGTCCTCAGCAATATCCCGTATATCACAAGTAGTCTCACGGAAGAACTGGTACAGGACAGACTGCGCGTTTGGAAAGACTGATCATTGCACTGAACATCCTTCTGGCAAACATGGAACATGCTTGACCCTGATGTGACGCAGCCCATACAAATGGCCACAATGAGCGACTTCCACTCACGCAACTACGCCTTCGTAAGCTGCTAAATCTTCTATGAAATGGGGGATAATGACTTACCACTGTCTTGGGTTTGGACAGGCTCACACCGGAGGATGCCGAAAAGTGCGGTATGCACGGCGTGCCCCAGAGAAGACCGATGAGTGAGAATTGATATATCCGTATTGAAGTCTCCACGCCAGAGAGAAATGTACAAGTAATGACAATAGCCCATAAGAAATAAATCCACAGCCTCCATATCCATTTACGGGGCCTGGAAGAAGGAGGTAGATCTTTATACGCATCCTGCGCTGGAGCAGCGGAAGTGATTGTCAGTATTTTCATACCCAAGGACCCGAGGGGTCCTTTGTTTTTGGTGAACGTACAGTCGACGAGGGCTGATGCTGTACCAATGAACCACAGTAGTGCTCCGTGAAACTGATGTCCCCAAGCTGTGTGGATAGCTCCTATCGCTGGTGCCAAATGTCCCAAACCCATCAGTGCCGGCATCAAGCCCAGCCTGTGCAAGGCTTCCGATCTCGAATTTGGAATCATTATATCACATAGCACAGCAGAAAAGAGTTATAACAATTCTGGAAGTTACAAGTGCTTCCATCTTCCTGTGGATGAAGGGTGCTTTCACTTCTTTCGAGACCCATCCTGCCGAAGTGCAAACCCTTTGAGAAATAAGAAAGTCCCACTATCCACTATCGATGCCCATTGCAATAGGATAAATGAAAAGCCCTAACAAAACCCTACTAGTTAGTTGACCATGGGCTTGTAGATACATAGGAAAGGGCAGATACGCCTAGGGAGGAAAGGATGAGGTCTTGGGAGTAATCCACACGTTGCCAGAGGCTGTAGCAATACCTACTGTAGGCAATAATTAGCGCTCGTGACTGGCGGACGTCAGAAATATCTTTAGGTTAGATACTCCCCTTGCATCCAAACCAGTTGGACGTCACCCTAAACTTCACTCTGCATTTATTTCCTGGCTTTGACAGACATCCCCGCCCTGTTAGAAGCCCAACCCACATTCTCCCCTCCTAGGCCGAATTGCATTTGCGTTCTCAGGATCGCCGGCATTTTTATAGGAAATTGATACCGTATTTCGCCACGAACTCACCAACACTGTGCTACGATGCTAAGTTAGCATGAGAGAGTCTTGTTTGTCGTCGAGGTATTCAGGGTGCTCCACGCACTAAATTAGCGTGGTGGTCCATAGTTTGCGGCCGTGTTCGCCTACCTAGGATAAATTTATAAGAGTGTGGCGCTAAATTATTGCTCCGGGATATACCTGCGCATTGAGATCAGGTAGTTGGGGCCCGTTGCATTGCTTCAGGTGCGGAGTCGGTTGAAAACTCCTCGAACGGGATGGCGTTCCCTCCTTCGAAGCGGGATAGTATTCTGATGGTGAGGATTTTGTAGCCGGCATGCAGCTAAGCAGCATGTCGATAACTACATATGCCCGAGAACGTCTGACCCCTTCAACTTCAGCTCTGAGAGTAGATGCGGTTTCCCTCCGGGCGAAGCCTTCGTTTTCTCTTCCTTTATCTGCCAGCTGAATATTCTGCTTCTCTCACAATACCCTATCACTATCGAACCGGGAAAATGGAATTGCAGGCTGGCTTTCCCAGCCATGGCACGTATTCCTACTTCAGGCTGTGGCCGGCACCTTCTTGATAACTTTCGCAGCGTGCCTTGTGCACCTTCTGGAACCAGCCTTGTTAGCGTCCTTCTCGCCAAAATATGATGGATTCACCTGGGTCACGGGGGAACGTGGGCTGGGAAACTTTTTCTCTGTGGCCTATGACTGTGTTTTCGATGCTGGGTCACTCTTCAAGGTGGCGTATCAAAAGGTCAGGAACTGGTCGTTCTCGCCGAACTGGCATAAATCGTTTTGCTCATTTTCGAGCTTGGGCAGGTCAGGAACACAGGCAGCGAGATATTCCTGACTCCTTTCCCTCATTCCAACACGGGTTTTATGATGCTGCTTCCGCGGCAGTTTATTGCCGAGTATGCGCGTCAACCGGAGGCCATCGTCTCGTTCAATAAATACGTGCGGGACGTAATGCATCCAAAATACAGTTTGTTCGGGGCCAACATCCTTGATAACAACCTCCAAAAGCCTATTGTATATAGGGAGCTCTATCAGAAGCTTGGTAATAAGATAGAGATGATGAGCACTGAGCTGGTCGGCGCCCTAAATGATGTCCTGCTTCCGCAACTTGACGAGAACGGTGAGATGAAAATTAACATGTGGGACACCGCGACCAAATTTCTCTCCCGTACGAGCAACAGAATCATATCTGGTTACCCACTATGTCGTAATCAGGATACCTAGATGCCACCGTTCATTACGCAGTCAATATGTTCTCGCGGGCGGTGTACATACGTTTTATCCCGCGTTTCCTAAGGCCGTATGCGCCGTCTCCTTTCCATAGCGATCTAACGAAATTGACTGACTTGCTTTTTAGTCTGCTAGCTCCGCTGGTCCGCCGCTCACTTTCGCGAGACCGTAAAATTGTGGCTAAACATGCGGTGCCCATTATCAAAGAACGCATGCGGATCCTTGAAACCGCTGAGGGGAAGGGTATCGAGGCCGACCTGCCGGTAAGATTGTTCAGATGAATTATTTTGCCTCTCTCGAAAAGGGTCAACTAATTCACCGTTGAAGAATGACCTCCTGAGCCAAGCCATTGTAGCAGCTCGCAGGGAAAAACACTCATATATAGAGTATGACCCGATGCAGATTGTTAGTCGGCTCTTGGCCTTCAACTTCCTGCAGTCATACTCTAACACCCTCATAATGACCAATTGTATCTATGATCTGATCTCTCTTCCTAAAGGGGTTTTTGAGGAGACTGTCGCAGACCTCTGCGAAGAAATCAACAGGGAACTCGCAAAAGGCGACCCATGGTCTTATGACTATATCAAGAGGCTGGACGTCATGGATTCTTTCATCAGAAAGAGTCTTCGCGCAAATCCCATCGGCGAGGTTGGCCTCGAGCGAACAATTATGAGCAAGGAGGGCTTCACCTTTTCCAACGGTTTGCATGTCCCTCAAGGCACCACCCTTGCGGCTCCGCTCAAAGCTATCCAGAGGGATAAAGACAACTACCCTAGCGGCTTTGACCCCAAGCGCTCCCTCCGGGATCCAGCAAAGCCCAAGATAACGACAAGCTCCCCAGAGTTCCTCAACTTCGGTCTCGGACATCCTGCCTGTCCTGGGCGATGGTTCGCTGCTAGCCTTCAAAAGCTTGCCTTTTCGCATCTTCTCCTTGAATATGACTTCGTTCGAGTGGATCAGCGACCTCCGGGAGTCCGGAAAGTGACTTTAGTTGAACCCTGCGGCAGATCCCTGATCACCCTAAGAAAACGCAAGGCTACTTAGTTGAGGGACTGTATAAGAGCAGGCAACTTGTTGGTGTGATGTTGCTTGCTTGCCCCTTATAGGCTGTGCGAAAGTGTGAACAATCACTGCTATCTTTGAAGTGAGATATCATTTTTGGCAATCTATTGCTGAGGTGGTCATCAGTGTCCAAGTATCTACAGAACAGTTAGTGTAGTGAAACAGAAGAATGTACATGTACATACCTCTACCCTAGTTCGATACTCCCAAACCATCATGCGCATTCGAAAAATGAAAAGAAGCTGTCATCCCAGCTCTCTACACCTCGCTAACCTTTTGGCCAATGTAAGATGGAATATAACATCTCATTCTATCCTCAGTAACTCTCCATGAACCTGTTCTTAAAACCATCCTCTCCCAGAATCAGATGCATTTTTGCCAAGCTAGTACATTCAGTATAGGACGAATTTCGGCATCCAGGGGTGTCCAAGCGGCTCAGAATAAAGTGAGGCAAAATGTCATGCGAGGAAGCCCGGTTGTGTGACTCTATCATTGCTTGGTTTCTAGCTTCTCCTGTACAACTCGACATTTGGTTCCCTGTAAAGTTGCCCTGACAAAGTCCGAGAAACTCCCAGAGAATGCAGAGCACAAACGACAAAAAGAGCCACCAAGTTTTCCTGTTCTGCGCAGAGACGGGATGGTGAAAGTGTTGCATTGATTATATACACTTTCGTTCGCAGGAGGGACTGGTGATTGGGCTTAGAGTTAAAAAATAACTGCCCATCCATTTGAACTGACCCCGTCTGCCCAGGAGGCAAACAGTCTCGGAAGAATGCTCGTCTAGATTGTCGGTCAACAGGTGGCCTACTGGCCACTCTGTATCTTCTGGGAGCGTCAACGAGATCCGGATTCTGCCACCCAGATGGGAACTCCCCGTGAACATCGGTTTTGTTGAATGATATGTGTGTCTGCGTGATTTCGCGTCAAAACTCCCATGCTATTAAGTAACCTGCTGAGGATCGATTATTTATTTTCTATATTTTCTTTTCTTGTCCCCTTTTCCCCCTTTTTTCCCCTCTTTTCTCTTCTTATCTAGGGTAATTTGTTTAACCTGGTTTGACCACAGCACGACAAAGCAGACCCTACCCAAAAGGGTTCTCAGCGTCTTTTACTTTGAGAAGATATTGGCAAACCGCGTTTTCAGAGAAGCGAAATACCAAACCATCCTCGTAGGAGCCAGTTCCATACTCTCCGCCACTAGGCCACCTGCACGATACTTCTTCCAGGTTATCCAGTCCACGCAGAATTCGAAATGCATTTCTCCAGCTTCCGTTGAGAATTTGCAGCCCGTCCATGTCTAGTATCTTTAAAGAGCTTCGAATGGGGTCTACTATCTTCCAGAGTTCTCGCTCATGGAACGGCACACCAGTGACACACCAGTGAGCGAAAGTGCCTGCAGCTGTGGCCACTCGCAATCAGGAAGCAACTCGTCCAGGCTAATATACGGCGGATCGCTATGGAGGGAATAATATAGATATCCAGATTCACGGAACGTACACTCTCCGTATTGAGAAAGGCCGTCGTTAAACTAGCAAGGTGTTGCATCTCCTCGTAATGCTGCTCAGCAGGTATAACGACGCCGAATTCAAGGTTCTGCTTCGACCACCAACGTACTGCAAAGGACAAGTGTTCCGCCCTCTGTACGATGCTCCTAGTGGCATCGTGTTGAACTTGACTCGGTTGAAAGAAGTGTAGACGTTTAGGAGCGTCCAACTTGACAGTGAGGCGGGATGGAAATATTTCGTGCTTGGAAAGCTAAACGAAAATCCCTTTGAATGTCCGCGCGGTTCTTTGCTGAACGCCAAGGACTGACCTCGAGATTCCAGAACGTCTAAAACGATATCCGAACATATTTCATCCGAATTTAGCCACTCCATGATCGTTGCCATCGAACAACTTCTGCAGTCGATCTCATTTAGTACTTCGATGTTCCCAAAAATTTCAAAAGAGAGTGGACGGCGGAACTTGGACAGAGCAGCGCCTATCCGCTTTAGATGACTACCACGTTTAATAACAGCTTGTTGATCCACAAAACGAGTGTTATATACGTCAAAAGTATTTGCCATCATCCAGATATGTGCGGAGCTTAAGGAGGGAGGACGATCTTCTATTGCCCCCGGGTATAGAGAGTCCAAAGCGAACCTCATGTCAGAGAGTCGAGCTTGAATTCTGTTGAATAGTTCTAGCTCCTCCGCAGTTCTTCGTGTTGAGTTAAGATTCTTGTAATTGTCAGCCCAATTGACCGGAAGCGGCGGTCGCACTCAGATTTAAGGCCGTCCTTCGTTGGTTCGTCCTGGATGTCTCCGTAGAAACATAGAGATAACTCCATGGTGGTGATGGACTTGTGGAAAATAGTGTGATTTGAGACTGCTTCCAGCGCCAATAAGGATTTCGTGGTGATCCTGACAGTCAATGTATCAAAAAGGAAAAGCGAACTGGCGTTACAGAGACAGACACTTCGACGTGAGGCGGAGGTTCTGGATGTCCACGATAGATCCTTTGAGATACGGACAGCAGTGTATCAACAGCTCAGGAGGGAGTCTTTCAATAGTTTGTGAGGCCATTGCTGGTCGACTTTTCAATTATATGTGAAACATCGGGCTCGCCATCAACAGCACGGCCATAATGTTGAAGCGGGAGAGATGAGCTGGAGTTCCCCCGCAGGACACTCTCTCAGACAGCCTCGCGCGCCAGCTAATGGCCGTACACATCGTTCGCGAGATACAATGGAGCGGTTCAGATAAATAAACTCCGTGCCTCGGTGTTTCGTAAAATAGCTACCATCAGAAGCGCTAGATATTTAGCAGCCAAACAGAGGAGACTGTCGGTCAGCGATCTAACAAACAACCAGTCATGAGCTGGAATCATTGTCAACTTCTTAAACAATTGGTTGAACTGAACATAATTGACTGCTTCTGGTAACAAGCGGTAAGTTTAAAACTCTTCCGCCGAAGGGCGGAGGTCAAGGTTTGCCAGGGCAAATATTTTGTCCACGGCTCGCTTGTGGCGATGAGGCTATAATAACTACCGACTCAAGATTCAAGAACTTTTAATATTTATTGAAGCTGCTCGTCACCGCGAACTAAATGGCTCCACACAACCATCAAAGCATAATCGATTTGGTCCTATGATAAGTAGCCCACTTGCGAATCTATTCATCATGGCAAGTGGCGTCCCAGTCGACGTGAGGGCTACCGATGATGTAAGTGGTCTTCTTCCCCAGGTTGCAGACAGACCTCGCTATAACTTGCTCATCTTCACTCCACCTAAACCATACATCTAACGCATTTGCCATGGAGAATTCGGGCGACTCCAACAGTGAACCGGAATTGCACACCCGGCTTGAGGTAAATAGTTGCAACTTCTGCCGCCAAAGCTCTGAACGCCCGCCTACATCGCAGGGGGTCGTCCCGTACGTATACTAACCCCTGCTTGATTTGAAGGTTGTCTTCGACCAAGATGCTGGACATGTTCGTAAATCCTCCATAGTCTCTGCCGATACTCCCAGGCTTTCACGTCGCCATGCAGACCAGCGGAGCGATTCTGCGTGTTTCGTCCACGCCCTGCTCAGCCAACCACAGGCGCGCCGACTCGGTCGAGTTAGCGAAACCAACGAAACGAAAGACTCGTCAAAATTGCCTTCTTCACAGTTGGATGATTCCCTACCTCCTCGCATAACACAATCCCGCCTCTTGACCAAAAGGCAACTTTCAGACATGGCGTGGAATGTTCGGGCACTATCTAAAAAGCTTGGGAGCGTTAAAATGAAGCTAGATGTCAAGACTGTGTTCATCCTTACGAAACCACAAGAGCAATGCCTTGTGCTTCTGACGAGAAGAGTCGCCCGGTGGCTTTTATCAAAGGACCGGGACCAGCCATACACAATTTATGTCGAGAAGAGACTAGAAGATGAGAAAGAATTTGACGCTGCGGGGCTGTATGAGGAGGAGCCATCTGCGAAAGGAAGATTAAAATTTTGGGATCTAGATCTTGTGAAGAAGAAGCCACAAACGTTTGATTTTATAGTCACGTTAGGAGGTGATGGCACGGTTTTATATGGAAGCTGGCTCTTCCAGCAGGTGGTTCCCCCGGTCCTGTCCTTTGCGCTTGGCTCGCTAGGGTTTCTCACCAACTTTGACTTTGAACACTATCAATCGACGCTTGAGACGGCCTTTCGCGATGGTGTCACAGTAAGCCTCAGGTCGAGGTTCGAATGCACTATCATGCGGAGCAGGCCGCGACCCAATCAGGAAGGACAGAGGGATTTAGTGGAAGAGTTAATTGGAGAAGAATCGGATGATGATACAACACATCGCCCCGACACAATGTTCCAAATATTGAACGATGTTGTCATTGATCGAGGACCAAATCCCAGTACGCATGCACTCTATGATTTCTCTTCTCTCTACCTCCCCCTAAAACTTTCATTTCTCTCTCCTGGAGCCATTTAATAACCATTTATTTAGCAATGTCATCAATCGAAATATTTGGTGATGATGAACATTTTACTTCCGTACAAGCGGACGGTGTATGCGTTGCGACCCCGACGGGTTCAACAGCATACAACCTTGCTGCTGGTGGCTCACTGTCGCATCCTGAAAACCCCGTTATCCTTCTTACCGCCATATGTGCGCATACTCTAAATTTCCGGCCCATTATATTACCCGATACCATCGTCCTCAGAGTGGGAGTGCCCTACAACGCAAGAGCTAGCTCGTGGGCTGGCTTCGATGGGCGCGAACGGTGAGATTTGCCCCCAGGATAAAGTTGTTTCAATGAACAGAATCCAGCGAAGCAAAAGGTCTCTCAAGATGGCTAACTTCATAACAGAATGGAATTATGTCCCGGGGACTACGTCACAATTTCGGCTTCAAGATACCCCTTTGCCTGCGTTACTCCGTCCGCGGCCCGCAGTCATGACTGGATACAGAGCATCTCAAGGACGCTGAATTGGAATTCGCGGCAAAAGCAAAAAGGTTATGATCTAACTAAGGGCTGCGATGGTGACAAAGGAAAGTTGTGAAAATTTTACAGACCTAGGCATAGAAGCACCTCCAGGTTCTCTAACTGTACATTTACGAAGAAACCCTTAACCACAATAGTACTTTCTATCGGCGTACACAATATTAGCGAGGTATAGACAATATAAACCCTTAGCTGGGTATGGAAGGGGGCAACAATTAACTAATATTGTTGGGGATCTGGATTCTATGTGGTATAGTTGCAGCACACAAATAATTAAAAAGAGAATATACGAAGTAATTTATTTGTAGGGAAGGCGGACTGCGCATGTGTCCTAACGGCCCACCGTATAATGGTACATCTTGTCGTTGAGCTTCATTGGGCGGCCAGAGATCGATAACATTTAACCAGAGCTCAACAGACAAAAGCAAGGGAAGGCCTTTCGAACAAGAAATTTATTTTTCCTGCAATCACGTTAAACAATCGTATTGCTATGGTCTCAGTCGCAACATCCCAATAGCCGTGATATAGCCATTTTCCAGGACACCACTGTCGTCCGCACGGGACTACTCTCCCTACTCCCCTTCGTCCTCCGATAACATGGCATCTCCCACCAAACACACACATACCTCCTCCACAAGCACGGCCAACAATGTCGGGGAGTCACAGGAAAAGCTCCGGTCGAGAAGCACACCCCAGCCTACGGGGCTGCGCGTCCCTTCGAACAAGAAAACTATTTACGACCGGAATCTTAACCGCACCCGCAATTCGGAGCTCAGCAAAGCAAGCTTCGCTTATCTTTTTTCAGAGATGGTCATATATGCTCAGCGTCGTGTGACGGGAATACAGGACCTGGAGAGGCGGTAGGTGTATATATACCCCTCGTGCCCATTAACAGGACCATCCTCCAATATCCCTAGTAGAACCCCGACTAACCACCCATACATTGCAATCCTCCAGCCTCAACGAGCAAGGCTACCCGCTAGGTCTCCGTCTCCTTGATCTTCTCCTCTACCGCTCCCTTTCCAGCTCCTCATCCGGCGGTCTCACGTCCTCATCAGGCACCCAGCCTACCAGACCCCTTCGCATCCTCCCCCTTCTCCATCTAATACATGGCCCTCTCTGGCGTCTCCTCTTCTCCCGCCCAGCAGATGCTCTAGAGCACTCTGTGTCTCCAGCCACACCAAATGAATATATGATCACTGACAACGACCCGCTAGTCAACACATATATATCTGTGCCTCGTGAGATGAATATGCTGAATTGTGCAGCGTATGTGGCCGGGATAATTGAAGGGGTCTGCGATGGGTGTGGTTTTGAGGCAAAGGTGTCAGCTCATAATCAGGGGAATGAGATGTGGCCGAGCCGGACAGTGTTTCTGGTACGGTTTGGAGAGAGTGTCATGGAGAGGGAGAAGATGTTAGAAAGAGCGGGCGTGAAGTAAATTTTTTTTTTCTTTTTTTCCTTTTTACCGGATGGAGAATGATTTACGAGTTTGAGGGAGGGGTTCGTCGTACATGTACATGTACTGGAGTTTGTTTGGCATGTTCCACTGCTTTGGCCAGGAGTTTATTCTCTCTTCCCCGCCCGGTTGCTACTTTTCTCTGTCGATCTTACTGTCGTTTGTCCGTGCCCTTTTCTACGAGTTCGTGGCGTTTGTGGGTGCGCTACTTCCTTGTTAAGCCACTACTATATGGATTGGCGTCGCTCGAGAGGGTATTTATATCGTCTATGCAGCTAATGAAAATAGTGGAGATACCACATACTTTTTCGTTATCCGCGCTTTTATCCTATTTACGCCTTATGCAGTGGATTTGCCCGCGGCTATCTAGGCTCAGTAAGCTACTAAACTACCTACAAAAAACTTGACGAGTACGCTCAGTCTCTCTCGGATACGACTCTAATCCGCTGACGCAGATACGAGAAATTCCCAAAGGCAGCTAACTCGGTTTGCGATCCGTTCATACGCGCTCCTCAATCTTTGCGCCACTGTCGTCTTTTGCGAGGATGATTTAACGGTCTCCAGAGAGCGCATCCTTATGCATGAATGGTTACATGCTAGACGAAGCTATGAGACTTGGAGCTGGCGTCTGAAGCGCCACTGACAATGAAAACTGGTGTTACCAAGTTATGTACATTGACCTTGCAACTTAACAAGCCCCGGTTGGTAGCAGGTCCAGACGATGGGCAATTGTGGTACAAAGGGCAGGTAGATCTACCCCAGAACCGCACCTTATTTTGGATGATATTGTGCAGTGACGAGGCTTTCAGTAAGTATGGCACACCGAATGTGTGATGAGTTAGAATGGTGGTTATTATCTGTCAAAGTTCGATTATTCTTTTCATGCTCCACCCCTTAACATTCCATCCAGTTTAAAAGAACAACCGGAGATTTGACATAGCAGGATTTATTCGTATTATCAACATGGCATTGATTACTCTATATTTAAATACTCCGTAGCTATATGTGGGGAATCTAACTACGAGAATCTGCGCGTAAGTTTGGGGGAGTGTAATGTAATTTTTGTATATGGATTCCGGAAAATATATTTTCCGGAATAGGTACCAACGACATCATCGCAAAAAGTGCATTTTGACAAACTGCTCTGGATCAATCTCGTTTAGCTACCAATCTACTTTCACCTGCATCCCTCGACTCGTGCGGCATAGTTTCTGTTCACTGTACTGTACCATCTTGATAATGGCTCCCACCTAAGACTACTCTACGTAAGTCATCCGTTCACGCACGACCCACCATGCCGCCTCCGTTCCCGTCGTCTCGGGGTCGCATGACCGCGAATCCGCAGAGACCACAACGCTATCGACCGGGAAAACCAATTGCCGAAGAGCCGTCTTCAGAAGAAGAAGAGGATGAAGAAGAGGAAATCAATGAGGAAGTAGAACGGCGACGAGAGCGGGAGAGGCTACGAAGGGAACAGCGGAGAGCGCCTCCGCCGAAGGCGACATCCTTCCCGGCAGGCGCCACGTCGAAAATCACCAGCGGAGTTCAAGGCGTGAAGCTAGAAGAGGAAAGCGAGGATGAGGCAGGCTTCGTCACCGATGAGGAGGAAGATGGGGAAGATGTGAAGGTGGCCGGTCGTGGGGCGCGTGCAGAAGGGGATCAAGCTAGTGGGAGTGGGGAGGAGGAAAGTGAAGAGGAGAGTGAAGAGGAGGAGGAAGAAGAGGAATCAAGCTCGGAAGACGAAGCCCCTAGGCGGGTATTACTTCGGCCTACCTTTATCAAAAAGAGTCAGCGGAAGGAATCGTCAACTCCAGCTCCGGGTTCCTCCACTGCAGATCCGACTGCAGAAAACGAAGCGGAAAGCGCTCGAAGACAGGAGAAAGCCGACCTTTTGATTCGGGACCAACTGGAGAAAGAGGCTGCAGAGCGCGCGGCGGGGAAGAAATCGTGGGACGACGATGAGAACGTTGAAGGCGAGAACGAAGAGCAAATAGACGATACTGATGGGCTAGACCCGGCTGCTGAGCTTGCCGCGTGGAAACTGCGAGAGTTGAAGCGTGTCAAGCGTGAGCGTGAAGTCATCGAGCAGGTAGAGAAGGAGCGCGAGGAGATCGAGCGTCGTCGAAACCTCACCGCTGAAGAACGAGAGCGTGAGGACCGCGAGTTCCTGTCGCAACAAAAGGAAGAGCGCGAAGCCGGAAGGGGGAAAGCTGGATTTATGCAACGATATTTTCACAAGGGGGCATTCTTTCAGGAAGACCTGGAGGCTACAGGGCTGGATCGTCGCGATCTCATGGGAAGCCGATTTATGGATGAGGTTAAGAATCGTGAAGCGTTGCCGCAATACCTACAAGTCAGAGATGTAACCAAGATTGGTCGAAAGGGCAGGACGAAGTATCGAGATTTGAGAACAGAAGACACAGGGCGCTGGGGAGTGGATGGATACAACCGCTCAGTAGCATCGAACAACGCCGCACGGTTTGGGATCACCGATGATAGATTCCTGCCCGACCAGCGCGATGGGGATAGGGATAAGCCATCCGGTCCTACGGGTGCTAATTCCAGCGCCATTAGAGATCGACCACGACACCGGCAACGGTCACGGTCACGGTCACCGCCACGGCAACGGTCTGAATCAAGATCAAGGTCAAGATCGAGGTCAAGAGTGCGATCACGGCGGCGTTCCCCCTCACGATCCAGGTCCCCGCCCAGATCTCCACGACGCAGGGACCGCTACCGTGACGACGACAGGTACAGAAGAAAGCGAAGTCCGTCGCCTTACCAGGACCGAGATAAACGGCGTCGGGTGGATTCTGTTGCCTGAAACATACAATGCCTTTTTTATGTATTCCCCGTACAGGAAATCAAGCTTGCAGGTTGTGATTCACGGTATATGCATTTTAACGGAGTTTGGTTCCTATTGTAATTTAGCATCTTCGTGTCATCTTTCACGGGGAAATTGTTTGGATCTGTATTATATAGGGACATGACATGGCAATCCTTTTTTAACTTTTTTGTTTTTTACCTTTCGCACGCCTTCCTTCTTCAATCGAGAAATGGAAATATTTGCACATATACCCTCCCCCCCCTGAACACTATGAAACACAAATTAAATGGCTCGCGAACTACGATTTCCATCCAAATCCAACTTGGTGATAGTATTTCCCTGTGGAAATGTCTATATGTGGTACTACTGAACGTAAATGCAGGACAACATATATATAGCTGTCACTGTCAGCCGATATCAGCAGTGGATATATGTATGTAGATCCGTGATTATGCAGCTGGTGAAGTGGCAGATTCCAGCCTTCTGCAACTGATAAAAAGAGGCACCCGGGATCAAGGCTTTCTACTAATATTAAATATTGTCTAATGGCATGATGTTAGCCTAGTCATAACAATAAATATCATATTTCATGGCGACTATCATGTGGGGTGGTGGTTTACCTGACCCGCAAGATTGAAATGCCGGGCCGGAGGGATTTGGATCAGTCGGTCATAGCCCCGGCTCACCATCCAAATATCCTCGATGGTCTAGTGGTGATGATTTCCGCTTGTCATTCAGTTTGTGGACTGACGAGCGCGGGAGACCAGGGTTCGATTCCCTGTCGGGGAGATTTTATTTTCGTCATTTTTTTTGAAAATTTTCAGTGAAATTTCTTATTTGCTTTGGTTCCAGATTGGACTCCCTTCTTAATCGAGAATTTTCTTTAGAGCTTCTGAAGTTGCAAAATATCTGAATAGCGAACATTATTCATTATCTTGAATTAAAAGTTTGTGTAACCCAAGGACCCGAACCAGCACGCGCCTCAGGTTTGACTAGCTTCATAAACCTTGGCAAGTAAATTTTTTGATTCTCTGACAGATGTTCTCTGCTTTTTCGAAACCATCTGCCCAGTTCTGACATTTTAATATTATTGTTGTCAGCTAGCTTCATCTTTATAACCTCCAGCGATGTAGCCCGCTGTTTCACGCAAACAAAGAGCCAGTGATATTGAAGGACAACCCTGCCTGTCAAACTGCCCTGACTACAAGCCACCTGACTGTGTGGCTGTGCTAGTTTACGCGCTGACAAGCTATCCGGCGTTTCTCAATCCTTGCTGACATCAGCATGATGCATTGTCCTCTAGTCCAGGGCAGGCCTAGCGTGTTATATTATCGGGCTAGCTAGTCCTAGATTAGGTTAATCCCGCGCGCCTCTTCCCGCTTCTAGCCTGTCACCAGATTATATGGCCCGCGCTAGTGACAACGCTAAGTCTGTTCCAGCCTAGCGTTGTTTCAGTCCCGAGGTTCCTGCCCCGGACAGACCACTCTGCAGCCGGAACTGAGCCACTTGTCACAGATCTGCCCCTGGCGGTTGACCTGCGCAGCCAATCAGGCGCCGTCTCCGTCCGTTTTGAGACGGGTTTGGCCCAGTTGGCTTTTCTTCAGCGCGCTAAGAGAACTAAAAGAGGACTCGGTTGTATCTCCCCTTTCTCCTCTTTCTGCTCCTCCTCACAACAACCACTCACCAACCCACACATACACGCAACGCAACCGCACACACGCTCTCTCCCTGCGTTGCTCCTCGCATCGCGCCTTTGCCTCAATTCCACCCTCTCCCCGGTGGTGGTGGGGTCTGTCGTTCATTTTAGTCGCATTCTCTCTGGCTGTGTGGTTGTTCACTTCACTCTTTCATGGACGAGATACCAGGCAACTTGTTGAAATAAAATCGCTCATCAATTCATTCATTCATTCATTCATTCATTCATTCATTCATTGATCCATTCACTCATTAGGACTTGATTTTGCTACAGACGATCACTTACTTACTGTTTCATGCCACTTTTGCTCCACTGACAATGCCCTCCCTCCTGCTTATAGCGACTTTGTTCGCTTCTCTGCTCTTCTCCTCCGTCACAGCCCAAACATGGACAGCCTGCAATCCCCTCGAGAGGGACGACTGTCCCCGGAACCCAGCCCTGGGAACCACCTATCAAGCCAACTTTACAAACACCCTTAATGAAGTCATTTGGAACATCACTAACGGTAAACTCGACTACACCGAGGACCTCGGCACCAGCTTCGCAATCAAAGAAAGACTCCAATCCCCAACCATCCAATCCCACTTCTACATCTTCTTTGGCCGGCTAGAGGTCATCATGAAAGCCGCCTATGGCACCGGCGTGGTCAGCAGCATCGTGCTCCAGTCAGAGGACCTCGATGAAATCGACTGGGAGTGGTTGGGCGGCGATACTACGCATGTCCAAACAAACTACTTCGGAAAGGGAAATAGGACTCTAGGTGGTCGTGGTGGTATTCATGAGATGGATGCGCCTATGGAGAAGTTTCATAATTATACGATCGACTGGACTGTGGAGCGACTGCAATGGTGGATCGACGGTGAATTGCTCCGTACCGTTACCTACGACGAGGCGCTGGGTGGGAAGAATTACCCGCAAACACCCATGACTGTGCGACTGGGTATCTGGCCCGCTGGCGACAAGCAGAACGAAAAGGGAACCATCGAATGGGCTGGTGGGGAGGTCGATTACAGCAAAGTTCCATTTTTCATGACCGTGAAAAAACTCAGGGTCGATGACTACTCAACCGGCAAGGAGTATGAATACACTGATAGATCGGGCTCCTGGGAAAGTATCAAAATTCACAAGTACGTTTAAAACTACATCCCTGAAAAAAAACGGAGAACTAATATCTAACTAACATCACACAGTGGCACTTCCTACCTCGCCGAAGAAGCCCACAAGCCTCCCCCAAAATCCCTCGGGCAGAAATGGCGTGAGCTCCCCAGCGGTGCAAAGATAGCCGTTTACGCCTCCGCCGGCGGAGTTGCCCTCGTCGCTTTTCTCGTCCTCATATTTTGCTGCGTCAAGCAACGAAGAGCAGGCCGCAGGGAAAATGCTCTCCAGGAAAGCAGATTCACCTCGGAACAAAATGATATGATCACGATGCAGACGCGGTGGAAGAAGGGGCACTATCAACAAATTTAATGATAGTGTATTTTTTTTTTTTTTTTTTTTTTTTTTTTTTTTTTTTTTTTTTAATCCTTCTCCTTTTTCCACTGTGGTGTGGAGGCAAACGGTTTTTCCCCTTTTTCCCCTTTTTCCCCTTTGACATCTTAATAATTTCTTACGGAGGCGTCTTGTAGTTATTGATCGACACATACACACAACGCACACAACATGACATCCACACATACATATATACACCAGCCGCCTGGCCAGACATGAGTAGGCTAAAATGAAAATACGAAAAGAGAAGGAAGGACAAACAAGAGTCAACTGCCGTGGCGGAGGATATTTCTTTTTATGCCCCTTTCCTCTTTGTTGCATTCCTTGCATTCCCTATCCGCCTGCTTAGCAGTCAGGGCAGGTTCCCTGGCTGCTAAAACTGGTTGTGTTAGCAATATAACGAGTAGTTGGTTGATATTAAGAATCTAGCTGCTATGTAATACACACTCTAGGCCACATGAGAGGTTATGGTTGCAGTTGAACTCTTTGTGAATTGTCTCAGGAGATTCAACACCTCTCTTGACTGCTGTGATACTTATATCTCACTGCTAGTTTAGAGAATATTGGATAATTATGTATAAAAATAAATGTATGATTCTCTAGAATCTCTACTCTGTATTCAATCACATCACTAAATAGAAAGAAATTATTTTAATTAAGTGATATATGAAATCACTTTATATAAATTCTATACTGAACAGAACCACTACAATGATATAAGATTAATCAATCTCTGTAACTAATGTAACTAACTAGTTAGTTATGAATAGGTCTGACAGGTGGACCGACAAGTATAGTTTGTACAGTGTACATATATGTATATGTACATGTACCTAGTTTGTCTAACTACTTACCGAAGTATCTAAAGGGCCAGTACATATTTGAAGTGTGCCGCCCCCTTTTCCGCTAGGTACAGGTATATGTATATGTACGTATGTACCTGTACATGTACATTATGTTGAGGATAAATAATAATTTATTCCTGCCGCGGGCACGTACTATAACCCATATTCGAAGTTCCGCCTTGGGAATTGAAAAATCGCATGTCTGGTCTGGTTTCTAGGAAGTCAGGGCTTGGTTATTTCTCCGTCAGATCTCACCGACATAGTACATCGAATTCGATTCGATTGACTTTGGATTGATTGAGGTCGGGGAAAAGAAAGAAAGAAAGAAAGAAATAAATAAATAAATAAATAAATAAAAGAGGGAACAAAAAGACGGATATAAAGAGGGCTCTTCTAGGGCCTGACAGACACGGGCGGAACTTTGTATGTATGTACATGTACATACAGTACACGTACCTCAGGTGCACATGACTTGAATGCTTGGTTGACGAACGGGATATTGCTGATTTTTTCCCCGCGGGGGGAGGGAAAAGAAGCGCAGCACATATGGGCATGGCCCATATTGAGTATGCGATTTCGGCAATATTAGTCCACTGGGTTTGGAGGAGGTTAGATGGTATGTAGGCATGTATGATGAGATAAAGGGGAGGGGACGCCGTCGTTGTCATGGAGATGCTAAGTATCAGTACGCTGCGTTTGAGAATTCTGGAGGTTCCTGTATCAAAAAAAAAAAAAAAAAAAAAAAAAAAAAAAAAAAAAAAAAAAAAAAATTGCTAACTTGCTCTGTTCTGAGAAGTTTTACCATCTCATCCATATCTGGCGGCAAGCAACGTTGGAGAGAGCGCTACATCCACGTCTGTTCTACGATTAGATATATCCCCTTCATCATCAACAGCACACATGGATCCCCTTGTTACTTGCTCAACTAAGCAGGGCCAGCATTTTGAATTGCGCTTCGTTCCCTTTGGAAATGAATGGGACTTTCCCCAGCTGCAAGTTGAGCCAGATGACAACACGCCAAAGACACACTGTCAAGCAAAAAGATTTGCCGTTTCGAGCCTGCGGTTGGGACAGAAAGTCCTGAGGATTTCCCAGTCAATATATAAATATCAACTATCCCCCGACCACATCCACCAGGGAGGCATTTAGATCCTATCGCTTCCTCTTCTGATCGTGTGGGCGCCTATCCACCTCTGAGGTGGAAGGGGACCAACCCCTTGCCTTTGCCTGCGATTGTCCCCATGGGAACCCGCATTGATCGGGTGAGATTGTTGCTCGTTATCTGGTGCTAGATGAAGGGGGTATTATATTATCAACCCCCACAACCCCGTTTGAGGAATCCGCAAGATTGAAGTATTGATTTGAAAGAGAAAAAATATTCAAGTCACACCTGGAAGAGAGAGAGCGATTCGACGGAAGGGGGATCCTCAAACATAGTGAATGGCTGGTACAGCGGAAATTCTGTGGGTTGGCTGGTCGGTTTGAGAGGTTCCTGAGAAGTCTTGACTTCCATCTTGCCTGGTAACTGACGGTCCAGGAATCTCGATGCGGTTCACGTTGTGAAAGCGGCGAGATTGATGATATGTTTGAAATGGGTAGAGGACCTTGTAGGTCAATGTGTTTTATACGCGGCTTCGATGAGATTGCGGTTCAACGATTGCTTCATTCTAACTAAGCTGTTAGTTCAATGTGCTCGAACTTCGTCAAGGCGAGGGGCCCATGCCTTTCTTCCTACCTACCTGGTTCAGTTCGCATTCGATTCTGCAGCCCAGATGCACCAGAAAGTGCCTCTAAAAGCAGTTCCCAGCACTAATGCTTCGTTCTAAATCGATGAAATCCAATATTTATTTCCAGGAGTGCGTGACGAACAGCTATAAATCTTGCCTATCTTGATTGAAAGTAGGGACACTTTTTCTTCGATGCCTACGCACCTGGTGAAAACGGAGCACTCTGTGCAACAACATAAAGTGGCACAGACTGGGTAACTGAGAATCACACGTCCTCAGCTCCTTGTTTATTTAAGCTATATCTTAACTATTTGGTGTAAATCCGCAACATTATGGGCGTACCAGCACTTCCGGTCTGTCAAAGATACTTGAAACTCAACTAATAATGGATCACGAATGCCGCATTGCCTGCTCCCCTGCAGCTTCGTATCTCAACATCATCACATGTGAACTTACAATACGATCCAGTGTGCCCTGAAGATCAATCCTGCCTCCCCAACCTTGACCCTAGGGGAATCTCATACCGCCGATTCGCGGTGCTCTCCGTCGAGAAGGCTCAACTTGTTCAACGGGTCGATGTCTCCTCAAAGCCCAGGGTTGACTCCAAGAAGGGGGCTTTGCGACACTTAGCGGCCCTTACGAAAGAGGCGGACAGCTTGTGAAAGTGAAGGATCCATGGATTTCGGCGTTATTATTAATAATGCCAATAGGCGCTGCCTCATTCCAAGAAGCGCAGCACCTGTCCTCGCGATGTCACCGCGCCGTTTGCACGTTCGAATACGGGCGGCCAAGCCTGGGGCCTTTTGGGCATACGAGCAATAATGGCAACGACCGACAAAATTGCTTATGACCAAAGAGAAAACAAAAAAGTAAAAGGAAGATCACAAGTTGTGGAGATGTTCCCTGCCATCTCAGTAAAGAGTGGGGACGCCATCCATGCTTAGTTCACATTTTTCTATTCAGCAGCAAACATGGGAAGAAACATGCATTTCAACGATTGATTCGCGGTGAAGAGATCGATGATGCGGTATAGGAGGTATTTAAGAATTTTTTGCAGCACATTGTCTTCTAAATCGTGGACAATGAATCAGTAATGGGAAATGCTATCAACACTGAAAGCGCTTCTGGATCTGGCCGGAGCACGTCCGAATTAGGTCTAACAATGCAACGAGGAAACGCGACTAACCCCATATTATTATTCCATCTCGTTCCCCATACGGAGTAGTTAGTGAAATAACGTTAACGTTAACACCTTGGAACAGCTATCACATGCTCCCTACGTCCGGACCAACTGAGGACTTGCTGAATTCGGATTGCTACTTTGCTAGGAGTGGAATTCCATGCTTCTCATCTTGGCCATTCTGTATTGTTCAGGTCCAGGGCCCCAGGTCTCCGGGAAATACGAGATGTATCAAACCCCACGAACATGAGAGGTACTACTGTACAAGATCCTGTCCCTGCACTTCCACTGCAAGCACCAATGGGACAGGCTATGATTGCAGCGAGGATTTTGGGGTGACATGGCCTAGGAACCAGGGAACATCCTGGCCAAGAAACGCACCAGCCAATAGGCTACAGCTACGGGCGCCCGCAGAAGAACTTGTTCGGTGGTTCTTCATGGTCCTGGTGCAATGATGTCGTCGCTGCTTGGTCCGCGAGAAGGTTATGTGGAGCCGCTCCCATGCCAACGCCGTGCCCTGCACACCCCGGTTTGATTGGCAGGCTGGGTGCTTCGAAATCCCAGGGAAAATTGGGAGTTGCAGCACGTGCAATACTCCAGGTTGCCAGCAGTCGGTATGAACAATTTGAGAGTTGTTCAAATGTCCCCTGACACATGCGATCAAATTCCCTATTGTTCAGGCAAGTTTGGAAATTTTAAATTTAATGTTCGTATTTAGCCGTCTGCTGCACTTTGGGAGATTGGCTCACTGATGGCCGTCCAATTCTTGGAGCGAACTAAACCAAAACGCCTTCCTGATCCGTGCGTCTTGCCGCGATTGATCTTGTGAAACGACACAGCTAACCCATCCTTCATTTTGGCTTCGTATCATTCTTCCGCTGATATGGTGATAGAACATACGGCATTGCCGTCCAATGACTTGTAGATGCCATGACTCTACGCGGCATGTACCTGTTTTGCGCTCGAGAGGCGATGAGAAAACTGAAGATAAACTATGTTTATTCACCTCGCTGAAACGGATCAGCATTGCTATTGAGTCCAAGCTGCTTCGCTTCCGTATTTCACAGCTGTGTCAGTCGTTGCATCTCTATTGAGAACATTACTTTGAGCTTCCATCCGGCAAGAAAAGGACGCTGTGAATATGCAGCTTCTCGTATCATCAGAGCCCTGTTGCAAAAGCAGATTCAACGCAGAACCCTTGTATTATCCGAACAGGGTCTTTCCAACCCAGCCCCCTTCGGTCTCCGAGGGCTGAGAGCCTAGAGTGTTTCGATAGCAAATTGTTATACGAGAAGATGTTGAAGCAAGTCTTCAAAGATGAGGGGCGATGAGCCTGAAGCGTTCCATTTCTTCCCTAAAAATTAGGACTTCTGTTAGCGTTCTTTATTGGCTAGCCGAAGGGAAGGTGCTGAACATAAAAGCATCGCTGAAGCCGCCTTAGAGATGCCTTATTTCCTTGCTCAGCATCAACAAAAGATCAAAACATCGGGAATCAGACATAGACGCTCCATTTTGCGTTTCCTTTTTCTTTTCCAATTTCCACCCTCTTTTTCTCGGTTCTCCGATTGATTTTCTTTTTCTTCCATCTTCCACTTCAATTGAACACCCCACCAAAATGGGGCACGATAGCGCCCTCCCGGCCACGAGGCCAGGGCTCTGGGAAGCTCTTTTAGGCCAACGATCTTCCAATCGAAAGCTATTAATGCTGATTCGTTTCGCCGTCCTCGCCCTGATTGTCTGTTACCACCAGTCATTCATCCAGCCAGCCGAAGCCATCAAATTCGTCACCCGAAAACAATGGGGAGCCAGGCCCGCGAAGTCCTCGATGACACCAGCCACTAGGAACAAAGGTGTCAAGATCCATTACACCGGCGGGTATATGGCCAAAGGCGGTCACTCCAAATGCGCAGGAAAGTTGAGAAGCATCCAACGCCAACACCTCAACCACCCAACAGAGGGTTATAGTGACATTGCATACACTCTTGCTGTCTGCCAGCACGGCTATGTCTTCGAGGCTCGCGGCGCCAAATGGCGCACTGGTGCCAATGGCAGCGGAAGGCTCAACAAAAACCATCAATCAGTTCTCGGATTAGTTGGTTCCAAGGGTGACACTAAACCCTCGAAGCAAATGATCAAGGGTATCAAGGATGCTGTTAAGTACTTGCGCAAGAAAGGTTGCGGGAAGGAAGTTAAAGGCCATCGTGATGGATACGCGACCTCATGTCCGGGTGGCCCACTTTACAAACTCGTCAAGAATGGCAAGCTTAATCCTTCGAAGGGTGCAAGTAAGCCGAAGTCGAAGCCCAAGACACCCAGGGAGCCAGGTACGACGGCAGTCAAGTTCCCCGGCTCTGATTGGTTCCACCGGAAGCCAAATAGTGAAATCATCACGGCGATGGGTAAGCGACTGGTTGCAGTGGGATGCAGCGCGTACAAGGAAGGCCCAGGGCCTCAGTGGACTGATGCGGATCGCGCATCGTACAAGAAGTGGCAGAATAAGCTAGGATATCGGGGCAGGGATGCTGATGGGTGGCCCGGGAAGACAAGTTGGGATAAGCTGAAGGTTCGGGTCTAAAGGGGCAGTTGAAGCACCGATGGGATGGGCATGCGCCAGGTTTTCTCAAGGTAGATTGCGAGGCGAGCCTTTGGGTTGGAGATATTTCGACTTCAGATGTTTCTTGCACATTCCACACACTGACATGTTTCTTCTCTTATTCGCCTATTTCCCCTATTCCACCTTTTCCAATAATCCTCCCTTTTTCTCTTTCGTACCGTTCGTATACTATTGCATATAGTATTTCATTCCTGTACTCTAGGAATTTCCATTCCCACTTCAAGTTCGTCAGAAATGAGGTCATCATCAATAGAATGTACTTCCCTAGATTTCCGTTCTTCAATCCCCTTCTCCGGGGTACTAGTTATCAGATGTACTGTCGAATTAGGTCCCCTTTCACAAAAAGCCAGAAGCCAGACACAACAATCTCATGCCAACTCAACATCTAGCCTGAAGGCGAATTCACGCTGCCTACCTGATGTGTATTCCACAGGAGAAGAAATATTCCTTATGAACATGTAGGTACATGCTAGGCTTTTTGCATTCACACTTTTAGCACTCGCGCTTGTTGGCGAATGAACGTTGAGCTATTTGATTGCGACTAGGCTACGATTCAGCTTCCTGTTCTGCGCGCCGAAAACTCCGTATCGTTGAGATAAACACGAAAAAAAAAGGAAATGGAAAACCCAAAAAAGAGACACAATGTCTGCGCGAGGAAGGAGAGCTAGTGTTATTATATGCGCAGAAAGCGTAAAGCGTTCACCTTACGGCGGGGATCTTCGCGCGGATACGAGTTCGGCCTCTGAACACCGCCAGCGATTTCAGTCCTCTACCCCAATATCCCGACGGGCTATGAAGGAACTAGAAGATCAAATCACTGCATCACTGCATAGAGTGGGCGCAACTATGACTACGCTGCGTACACGGCCAACCCTTTGGCTTGGAAAAGCGAAGATCGCGATCCTGTCGACGATGCTTTGCACCAAAAGGCAGGACGCTGATGCTCTTCGGGAGACTCCCGCTCCTCTCCATACCCAGGAGAAAGGAGCTTGAATTGAGATTTATATTTTTGCTTGAGGCGGGAAAGCGGAAAATGGAGGATGGTTTATTCTGGTATTCCTATCCTGTCCATCCATCTAACCGCCGCTCTACCTCTTTAATGACCGCCAGCATTGACTGCCAGCAGCACCAGCTCTCAGAAACGAAGCTTGCCACTCCGCGCCAACTGTCATCCCGCAGTTAAACTACAACAACCTTTTACGAAGACGAACTCTTGGCCCTGCGGGCCGGTGGGCGGGTCATTTTCTTCGATCCTCTTGTTTGAGTTGACCTGTTGAACGAATAGCCGGCGGAGAATTCTCATAGCAAGCTTATGGTGATGTTACCTCGAGCAATACATCCCGTGCTGGACACTGAGAAACTGGCTGTCCCTTGAGCAATGCGTGCATCGAGCAGCCGCATCGGAGGAGATTGGGTTTCGAAGATTCAGGGCCACAGATTCCTCTTCTACTGGCCCTCACCCTGGTTGGGGTCCGAGGACGGCGCGCAGTGGAGCTATATTCGCATAGGGCGGGTATCGATTCGATGTGGGGGACACGGGAGACGCAGGGGCGAAGCTGAATATGCTAAAAAAAGACACCCAACCTAAAGAGTTGGTTTTCGTTGATAAAGAAATTAATTCTGGAGCCATTCTTCCAAAACGCATTTCTACGGTACTGTATTAATTGATATCGTAGCACCAATTTCTATTGGGCAATGTTCTTTCTATGTAGCGGTATGGATAGATATAATAATAATAAGTTAACTACTGTAGGCTACTGGGGCAAAAGAGCTCGGTCACCACCAGCGCACTGCTGGTAGAAGGGCCGATCAACCGCGGGACCCCCAACAACTACTGCGTAATAATAATGAAGCTTATATAACAGGACATTTTCTCTTGTAGCATACGCAAAAAAACAAACGTGAAAACACCCCCGGCGGGGCTCGAACCCGCAACCTTCAGATAAACTCTCCCGGAGCTTCCTGGACATAGATAGAAGTCTGACGCCCTACCATTGGGCTACGGGGGCTGTTTATTGAACTGAGAAAATCCCACATTTTCCAACTATTGGACGAAGAAGCCGAAAATATGCCGAAAGTGCGCTGAGCATCACGTGTTTTCGCGTACTTTACCCCGCGACGCGGCGAGCTCAATTCCAAATTCCAAATTCCAAATTCCAAATAATTTCCAACCGCATCCAGCGAGTCTCAGGCTCGACAGTAATTAATTATTATTGAAGCAATCTCACGCAAAATAAAAACAAAATCCCCTGCCTTTATCAGTCAATTTCCCACCAGCTAGCTAATACAAAGCCTTAACCCAGCGTCCCCGGAAAACAGCCTCGAAAGGTCAAAAACCAAACCATGTCCCTCTCAACCCCGCGCCTCCTCCCAGACCACCTGCACGCCTTCCTCCCAGGCCCAAACCACTCAGGGCCGACCACAATCCGCATCTTAGGAACTGTAACAGAGTTGCGCGGTGAACATGCGACAATCACCTGCGGTAACAATGGGAATGCCACGTTAATTTTGAACCGCGAGGCGCATTTGCAACTGGGCAGGATGGTGGACGTTATCGGGAAAGTTACGCAGACTGAAGCGGTGAGCTATTAACAACTGTGCTCTATGCATACATCCTCCGTTGGATATCTGGTTTTGGTTTACTGAAGTGGAGTGGGGATGAAAGTTAATTTTTTTTTTTGCTAATTGGTGGATTTCATATAGGGCCTGGCTATTCGGGTTTTAAATGCAGTGGATTGTGGTGATCCAAAGGATATTGGTAGGTTTTTTATTTTATTTTATTTTATACGTCGGGGAGGGGGGAAGAAAACGAGACAGAAGCAAACATAATGGCTAATTGTACCGTTTTTCTCAAAATATAGACTACAAAATCTACGAACAAGTTGTCGACGTAACGCATCGAGTAAAGGACATCTTCTACTAAAAGGATCGGAATATGAAGTGGTTGTCATGTCCTATCGAAACAACGTCCTTATTTTGATATCCATACGCTTACTCGCATCCCGAAACCCATCAATTTCCAGCTTCCCTGTAAAGCGACGTGTTCAGGGAGAAGCGGGCATGAGAGTGGAAGTGAATGGTTATTCTTCGTTTCAATTCAGCTCGGAAAATGGAGAATTTTCCAGTTGGGCGTTTATTAATTGATGGAAAGAGAGATTTGCTGTCATTTCTACCCTCTACGGATACATATAAGGAGGGTTTCGAGAGAGCCTGTAGCGCCGCAGTCGATGCCTTTTTTTGCTCGTTTTTCTTTTAACAAGGGGCGGGCTAAAACCAGATCCGTCTCTGTGTAGGGTTTCCCCTGGCTGGTTCATGTCTATTTTATCATCGTTTACCATCTTATGACCGGCGTTCAGGTATAAATTTTGCCCAATCGATTTACTTTAGTTGGAGACTTCGGCAGCAAAAAAGGAGCCGAAATGAATATACATGAGAAATTTTTCATGGATTTCGGGCTTACAGCTCACGCTTGGGCGGAAAAAAAAAAGATTCAAGCACAAAAATCACAATCCAATTCATAATTGTGAAGAGGAGTCAGTTAATCTGCCACGCACTCCTTTCCATTCAAGTTTGTCCAACATAAATATATTATGCAGAGCACAAAACAAAACACATCAATCACTGCGTAGGCGAAACAGATTCGTTAAACACTTAATTGCACCCACAATCATAAGGCGAGACAAATCAATCGTAACCAGTTTCGTAAAAAGAGTCTGGAAATTCAAACGGGGAACAAAGAGCGAAGGAATTCGGAAACAAACAAAACCAAAAATGCTAATCAAGGGGGTATCTGAATCAACAGGACACGTGCTAAAAAGGGGGGAAAAAATTAAAAAATGAATTCGCAATAGCGGTGATGTCAACCTGCATAGATGAAGGTAGAAAACAAACAATCGATCAGATGCATCCATCTAACTAGCTTCCTGGGCGTTCGCTGCAGAATCGACATTAACATTGGCTTTTTCATTGGCTTTTTCATTGACTTCTTGCGTACTAGCAGACGCGAGAGTGGCATCAAGGTCCTCCACACAGCCACTCATTTGGGGCTGTGTACTTAGAAGGTCCGAGTTTGCTATTGTCATATCAAAAATATTCGAGATATCGTTAGTGGTAGGTTGGTCACCCAGGTTTTCATGGAGATTTAAATTTGAGTTGCTAAGCAGGAGGCTAGTCAAAACCGGATCGTCGAGGTCAAGGTGTAATAAATCGGATTCTTTAAAGGTGGATGTATGGCCCTCACCCAACCGCTGGCTTGGCAGGGTTGCATCGTTGCCGTGTGCCTGACCCACAGCGGCATCCGTAGATTGTGCAGCCCTTGGGGAAATGCTGGTTCCAGCAACCCAGTCAGCCCAGTTGTTTTCGGTTTCGTAATGCGGTGGAATGAATGGGTAAAATGAGTCAGCTTGTGCGATCGAGTCTTCGTCTGAATCGAAGATATCCAAAACAAATCCCCCAAGGGATTCAAAACTCCGTAACCGCGGGCTATTCTGGAGTGAACTTTGTGTAGTGCCATCTTTGAGAAGATTGCTAATCCGATAAGCGCGGGGTGTTTGCCCTGATACCTCTCGACTTGCACGTTCAAGTTCTTCAGTAGTCAATCTCGATGGCGAGGAATTGGTACCCTGCTTCTTTGAACCGTCCATTGAATTTCCCGAATCCGAAGCTGGGTTATTTTGCTTAGTCGGGGTTAACATAACGCGCCTATTTTTTTGTCGCGGCGTAGGGCTACCCGGAAATGGTAAGGGATCATTTTCAGCGTCACTGCAGACAAAAAGGTTATCAAGGCCATCGTCCAATCGTGCAGTAGCGCCTTCTCTGGTAGGTGTCAGTTTCAATTGCTTGGACGCTACCCGCGGACTTCTCCGTACCACATTGATCGAAGCATCACTTAGTGTCTTCATGGTATTATCATCCTTCGATGCAGGGAATAGAGACCTGCGAATTGGTTTTGGCGTGAGATTCGCCTCTATAAAGGGCAGAGTTCGGCTTTCCATGTTCCGAGCAGGGCTAGATTGGATTGCACGATGCAATGCCTTCACTGCATCTTCTTCCCGCCATCGATTTCCGCGCTTATCAGCAGACTTTGGCGGCTCCTCGCTATTGGCTCGTCGGCTGACGGATCGAGAAGGGGGTGGTGCATCCTCATCATTGGCTGCAGTCGTATCGTTCCCAGTGTCGCCAGGAGTGGTTGCATCTTCTCCGGTTGGTGAGGAGGCCTCCATGGGTCCAGGAGACGATCCCATCCGCTTTGAAGCTAGGGCTTTACTACGGGATGATCTCGTCGAAGTACCGGCTAGGGGTTTGGTTCTTCTTATTGGTCGTTTTCCTTTGTCTTTTGGGGGTTGTTTGTTCCATTTATTCTCCGGTCGCATAGTCTTGAATTTATGGAGCCATAAGCCACATGCTACAGTAATGTTAGTCAAGTTTTGAAAGACAATCAAAGGGACGTTTAGACTTACGATTGCACAGTAAGAGTTGAACAAAATCTTTATCGTGATCTGCCAATGACTTTTTGAATTGCTTGAAAGCTATGACAGTTTTTCCGTCCGGGCCAAATTCCTCTGGGCGCCAGAAGAGCATGGCAGGATCATCTGCACAGGAATCTGCATCTTGCGCGCTGCCCTGGATAACCTTTGACCAGGCTCGTCTCCAGGTAGGTGTCTCAATTGCCCCACAATTTTCACAATAAGGTGGAACAGTGCCTTGACGAATGCATTGCTCCAGACGTGCCTGGACCTGCTTGGTTCTCCTGGCCCCTGCTCCACTTCGTACTTTGCCATAGTCCGAAGGCATTGGAGCGGGAGTGGTAGAGGTCGGAAAGTCGCTCAATGGACCATTCCACGCCTGAGTTTGTTGCTGTGAGGTCAGTGCAGGGCGCACAGGGTCGCTAGCGGGAATTGTCTGGCGGTTTAATCTTTCTGCTTCGCTCTGGGAGATAGGAGCAGGAGCAAGAGGTTTCGCATTCTGCCTAATGCTAGCTCGCGAGGAAGGACGGGACCCGGTTAGTCTTCTTGGTGGGGGTGGTAGGGTTGGTGGTGGTTCATTGGCGGTCGTATCTACTACACTATCGCTCATCGGAAAACAGTGGTTATGATTTGTATGCAACTGGGGGACGCTTTGAGATGGCGAAGCGGGCTTTTCTTTACCGGGGTTGACCGGTGCCTGCCTCACTTGGCTTGCGGAGGTCTCAAGATCGTCAAGCGTGTTCCCTATGCAATTATCGTCGAGGATTGAGTCTAAATTGCCGCTCATAAAACCCGAGTCATGGTCAGGGAGAGGCGGAAGAAGGGGGCTAGACGCCTGGGGATACATATTTTCCATTACTGGGGGTGATGATGGCATATTGAAAGGTGTATCGATGGCACTTCCATATCGAACATCTTCGGGTGAGGTAACAGCGGTCTCGGGAGGGTGCGCGTATGGTGAGGTATACGGGACTTGGCTGGCGCTGGACGACTCCTGGCGAAGATTGCTGAGTGATGGACGGATGGGACGGGCGGCACCGGTGGTGCCTCTAGGAATAGGCGTAGGTGGGCGGACAGGGTCGTCGTTGGATGTCTGAGCTCGGGCAGCCGCTGCGTTCATGGGCATGGGGCGGTGGATGCGTACAGATGCAGCAGTACTTGCTGCGACGCGGAGGGAACCAGGCTGCCTTTCTATGTTCATGTAAGCTTTGTCCTGTGAATCCGCCCTCAATAGCTTGGCTCGTTTCGGCGCCGGTGCTTCAGTTACTTCGTCATTGCTTCCATATCCGGAGAAAGCTGAATCTCGCCGACCCATGTAAGGAGTTGGCTGTCGGCGAGAGTCCGTGTCGTAGCCAGACGCCCGGGAAGATGGTCGAAATGCATCCCCAGAGGGCCTTTTTTGATGTTGGCTGCACGGCCTTGTGAGCCCAGGAGTGGAAGTTCGACTTGGTGCAGCGTGTGTTGAATGGGCAGGCGAATCGGCATGATAGGGCTCTGCGGTTGTGATATTCGAAAACTCTCTTGGGGTTGAGCCTTCGCTCAGCATCTGATGCAGTCGCTCAATTCCGGATCGGTCCACTGGAGAAGGGGCGAGCTCAGGAGGGGGAGCAGAACCGGAGCCGCCTGCTGCCAGGAGGCCAGGATTGGCCTGAACAAAGTTGGTCCATGATTGAGCATCAAACTCTTGTGGCATTGCGTGACTCGACTCTCGGTACTTATGCATGCTGCTGAGGTATTCGTTCTGGTAAATTGTTGGGACCGGCACGAGACGCAATTTAACTTCTAACGTCTCCTGTCCCCCCTTCGAGAAAAGGCCAAAGGAATTCTTGCAAACACGACCAGTAACCATTGTTTTCGACTGATGTGCCGGGGCATCGGGAGTCGGTGACGCAGAAGCCAAAATCCATGATAGCATTCCTTGTCCAACCAATGGCGTCTCGTACTCAGAATAGTCGTATGCGTAGATTGTATAATCTCGACCAACTTTGGCAACCAACTCGGGGCTGTTGAAAAATGTATCAATTTATGTTAACCCTTGGCCTGGAGAAGTGCGGTGCTATTCCATACCTAGCGGAAACAATGGCCTGTATGCAGGTCTTCAGCTCGATAACCCCAACCTGGGTCTCTTCATCGATATAGGCTGTTTGGATGTCCATGAGGTGGGGCCATCGAGCCAAACAATTTGTTTTGTTCTCGCTATCGAATGTGTAAAGGACCTTGACTATAACGGATTTTTTGTTAGACATGAAATTTTTTGGTGGAGAACATAATAGCTATGGTAAACATACGTCTCAGCTGGCGGACCGAGATGCCATCCTCGGACGCCATTTCAAGCAGTTGTAAGCTGGGACTAGTAGCTTCAAATTGCAGATATCCACAGTATAAACACAAATAGAGGGATGCTACAGCTTCTTATAGTTCCCTTTTCCTGGGGTGAGAGGGAGGGGGAATCCGTGCTGGTGGTTGGGGTTCACCGCCCAGTGGACACCAAAATTGAAGCTTCCGTCACGTCAAGTCGGGCTTGGGAAAGTTGATAGCGGCAAGCGGTCGACGCGGGTTAATTATGAGTATATGATTGTGGTATCGATGACAACAGAGGCAGCCTAAACCATGCAATGAACAGAGAGAGGAGAGATTTGTTGCTATGAAAAGATTAAGGTGAATTGTGAATTTCGTTGGGCGTAGCAGAGCCGCGTTGGAAGTGCGGGATAGTGTGACAACACGAACTAGAACGGCGTAGAATAGATGATAAAGAGGTAAGAAAATGGAATAGCAATTGAAGAGGGAAAAAAAAGAATAAAAAGAAGATCCTCGCCACCCCGAATTGCTGAACAAGGCAACAATTACAAGAGGACGGGAGACTCGGAGGAAGAAAAGAAGACAAGAAGTAAACGGGACGACGTGAAGCAGCACGAAATAGGCAATTCGACGCGGTTAGGACAGGGCGGGATTTGGTGACTAAGCGTTGAGCTAAGCATGCCAAGAATATGTTGGAGCTACTACACAAGCCCTAACCCACGTGACTCACACACATATATTTAGCTTCCACTAGCTGCTAGTTAGTTAGAAGATAACAACAACAACCAACCAACATTCAACCTCTCTCACAGGTTATGAAGCCCTTGCACTTCTACGAAGCATTATAACCATGCAATAATCATACAATAAGCTTTTCAAATAGCTGCTTTTTTCATTCAAATACCCCATACCAAATGCCTGTCAATACAAGATCGATCAACCGCGAAGAGACTCCAGAGAATCAAACTACTGCACCTGGATCCTTTCCAACCCCAATAACCGCGAGAAAACCACCACACAATAACAATAATCAAGATAACGACAATATGGCTGATGAAGCTGCTGTCTTGAGGCGACGTATTGCCCAGATGAATGAAGAACTACACCAGATAAGAGCTTCTAGCAATCCTACTGCTACAGCTACTGCCAATGATGACAATGATCTAAGCTCTGATCTTGCTGCTTATCTTCAGAATCATGAGGATATCCCTGCACTGAGCAGAGTCCTCCAAGAATTCCGTGAACGCGTCAAATACCTTCAAAAACCAGGTCTTCTCAAATCAACATCTGATTACCCCATTTGGAAGGAAGAGATCCTGCTTGTTAAGCAATCTCATACAGAAGATATCCTCACTAGCAAGCCCTTGAAGAATGCCTCTAAGGATATGAAATGATTCTGGGAGGAACGCAACTCCTGGCTATACAATTTTATATGGTCTTCTGTTTCTATTGAAGCCAAATCTCTTTTTACTATACCTCAAGATTCCCTAAGTTCTGCTGCTCTATGAAATGCCATAGCAGCATCCTTTTCAGAACAGATGGAAATCCGCAGAGCCTGCCTGTCCAAGGAATTCAATGATATCAGTGCAACTGCCACCTATGATGGCTTCAACCACTTGTTCATAGAACATCTGCTTGCAATCCGCGTTGAGTATATCCACCTTGAATATGCTAATATCTCCAACTTCATATTCTTCAACAAGCTCCTCAACAGCCTCACCAAGAAGTGGTCAACCTTTATCAGAGATCGCATGGACTATGCAGCAAAGGATGATAATGTCACATCACTAGAAGATGATTTCCTTGATCTCTGCAGGGATATACTACTCCACCTGCCATTAAATGACAAAAATGCCAGAGATGACACAAAGAATGCCAAAGACACCATCAAGAAGAATAAGAATAATAAGAAGAACAACAAGAAGTGCACCCACTGCAAGCAGGATGGCCATGAAGAGCCTTACTACTGGTTCACACACCCTGAAAAGCGTCCTGTCAATTGAAAGGATAGAACAAAGAATAATAATGAAAGCTCAGCGCCTACATACACCACTGTTGAGCATGCCTACTAAAATGATAACCATGATACCAATAACCATGATACCGATAACCATGATACCCGGGCTGTTGAATGCCCATATGATAACCCAGGATAAAGATGATACCCCATGATAACCATGATAACCCACGATAACCAGGCCACCGACTGCCTATATGATAACCATGATAACTCACGATAACCAGGCCACCGAGTGTGCCTATATGATAACCATGATAACCCACGATAACCAGGCCACCGAGTGTGCCTATATGATAACCACAATAACCCATTATAACCAGGCCACCGAGTGTGCCTATATGATAACTACGATAACAATAACAATAAAATGACAAAAATATGAGAAATGAGACCCCGCAGTGTTCGGATGACTGAGGGGGTAATACAGATACAGGAAGGACGGATTTGAGTGTTCTTTCTTGCATGTTTTTTATGTTTTTTCATGTATGGAGCTAGTCCTTATGAGGAAACTAGACTCTACATTTTGTAATTAATTTTTATTGCATATTTGAATGATTTGGGTGCTTTTGACTGCGTGAGTTAACTGGCCTGCGTAGCATGGGGGGGGTGTTGGAGCTACTACACAAGCCCTAACCCACGTGACTCACACACATATATTTAGCTTCCACTAGCTGCTAGTTGAAGATAACAACAACAACCAACCAACGTTCAACCTCTCTCACAGAATATTCCACTAAATCTTGGCGAAGCAAGGTTCGAACGCGTCTGAATCACGTGATGGACGCGGTCGCATAAACAAATATCCGACACTAGGCTCGATCAGGCAGCGTCCAACATCAAACCACCAGAAGCTGCGATATCTCGAGGTTCAATTCTTAACGCCGCAGACGTTCCCTCCAGCTCCCTTTTATACCCAGCTCTCACCATGTCGGACACGAAGATCCAGTAAGCAGCAGCTTCTTCCGCTGTCCCCCGCATGAGTCATACGTCACCTTTTGATGCATACTATACTAGCTTCTCGTCTCTTCCTTTTGATAGATATATGGGCTAACGTGATACCACTTGCTATTCCCACAGAGACCTGCTTAACAAGCCTCGCAGCGAACTCACGTATGTAATAAATGGCGTCGCCTTGGATATACCTTTACCGCCACGCCATCGCTACCTTCCCTGTGACATTCCTCACCCTTTTCCCCGCGCCCACCTGTCCAACATCACCTATCCATCCTTGGCATCCATCCTCATCGCTTTGTTCAATTGCTACCAACCCTTAGCATTATCGCGTCTAAAAGCTAACCCTGCTATTCGGTTCCTATCTCTATAGGGAATACGAGGTTTCGATATTGGAAGAACATGAACTCACTTCTGGTCCTTTGTCCATTCTGCAAACCGCAACGCGCTCTCATGCCCAAGTCTTGATCTCATGTCGCAATAACCGCAAGTTATTAGCCAGAGTCAAGGCATTCGATAGACACTGCAACATGGTCCTGGAGAATGTAAAGGAGATGTGGACAGAGAAACCCAAAGGTGGAAAGGGCAAGGGCGTCAACAAGGATCGCTTTGTTAGCAAGATGTATGTCCAAACCAATACATGCCTCCTAGCTACTGGCAACTGTGTGAATTACATGGTTCCTATACTTGTCAATGGCTTCCAAGGTGTTACCTAGGTCGGCCCTGCTAACCTTGACATTTCTATTATAGGTTCCTACGAGGGGACTCTGTCATCCTAGTTCTGTTGAGTTGAATAATGTGCATGCGACCAAACGCTTGCGGCTTCCCGGCGGTTACAAGCCACGAGAGGAAGATGGCATCAACCAGGCCGCCGTGATAGAAAATACTTATGCATTCTGTATTATACCCAATTGCAGGCCTCAATATCCATGCCATGTGCTTGGGTTGGCAAGTCCTCATGAATCTTTGGAGCTTCCCTTTTATCTATTTTCTGCAGGACAAGGCTGTACCCTGGCGTCTTACGGACTGAAGCAACCGAAGGAAGGATAAAAATAAGCCGTGTAACGAATCCGATCGACACAAATTTCAAAACTTAACCTTCATGTTTCTGGCGTCCGGAGAATTTTTTTTAGGGGGTTTACACTCTACAAACAGCCTTTCCCGCCCGTCTGCTTTTCTTCTGTGTTCACAGTGTTTACATCTACAAGGCGCAATAAGGAAATGGGATAAATAATAAAAATATAACGACCCGTGAGAAGCAAAGAAGCATACAATAGCAATGCCCGTTTGCTCTCCCTCGCTCTTAATCTCTGAAGTCTCTCTTTCAAAACCACTTCCGGGGCATAGTACGTTTGCCACTTACTTAACCAGACATTGAGTCTGGAGGGAAGCCTGGGAAAGCATCCAACCCCGCCAACATCTCAGGCAGCGACAAGGCTCATGTGGAGGCCTGCGTGCACCACCATTCTTTCTACAATCAAACAACTCTTTGTTGCGCGTATCTCCCAAGTCTTCTGGAAGCTTATGGTAAAGTTCATTCGTGACTGCGACTGATACTATTAAAAAGATGAAACAAATAGAACTGTCACCAGTGCATCATAACTGGCCTCTACATCCCAAGTGCCACATGCTGATACCCGTGAAAGTATAACCCTTCGCAATTTCTAACATATCTTTAGGTGCTACATTATTTTGATATTGGGCCTCATTCACTACCAGCCTTAGAACTATAATATGTCCAACCATGCACAATTGCGGGAGGTCAGGGGGTGCTCATGCTAGCTGGCTAGAGGATGGAATAGAGTACATATCCATCCTATCAGAGCCATGAAAGATAGCAGATGGCTTTGTTCCTTTTGCTCCTTCTCATGATGACATGTCACTGCAGATATAAATTGTGTCGCGATTTCATTGGACTAGCTGGCTCACCCCATCATCGCGAGCTCTATGGGATTGCTGGATGACACTTATTTCACTACCGCGCCCGCCAGTGTTCTAATCTCTCAATATATCTTGGAGGAAGGAAGCCTAACCCTTGATCTGGTGTGAAAATGGCTGATTACAAAAGGTACGAATCGTACTTGAACATTCAGCTGCCTCACAAGTTTTTATGCTAACAGTCATAGCATCTTCAGCACCCCTGCCTTCACATTTCTCATTGGCAAGGACCGTTCCAGCCTGACGATCCACGCAGGTGCTGTGCGAAACATTTCAGAGCCTCTCTATGCATTGGTCAATAATGGCTAGATGCAAGAATCGAATTCGCGGCTTGCGGTCCTGGAGGACGTGGAGGAAGACAGCTTTCTCACGTTTTGCGAGTTCTTGTACACCAGTACCTACACAACGCCAAACCTGACGTCTTCAGAGAATTCAGAATATGGTCACAAAACTGTTGAGCCTTCCCCGGCTAATGAATTTGAGGTGCACATTATGGAGTCTTCTTATCGGCTGAACTCCAGGAAGAAAGGGAAGAAATGCAAGTGGAATGACCCTCCTTGGCAGGAAGAGGTAACCTGCCACAATTGTCCCTTTAACCACCTGTGACAGAACTTTACAGCTCGGGATTTCGCAGGAGAGCCAGCATCTGTCTCAAACCGAGCCTGACGTTCTGTTCCATGCCAAACTATACGTTTTTGCGACGAAATATCTTGTCGACACCTTGAGGGCAAAGTGCCTGAAGTCTCTACACCGAGACCTCTGTGTTTTCTCCCTCGACAAAAATACAACTTCGCAGATACTAGAGCTCATAGAATTTACATATGAGCACACCAGTCGGGATGAGCCAGGCGGTGGATCTCCTCACCGCGACTTGGTTGTTCATTACGCTGCTTGCAAAGCCAGAACTCTGCTTTATGGTGATGGGGAACTCCGTTCACTGTTGGACTGGAATGCAGAGCTTGGCTCTGATTTGGTATTGAAGCTGGTGACGTGAAAATCACTTTGTCTTACTGCGGATAAGCGGGCCAAAATACATGAGCTATGACCCAAATCAGTGTATAAAATAGAGATCAGTGGATGTTTCGCTGAACGACATTAAACCCGCAGGGCAGTTCAGTAAACGGATTGGTGATGGCCTAGTATTGCACGGAACAGTGAACGCATAGCAGAACAGTTGAAAACGATCAATCAGCAAAGTGCCTCTAGAAGGCTCTCTGAAGGATCATATGGTGCCTGAAGCAAGTTCCCTTACGCATTCTTTTTGTATGGTATGTTGCTGTGTTCTCTTGAATGGAAGCCGCTTCAGGTTCAATCACATATTTTGTTATCCGGAGCCCTTTTCTACAAGTGAACTAGATATCCCGCTTTGGGATCTATGTCTGGATTTATTGATTTCCAGCACATATTTATTGAAGCTGCTCTCTATATTGGATTGCAGCGGAAGTAAATCACTCCCTGGATCTCTTCACAGCTTCTCCATTGAGGCATGCCAGTTACTCCAACTGCCAGGAGATCCATCCTTATACCGGGATGGCGTACGTCGTTTGTTTTTTCAAGCAACAAACCAGTGCATCGGTTAGATACTGAAATGATTTTTTACCAACCATCTATTCAAACAGCTCGGCAACCATGGGCCCATATGGATCTACGATATGACCAACATGCCCAGCAACAACAATAACAACAATGATAAACCCGCCTACAGCGCATCTGCACCGGCATCTCCGATACCGACTATTCTCCTCCACGGCGGCTCCCTCCTCAGCCCCATCAAGAGAATACAAGGAGACTGGGCTGGTGACCCCGTCCTCGTGCCCCGGGTCTCGGGCTCTTTCAACGCGCGCGTGGCGCAGGTGGTCATGTCCGGGCTTTTCATCCTAGGTAATAAGGGTCGATTGATGAAGAGAGGTCGGATCGGTTGCTTTTGGGAGGTCGGTGCCAGAGTGGAATGCCACGTTGGGGTTTGTGAGGGGGAGTGTGGGCGGTGCGAAGTCTAGGGCTGCACGGGTTTCGGGTTTGGGGGAGGTTGGGAGGTTGGGAGGTTGTTGTGGGCTTTGGGGTTGGATGTTCTTTTGATTAAGGGGTAAGTGGGTATTGTAATTGTTGATGAGCGATGATTGGAATTATGTTGTTATATCTATATGGTTTCGATTAAATATCGGATACACGATTTTGCAGTTATCATGGTCGAAAGACAACGAAGTATATATCAAATGAGTCCCACGAATGAAATAGGGGTCCGGGTGCGTGACATATGATCTTAAGATGTGTTATCCCCACCTTAAGGATCGATCCGTTGTTTTGTTCCAACATAAATAGATTAAATTTGTATTTGCATTTTCTTTAAGAGAAAGTAGAAGGAAAAAAAACCTCCATTAAAACTCGTGTTGTGCATTTAAAACAACCTAGTTAGCTATTTAGCTATTAGTTAAATAAGCGCTTAAATCTACACAGCATCCGTAAGCCCCCCAAAAAACTGCGCGAGCCCAAACGCTCCCGGATCCGGCACCTTCCCAATCCACTCCTCCTCACTACCCACATATACAGACCGGCCCAAACTAGCCTTCATATGCTTCGTGGCCTCCGCGCCATCTTCCGCAGCCTTTGCAGCCGCACCCAGATCGCCCGACTCCGCCAGCGTCGTAACGAACGGCGCAAGAGCGTCAATCAACGTCCTATCACCGACTTGCGCGGGGGTGTATCTCCCCAGCGCGCGCAGGGAGTGGTGAAGCGCGGTGGACCATTCCTTGGCAGTGACGGGGGTTGGGGATGCTGGAGCTTGTTCGCGGATGCTGTGGGCGAGGGCGTTGAGGAAGATGGCGTAGATAGCGCCGCTGGTGCCGTCCATGACGTTTTCGACGATGGGGATGATTTTGTTGATAGAGGTGACGAGGTCGTCTGTTAGCGGGGTGGTGGGGGAGGGGTCGTTGAGGAAGGAGAGGATGGCTTCCGCGCCGCGCTTGAGGCCGACGCCGCAGTCACCGTCGCCGACGATGGTGTCGTATTTGGTTACAAGAGGTTCGGCGTCGATTACGCGGTTAAGCCCGCCTGCTAGGGCTTTTTTGAGGACGGAGGGATCGACTGGAGGGCTCGATTGTGTCAGTAGGGGTTAGTGGATGGGGCAAGGGGGTTTAGAAAAAAAAAAAGGGGGGGGGTGGTGTGAAAGGCGTACGTTTGAGGTTGGAGGGGGTTTCTTCAGCGACAACTGCTTTCTTGGTGTCGTATGTAGCATCTGATTGATTTTCCCAAGTCGAAGTTGCCACGGGAGCTGACCAACCAACGGCTTCAGAGGGGGCATCTAGAAGATCTAGAAGCGATTTCCCGGGCCCAAGACCCGTGTCAGCTAGTCTAAGAAGGGAGATGCTGAATCCCATTCCATTTAGACTGGTCAAGAAGGTTCCCTGGATTGTGCGGACAGGTTTGATTTGGTAATCCCGCTCCAGCTGGGCTGTAACCTCAGCAGTTACCGCGGATAACTCCAGTGTGCTCACGGCTCCAAGGTTGTTCACGAGGAGGACAAATTTGTCTGAAGCGGAGTATTTTAAGAACGCACGATCCTGATCATTCTGATCCAGCAGCTGGACAAGCATTCCCTTGATTAGTTCTTCTCCGTTAGCTTTGATTCGATGGGAGCCTGGCTCATTGTGGATTCCCATTCCCACTTCAATTTCATCTTTGGGTATCATTTCGTCGGAATTGGGATCTGGAATTTCTCGTCCAGGAACATGGACATGTTCGAGCGAAGCTCCAAGAGTGACAGTGTTCTCCGCAGTAAGCTGTGCGATTCGATATACATCATCCAGAGACCCGCTATAAATATTAAATGTTAACAACGTAACTCATTTGATAACTCGAAAAGGTGATACTTGGACAGCGTCCATAACTTACCCTGACTCCGCAAGCGCGCCTACAATCTTCAATACCAGAATACCGCCTCCAATACCTCTCCTGCCAACCTTACCACCCTTTGCTCTTCCAACACCGACATCGTCACCAACTGCAAAGAACTCTGTCTTGATCCCCGCCGCTTTCGCCTTCTCCACCGCCATCCCAAAATTCATGACGTCACCGGTATAGTTCATACAGATAATAAAGACACCTTTGGAGGTTTCAATGCGCTCCATAACCGCAGTCCTGACCTGCTCAGCGGAAGGGGAGGCGAATATAGTACCAGCCACGGAGGCGGTTAGGAGGCCCTTGCCCACGTAGCCAGCAAAAGCGGGTTCATGGCCGGAACCACCGCCGGAGACAATGGAGACTTTTGGGTTTGCGGAGGAATCTGAGGTAGGGCGACGATATACAATCTTGTTGGGACGGTCGAATGCGAGGGAGGGGTTTGTGAGGGTGAGGGATGCGAGGGCGGAGTTGACAACCTGGGTGGGATCGGCGAAGAAGTGTTTGGCTTCATGGAGGAGTAAAAGGTCAGCATTGTGGCCATAGATATAGTGCAGTGATATGTCCGTCTGTCGATCTATAGGAGGAAAGCAACATACTCTGCATTTTGAAGGTAGAATTGGGGTCTTGGTCTGCTCTCTATATGGAGGGGACAAGTAATTTTTTGATGTCCTTGACCTGACCAGATTCGCGGAGGCAAGGAGCAACAGTAAACCGCAAGGGTATTTGAATTACAGCACAAGTAAGAGCAAAACCAGGCACAAACAATTATTAGAGAAATATAGAGAATGGAAGAGGGTATAAAAGAGTGCGCGAGTTGAAAGGAAGAGCAAGACGAAGAGGAGGAGGAGGAGGAGGAGAGGGGCTGGAGGAGGGGAAGAGGACGGGGATCTTCTTGTATTGTTATTCTTATATCGAACCCAGCAGACACCATGCAATATCAGCCCCCACAGTCACCCAAGAATACTTGGTGTAATACTTCCCGCGCATAACATACATACGCTGGGATGCGGATGCCCAATCCTCCCCCCACACTACCTATAGCTTCCTCAGTGTTTTATCAGAGCAGGGTTGCTAAGTTGTATGGTATGTACGATACAGCCAAGAACGGTCCCGAGATACCCCTGCATTTATTATTGTTCCATACCTGGTCTCGAAAGTCTTGATATTGGGCACTTATATGCGCTTGTGATAGCCCCGATGTCACTGGCGGCCTGAGCAATATAAATATCCTCGGCCGTTTCGCGCGCAGAAAGCCGTTTTGCGCCGGTAACGCAGCAGAGACGCGGAGTCTTGGCACGGCAGCACCTTTCATTGCCGGTATTTTTGAGCTACGGTGTAATTAATTGCTGTACTGTCAGATACGCCGCTTCAGCTGGAGCCCGCGTTTGGTGGGGGTACGGCCTGCTTAGTCAACACTGGAAGGCAAGTGGGATGAATTTGCGGGTTGCCACTGGCGGGAGAATGGAATCAAGTCCAGTCCAGTCGAGCATTCTTGACATTGTTGTCGTATTATTACAATTGATCGAGAGATTCAGTACAATAATGAACCGATGTCGGTCTCCCGATACGATGGAATTCTCGGCCGAGGGCTCTTGAGAGCTGTGCTAGTTACTGTACCACCATATACATAGACTCCGACGAGCAATATATATATTATATTCGGTTTTAAGTGTGACAAAAGGGATAGAAGCGTAGACAATACGAGGGAGAGAGGGGAGAGGGGAGAGCCGAAAACAGCCAGACGCGTCACACTGCACAGGGAAAAGCTAGGGAAAGCCACATGAAGGCCAAAGCACATGGAGTTTTTTGTATGAACTTGGAATTCCTGATGTTTTGACGTGACGAACGCGTCACAGAGCCCCATCCGTAGAACATCGCCTATCGGATTGCCATTTTAGGCATTTCCGGCGCATGGAACTCTTCGAGAACCGCTATATATAGATCCAACCCCCTAGTAAATCTGGACAGCGCCGAAAACATTCATCTGATCACAATAAACTTGTCCACGAGTAGTCAACTATGTTGCTTCTGGTTTGGCAGCGTAAAGAACACCTCTCAATACTATTGTTCACTCCCGCTTCTCTCAGGTATCTATAGAGGGCACTCGACTACTCCACAACTCCGTTTTCGACCTCTCCTCCTGTGACTTATGACATAAAGTGGATAGATATGTGGAGTATTGTTTATTCCCCAGCAATTTGAGCCGGTAGCGTTTGTGTGTGAAGGAGCCTTACATGTACAGTAGTAGACTCTCGGCTCATAAGCTGATCACATCCTACAGCCCCTGAGAAGAAGGAATGAGGAGGTGCAGTACTGCTACCCTCTACTGTAGACCCCTCTGCCACCGCAGTGATGGCAGATGGGCAAGCAGTGATTTCTTTGTGAACATAAGCTTTCTAGTTTTTTTACGTATTAATTGATGGAAAGTCGATTATTGAGCTAAACTCGATTTTTACTAGCGGTGGTGTGGTGTGGTTATGCAAGTGGTGGTGTGTATAAATCTGGACATCGTTCAATCGATTTGGAGAAAAATTTTCTATCCCAGAAATGGTGGGAATAAAATGCGTGGGAATCTGAATGAGAGGAAAACGAAAGAGACAAACAAAAGAGGCAAAAGGGGATGCTTCAAACAAACAAACGAGGAACACATCCAGAACTTTCATGCATCCCTAATCCCGTAACTGCCGCTCTTCCGAAACTATTTTCTCACAAGCGCCCTCATTCCATTATGCTCCCCTCCTGTTATGCGCAAGCGAAAGAAGCAATATCAAAGAACGACAAAAAAGAAATACTAAAAAAGTAGTGGGAAGGTGGGTTCATCATCATTATCATCATTAGTAGCGCGAGATTGTCGTTCGCCTTCTTGCTTCTTCCTTTCAAAATGTATGTCAACGTGATTCAAAAAGAAACGATACCAGGCGCGGAAAATAAAAAAAAGGGGGGGTTTCAAATGACAAGCTCGATAAAATAGGAGAGAAGGTCTGGCACAGACATGGATGAAGATTTAGTTGATTCGTTTTCCAGCAATGAACCTCCTGCATAGATATCCCCCAAGACAGAATTAGAAGCAAAAAAAAAAAAAAAAAAAAAAAAAAAAAAAAAAAAAAAAAACCGAGCATTCCAATTTCAAGCTAGGTATCGGTATTTGTTTCCTTCTTCCCGTTCTATGTATTCCCGTTCAATGAGCCTAGAAATAGCGAAGAATCGTACGTTAGTTTATACCCGGTAATTACAAAAGGACCAACGGCTGGGGGATGGACATAGAAAGAGTCAGTGAGGAGTCATTTTTTATAAGAAAACTCACTTTTCAATATTAGTTTTGATCCCAGCAGGCTCCAGCACACCTCTGCTCTTCGTTTTATTAATTACTTCCACCAACAGCTCCGCATGTGTGATGACTTTGCGTGCTTTCATAATTCGGACGATGGCTGCCTGTGTCTCGTAATGCCGGTCTGCCGCAACACGCTCATGCGTGCTCTGGTTCTCTTGTTTGGTCTCCTTGAGTTGGATCTGATTGATTTTGATGCGCATCTTGGGGTCCGAGAAGTTCGAATTAAAAGTAAATATGTCATCGTCGTTGATGTCTCGGCCCTTTGGGCGCTTTGTCAAGACCCGATATTTGGCGCAGGCCAGGGATTGGAGGGTTCGTTTCAATTCGATATCAGCTGGGATGAGGGCTGGAGTTAGCCAAGCGGATAGTAAAGGGAGGGTGACATTGTGAGATGTTTTAACTTGGAAAGAATAGGGGAAGACAATATATATATATATATATATATATAGAACTTACACAGGCCGGTAGCTTCCTTGATTTCAACGTATGACAAAGTGGCATCATCCTCCACATCGTTGAACAGGAGAAGAACAACAGCTTGGAACGAGCTGACGACAATTTCCTTGTTCCCCTTCGGAAACTTCGCCTTTAACTGACAGTGGGCAAGAGAATGTTTCCAGTGAAGTTTTCTACCATTGTACTTGTTATTGTAGAACTGCTCGAAACCATTCAACGCGCTGGATATGTCCTTTGGTATTTTCAACTGCACATCTGGATATGTTGGCCATGCAGCTGCTGATATAACGTTTACGTTTAGGTCCATCTTCGGTCTGTCTCTCTTTGGTCCTAGAAGCGCGTTATACGAGGCCATTTCGTCCCGCGCAAGATCCATGTCCTTAAACATCGACTCAAGGTTATGAGTGAAATTCGATCCACATTCTAGACGTTTTCAGAGTTATTAGTAAAGATATCTGTTAGGGGCTAGGGCGAGGACTGTAATATACGAACCTGATCTGAGTCGTGCAAGCATGCTCTTTTCGGCTTCATCACTGGCGCTTCTACCCATAAGAAGACGACGGGCAAGGTCGTTTTTGTAGAAGGCTTCGAAAACAGCTTTCCCATGGACGAAACGGAAAAGATCCAAAACCTGGTCCAACTTTTGGTTGATTTCCGCATCTTCATCAACCAAGGCTGCGCTCCCGCTCTTTGATTCTCCATCCAGGCCATGGATAGCCTTGACACCTCCTCTAAGTAGCATATCAACGTATTTTGCGATCATTTCGCCGGGTTTTGGGTTATCAGTACCCCAGCTCGACCCTGTCTGCTTTGTTTCATTGATAAAATTCTCGAAGGCCTCTCGAAGACTATGGCCTAAGGCTTCATCTTTGTGGAACGCATCCTTCCATATTTTGTCCAAATTTTCCTTGAATTTCAAGAGCCTCACAACCATCTTATCTTCGTTCTCCTGATCAAATACGATACCAGACCCTTCTCTAATAATATACGCGGAGAATGCTGGTTTCACTTTAGGCCCCAGATCTTGTCGTTGTAGTAGCGTGTATAACTGTTCCAGAGGAGCTTTGTCATTCTTGCTTAGAAGTTCGATGATATCATCCTCCTTAATTAGGAGATTGGTGTGGTCTGAAACCAAATAACGATCTAGCATTTGAGAGATGCTTTGTTTGGTACTCCTATCCAGTGCGAATAGATCACACCTAGCCATCTCACGGTCGGCCAGGAGATGACATCTTTCCACGTAGGTGGCAAGCCCACAATGAGATGCTTGCTTACCAGCCCAACTAGCGATGTATTTGTCTGAGGCTTGAAGCATGCATGGTTCGAAATGCTTCTTGTAGACACCCAGGTCATGAAATAGTTTGACGGCACGCCTGAGTAAGTTCGGGTCAACTGCCGAGCTGTCTTCCTCCCTGTCAAGTTCGATCAGTTGGCAAGCTCCTTGCAAGATTCGAGGTCGCAGTATATCGTTGGAGAAGATCGCCTTGCGGAATTGGATTAAGCCCATCTCGTAAATGACTGGGTTGTCTGCTGAATGGAGTAGGAAGGATTGGTCTAAGTAGTAGAAAATGGAACGTATTATAACCTAGGACGGCGAATAGTCAATATTTGTATCACGCAGAACTTGATCGTGGGAAGAGAACCACATACCAAACGGGTATTCCAAGTAGACCAAGCTTCCTCAACCGATTTCAAGATATCAACGTCATTACCGTCCGCGGCTCTCGCTAGTAGGGTCTTCAGGGAAGTCCCGGATACGTGTTCCTCGCAGCGGACTTGCAGTCTTTTGGCCAGAACCGCAGCCTTCCCTTGCCGGCATACATTCTCAGCCCCTCTGTAAAGCTCCTCAAGCGACTGTTCTGGCTTCTGACCTGTGAGGATTGCCGTCAAAGCGGAGTCCAGTTGCGACCAGACCTTTTCGAAATATAGATCCTGATCCAGACGCGGTATGGCCCGTAGATTTTTGACAACGAGCTTCTTAGCTCCCGTGTGTGGCGTGAAGTTGCTGGGCCTTGCCATGCAATTGAAGGCGCGCGATGTCGTCTGGGTGGCACCATTTGAATTCGAAGGCGATGGATTCAGTCCAGCTGTACTAGTAGGTGATTTCAAATCGGTATTGTTCTGTGGGAATGTGTACATCTTCTCGACTGCGATGGGTTGGTGGGGGGAGGTGGAGGTGGAAGCGGCTGCGGTTTGGGGATGCGATATATCTCGCCTCACGCGCTTGGAGTTGGGTGACAGAAGCTCCACTCTACCGTTTTTGGATACGTTATTCCCACCGTTCTCAAACAAGTCCGTTATAGTCGTCTGTTTTCGTGCCAGGTCCTCGCGGTGTTCAGGGTCTTGGTCAGTATGTTTCCGCTTGCCTACAGACTTGTTGTTCCCGCCCCTCGGTGCAGGCCTAGTAGAATGCTGCATCTATTTTTCTCGATTGATATCCAAAGTCCATCAGATCTTAGCCTTGGTCATAAAATCAAACAAAGGGTCCAGAAAAGGGCATAATCATAATAGTGTGAATATGTTACCTCTTCTAACGGGTTGGAAATGCAATCCGAGGTTCTTGAGAGGGAGGCTTAGTTTTGACGTTGTTTGACCTTAACCGCCAGACGGAGATAGCTGTAGCGCTCCGATTGGCCGAGGCGATTGAGAGCTCCCACTGGCAAAAATAAAGAGATGGGATGGATACCAGCCAGTGCAGATTTGTGAAGCTTTGATGGATGCAATGATAGAAGATGATGAGAAAGAAGAGAGATGAAAGAAGATGGAAGATGACTTATATGTTTGCTCATCAAACCGCATATAGAAGTAATGCCAGTTCTTTGCACCAGATTTGCCTCTTATTTATTAGTTACACATCATGCTAGCAAGCAACGCAATTAAAAGGGGGCGAAGAAATGACAGAGCTTGGGACAGAAAGGCCACCAGAGCTATCATGTAAGTTTTTTATCCTATTCTAAATGCCTCCTCCACAGGAACCTCTAGCGGGCCCTCGAACTGTTGTACAGACATACGGACATCTACGAAAATAACATCGTTCCTGATCTTTCAGTCGACTGCTCTTCCTCGAACTGAGGCAAATAGTTGGCATCAATATCCCTCTCTCAGCAAGCAAATAGCAGAAAAGAAAAGAAGGAGAAGGGAGACTTACTTCAAGAAATCCAACAGCATCAATTAGTGCGACATATGATTTAACTAGGTCATCCAGAGTTTCACTAGCCTCCCCTCTATCCAGTCCACCGATTTTTGCATACCGCTTAAATATTCCAACCATGCTTTGTCGATTTCCTGAAAGGAAAGTGCGCGTTTGGTCAAATACCTGTTGGTTGTGTAAGCCACGCGCAAAAACGGCTGATACAACCACGCGCATCACAGCGAGAAGCAGGTCATAATATTTCCGGAGAGCGTCTGGGTTGTCGATATCTGAAATTTATTGAGTCAGGTATCACATCATAGTTTAAAGGTGAAGACGACTTTTACCGATTCCAATATCAGGGTCAGTAGCAAAAAGCTGGGACTCTTTAATAGCTTGGAACAAGCCCGCATCCAATATGCGCTCTGCTCCAAGTCGTGACTGAGAAAGCTGCTGAAGTAATGATAAATGGGCATCGTAGTAAACTAGTAGACGCGAAGTTTCTGAAAAATATGATGTTAGACGGCGGAAAGCAACGGGCTAGGCGTGATATCGAAGAGAAGGCACATATTAACTTACCACTGGCTGGTGCATTGCGGAACTCTGAGGGTATCGCTCCGACAACATCTACAAACATGGCGAGATGGTTCGATTGGGCAATCAGATCTATGAGCAGAGATGAAGACTGCTGGCGATCAAGAACAGCAAGAAGATTCAGTAAGAGCAGGGCGGATATTCTGCAGGTTTCTTGTCCTGAATAAGCATCGTCACACACAACCTCTACGAGTGATGAACCAGAAGCCTTGACAACCTGTTGTGAGTGGTTTCCAAAGCGCTTGTGTTCGGATCCATTGCGGGTAATGCGCGATAAGTATTGAGAGCATATGTTGTAAAGACATTCTCTCAAGGGGCTGTTTTCGAGAGCCAGAGGGATCCCACAAAGACATGTTTGGAAGAGATGGTAAAGTCGTTCGTCTATGATATCAGCTCCCTTGTTGGAACTTTCGGTGGAAGGACCAGAACCAAGCTTTTCTAGCAATGATTCCGCCAAACGCCCTAATTCAATGGCCTCTGACGTATTATCTACGACAGAGCTCTCGAGTTTCGGAAGAATAACCTGCAGGATGTGCAATATCAACATCGATCTTTGACCTGCGTCCATATCGCACATAACGATGATCGTGGTAGCAAGTTCGGCCCACGATCGGACAGCTGAGCAGCGGTTTACTCGAATCTTCCTACTTTGATTATGGGCGTGGAGGAAGAGCAATATACTCTCTCGTTCGGCCACGAGTTGTTCCTCATCTTGCGCCGTCACCAGTCCGGCTTGCAGAAAATCTTGCTTTGTGAAGTCAAGAAGCTCTCTCACACTATCAAGGTCGTAAAGGATCAAAGTACCATCGCCCTGAGGCTTGGCGCAAATATCTAGGTTAATGTCGTGAAAGAATTTCATATTGGGTGGGGGTTTTATGTCGTCTATGTCCAAATCTGCGAAGTCAAAAAGATCAAAGAAGGAGGCATGGGTAAAAGAACGATTGCTTTCATCGACGGAGCTTCCCAGTAAGGTGGCTAGGGTATCCCTCTGCAGAGACGGGGCCCCGTGGTTCGAAATGGAGCGAATTTCTGTGACAGCGTAGTCAAAAAGCATGCTTCGATAGCTAAGGAACTCTGAGAGCGAAGCAGATGACGCCAAGTACCAAAACTCTGGATCGGAAGTTTGCAAATTATTCCAAAGGGTCTCTGGACCAACAGGAGGTTGAGTTGAAAAGAGGGAAACAAGGAAACCCCTGTTATGAAGTTCTGGTAGCACCAGAGCTGATGACAATTTCGAAGACCAGAGATGCCGAAGCACTCGGAAACTCGCTTCTTTTAGATGCACCATCCAATCCACTATGGTTCCACCTACCTCGATAGGGTAGCTCCGGGCAAGTTCGATGATAGCATGTAAAAGCGACATTTGATCTTGGAATAAACTTCCTCCTGCGATATCAAGAGTGTTTCCGAGGCAAGAAAACCCTAGAAGTAAGTGAGCCATACTTGGCTTTTCAGGGTTGATACTAAGACAGCGGTCCAGTAAGTTCACAAGTCCTAGCTTGATAAGATAACCGGCAGATCCAGGGCCGCTTTCTAGTTCGCGTATATCAATCCCCATTTGCGAGGCCAGGGAGCGGGCGATGCGATCTGCCTCGACATCGGTGTTCAATAGCTCCACTATCTGATTTGATGCCTGCCAACGGGATAATGTGGATGAAGTAGCTTTGTTTAACTTCCGCGAGCTTGATAATTTCTCCAAAAGCGCCAGCGAAGCGAGAGTTAATTGCGGGTGACCAGTGCCGCAATAGAGGCATAAATCCGTGACTACACGAAGATTACCAATGACGCTGTCTTCGAACGATGCAAGGGACGAGTTGGCCACAGTAGTTGCAGCTTGTCTGGATTGAGATTTAATCAACGGGCGTACGATATCGAAGTAGGTCGACTGGTGGTCCATAATAAGGTTCATAACGTCAATGCCGCGGAGCAAAGATCGAAGGATAATTGAATCAGACATAGCCCTCGCCACATCATCAATGTTTTGATGGGCAGCTGCAAATATCGCCTTTAGAACATCCTCGTTAAATAACCACTCCATCACTCTCGCGAATGGATGCAATCGAATGTATGCGTTTAGCGAAGAGGACCGCAAGCCGGAATCTAGTGGAACAGAGGATTGGCTTACGATTGAAATAAGGTGTTCGTTAAAATTTTGAATACAGGTGACGATAAAATTGAAGCACGCCAATTGTAGATGGCGAGTCTGGGGTTCATGAAGGTCAATACATCTAGTAGCGAGTGCTTGGCCGATGACGAAGTCGATATAGGGCTCTATGCCAGGCATTCGGTAAGAAGACCCTAATGATTCTGGAAATGGGAGAGAGAGCTGCGAATTCATCAAATCGATGGGAGGAGATGCTAGCGTATCTAGGAGCTCAACAAAGGAAAAAGTTTGATCAAAAGTTTCTGTTATTTTTTGGAAGGCATGGCGTTCGTTCCATCCAGGCGAATTCGCTGCAAGGGGCACTTTTGCGAGAGCAGAAGTTTGGGAGCCTGAACCGGAAATCCATTGGTCAAGGGCAATCCACATCTCGTTTCCATGGAGCGATGTCCTGTCCACCATCAGAAACCGCAAAGTGACAAATATGCTGGATCTTAGGTGACCTGGAATGGGGGCGTCACATAGGGTTAGAAGAATGTTGACAAGATTTAGAGTTGGGTGTTGCAGTATCCATTCCCGGATTTCCGAGTTCTGTTTACACAAGTGGCTGATGAGCCTCAGGTACGAGGTAAGCATCACTGGACTTTCAGGTTCATCTATTTCGGCCGGCTCGAGTTTCCGAATACGAAAAACTGACGGAGGTGCCGCTGCAGGTCGTTCCGTAGCTTTAGTAGCGTAGAGCTGTAGTTCATCAATCATTTGAATCCAGCTCATCGAGGTGGATCTCCTGAATTTCGCAGAGGTTTTGTCCTCATCTAACAGGAATTTGTGTGCCGATAAAGAATTTTCTTCTCCTTCCGAGATGGAGCAAAGCATCTCACAAAAGCCACTCGCCCGAGGAACAGTTTGACGTTTCGACGCCCATAGGAGAAATCCGTACAAATTTCCTTCTGGATCCGTCCAAAATGCCTGCGCAGCCTCCACCCTATGTTCAAATGCAAACGCCATTATCACAAGCAATGTTTCAAAATGCATGCGTGTTTCAATGGGGCCGCGGTGCAAGTTTGAGGTTAGGCCTTCCCGCAGAGCCGTTATTTGGTCCAAACGCTGAATATCTTCCTCGGACTTCAGTGTTCTGATGGCATCCGGCATATTAGCAATGAGAGATTCGATAAATATCTCGAAGTGCTCCATGAGTAATGCATAAAAGTACGGAGAAGACGAGTCCGGTTCCACTGTCAAGGGTGTACTATCCTTGAGGAGCAGGTTAACCAACTCGGTTCTTGCTGGATCACGCCACTCGTTCTGGCTGACTCCGCCACAGACCTGCAGCATAAACTCCAAGGCCCCATCGTCAAGCGCCGTAATAAAAGATTTAGAGAGATCTGCGGCCTCCTTCTCGGGGCTAACGCCTTGAAGGGGAGATGCAGAGCCGGATTCAAAATACCAGCCCGCGTATTCAGCAAGCCAGAATGCCGTTGTAGCAGCATGGAATTGTGTCAGAGCCCAGTCCTGAGGATCTTTGGAAGATGTAATGGCCTGATGCAGGGATCTTGCATCACGAAGAGATCCCGAACCTTCAGGAGAGCCGTACTGAGATACCGATGAGATTATTGCTGGGATATAATGGACTAATATCATGTCGAATTTATCCAGCTTCCTTAGCCGGTCCAGTAGTATGCGGAGATCTTCGGAGCTGGTGAAAGTGCCCTTGAAAAGATAGCAGATTATCGCACCAATCGACTCATGTTCCTTCCCAAGGCTGGTGCGCTGATATTCTATAATTTCAATATCTGATTCCTGAGCTTGTCCAACAATTGTGGCCTTCTGGGCTAGATCGCACAATCGCGCCAGCCACTTTTCGATATCAGCCATAGAATCCATGCATTTTCTAGCGAAGAGGGACGCATTTCGCAAGGGGCCATTTTGAATTTCGAGAATTTTCGCAACAATATCCTGCATGATGGCCTGTGTGCCTTCCCTCTCAACCTCGAAAGACTCAGACAGGACTAAGCGTAGGCATTCAAGAAGAAACGATCGACGTTCGTGAAAGCGTATTATTGTGCACATAACTGGCGGACGGTCTAATTTTTTTGCATCATCTTGCGCTCGCAAGAAATAACCGGCTGCCTCTATTTCGTCCACATCCAGGGCATCTGCCACTTGCAATACGTCCTGCTGGAATTGTTCGTTGACAGAGTATTCGACATCGTTGACTGTGATTTTGCCTATTTTACAATGAAATTAGCGTTAAAGCTCGAAGCTAAAGCAGAGCTCAAGCAGAGCTCAAGCAGAGAAAACTTTGTATAGTACCGGAGAGTACGGATTGGCGGCTTTCGTTTTTCTTTGGCGGCTTGTCGAGAAGTTTTCTGAAGTCTTGAACGGTTGCCTCCAGCTCAAAAACGAGTCTATCGACGTTCGGAAGAGCAGACCTGGACAGCGCAGAAAGGTCCTGGTACAGGCCCCTCAGGCTATCCAGCTCGTCACCGCCATCCATTGTGGAGAGGGATGGGCAAGAGGTTCTCTTGTCGAAGGTGTGTTGCGGAACGAATGAATTGTTGGTTGGTTGAGCAGGACGCGACCCGGAAACGTTAGCTAGTTATTTAGTTTATTTAACTTAAATACCGACTGAGGAGGCCCGAGCTTTCGTCGTGCGGCTCAGCGCAACCCAACCCTGCCGGAAGTTATTTAAATACAAATATTATTTCCGGATTATTAGCTAGCAGCACGCTCGACAAACGGCCGACTTGCTGCTCGGCTCTAGCACACCACAACGTCCTACCGCCTTGTCTGGTGTAAATAGCGCTTCTCTTCCATGGCGACGGGACATTTGTCCAATGCTCCAGTTCCTATGCCCTTCAGGAACTCAGGAACGGGACGCTTTATTTATTTACTACTCCATCCCTAAACTCCCCGCTACTGTGGGATGGTTCACACGTACCAACTGCTCAACCCATTTTTATGCAGCTACCGTAGGGAGCAATGAAGGAAGTAAGCCTCAAGGATGCGCTGGGGGCAATTGGCTCTGATTTGCAGAGGAATCGTGTAGCTGGGCTGGAAGGTACCGCCGTCATCCCTTTTACTTGTGGAATGTGTGAATCAGGCTGACAATATGTGGAAAGATCTCAAGCATATCCTTCTGCTGAATAGACAAACGCCTAAGCTGTATGGCTTCTTGTTAGTAATATATAAACTTGTATCGAGATACTGATATTGAGCGGTATCTGTCGCAGGAATCACCTCACTGATAAGGAATATCACAAAATTTTCGAAACCCTGTTTCGATTCATATCTACCGAGAAATCCACCTACAAGCGCGCGAAGCCTTCTACCTCCAAATCTTCATCGGGAACGAGGCTTACAAATTGTGCGTCTGCCCTTCGAACTACCGTTGAGCTGGGTGTACATAAAATCCGCCCAAAAACCGTGACGGCTTTGCTCTACCATGTCGCCGATGCGATCCAAAACCTGGGAGATGCACTATGGGAACCCCTTAGCGGAGACTACATAAAGGTGATAAAGACTATATTGCAGTATCCACCACATTTGGAACACTTGAGCAAGGATGTCTGGTGTCATGTTGTCGATTTTTGCTTTCAAGCTATTGGTGTCATAGAACCCAACCAGGGGACCCAGCTGAGCATTCGAAATCGTACACGTCCTCCATCTGAGAGCCCGGGCGGCCCCGGCAGTCGTGCCAGTTCGATGGAGCCAGGCGCTCTTCGACGCAATAAAAGTTCCGGTTCCGAGACCAGTACAAATAGTGACGAGCTAGAGACTTGCATTCAATTGCTATGCTCTTATCCTTCTAGTCCTATCATTGATAATGCCAAAAAGCTGATCGATGGCCTTTTGGACTATCTGGAGTCGCAGAATAGCGTCTCTAGGACTCCTTATGCAGCATTTAGCGCATTCAATTCAGTTCTCGCAAAGTCGATAACGGATGACACTGCCCTTGTTAGAGATGCTCTATTGGATATCATCCCGATAATCAAACGATTCTGGCGTACGAAATCTGGTATCCTGAAGGATGAAATGCTGGTAACGCTGATGCTTGGGAGACCTATTTTTCTTCAATATAGTCTCTCATCTCCGCCAGATTCGTTTGTGGAATCACTCCAAGGCCTAACTGAGCAGCTGTATCAAGAGTACTTGAGACAACCCGAAAAGGACTTGATGCAAGTGGATGATTTGGTATTTACTTTTAGCCCAACTCCTCGACCTATGGGCATTAGGATAATGGCTCCGCGCCTGGGAGTTCCTAAGTCTGAGCAAAATTGGACCACTTTGCAAACAATTGCTAGTTTCTCGACGCTTTTGGACAATATGTACCTCACTCTAGATAATGAGCCACAAGCAACCGAAAGACCTAAAAAGAAACAGCATCTCCTGTCAAGGAGGTCGGATATTGTTCGTGAAGCCTCGACTTCTACGGGAGTAACGAGAATATGCGCGCTGCAGTTGCTTCCATTCATCTTCTCAGACCGCGAGCCCGCGACTGAAGAGCTCTTAACAACGCTAGAGCAGCTTACTGTAAATATTTTAGACGAGAACGGCTCTACTGCGTCATGGACCATGATAGCAATTGCAAGGTGCGTCAGACTGGTAGGACCACATAAACATGGATACTGACGGTATGTTCACAGCATAGCTAGCTGCGGTGCCGCTACATCACAGGAATTGCGACCTTTGTGGGCTCAGGCTTGGGAGCTGACTTCTCGCGCACTCGGTTCTCCTACAACATCTAGAGCTGCCTGTAATTTGCTGACTGCAATACTGCATTTTAAACTACTAGATTACTCAATTGTAGTGGATACAGCTGAATCCATGACATCTTCCGTTGATATCAACGGCCCCTCAGGTTTGACCGACTCAGCGCTGCTTATGTGGGCAAAGATGGTAGAGTTCCGAACAAAGATCAATCCTGCACAGAGCCAAGACATGTCAAAGCAAATATGCGCATGGATAAGAAATAGCTGTAAGTTTGGTGAGTTTTATAACGGGTGAATTATATATTTTGCTGACACAGGAAACAGGGGCTTTACCTGACCGCGCCTATACGATGCAAATTGCTACTTTTGCACGACCCCTAGAACTCCTCAATCTCTTGATGAGTTGCACCGGGAGGTCTTTTGATTTTCCTCATCCTGTTCTTCCAGGGCCGCTTTGCAGGATCTCAACATCTTTCTTCAGGCTCCGTCAGGATTACGAGCTGATTGAGTATCTGCTTCTCACACCCCGAGAAGGCCATGCGAATGAGGCCACGGCCGTTTCCTCAAAGCCTACTTATATTGGCTTCTCGGTGAAACCACACCCTAATGACCAAGTTATTCTAGAGCTTCTTCAAACGAAGATAGACAATTTCAGTCAAATTTGGAGCCAGTTGAGCAATGATAAACGCCAGCACGTTACCATTGAAATAATTCAAATTCTAGTATCCCTCTGCATCACAAGCACCATATTTACTGAGTCCCTTCCGTTCCCTGTGTCATTACGGTGTCAGCATCTACAAAAGTGTACTAAAAAGTTGTGGATAAACCTCTGCAATTTTTTCTCCAGGAAAGAGGTGGAATTTCTTCATGCCTGCTTGGATATTCTGGCTCCGATCATTCTGCCTTTGAAGCTGGAGATTGACACTAGCGATCCGGTTTTGAGAGCGGTACGACTGATCGCTCCCGAATTTATTGCCGTCTTAAATCATCACAAGGGTGCGGAGCGCGACTCGTCTCATTGCGCAGCTGACCCAATGGATCTCGATGATCAATTTTCACCTCAAGAAAGCCACACAAGAGATGGCGATTTCTTTCCGAAATTCGACCGAGAAGATACCCCTGCTTATGAGGATCAGAATTCAGTTCGCCGCGCAACTGCAACACACCTACATATATTATATCACCTCGCTGGCACAAGCAAAAGCTCCGAAGTCCCTACGAATGAGAGCTTAGTCGGCCATATCACGTCGCTTGACACGGTAGATATTCTGGCCTGTCGACCTAATTTGGCACTTCTTCTTGGCAGCTGGCCTGATATTTCTAGATCTGACGCCTGTAGTTTGCTTGTGTTCTTCGGGGAAACAATTCTGCGGTCTTATGAGTTTAAGATGTGTGAAGCCGCTTTGTCCATCTGTATTGAACTTTCGACGGCTCTTATTGATCATTGGATTGCCGATGAGGGGGACGACCTTTATGAATGTGCTCTTGATCTTTACAGCTGGTATGCGTTAATAGTTGAAGAAAGACTGGGGTCTCCTAGAGTCCTGATAAGGATTGCTACGTTGATGGAGCGTGTCCTCCGAGCTGACCCATTGTATCCAAGGGACAACTCGCGGCCCTCACCTCGTACAATCCTTTTCAAGATCTTGCACGACGGGGATCTAACTGTGAAATTCCACTTGTCCAAGGTTATTCCGTCAGTGTTCGACCGGTTTATCCTCAAAGAACATGATGCTATCTTTGATGATATTCTGGAAAACCTCCCCCGTGACCCTGACTGGAACGAGGGCATTGCTTTACGCCTATATCTCCTAGCACAACTAGCGTCCAGATGGCATACCCTCCTGCGCCGTGGAATATATCACATATTTGAGACCCCAGGGCAACTTCCTAAGTCGGCACCATATGCGAAAGCCTGTCTACAGGAGATCACACGCTCTCTCGGCCTCAACGACCCCAAAGAAATTTTTTGGCTATTTGCCTCTCAGATGATATACACGTGGCTAGAAACAGAATCTTTGGGATCAATTCCGTTTACCATATTTGGTTATCGGACGCTCAACGACTTACTAATAGACGTCCAGGACGAAGTTGTAGCCCAAATTGTGATGCGTGGCAAGGATGATGAGATGACAGAGATTTCCACTTGTTTGAGCGTGCCATTCCAAGAATTGCTGGAGGACTGCTTTTATAAAGCTGAGGCGTACTGCATTGCACGCGACATCAGCATTCCACCTTCGCAGGACAGCCAGCCCAAAGGGACCCAGGGCCGCATCAAGAAGATTCTAGGAACTGAAAAATTTGGTTCTTTACTGGAAAGATATTTCCCCGAAACAATTGCCGTATTTTTCAAATGCGTGGATCAAACAGAACATATGGGAAAAGGCTTTGAAAAGCGTCCTCCCTTCAAATACGCTCTAGATATCTGGAAAGACATTGCGAGAAGAAGTGTATCGATGGCCGTTCTGCCAGCCAGCCAGCAACCATCTTTCCGAGCAAAATACCTTCTCGATGAGATCGACTTCCTATGTGCGCGGACCGGATATGATCTCGAGACAATGTGGACACCCGCTTTGGTTTGTTTTGTCGCGAGGACATTGATAGAATCCATTCATCCGTCCCTGGGCTCACTCCATGCATGCGCTGTGATCCGGAAGCTCAAAATTCTTATCTGCATCGCTGGGTCTGTGGTTCTGGAAGAATATCCGCTCGAAATGTTGCTACATTTTCTAAGGCCGTTTCTTTCCCACTTTCATTGTTCGGAAGATGCGGTTGGGCTTTTCTGGTACCTCGTCGATAAAGGCAGACCATATCTACTGGAAAATCCCTCCTTCATGGCGGGGCTTGGCGTCTCGACTCTTGCCTCACTTCGGGGGCTTCTGTCCTCTTCTCAGGAGAGCACTACTCAAGAAATGCATTTCAGGTCATCCCTGTCGAAGGCGCAGATTTTCCACGACTGGTTTGCGAAATTTTTGGACCAATATGAATCTCCAAAGCTTAGCAAGGAATCGGAGAAGTCGTTCCGAAATATTGTGCGATCATCTCAGCGCATCAATTTAGTTGGATGCGCTTCAAAAGGAACACACGAAGGTGAACTTTTAGCAAGCCTTTTGCAAGATAGTGCGGCCGACGAGAGATTACTAAGTGCTCCAGCGACTGATTTGGTGTTTTCTCTTATCTGCAAGCAGTTCCAGAGACCAACCAACTTCCGGGATGATATTTTGGGGGAAGATCAGATTGCCGCAGGAAACGCGATGACTGTTTGGAACACTATCCAGCATCAAGATCACGGTTCCGGTTATCGCCTCTGGGCCGCCCGTGTATTAGGCCGGGCGTATGCATCGACAGGAGTGATCAATGGCTCCATGCTCAAAGAAACGCGATCATCTTCCTCCGATGATATCCCCGAACGCATTAGATTCACATCCAAATATTCTATTATCCGTATGCTTTGTAATTCGTTGCTTTCAAATAGTCGTCGGGATATTGGACTGGCTGAGCGAGCCTTGCAGAACATTCTCACCAGACTCCCTTCGGATCCCGAGCTCGGAGAATGCGGATCAGCCATTCCTAGTTCACTCGTTAAGGCGCTTACCTGGACACCATATCTATGCCCGAAGCTGTCTTTGACTCCTTTCCAGAAGGCCCAATTCGATCATGATATTCGCTGGATTCCCAATGTATCCGCTGATGAGTGGGCTCGTGATGTCACTCTCTGCTTAACGGTCCAAGAAGCCACCGACTCTATAATTGGTTCGTTACCAAAAGTTCTTTATGAGATACCAGCACTTGCGACGAAGCTTCTACCATATATTCTACATGACATGCTACTCTCCGAGTATGAAGGCAAACGAACTGTTCGTCAAACTGCCTCCGCAGTATTCCGGCAAGCATTCCGTGAAGTCCGTGATACCACGTTTCCACACATTCGGCTTATAATTCACTGTATTCTATATCTAAGGCACCAAAAGCTGCCTCAAGAGCAGACCATGAATCAACGAGACGCCTGGCTTGACATTGATTACCTGGAAGCTGCACATGCAGCAACGCAGTGCCAAATGTATAAAACCTCACTCCTTTTCGTAGAAATTCATTTCTCGCGAACTGCGTCAACTCGACGGTCAGCGGTTTCGAAATCGCCTGACTCATTATTGCTCCTTCATGATATCTTCAAAAATATCGAAGACCCTGATCTATTCTACGGTATTCAACAGAGTGCCTCTCTGGATTCCGTTCTTGAAAAGCTCCAGCATGAAAGCGCTGGGGTTGGATTCAAAAATCTTTCATTCCAAAGTGCCAACTACGAGGCTGAGATGAAGCTCTCCAGCGCCATAGGAGAGACAAACTCCCTTGGTCTTATACAAGCTCTAAATGCCACAAATTTCCAAGGTGTTGCAAGTGCAATGTTTACTGCCCCTACCAGTAACGGGAAGAGGGCTGAAGTCTTTGAGAGCATGCTTTCAACGTCTCTTTACCTCCAACAGTGGGATATTCCAGTGCCCTCTACCTCAACCTCCGCCGCTGGCAATATATTCAAAGCCCTGCAAAGCCTGAACTCGTCAGACGACAAACTGCAGGTCGGCCGAATTTTGGACAATTGTTTCTCAGAGGTTCTTGGCCATTTTGAAGAGAATCAATCCCACTTTGAGCTGCGTACTGGGATGAGAGCGATGGGTATATTGGCTGAAATAGATGAGGTTATGTGTTCGCAAAATCCGGATCAGTTACAGGATGCATGGGAAAGAATACAAGCGAGGGGATCGTGGCTGAAGTTTGAGAGGTTCGTGTGTTATCCATTTCCTATATCTTATATGTTACGATAACTCACGAGATGTACATTAGTTTCCGGGATATAAGCCTGATTCTCTCGAGCCATGAAGCCTTGTTCTCATTGATCAGTCGACAACCTCACATAAAGTCTATGCTTAATCTGAGTTCCCATGATGCTAAATTATTGGAGGTTAAGGCTATCCGAGCATCCCTAAGGATAAGTAGAGAACATGATGAACACCAAGCATCGTTAAAATCTGCGATATGGCTTTCGAAACTAATTAAGCCTTGTGCTGATCTCGGCGTATTCATTGACGCTGCAGCAACATTTGATTTGGCCAATGTACTTTGGGACCAGGGGGAGATGACAACATCAATTCAAATGTTACAACAGCTCAACAAGCAAAACAACCTCCAGACACAATCTATTCCGGTGAACAAGGCAGAGGTTTTGGCTAGTCTAGTACGTAACAGAGCGTATTCACATGAGGGAGGGACTTTTAAGCTGACTTTTGTTAGGGTCGCCATGTTGCGGAAGCTAGGTTACAAAAACCGGATACGATTATGCAGGAGTACCTTTTCCCCGCCATAAAGGAACTAAAAGGTAGATCTGAAGGGGAGGAGGCAGGGCGGGTATTCCATGAATTTGCAGTTTTCTGTGACCAACAGTTGCAGAACCCAGACGGCCTAGAAGATTTTAGAAGAATTGAACAAATCCGCCACCGAAAGGAGAAGGAAGTGCTAGACCTAGAGCAAATGATGGAATCAGCTAAAGGCAAAGAGAGAGATCAACTCCTAATACATAGAGTCAGAGCGAAACAATGGTTTGAACTGGACGACAAAGAGTACCAGAGGCTGAAAGAGAGTCGGGTATCTTTCCTTCGCCAGTGCCTGGAAAAATATCTCCTTGCTTTGAGGGCTTCCGATACGTTCAAGAACAACGTCCTACGATTCTGCGCTCTCTGGCTGGACAATTCGGAGAGCGAAGCAGCCAATGCAGCTGTCGCAAAATATATTAACACTGTCCCGAGTCGAAAGTTTGTGTCATTGATTAATCAGCTGTCGTCACGCCTGCTCGATGTTGAGGATAGTTTCCAGCCACTGTTGGGAACGCTCATTCTTCGGATTTGCATGGAGCATCCATACCACGGAATGTATCAATTATTTTCCAGCAGCAAATCCGCACGTGGCAGAGACCATATGTCTAATTCACGAAGTCGAGCCGCTAATAACTTAGTCGATAGGCTGAAAAGCGATCCTAAGGTACGTGATACGTGGTTCACTCTGCACAACGCATGTGTCGGCTATGTAAGGTTTGCAACGGACGGGTTAGACAACGGACTCAAGAGCGGTTCAAAAGTTGCACTTAGAAAATCGATCACTGGACAAAAATTGGAACAGGACGTCAGGAGACAGCATATTCCACCACCTACCATGAAAATTGATCTCCAGATTGATTCAAATTACAGCCACGTACCCCGTATTGTGCGGTATCTCCCGGAATTCACGGTCGCATCAGGCATCAGTGCTCCCAAAATCGTCACTGCTATCGCTTCAGACGGGCTTCAATATAAGCAACTCGTAAGTTAGGATAACCTGCTATCTTTGTGGATATCTTATTGACATACGTCCAGTTTAAAGGAGGAAATGATGACCTGCGGCAAGATGCCATTATGGAACAAGTCTTTGAACAAGTCAGCAATTTGCTGCGAGAGCATAGAGCTACCCAACAGCGTAACTTGGGCATCAGAACATATAAAGTATTGCCTCTAACTGCGAATGCGGGAATCATCGAATTTGTGCAAAACACAATTCCCTTAACCGACTATCTAATGCCCGCCCATCAGAGGCACTTTCCCAAAGATATGAAACCCAATGCCTGTCGAAAGGCTATCAGCGATGCGCAGCCAAGATCGTTGGAGCATCGAATAAAGGTTTTCCGTGAAGTAACAAAGCATTTCAACCCGGTCATGAGATTCTTTTTTATGGAACGGTTCAAAGAGCCCGATGACTGGTTCAGCAAACGGTTAGCATACACACGAAGCACGGCGGCGATTTCCATGCTAGGCCATGTGCTCGGCTTGGGTGATAGGCATGGTCATAATATCCTGCTGGATGAGAAAACAGGCGAAGTGGTTCATATCGATCTAGGAGTGGCCTTTGAGCAAGGACGCGTGCTGCCAGTGCCGGAAGCGGTGCCGTTCCGTTTGACTCGTGATCTCGTCGATGGTATGGGCATTACCAAAACGGAGGGGGTATTTAGACGCTGCTGTGAATTCACTTTTGAGGCTCTACGCCGAGAGTCGTATAGTATCATGACGATTCTAGACGTCCTTCGCTATGACCCGCTTTACAGTTGGTCGTTGTCTCCGCTGCGTATCAAGAAAATGCAAGACATGCAAGAAGCCGCTGGGGGTGCAACTCAGGCCAGCGAAAGCGGCAAAAGCAAGAACCCTAATGAACCTAGCGAGGCTGACCGAGCCTTGACAGTAGTCGCAAAGAAGCTTGGGAAAACACTTAGTGTAGCTGCCACTGTCAATGAGTTGATTCAACAGGCGACAGATGACCGGAATCTTGCTGTTCTGTACTGCGGTTAGTCATTCCCTGGATGGGTAATGTCTGTTGTCAAAATACTAACTCACATCCTATGACTTCCACTTAGGTTGGGCTGCATATGCTTAGATCGCTGCGGCAATTTTACTGGAAAATATTCTGGTGCATGAGAGATTCTTGGAACCTATCTTGTAGGTTGGATGTGCTCTTCCTGGCAATATATATCGGTAAATCTGAAGTGCACATGTATAGTAGATTTATGCCAAGTACATAACTTTAAGCAATTTACCGTATTCATGCGCAGGAGCCTTTTTAATGTATAGAATATATTAATATTTATATCCCTCTCACTGGTTCTGGTGATCGTATTTCGTTTCTCGTACATTTCGTTTCCCGTAGTTAAATAACTACTCGTTAAAGCTTCGGCTGTGTAACGTTAGTCTTGTATCTCCCGTCCCTGTTCACCGTTCCAGCTCAATCGTGTTCATTTTTTCCCCTCTCATTCTGCTGGAATTCATGAATAAGAAACTGGATCACTTTTGGCGTGTCTCGTTCAAGTGAGACATCCTAAAACCCCTTAAACTTGAGTTTTGACTAGGTATTCATCAGAGAGTTTTGCTATCTGGCTTTTTTGCCCCTTTCTTTCTTTGACCTTAAATATCTCCAACATGGTGCCATAATCTATTTCTCTTCTTCTCCTCTATTAGTCTTTCGACTTTAAAACCTGAGTTGCATCATAACTGGGTGCGGCTCTGACCGAGGATATAAAAAATGTCGACACTAAGGGGCATTGTCGTATTTTCTGGCGGAAGCGGGGCAAATAGCCTTGTAGATGTTTTCGGTGCAGTCCGCGCAAGTAAGGACTGCCCATTAAGCTATATAATACCCATTAGTGACAATGGTGGCTCTTCTTCCGAGTTGATTCGAGTGTTTGGTGGGCCTGGGATTGGTGATGTACGGAGTAAGTTACTTTCTCCTCAAATCATTTGCCATTTATTTATACACAACTATTGGAATAGAATTGAAGCCCGTGCTAAATAAAGACCAATAGGTAGACTCGTCCGTCTAATTCCTGATTGCCCTCCACATTCTGAGAGGGCAGCAATTAAAACCCTATTCAATCATCGTTTAGCCCCATCAGCGAGCACCGCACATGCTGAATGGTATTCCATAGTCGAAGGGACTTCACCGCTGTGGAAGACTATCTCCCCAGCAAAGAGAGAACTAATCCGTTCCTTTCTCAATCTCCTCAATCTGGAAATCCTCAAGCGCGCAAGGCCACCATCTTCCACCTTTGACTTCACCTCTGCCAGTGTTGGTAATCTGTTCCTGACAGGCGCTCGGCTATTCAGTGGCAGCCTTGAGAGTGCCATATACCTGCTGGGAAGTATCTGCTCAGTCCCGACGGACGATGTCCGTGTGATACCCGCTATAAACTCCACGTTTTCTCATCACATATCGGCCTCCCTAGTCGATGGCTCAGTCATCGTTGGCCAAAACAGCATTTCACATCCAAGCGAAGCAACAGCCATCCAACCAATCCCATCACTCAGAAGGCCCAGCCTGCTCCTTGCCGATGGTGACGACGCTTGCTCCGACTCCGATGACCTCCCATACGAGGAAAGCCACCTACCAGGCTCCCTGCCTACGCTGCGCAACAAGAATATCACTTTCAACAAAACCGGGACGGAAGACCTCCCCTGCCGCATCTCCCGGCTTTGGTACATAAACCCATATGGCCAAGAGATCAGACCCCCAGCCAACCCCCGCGTTTTAGATGCATTAAATTCATCACAAGCTATAATATACAGCATCGGGTCCCTCTATACGTCTATAATACCCTGCATAATTCTCAGGGGTGTGGGAAAGGCCATTGCTAACAGCAGTGCGCGCCAAAAGATCCTGATCCTGAACGGATCCATCGACCGTGAGACTGGCCCGGCACACCAACCTTTCACCGCACTAGATTTTATTGAAGCCATTGTGCGTGCTGGCGAAGAGAGTCGTGGCCGGCAGCATCATCATTTGCCGCTTTTAAGTGAAGATAAAAGGGTTGAGAATTCTGTGGATCGCCTGCCAACCGTTTCGCTTCCGTATACATCATACGTTACTCACGTATTACATCTTGAGGGTCCTGGCACGCCACGTGTAGACCGCGAACGTTTAGCTGGGATGGGGATTGAATGTGTGCGGTTGTATGGAAGGAAGGTGGAGAATGAATCAGGCGTGGTGGTGGGGATGCGATATGACCCAACAGCTCTTACACAGGCTTTGGAAGTTGTACTGGGTAAGAAAGGCGATGCGATAGCTAGAGGGGGGCTGGGTGCTGCTAGGAGTAGGCGGAATACATTGGAGCCATTGGGAGGTGTCGGCAAGCTGGATGTCAAAGGAAACCATGGCACCTTGTAAATTGGGTTTATGTGTTTCTATGTTTGTTTACTGTTTCTGAACGGGCAGGCGTTGATTGTAACCTGTGCCTTTGCTACACTGCTTCGATATCATATCTGTTTGGTCTTGCAGCAGCAGGGGAGAGAACTGCGGATGAACTTGGCAAACAGTCCGATAAGAACATACCGGATAGCTTCCGAAACGCACCTGGCCTGGTATCTAAAAAACAAAACCAAAAAATTTAAATAAAAAATACAAACAACGCAATATAAAGAAGCATGCAGACGCCCCTTGTAGCCTATGCCCTTGACTATCCAGACCTAAACGCCGCCACATTATGCAAATCCAACGGACCCAACCCTTCATTCCGCTATGCTATTTAATCATTTAAAAGGAGTGCTCCACTGTTGGATTTCAGGTCCTTTTCCTTGTCGAAAGATTTAATTGGAGCGGAACAAGGTTCCGTTTTGGTCCATATGTATCCACTCGCGAGAGTGCTTGACGACAGACGGGACATCTGCCACGGGGTGCCTTACCATTTCCATCATGCATACTTCTTTCTTCGCCAAATCGAAGTGTGTCGATGATACATTTGTGACAGAAGAGATGGCCTAAAAGTAAAAAGCATATTAGACTTGGCTAATCAACTGAATATTGACTGAGTCAAGGACTAGGTACATACCACAAATAGTAGATGTGGCGTCAGTACAAGTATCCATACACACAGGACACTTATACGCCGTCAGGGTCGACCGGCCCATGACACCACCAGCTGTACTTTGTGCCTTTACCGCATCCTCACGCTGTTTCGAGAGGACCTTGGCAAGCGATACTCTGTCGTTTACCTCCGTGAGATCAATCGACTCGATATCTGGGTCGTCATCCAAACTGTTTATTTGCCTCTGATACCGTGCCGGATGTGACGAAGGCCCAGCAGCAGAAGAATTGTCAACTCGTCGTCTTTTGGGTGCTGGAGCGCCGGCCGTGATATCTAACGGCCGTTGACTTCTTGCTCGATGAACAAACATGTTCGACGAACTTTGCTCCACTGATAATGGCGGCGAAGAGATGGTAAGATCAACAAAAGAATCGTTATTCATGGGTAAGGGAGAAAGATAGTGTGAAATGTATGGCGGTTAATGAGAAACGCCAGTGGTGGCGTTGCTTGGTGAATAAAATTCCGGTTGTGAGGCGAATATGGAAAAGCCGACCATGCATGTACTTTGTTTTTAAAACTATGAATAGCTTTGAAATCCTTGAGATCTCCACCTATACAAATTTACTACAGGATGTGAACAAAGATGGAGAGTCGACCAATCGTATGGTGGGTTGAAGACGAGAAGAGCGAATAGAGCTAGAGGTAGCGACCAAAGTAAATTAACTGCAACGGCACGAGAAATCTCGGGTTCTACTGTGTAAACGTGTATCTGAAAAGAGAATTCGTCAGTACTGGTGATTCGATCGGTAAAGTTAGATGTAAATAGTTACAGCTGATGCGGGAAAGCTCGCTAAAGTTTAAGACGTAGGTCGAGGCATTCCAGAAAAAACGCAAAACCGAATATCTGGAGCTTGGGCGTTCTGGCGGCTTCAGATACTCGAGAGTAGCCAAAGGAGAACTTGGCGGTGGGCTCTGAGGTGAGTTGGAGATTGGCTTGGAGGAAGCTGATAGATAGCGGGAGAAGGAGAGGCGGTAGAAGCGAGTGAGGAAAGATAGTTGTTTTCGGGTTCCGGGGAATGGTTGATGGAAGAAGTAGAGACGGTTAGGCCAGGGAGTGTGGTAAAATTAGGCAGAGAAGCCAATCAAGAGAAAATAACTTCTAATGAAAAAGGCTCAGAGATGAAGCTGTGGATAGGACTGATATCCGCGCTTGGGAGGAGGTTGATTGCCCGTATCATGGAACATTGTTATTCCGAACTCCAAATAGGGATTAGTCGCAAAATACCTAAACTATGCTCTATGGTACTCCGTAGTTATGGTATGGTATGGCAAGATACCGGGAGAATAGTTATTCCGTCAGGATCGCGCCAAGTGCTCAAGAGAATCTGGGATACAATGTCCTAATTACTTCCGCAATCCATCCCATAGCTCAAACTAAAAATGCGGGTTTTATGGCGGGTTTGAAGTTTCTGAGCGCGCCATGTTATTGTAATTGAAGCTCTTTTCATCGCGTAAGGATGCTCCTGTCGTTATGCGCTACTTCGAGAGGCGTACTCCGGACATCCTCGCGGCCTCTCCGTCTATCAGTAGGAACAAGCCGGCAGCCCAAACAGCAACGGTTGGACTTACGATGGTATACAACTGCGGTGACTGAATCGCCTGGTGAGGGTGGAAGGCTAAAAACACTGGCAGGTAAGTTTACACGATCCTTGCGCTCAAAGAATGCGTAGCCCGCTCATCACATATATGTCTAGTTCCCTCTACTGCCCGATTTAATGAAATCGGAGTCCAGCAGTTAAGCAGCCATGTCCATTCGCAAATTTTCCTGCGGGAACCCACCCCCCCTAACTCGGAATTGATTGAACTTTCAAAGGATCATCTTTCTCGCCACGATTTACTTGGGAAAACTCAGGATGGCTCGCATCCAATTGCCTTCGATATACCTCCCCTCAAAGGCCAAACTATGGACGAGCACTTTTACAAATTAGGGATGGATTCTTCAGAACCTTACCTGACAAACGCCAAACAATATGCAAAGATCAATCTCCCACCTGCACCGAAAAAATGGATCAGAAGGAGTGGATGGACGAAGTATAATGCGAATGGGTCCACTGAGGAGGTTGATGCACCCAACGAAGAGATGCTAACATTCGACACGGAAGTGATGTGGAAAGAATCATCGTTTGCAGTAATGGCGTGTGCGGCGAGCCCAAATGCTTGGTATGCCTGGTTATCTCCTTATCTTCTCGGCGAGACAAAAAACGAACGGCAGCTTGTCCCGCTTGGATCTCCATCTCAAGCCCGAATCATTGTGGGCCACAATGTTGGATATGATCGTGCAAGGATTTTGGAAGAATATGACATTAAACAAACCGGCAATTTCTTTATCGATACCATGTCTCTTCACGTTGCCGTTAACGGGATGTGTTCTCAACAACGGCCCACCTGGATGCGGCATAAGAAAAATCGTGACCTCAGGGATAAACTCTTGAGGGAAAATAATTCAGTTGAGCTTGCAGCGCTGCTTGAAAACAAACTACTTACAGAAGAAGAGGAAGAGCTCTGGGTGGGTAGGAGCTCTGTCAACTCTTTACGTGATGTTGCAAAATTCCATTGCAACGTTACAATTGATAAAGCCCAACGGGATCATTTTGGTGAACTCGATCGCCCGGGCATTCTGGAACGGCTTGATGAGCTTCTAGATTACTGCGCAGCTGATGTCTCGATCACTCATCGTGTCTACAAGCAGGTTTTCCCTAACTTTTTGGAGGTATGCCCGCATCCGGTTAGTTTTGGGGCCTTGAGACACCTTTCCTCTGTTATTTTGCCAGTCAACAACACCTGGGAGGAGTACTTGAAAAATGCCGAGGAAACCTACCAACGCCTCCTAGAGGATGTCCAGAGGCGGCTACTGAAACTTTGTGACAGCGCCTTAGCCGTAAAGGATAAACCTGAAATATATGAGAATGACCCATGGTTACGACAGCTAGACTGGTCCGGACAGGAAATAAGAATGGTTAAAGGGAAAAAGAAGGGTGACCCTCCTCGGCCTGCTGCAAGACAGAAAATGCCTGGAATGCCAAAATGGTACAAAGGCCTCTTCGCAACAAGCACCTCCCCTATCAACCTGAGTGTTCGCACACGTTTAGCACCAATTCTCTTAAAACTCTCTTGGCTTGGATATCCGCTTGTTTGGTCGGATGTGCATGGCTGGACGTTCCAAGTCCCTAAAAGAGAAATCAAGAAGTTCGAGAATCAGGCACTTGCGCCATGCAACATGGCTGAAGAAAAGAATCTGAGTCTCCGAGATGATAGAGAGCATATATATTTTAAACTTCCACACAAGGATGGGCCTGAAGCTCGTTGCACCAGTCCGCTTGCGAAGGGGTATTTGCAGTATTTTGAAGGAGGCAAACTCTCCTCCCAATTTGCCCTAGCCAAGGAAGCTTTGGAAATGAATGCGTCCTGTTCTTACTGGATCAGTGCAAGGGATAGGATCAGGAGCCAGCTGGTAGTTTACCACAACGACGTCGAACGGCTTAAAAACAAATCGATATCGAACCCATCATTTAAGCAGGGTTATATATTACCCCAAATTATCCCAATGGGCACTATTACTCGACGAGCAGTAGAGAACACCTGGCTAACTGCTAGCAACGCCAAAGCTAACCGGGTGGGGTCAGAGCTCAAAGCTATGGTTACGGCACCCCCAGGTTATGTGTTTGTTGGTGCCGACGTGGATTCAGAGGAGCTCTGGATTGCCAGTCTCGTGGGAGACGCACAGTTTCAGATTCATGGTGGTAATGCCATCGGGTTCATGACTCTGGAAGGAACGAAAGCAGCTGGCACAGATTTACATTCGAAAACAGCAAAAATCTTGGGAATCTCCCGAAACGATGCCAAAGTTTTCAATTATGGTCGAATATATGGGGCAGGCCTCAAGTTCGCGGCCACACTCCTTCGCCAATTCAACCCCTCCATGTCGGAACACGAGACAAAGCAGGTCGCGGCGAAGCTATATAAGGAAACAAAGGGCGTTCGAACCAACCGAAAGATACTGAGTGACAATCCTTTCTGGAGGGGGGGCACCGAATCGTTCGTATTCAATAAACTTGAGGAGTTTGCAGAACAAGAAAGACCGAGAACTCCTGTGCTTGGAGCAGGAATCACGGAAGCCCTTATGCGCCGCTTCATCAACAAGGGAAGTTTTATGACATCACGAATAAATTGGGCGATTCAATCATCTGGTGTGGACTACTTGCACTTGCTCATCATCTCAATGGACTTCCTTATTCGTCGTTTCAATTTGGACGCCCGTCTCGCAATTACTGTGCATGATGAAATCAGGTATCTGGTCAAAGAACATGACAAGTACCGCGCCGCCATGGCGCTACAGATTGCGAATCTCTGGACTCGAGCTATGTTCTCGCAGGAGATGGGGATTGACGACCTCCCCCAGTCATGTGCTTATTTCTCTGCTGTCGATATCGACAAGGTCCTGAGAAAGGAGGTGGACATGGATTGCATTACACCGTCTCACCCCAACAAAATACCGCATGGCGAAAGTTTAGATATTGAAAATCTCCTCAACAAAGGTGTTGAGGCCCAGTTAGATCCTTCCATTGAACCTAATACCCCTCCCGCCCCAGAAAAATACCAGTATACTCCCCGACAACCAGTCATGGCCCCATTACAGAACTCCCGAAATCCAAATTTCATAAAGGCGCAGATTTGCAGTGATGATAAGGAACTGCGCGAAATTATCAAGGAAATGACCAAGAAGCCTTCCCAACCGGCGCTCGACTCAAAATCCTCAACTACGAAATCCGCATCAACCTCACCTCGCAAAACGCGAGCCAAGTCAACCGTACCACCACACGCTGAACCACAAAGGGCCATTCTCATGGAAGTTCAGCCCGCGCTCCTCAATAGTACAAAGAAGGCGACCAACTTTGCGAAATCGCCACAGTTTAGTCCTCATCGAGCTGCGTGGAAGCCAAGGCCCTCGCCTGGCCTATGATTGATGCCGCCATCATTCCATCATTCCACCATTCCATTCTTGTATATATATTGGCATTGGACTTTCCGTTTAATGATAAGTTAGCGATACCTGGGACAAGCACCTTTCATTCACGGTTAATATTTTCATACTTAAGCTGACACTTGTTAGCTGTCTTTATTTCAACTAATATTCCCTGAAGTATCTCTTTTATTTCTTTCGTATGCATACAACACTATTTTTTCCTCTTATATTTCTTGGACATGTATCTTAACATTATCGTTCTCTTGTTCATATCTGTGATCATGTTGATAGGGCGGCTGGGCTTCTGTGATTCGGCGCATTGGTCTGGCAGGTATACGCGACTTTTCACTTTAAAATTGTGTGCTCCGAGAGAGGGGAGGGGAAATATATGATATGTATCTTCTGAACTTTTTTACGATGTAATCTAAATTTGCCCACGTCATGCTATATACGGAGGATCCTCTCAAAAGTTTTGATTAGCGTTAAGAATTTAAGCTAATACTGTTACCATTCTCAAGCCCCTAGGATTTAGGCTAGCTTTAGTTAAGCTGTAGCTGGTTATTCAAGTGCCACCGACATTAACCTCCCTTAGAACTCTGGTTAAGAGAGGGAATGAGAATACTATGCCTGCAAAGTTACACCTTAAATTCTTAATGCTAATCAAAACTTTTGAGAGGATCTCCGTACATGTACAGAGTACTCCGTACTGTACATACCTTTCCCCTGGGATCCGCCTCAGTTGGGATTAAGGCGCGCCAAGATGTTTTGGGTCCCAGGGTTGGCCCGAAAAGCTTCCATGACCAGATTTATTTATTTATTTCGCGGCTGAGACTGACGACATCAACTCCATATGTCCTCTGCCTGCCCTTCTTTTTTCTTCCTTGTTCAACTCACCTACTCCCCCTAATTTATTTATTTATATTCTTCAAAACTTACTCTGTCCGAGAATCGATTGTTGTATCGGTTTGCCCAGGTCTTTTTTCGTCCCATACCCATGGTCAACTGTGATTCCCTACCCCCAAGCGATGAGCCCGCAACCTCTACCCACGGCAGCACTCAAGCTCTGTTCCAACGGTAACAGGGATTGAAAACAAAAGAAAGCTTTCTCCAATTGAGTGCTACGCGTATTGTCTCCATTTTTTTAATGAATGAGTGAAAGCAGAGGCTGCGTCCACATGCACCTAACCGTCGGTGATTCTTCGAGCTTACGGTACTCTTGAGGCGGTCTGAGAGGAGAAACCCCTGTTGAATGTGTTGGGCTGTCATCACCTCACAGTGAGAACATATGCTTGCCTGCTAATTCTATTATTCCCAAGTCTTCTCTGCAAAATACGGAGTACTATAACCCCATCTTAGTTCTTCCGGCACTCTTTCAAATGAGCATTGAAGTACGTGACTACGGCATGGCAAACCCTGCCAGCGGCTCTCCTCCTGATGTTGAGGTACTATCCGCCTTTCCCGCACTTGAACATTCATCCACCACCCCGACTGCGCATCCAGATATTACGGGTCTTCATCGTGTCGAATCGCAGGACTTCATAAGGCGACGTGCCAAACGCTCAGATACTGCTCGTTCTTACCACCGTGGAGGAAGCATAGCGGAAAGTAATAACTGGCACCCAGGAGAAGAGCCCGGCCTTGATCCAACGGAACCTCTTCCTCCATACCGTACAGGGGGAGAGTCTTTACTTCGAGATCAAAGCATACAATGCGACATTACGGTTGTGGATTTCTCTCAGAATGATATGCGAATGTATCATCTAGATAATAATACGTTGCGGCCATTTTTAAATAAGGAAAGGGAACCGTGGGTCCTATGTCGATGGATCAACGTGAATGGGCTGAGCTGGGATGTTGTTAGCTTGCTGGCTAGTCATAAGGGGCTGCACCGATTGGCGATTGAGGATTTATTACACTCCGTGAATCGTACCAAAGTAGACTGGTTTTCGGACAACACCTTTATTGTTCTTGCGATGCAAAAGCTAGTCAAGCTTCAGTCGAATGGACAGTTTACTGAGTCCTCTGGAGAAAGCGATAGCGAGCATGGATTTGATGGCCGGTCATATGAGAAGTCCAAAAAAAGGCGGAAACACATAAAGAAGCGAGGAGTAATTATGTCAGCCCTTATGGACATTCTGACGCCCTCCCAGAGCAAGAAAAGGCTTGGGTCACAGGCAGGCGAACTCCCATTTGACAACTCATTTGGTGAAGGTAAATCCCTCCCGTTGGGCGGTTCAAGAATCAGCAGGCTACGATCTCTTCAACGCTACCGAGGCGGTCCTAATGAGGATCGCATTGACTTCATGGAACGGCATGCCGTCCTTGCCTCCAGAGGCCTAGGTGTTGCCATTGAACAAGTTTCACTCTTCCTTCATGCAGATAATACCGTAACTTCTTTTTTCGAAGCCAGCGCCGAAGATATCGAGACACCAATTGTCCAACGATTAACATCACCTGAAACTATTCTACGCCAGTGTTGCGATGCAAGCATGGTCGTCCAGGCTATACTCGATGCTATTGTCGATCTGGCAATCCCTGTCACGATGGCATATCAAGATGCAATTGGAGACCTGGAACTAAAGGTCCTCACTGATCCCGATATTCACCAATCTACAAATCTATATATGTTGACCTCAGAAATTGCTGTTTTGCGTAACGCAATGCAGCCCGTAACTGGCGTTGTGAACGCGCTTCGAGATCATAAAACCGAGCCAGCTTCCCGTTCGGGATCCGCACCCACCAAGACCTTATCTAGTCTATCTGTGAATGTGCTACCTTCAGACCCGGCGATAAGCAAACCGGGCACCCCTGACGCCGAGGGAGTTAAGATGCCTACAGTTGTTAGGATCACCCCAATGTGCCATACCTATTTGGGTGATGTGCTGGACCACTGTATCACTATTACCGAAGAATATGATCAAATGAGACGATCAGCCGATAATATGATTGATCTTACTTTCAACACAATTGGTAAGGTCTGATGATTAACTCTTGTTCTTGCGTTTTCCCATGCACTTCACTAACTTATTGTCCGTTTCATACAGGAGCTTACCAGAATGAAAGCATGAAACAACTTACCATTGTGACGTGCATGTTTCTGCCACTGACATTCCTCACGGTGCGTTTGATTCCTACTTTACCATCTCGCCCCGTTCATAATTGTTCAACTACCAGGAACGTTTCAACTACTAACTACGTATAAAGGGCTATTTCGGAATGAACTTTGAACGATTCGACGGGGTGCAACACCATAGCGATGCGTAGGTGTTCATTCCTCATGTAGCAAAATTTTCGTGTCTAAATTTTGATTTTCGGAATTTGCCTACGAGATATCTTCCGCGCCAAATCATCTGTGTCGATTGTTCTTCCTACTGACTCTTTGGTCGTCCAATTAGCTTCTTCTGGCCAATAGCCATTCCATTTGTCATCGTCACTACGGCAATACTAATGTGAGTGATAGCCGCTTTTACTTAATCCAGTCTTAATGATCAAAACTGTGATCAACGGGTTTAAAAGAACAAAGGTGCTAATATTCGGTAACAGGCGTGACATGATTCAACGATACTTCTTGAAACTTGCTCAACAGCGCCTAATTCACACATCGCGGAAACGGCGGCAAAAGTCCCAATCAGAGTAGACGTGTCTGTCTACTGTGAGTTTAACTGACGGCGTTGTGGGGGCGTTTGTTTGAGATATATTATTTCCTATGATTTAGTCTGGCACCCTTTCAGGACTGGCCTCCTTTTCCATTATAGAGATGCCAATGAGCACCATATAAACGAATGTAATAGATGTGCACATCATTGCGCTAATTATATTAATATAATGTATAAATAATAATAATACATCTATTTTGAACCACTCTGCTTCCGGATAAGTCTTATCTTTTAACCCAGAAACTAAGTTTTTCAAATTCTCCAGGGCCAATAACATTGCCATCTAGAATGTCCTGCGCCTATTAGCCCAGTAAGCCTTCCAGGGCAATCTCCAATCAGACGTGCGAAGCTCCGGCTTAAAAATATCAAAATCCACCGCTTGCAAACGGTCTAGCCAAAGGGACGTAGAGACAGCGGGCATTAGGACACCAAACGCCCTCTCCACCTCTTCCAGCTGCACGTTGGAAGCTGATACGTCACTACCGCCACTGCCATTACTGTGGTTATGGTATTCATGTCCCTCTTCGCCCTCATGCTCGAAATCATGACCTACGTCCTGCCCGGCGCGCAGGTTCTTCAGCATCTGACGAGCGGTGATGAGATGGTCGCTCGCACGCGTCGCAACGGTAAACACCGCGTCTCGGAGGCCTGGTGCTTCAGCGCCGTGTCGAAAGACGTCTTCCTCTTTCAGTCCTGTTTCCGCCATGATGTCGAGCGGGAGCGTGATGGCTCCGGTTCTAGGGCCAGAGCCGCCTGCGACCCCGGCTTGGTTTGAATGGTGATTCGGCGGTGGAGGGAAGGCGATTAGTGGTATCCCTCGTAGCACGGTGGAAATTCCTGCTGCCTTTCCTATATGCGATGCAAGATGGTCTGCGGTAACAGAGGTAAGGGGCAGGGCGCTGAGAGTCAGATAGAGCAGGGTGGAATATGTATTTTCAGCATAGGACTCCAGTGCGGAGAGGCTTGTGTATGGAGTGTTGGTTAGGTATTGTTCGCGCGAGTTTATCATGCGCATGAACCATCCTTTACTTATTCTTGCTTGGCCACCCGTGCGTGCGTCTAGATCTGAGAGCGCGGAAGCGAGTAGAATAGCAATGGGTTCTTTGGGCGGTTTACCGGCCAGCGTTTTTGTGATTGTATCCCGCCAGAATTGAAGACGCATCAGGCCAATTGTCGGCGTCGAGGTGGTGTCGGGAATCATCGAGAGGGATATATTAAGGGCCCGAAGGGCGAGGTAGAAGCTGAGGGTATGGCGGGGAAGGAATGTGCTAAGGGTGTAGGAAGGCCGGTCATATTTTCTAGTTTAGGTTAGATTGTCATCATGATTGATGCCCAAGGAAAGCGAATGTTGCAAATATTACTTGCCGGAGAAGGTCGAGGCAGTATTTATGTGATGATTCGAACTCTGCTCTGGCTTGTGTTCCGGGATTAGACGACGGACGTGTGGCAGAAGATGAAAAAGGGCGGCCCGTCTGGTATAGATTTTTGGACGGAGAGTGTGTTGGATGTATTTTCAGACGTCGAGAAACACAGCGCAGGCATGCAACGGGCTGTTTAGGGGACATTTCCACCGTGAGATATAGCAAATGGGGGGGGGGGTGATGTCTACAATGTATTCAGTAAGAGAATTTTTCCAACATTCATCCCCGGCTCATGAAATCATAATCACCAAGTCCAATCATTAATGTGCAATGCACTCAGTACATGCGCTGATCCCAATTGAATGTATAACACTCAGACTGCAGTTATATCAACCCCCAGACCCGTGCTATGTGACCGCTTGTTGCGCACTTCGATATTTTTTCTGCCCATGACGTCGCTAACTAGTTAGCTCGATGCGTGTTCCCGTGACTTGGCCCTCGGCGCGTCTCCTCGAGCCACTGCGAAAATTCAATCTATACGAGTATGACTTCAGCATTGATAACCGGCCTTACTGCTCCTATTATTATTAGGCTTGTATGTCCGCTCATGACATGACTTCTACGGACATCGACCAGCGGCCGGCAAAGAAACGTCGCTTCTTTGTCGAAGACGAGCCCGAAGCCCTCCGTATTGAGACCGCAAAGGGCGTGGACGCGTCTCTCGAGGAGGCCGCCGATGCTCACTCAGCCCGCATTCCAACACCAGGCCTCTTGAACCCCGAAGCCCCATCTCCTGTTTCCCATGATACGACTATACCAGTAGCTGGACCTGCCGCTGCAGTTGAAGATGGATTTGACGGTGAACTTTTCGCTACCATTGTTGGGCAACCGGTCGACCCCGATACCTTTCAAAAAATTCGAACGGCTGCGAAGAATGACATGCAAACGGCGATTAATCTTTATCTTGACGGTTCTTGGGAGAAGGATATTACAATACGGCCCTCTACAGTATCATCTTCCGCACAAAATGGAACAAACGCGCAACCAAGTACGAAACAGGATACAGAGATTTCAGAACCCGTGATCGAAGACACACCCCAGAGCGGCGTGGAAATGGACCTCAATATTCTCAGGTCTGATCCAGCATTCCGTTATATAGGCGCATTTGGTGTTGGTGCATGGTCAACAAAGAGCGGCACCAATTTGGTACAACATGGAGAGTCAGTTTACATTGAGCGGACGAAAATACAACCAACCACGAGGCCTGGGAGGGGAGGGAAAACTGTGCCGCGAATGTCAAGCCAAAAGGGAGATGTGATAACGCGGTTTACTAATGGGAATGGTGAAGAGATTGGAAGACTTCCCCGCGAAACGGCTGAGTGGGTTTCGACATTGATTGACCAGAAAATATGCCGATTTGAGGGTGTTTGCGTTTTTGCCCCAGAGCGAATCCATGTCAATGATACCATATATCTCCAGCTGAGATGCTTTCTATTGAGGGAAGCGTTTCAGCATAATTCATTTACGGCCCTCGGGGATGATAATGCTCCTCCAAGAATATTTGAGGAACAAGAAACTTCAGAGGAAAAGACCCTTCGTTTGCGACAAGTAGCGTTAGTTAAGCTCTTTGGCGAAATAAACCTTGAGCCAACGTCGAGTAGCGATATGACCGCACGGCACAAGAGGGAAGACTTGCTGCTGGCGGCGGAGATGAGCGAGAAGATGAACGAGAAGCCTAAAAAGACACCAAAATCCTCTGTCCCCCAGCAAACTGGAGCGAGCGAATCTTCAGACGAGGAAGAGGGTGAGAAGCTCGATGAAGATCAGCTTGATACACTATATAAAAAGGCCCAATCTTTTGATTTCAATACACCTGAAATGGAGCCGGGACCTGATTTCGTTATGCACCTTCGAAAGTACCAAAAGCAGGCTTTGCATTGGATGCTAGGGAAAGAGAAGGACACCCAACCCGAGAGACAGCAATCCATGCACCCATTGTGGGAAGAATATTCCTGGCCAACAAAGGATATGGATGATCAGCCGTTACCTCGCGTGCACAATCGTGACAAGTTCTATGTCAATCCCTACTCTGGCGAGCTTAGCTTGGAATTTCCTGTCCAAGAGCAAAATTGTTTGGGCGGCATCCTAGCGGATGAAATGGGTCTTGGGAAGACTATTGAGATGCTAAGCTTGATCCACTCCCACAAGTCTGAGGTTGTTAAAACCCAGCCTGTAAGATTTGATAGCTTATCTACCGCGTCTCTCAATTCCTCTCGTGCTGTTCCTGCTCCATATACCACCCTTGTCGTAGCTCCGACTTCCCTCCTCGCTCAATGGGAAAGCGAGGCAATGAAGGCTTCAAAGGAAGGATCAATGAAGGTTTTGGTTTACTACGGTAGCGATAAAGCTGCAGATTTGAGAAAGCTCTGCTCCGTTGCCAATCGAAATTCTGCTCCAAACCTCATCATTACGAGTTACGGTGTTGTTCGTTCAGAGCATAGCCAGCTCGCGGGTCGGTCTTCTATTACCTCGAGTGGAGGTCTCTTTTCTGTGGACTTTTTCCGTGTTATTCTCGACGAGGCGCATTATATCAAGAACAGGGCGTCTAAAACTGCGCGGGCTTGTTATGATATCAAAGGCACTCATCGGTGGGCGCTCACAGGCACTCCGATCGTTAATCGACTTGAAGATCTCTTCAGTCTAGTGCGATTCCTCAAAGTAGAGCCGTGGAGCAACTTTTCTTTCTGGAAAACTTTTATCACCGTTCCATTTGAATCTAAGGATTTTCTGCGTGCGCTAAATGTTGTACAAACTGTTCTTGAGCCGCTTGTCATCCGTCGAACCAAAACCATGAAGACCCCTGACGGCGAAGCCCTCGTTCCGCTACCCCCTCGAACCATTACAATAACTGAAGTCGAACTTTCAAGCCAAGAACGTGAAATCTATGACCTGATATTCACTCGAGCTAAGCGAACTTTCAATGATAATGTAGCGGCGGGCACCATTTTAAAATCGTACACGACCATTTTTGCACAAATTCTTCGTTTGCGACAGACCTGTTGTCACCCCGTGCTTACGCGAAATCAAACAATAGTTGCGGCAGAAGAGGATGCGGCCATCGCTACGGACGATGCTAACGTTTTTAAGGATGATATGGACCTCCAGGATCTCATTGACCGATTCACGATGACAACCTCGAGCGAGGACGCTGATAGCCAGCAGGACCCTACTAACAAGTTCACCACGCACGCACTACGGCAGATACAGACTGAGACAAGTGGAGAATGTCCCATTTGCACAGATGAACCGATGGTTGACCCTGCTGTTACGTCCTGTTGGCACAGTGCTTGCAAGAATTGTTTGGTAGATTACGTAGAGCACCAAAGAGACAAAGGACAGATCCCTCGCTGTTTCTCTTGCCGCGAGACCATTACTATGCGAGATATTTTTGAAGTAATCCGTCACAAATCACCCAACCAAACACCCGGTGAGCGGGATTCTTACGATAGTACCCCACCAACGTCAGCCTCTCCTGCGCCTCGAATATCGCTTCGTCGCATAAACCCTCTATCCCCAACGGCTCAGACATCTGCCAAGATCCACGCCCTAATTTCGCAACTGACCAGACTTCCGCCAAACACCAAGTCCGTTGTTTTCTCGCAATTCACCTCTTTCCTCGACCTCATCGGACCGCAATTGACCCGTGCTGGAATTCCACATCTACGCTTCGATGGCACGATGGCGCAGAGGGCGCGTGCGGCAGTCCTTGCGAAATTTTCCTCCGTGGGTATCCCTGACGAGGAGGACGGTGAAGATGAGGGCAACAAGCGTCAATCCAATCTTTCCTTATCGCGCTCGCACGTTAGGGAACCTACACCAAACGTCTTGTTGATCAGTCTCCGGGCTGGAGGCGTCGGGTTGAATCTTACCACTGCGAATCAGGTGTTTATGATGGATCCCTGGTGGAGTTTTGCGACTGAAGCACAGGCAATCGACCGGGTTCATCGCATGGGTCAATTGAAAGATGTGTCTGTGACCAGATTTATTGTCAAAGATAGCATCGAGGGCCGTATGTTGAGGATCCAGGAACGGAAAATGATGATTGCTGGATCATTGGGATTACGGGTTGGAGGGGATGGGGGCGAGGAGGAGCGGAGGAAGGAAAGGATTGAAGAGTTGAGGTTGTTATTCGAGTAGAGCATATAGGGGAGGGGGTTGATTTCTTCGCAGGTGCGTGTGGATGGCACCATAGCGTATATGCGCATTAATCGGTTTTGGATACGGATTAGAGATTCTGAAGATATATATCTCTGCTTCTGGTTAAATATTGTTATACGGAGTACTTCAATAAATACGACTTTTTCTTGAGAGTAATCATTCTTAAGTTCCCCATAAGATCGTTTTTAATAGTTATACCAAAGGCTACGGTTGTTCATTCTCACCATTCTCAGATAAAACATATGATAGCACCTTGTTATCGTCTATAAGATCATAGAAATTTAAGAAAGCCAGAAGCAAACTGTTGACTCCTCCTAGCAAACTCATCCTCGCACAATTTACATGCCACGCGACAATACAAAGTGACACCTCAACGGACCTCAGCACTCACAATGTGCACAATCTGTTCCACTCAAAGCGCCCAGTCCTCCCCTCCCTACGAATAATGCTTACCACCCTTATGCAGCTTCTCCTTTAAATGTGAAAACGAAGGGTGTGGTATCGAATGGTGTTGCGACGGAGTATTATTCTGATTAGAACCGCCGTCATTACCAGCATTCTTTTCATGTTGAGGAGCCGACGACGGTTTTGATTGCGGGCTTTGGGCTTTGGGCTCCTTGCCCGGCCCATTCTTGCCAAGAGAAACTTCTTGATGATGTTCGGCTAGAAGGCCTGCAAAAGTATTGGCTATTTAGCATGGCAAATGAAATTTTTTATTAAGAAAGTAGGGGTTCTTTTCAACAAGGGACGTAAAAATAAATACATATAGATAGAGACATAGGAAATGGTAAAATGAATTGGAACTTACGGTCAGCTTCTCTCCCCGCGCCGGGCTCCGCAGCATCAAAATCACCCCCTTCAGCAGCGTATCCAGTGCTGAATACATGGTGCTCTTCGAGCGGAGGATTCTGAGCCCGAGGCTGACCACGAGCACTTGCAGCATTTGGTTTCTGGGGAGCTGATACATGGCTAGTTCCGGTGGGAGGTGGGGCCATTCGTGCAGCAGCAGCAGCTCCCGCTGCTGCTGCATGGTGCTCACTGCCCTTACTACTACCCCTACCCCCACTAGCTTCCGCAATTGAGGCTTGAAGGGGTGGTGGTAAATGAGTGTCCTGTGACAGGACTCCTGCAGCAGGGGGATTTCTGGACGTAGCCGGAGTTGCCAACATGGGAGGAGATGTGATCGGCATGGAGCTGGTTTCAGAGTGTGCGTTGGCCGTAAAGCCACCGCTAGCTCCTGCTAGGGGGTTCTTTACTACAACATCTGGTTCGGTTTTTGACCGCTCTGTTTTTCGTACCTGTCCACCTGAGGGAGTTGTACTGCTGCCGCTACCGGGAACAAAGCCGTGTGGGATGGTCCCTTGGTTTTCCGATTCATGTGTTGTCCCTCCTCCTTCATTTTTCGTTTGTTCTGCAGATTCTTTCGCATGCTCGAGGGCAAGGTCTTCTGTGACAAAGGTGTTAGCGGAAAGTTAGTTTCAGAGGGGAAGTCAAGCCTGTCTGCTTATTTTCCAAATGATTTCAATACCACTCGTTTCTGACTTGACTTGAGGGTTAAATTGCGCCTCTCAGAGCTGGATGTATATCCCTTGGAACAGGAAATTATAGATATATTAAATGGTGCTACCTCGTACTTGGTGCGTTCCCAGAGTCATATGGATCTGCCGCCGTGCCTTTCCCCTGAACACCAGCCACAGGTTCCTCCCCCGACAGAGTGTTGGATGCTTCATCGTTTCCCCACAGGTAGTTCTCAGCGGCCTCGACGACGTTTTTGATAACGTCCATGGTAGCGTGGCAGGTAAAAAATAACTATTGTAAAGTAGCCTTTCTGTTGACAGGAGACGCGATCAATGGCTTTCACAAAATACTTTTAGCCGCAGAATGTAGAAATAATGGAAACAAAGCTCTCATAGGCGAGTGCGACTAAATAAATTGCAGTTAGCTATTATCAGAATCGAAAATTCACATGGGAGAGCTAATGAGGGAAACTCAAGTCATCTCCTTCTTATATATGATACATGATCATAAAAAAGAAATCCTGAAGCAACTACGTCAACGTAGCCTAAAGGTAACCGTGGAATTTCCACCCGCAACTGAGTTCTGTTTACTCCTGGTTGCTTGTCGTGGCAAAAGGGGAGTCGTGATAGTGGTAGCAGTGACGTCATGGGTTGGTGTCGGTGCCAAAGCTGTTGAACAATTTTTTTCGAGTTCAGAGTTCAATGTCTAAACCCCGCGGATTCTAGGTAAAGATGATGATCATATTGAGAGTGGATTTATACAATCCCTGTAGAAACTTACCTCATGACGTGTATTCCAGAAGAGAAGAAGAAATGAAGAGAAAATGGACCAAAAAATTTGATCAATATCAAATAAAGTCGATCAAATAGGTTGACGTATGCATACTTTCAATGCTTGCTTCATCTATTTATGCAAAATGCACACAAAACTCTCATGCACGAACCGTACAAAGGGTCTGGAAATATGCTCAATTTTGAGCGAATGAGTGACAGAAACTTCAATACTAAAGGAAGGGGAAAGATCAAAAGGCAAATATGCACATTAAATGAGAAGCTGGGGAAACAGTAAAGGGGAAAAGAGTAGCGAACTTGAGAAAAATGAGCGAATAACGCATCCCAAACAGTCATAATAACCACCCATGAACACCAATTGAATAAAACCACAAAGAGCAGAAATTTCAAATGATCATGGCTAATGTGGGAACGCCGATGTGAGACTGAGGATATATACCTTCCGAACAAAAGCAAAGAAGAGCACGTATGTAAGCCTGTTGTTACTGTGGGACCTGGCCATTTCCTTCTGCACCTTCTTTATTTTTTGGGTTCAGTGGATTGCTGGGGTCATAGCGAACTGCCTTAACAATTCCCAACCCTTTAGTCCTACCCTCGCGGAACAGGATTCGATCGCCAACGGATACAAACTCGGGGCGTTGGATGAAGCGGAATGCGACTAAAGCCCGGTCCCCAGTTCGGATATAATCACGGTCTATGTCGATGATGGTGCATGTTTGACTCACCGCGCCAACGTGTAGCATAGCCTGATACTTCGTTTTGATAGTAGTTGCATGAGAAAGAATCAGAACTGTGTTGATAATCATTAGTTGATTATTTTCATTTTACGGGAGGGATACAGGAGATGAGAGAGAAATATGTGAGGCTGTAATACAACATACCTTCAGCGACAAATTCGCGATAGACCTTTGGAGGCTGGTCAAGCTTTGGCAGAACGACCATGCCCTTGCGCACTTCCTTTCTGCGGACACCTTTGAGTGCGAAAGAAGCAGACTGCCCAGCAGAGCAGGCATGAACGGCTATACGTTTTCGTTCAATAGACTTGATAGCTGTGGTGCGGAACTGGCCAAGCGAGTCAGGGCCAATCATAATAGAGTCGCCGGCGTGGATCACCCCTGATTTCACAACTCCAGAAACAACGGTGCCTACGAAAGGAACAGAGAAAGTGTCGTTCACAAGGAACTCGAATGGCGCGTCAGCGTCGTAATGTCCATGGTGTGGCAGGATGTTCAAGAAGGTTCGGACAAGATCGAGAGACTCTCCTGTAACGTTGGACACCTGGAATATAGGACAGATCCGCTGGTTAACGAATTGGGTAGCAGTGTTCACGGTTTCCTCCCGGGTTTTGATGAATATTGGTATCTTCCGAGCGCCTGGAGATTTGAGGATGCGAGTCAACTGGGTAAGGGTCTGCTGAAGAATATTCGGGGGGCAGATATCGATTTTGGTGATTATGACCATGACCGGGACGTTCAGAGACAGTGCGATTCCAAGATGCTCTTTGCTCATACCGATTATGCCGTTATTTGCAGCAACCATAAGTAAGCAGTAATTCGGGCTGCTGCTCAACATTCCGAAGACGGTGGTCCGTAGATAGCGTTCGTGCCCAGCCAAATCCGAGAAGGAAATTACTTTGGCAGATTGCCTGCCGATTTCTTCCCAGGATTGTTTACGTCCTTGGCCACGTCCAACGATTTCACCGTGGGTATCGAACCCCATTATTTCCATGCCAACTGAACTGGTCCGACCACTCTCGATTTCATGCTTGTGGCGGAAGAGATTGACCCGTGCTCTTCCACGACCATCGTCAAGTTTACCCTTGACAAGAACACCAAGCAAAGTACTTTTCCCGGCGTCCACATTTCCAACAACCGCGATTCTAGTTTCTATCACGTTCTCTGCTGATGCTGCAGCTTGTCGAATGAGGATTTTGCCGTACGCATACTTGATCCGTTCGTTTTTGGATTCCGCTTCCTCTGGACCACCGACATTGTAGGTTAGAAGCACTTTGCAGTCGGCCCGAAGAGTTTGGGCGGCCCTGCGAAGGCGTTCTAGGGCTGTGTCCCATTGTGTTCTGTCGAAGCCCATCCATTCCCCGTTGTCTTCCTGGCCAAGATCGAAAATCGTTTCCCCATGACCTTCGTCAATGCGAGCCCGTACCACGCCGGAAAGTTGTTGCAGTGTATCATCTGCGGTGGTCGAGTCATCTAGGAGGAGGTGTTTGAGCTCGACCCGCCCGGCATTATCTGACAGGCCTAGCTGGTCAAGAATATCGAGTTCCGCATGGTCTTCCGTTGTCGTCGTCTGGCTCACGGTGGAATAGCCACTGTCGCTGGGTGCTACAGAAGTATCACGGACATCGCGGTACAGAGGAACACGATGCGCCTGCTGCTTCTCGACGTATTCGGCAAAATCGCTGAGTGCCTAGTTGGGCGTACTGTAGATTAGAAATGTGGCCGCATGACATACAGAAATTGCCAGAGAGAATAAGTATTGTTAGATCTGTGCGGATCCATGGCATACCAGTTCACCTCTCCGTCTCTCCTCCAGTGTCTGCTTGTGGGTTCCGGGTATCATGTCACTTGTGTCGTGGCGGAGGCTTGTAGACGGGTCGGTCCGAGGTTGGTCACTAGCGATGGGGGTAACTCTCGGCTCAGAGGTGTATTCGGAGTATCATTGCTTTGTACATAAATGGATGATAAGTGATGATAAGAATAATAGCTGGATTAAGTGTTAAAATACAAGATGCTGGAAGATACTATGATGGTGAGGGTGATAGAGAAGAAGGGAAGTGCGTACATTTAAGTAGTTAAATAGTTAAAATATTCGGAGGCAAGATGACATCTGCTGGCGACGAGTCATCGCGACCAGCGAACTTGACTCACACAGAACCACCCACCGTACAAACTACACGGATCTACCCAGGGAGAAAAAAAAAAAGGTACTGCAGTTTGAGATATTATTACTTGCAGATTCGCTTCTGCTAACGACTAGTAAAATATATAAATACAGCGTTAAAACAGGACGTCTTGTTTTGCCTAAATATTTCGGAACGCCGATGGTCGTCCCGAAGCGATGTTGGACATGCGGCAACTGAGTCATCCATTTTGATCTATCTAAGAGCCCCATACTTATGCAAGGCTTGACAACACTAGAGATGTGTTACTGTTTATCCGTATTCCACCTCGCCTGTGCCCCGGAGTCATTGAACCGAAAAACCGTAGCTTGGGGCAAAAGCCTTCGCATTTCCAGCCTCAGCGTGTTGTTCCCGGCGTAGCACATAATAGGATGTCGTTAATCATAAATTCCCAGAATTCATTGAAATTTCATAGCTAGATGCGCCTATGATGGAGATTGAGGCGAAATCAGGACAACGGAATCCCCTGTAGTCATCGGTTAGCCGGAAGGACTGGATTTCCTAGCAGCGAAGATATAAGCTCCATACCTCTTACAAAAAGCATTTCTTCTTGCTTCTTGATTGTCTGCGAAAAGGTGCGAGTGTTAGCGACTGAGGGAACCCCGACAGGCTCTGGCAATGATTGCCTGGTCAGAAGCTTACCTTGATAATTTCCTGTTCGGATTCATCCTCTTCAACGATGTAAATTGTCTCTTCCACGTCGCCTAGGACTAAATTGCAGTGGCTGTCGTAGGCCTGGAGGAGATAAACGGGTTAATATCATAATTCAAACCATTCGTAAATCAACCACAATTGCGGGAATTCCACTTCCACTGACATGTAAGCGGCCCTTAAGCTCTCGATCTCCACGAAGCTTCACAAAGACGACCTCGTCGAGCGAGAGACGGACAAGGTCCAAGGGCTCCGAAAAAGGAGCTGCGCCCCCGACATCTGCGTCAGCCATGGTGACAGCAGGTAAACTCGAGATGGGGGGGAATCGATAAAGGCGCGCAGACAGTCAGCTTCAACAGAGCAAGCAAATGTTTTCGCGTATATTGGGTTACGGTGGAAAGCCAGCTGCGGCCCAAAGCGGTTTAGCGCGACCAGCAGCTTGGCGAAGTTCCAAACCGAAGAAAAAAAAGCTCCAGGAAACATCACGATTCACGAACAGCTTGCACGCATCACATTGCCAGCCGCGATTGACCCGCCCGATTCGGCCCATACTAGGATACCGTGGAGCATTGATGCGAGGAATTGGTTTTCGAAGCGAGGCAGTGAGCTCTCGCTTTGTCTGCCCGTCATGCTGCACGCGGCTTATCGGTGATGGCTACCTCCGCCGGTCTTCCATGCGCCCCGGAAACCGCACCCGCAATATCGGCCAACAATCAAAGAAACTCTCGACAGAAGCGTACACTCCGTGGTCATTCAAGCAGATGAAGACAGCATGGAATTCGTCAAAACCAAAAGATCCGGAAATGCCAGAGTCTCCTTTCCTCATGCAGGCTTTGTCGTTCAATCTCAACACTCACAGACCGACCGAAGCTGATTTCAAGAATCAGCACGGCATCCCGTACAGAACTTTCACTTCAGAATTAATGGATACATACTATTCAACGGATGATAAAATCATTGATTATTTTGACAAGGAGAAGCCAGATATGGTTGTGTATGCTTTTTTGGGCCCCGAGCAAATCCAATCCATCACGTATAATTTACCCGATTCGTCCTTTGCTGCAGCTCTCTCCCTCCTTGCTCCGTCACATTTTGTCGAGCCCCATAAAAAATTACACAGGAGATTTCACCCTGCCGTGGCGCATGCCAAGGGTTATAAAACCCTCGAGGTAATCTTTGACGAATTCAAACGGGTGCTTCATTTCGCTATAGAGAAGCGTCGTGCGGCTGGATTTAAATTGGGAATTGTCGAATATACTCATCTTTTAGATTGTGCCCGGTCAATGGGAGATGCGGATATGGCGGATTGGCTGTGGTATGATATGACCGTGGACGGGATCGAGCCAACTACCGCCTGCTATAACCACTACATGGAGGCAAAAGGATGGCACCAGGCGTACATACCGAAGGAGAAACTTAACCTACGATTCACGCCTTGGGTTTATAGGAAGCGGAGTTATGACCACAGGAATCTGGGTTATCAAGGATACGGTACTGGCAGCGAGAACAGTGTTCGGCAGCAAGTACTTCGGCTGTTTGACGAGATGCTTGCAAGAGGCCAAGAACCCGATGAAGCCACTTATGTCAATGTTATGGTTGCTTCTAGCAGAGAGGGTCACATGGTCGCCGTGGAAAATGTTCTGAAAACCGTGTGGAATATCGACGTCGAGTTGATAATGACTCGTGAGGATCCAGCCAACATACCTCCTGTTACCGAATTCAGGCGCACAAACCCGCTACATCCAACAACTCGACTCTTGTATGCTGTTGCACATATATTTGGTTCGAACAACAACCTCTCCGCAGCACTACAGCTTGTCGATTTTATTTCTACCCAATACCAAGTTCCGATTCCAGACTTTGTCTGGCTGGAACTAATGGAATGGTCCTATGTCCTCTCCGTCAGAAGATGGGGCCCCAGAGCTATAGAAAACAGTGTGGGAAAAGTTCCCCCGCAAACTGTGAAAAGACTGTTCGATACCATGATCTCGAGTCCATATAACGTGAAGCCGACGCTACCAGTCTACGATATGCTCATTTCTACATCCTGGTCGCGATATGATCTTGACGATACTTTAAAATATATGCGTGAAGGATACAAATTGTTTCAGGAAACTTTAAGGAGGCGAAATACGACGAAGCGCAAGTTTGTTGGCCATATTTTGAGCCTTCTACCGGCAAATATTCGAACGGAGGTCATGCTGAAGGATAGCTACCAGCGGCTACTAACCAGCCTCCAGAAATCCCGCGTAGGTATGCCAACAGGACCACCCCTTGACCCAGCCGCTAGAGCTCTAGCTACACTAAAGGCCAAAAGAGCCCAAAGCGAAGCGGACATGGCTAGACGGCGCATTGCACTCTTGCGTGCAGACAAGAAGGCCCAAGAGACGGGGATCCCTCCTCCATATCTTAACCGGGGTTGGGCACGGAAGCATATGAAACGGATCGCCCAACTTGAAGCAGAAGAGGAAGTGGAACGGGACGAAGAAGCGGAACGGGACGAAGAAGTAGAACGGGACCAATTCAACAAACACGGCCAATTCGGCCCTTCGGCCCTCAATCTGTCCATGATAAAGAAATATAGAGCCATGAAGGCAGCCTTCAACTTGGAGCAATTGAACGCTAGTCGCGACGCGACAATGATCGAACGATGGGTCCGACTGCTGATATCCCGACGATGGGTTCCGGACGCCGACTACTGGGAACGTCAACGCCTACCAAGCCTTCTACAAGAGTGGGAGCCATTTCTGCCGGAGAATGTATACTATAAGATTAGAAATGGTGTTGTAGAGTTCCTGCCTATCAGCTTCTGGCCCCACGGCAAACGCGAGCGACCGGAGAAAGGGGTCACTGATTTGGAAATAGGCCTTTACGACTCGGAAAAGAGCGTATTGCTAACAGATGTATTTGAAGTCATTGGTGAACATCCCGATGCGCGCCTGGCGGATTCTCATGATGAGGAAGGAGGTTTATGAGGCAGATGAAGCCCAGGCCTCCTCCTAGTTTGGTGTTTCTTCGTTTTCTTTTTCTTGGTCAATTTTAGAATGACACATAACACATGTCTTGAATATATTCGATATATAATTCCCTCACCGCACCAGACTTCATGGCATCTACCATTTACCAGATGTACCATTTACCAGATGTACCATAACCCTCCCCATACTGTCTTCTATATATCTCACGCCTCTACCCATTTTCTCTAGCCTTCTCCTTATGCCAAGAGGATTCGGATTTTCCCAAAAAAAACCCATCCCATCGCTAGGTTACCCTAACGTGCCCTGCCCCCTTTTGGTCTCCTACTCCCAGCAGTTTTGCTTCCTCTTGTGCATTCCAGGGCTTGCAATAGGATAATGTACTATTATAACCGGATATATCTGTGTTAGAAGCGTTCTAATTTTTGTTTTTCAGGCGCGTTTAAAACTGCGCTTGATTTTCTTACCTCCGTTCATTTGGCATACATTCCGCCGAACTAGCCGCCACCTTGAGCTATAGAACAATAATAATAATAAAAAAGAGGATAACCAATGTTATATTATATATAAAATGCCGTATATAGTATGTATAATATATGAAAACTTACAGCATCTACTATGGTACAAGGGGAATATTACAACAGCATATGTTTGTGCTTCAAATCCATCCACCCTTCCCCCCGCCTCCTTCCAGACTCCCTATAGCTCTCAAAACCCCTTTCCAAGATATAGAAACTCATACCGTCTCCCGCTTCAAATCATTGACAACCATGTACCTCCCAATGGACACCCACCCCCATCGAAACCAGACCATCTGACTCTTATGCGCGCACACCATAGCTTTCACCCCAGCCACCCAATCCGTAACCCCACTGACAAACAGCAACCGTTTCGGCTGCCTCTCCCTGGCCGTGCTCGCCGACCGTTTCCGGTCAAATACCGCGCCCACTAGCCCGTGCACCATACTCAGCGGTGCATCCAGCACGCCGATGTATTTGCGCAGGATACTTGTGGACGTCAGCGTGTAGAGGGTGACGGGGCAGGCGTAGCTGCTTTTGCCGTTCATGAGGTTTTGGAGGAAGGCGCGCGCGCCGTGGTAGAGGGAGCGGTGGTTTGGGTGGTTACTGACGCCTGACTGGTCGAAGGTGACGAGGATGTCGATTGTGGCTGTGGGTGGTTTGTTGCTATTGCTGGGTGATGGTTTGGAAGAGGAGCCGTTAGTTGACGATGAGGATGTGGAGGGGAGGTCGGGCGCGAAGGCGGAGGCGAGGAGGGTGGAAATGTCGGCGGCGGACCAGGTTGCGGTCATGCTATCTGGGAAGCGGGAGGGGTCGTCGACGACGAAGACGTCGGCTTCGCTGCGGAGGCCGAGGCGGAGGGCGCTGGCTTTTAGTTCCTTTTTACGGATGGGGCCGAGGCCGGCTGCGTCACCTGTATTTTTTGTTAAAAAAAAAAAAAGTAATTTGCTCTAGTTAGTGGTTTCTTTTTATATATATGTTCATGGCCAAGGGGGAGAAATATCCTATATAAAACATGGCAGCCCAAAATAGAACTCTCCCCCCAAGCAGGAAGCGCATACCAGAGCTCAAGCAGAGGATCTTCAGATGATTTCCCAACTCCGGCCGTGTCATTGCTATCAGTGTTGGCGCAAAGAACATTGCCTCGTCGTCTGGATGGGCGATCAAGAGACATATCCTCTTATTGCGCACGCTAGGGAATGAAAGGCCAAAGGACGACGAGGCGGTTGTCGAGGAGATAGTCCAGAAGAAAAGGAGGAAAGCAGGGATAAGGGCGAAGGTGAGGAAAGTCGGATTCATGTCGACATCATCCATGGCTGCGATATTTGCGCGGTCCTGACGGGAGGGAACCTGAGGACGCTGGAGTTTCGCGTTGTATTTAAATTAAATAGTTGGCTGGATGAGAAGGGTGTTTGTCTGTCGGTGTTCTGCGATAGCGATAAATAAGGCGCTGTTCTATATGGATGGATGTACACACCTGCGCGGAAAGATGTCACAAACCCAATTATATCGTATAAGAGGCAGCGAAGTAGGATAGTTGGAGATCCAATTCGATATCTAGTCTTCAAAAATAAAATAAAAAATTAAATGGATTGGAAGCACGAATCGATCCCGATACTGCGCGCTCCTCAATCAACAGACAGACACGCGAATCATCCACTCAAGGAACGCGCACTCTCCCCTCGCCTCAATTCGCGGGAGAAACAGTTAGAGGAGGGAGCTGCCGTGGATCAATCAATTGAAAGATATCAATCAGTACTTTATCTCAGCATCCATTGGGGAGAGCCAGTGGATGGCGCGAACGGGTAACGTGGCATGATCGGCTTCAAGGTTTCAATCTATCAAGGCAGAAAGGGGGGGAGAAGAGCGAAGAGCTCGCTAGTCACGAATGCCGATACGATACGATGGCTTCTAGTTAAATAAATAACTAGTTACTTGTCGGGATTTTAGCTGGACACTAGTTAAATGGATGGTTTAGTTTTAAGTTCGCTCATGCTGGAATGACGGTATGGTTTCATTATTGACATTGACTGCCTTGTCTGTATATATAGAGAGGATGAGATTGACTACTTATACTATCTATTTACTTATAAGAAGTTGCAGGTTCTAAATGAAGATGATGAAAGATGCCTGCAAATCGATAATTTCTCCATTTATGAAGAATAGATTCGGAGGATATAACTAGTTAAATACTGCAAGCCTGAATTCCCGCACCTATTTAGTTGGCATTCTCATGTCTCCTTCTCTCACTTGATAAGGCAAAAAAGCCTTTTGCTACTAAATAAATACTACTACTCCTCCCCCTGTCCTTGAGACTCGAGAGGTCAAATAGGTTGTGTATCTAGGAAAAAAGTACAAAACCTTTCCATGCTAAATTTGGTCTAAATAACTAAATGTAACTATCACTAACTACATTAGGCTAGGTACCAGCAATCGGTATTCTATCAACAAGACCACCTACAGGTTTACTTTGATGTTCATATAATATACGTGTTGCAGAGAGCTGAGCAAGTGATGATAAATATTCGGCCTATAAACGCTCTTCGACGGATTCTTTCAGGGTAAACAATCCCCCTGGACAAATTCATTCAAGGTGTGCACTGGCACTCGCGACAATCATAATAGAACCTGCCTCCCCTCCCTGCTTTAGGTACGTGTCTTTGCTCTCTGAATATAAAAATTCCAATATGACAAGATCAGATTCTTTCATTGGGCATCCTACCTAGGTAAGCTTTCATCATCATGAGACTCATTGAAATCCAGAAGAGGGCTGAGAAATTCTCTAGCAAGCTCTTTTGTGGAAAATGACACGACTCAACACAACGCACAACACACCAGATATTGCTTCCCTAAAGCCGAAGAGTGTGGGTGTTACCATTTCCCAGAGAGATATCCCGATTTTGCTCCTACAAGCACCTTCCGCCCCCCCGGGGATCTGTAGACCCGTTGTGTTTCGGCATATCTTTGCAAGGGGGCCTGTCCATCTCCTAACATCCCCATGCTAGGATGAAGTTTTGTTCATCATCAATCAATCAATCAATCAATCAATCGATCGATCGATCGATCAATGATGCGGCGGATCAGATTTCATGAAACGGCCTCGCGCGGACCTCATATGTGTTGGTTGGCGGGGGTTGTTCTTCAACATATATGTGAAAGCAACCAGACTGACTTTGATAAGATGGCTGAAGAGTGCAAATATAAATATCGGAGGGGTGGTTTGCAATTTTGTATGTTTTCGAACCTTTTAACAATGAAATTGAGCTGGTTAGTTCCCCCTTCCCTTCTAATTTCCGCGGTCTGTCGAACATTGATAGAGAAAATTCATCTGTTTCATCTGTTGGTAGCTAAGTCGCAATGGATGGCTGTCAAACTTACGACTCCCTGCCGTTTTCATGTCAACGATGAAGATTCTTAACCCAATTGGGCCTGTGTGCTGTCGTACTTTTGCTCGGCCCCCGATCTCCCCGCCATTCGCCAGGCATCAGACAGCCCAGAAGCTTCGGAGAAGAGAGGTCATGGGCCAACTCTGCCGTTCATGGTTTCTGGGAGCCAGCGCCAGGGGTGAGAACAGTAGTAATTCCTCGTGATATCCGCAAGGAGTACTGCATTGTACATTGTACAGTACAACCATTTCTATAAAGTAGTGTAGTGTTTCCATACAACAATTAAACGGACTTATTGCTAACTCTGGGACACCTTTCATTCATACATATACAATCTCCATCCTCTGACAGCAACGGAACGGGGGGCTGTTTTGGTATGGGGACCCCGAAAAAAAATCTTACTTGGCTCAAGAACCGCATGGATAGCCGCAAGGGATTCCCCCCTCCAAGTCGGGATCTGAGCACTTCTTCTTATTCCATATACTTACGGTCAGCTAGATCTATCGGTGAGAGGCCCGGATCCTCGTTGGATAACGACGCCGGTGTGGTTGTGGTGAAATTAATACCTAGGGCTTGGGAGAACTTTTCCAGATCTGGTAACCTCACCCAGCTGTATATAGGGTTATTTGTTTTATGAATAGTACTTGGCTCATTCTTGCACAGAAGATTAATATTAATGCGGGAATTACGTTTTTAACCATGCATGCAACGCAATATTCCTCAAGTGGGTGTGGGTGGTGTTCAAAGAATTGAACACAGAATAGTTAGTATAATTTTAGACCATATTGCACACATAGATTTGATATCTGGTGTCTTTCTGTGGTCGATTTGCATTGCATGTACTCTGAAATGTATTTCACCAAAGAGTTCAACCAAACTTAACTTTATGAAAATTGAGTGAACCAGTTACACAGAGACAAATTCGATACAACACAGTGCTGAGCATGACATCAGCAAGCCTTAATCACTCCAGTCATGTATTAAATTTTAATCTCAAAGAGAGGCATCAGCTGAAGATGATTGTATGGAAGTATGCACATGTCCATGTACATTACTACGACACACTCATTACTGTCAATCTACTTTTCTATTATCTCTATAAGAAGAATCGTCAGAAGTCGAATTTGACACTATGAATTTATATTAATAGTAATACACAGGTGACAGCGTAGATCTTAAAACCGTGTATGTCTACAGCGCAGGGCCCGGCTAGATATAATCTCCCGAGTGTCTTGAGAGTATTTACTGAAAATATGAGATGTAGACTTTTTGTTTGTAAGCTAACATTGGTGAAACCAAATAAATACCATGGGAGCATGGAGAGAATCAATCTCACCATTTCATTTTAGAACTTAAGAGACTCTGAACTTGGGCGGATTTATCAATCCTTCCTTCTTGCCGGCGGGGGGGTTCATATTCAGAACCCCAAACTCCGGAGATCAACTACAAAATCAGCAAATCAGCAAGCCGAGTGTAAAGCAATCAAGAAATAATATTTTTTACGACCCTGACATAGTTTCATGAATGATTATTTGAAATAATCTCAGTCTTTAGCGTACACTTCGAACATCGCAAAACTTCCTAAATCTTCATGATCATAATTATTAATATTCAGATATTGCCATACAGATATGTACAGTACTCCGGACGCTGACGTAGCAAGCGACTCTTCACGCCCAGAAGGCGCCAAGGAAGGCACTTGCATGATCGACTGCTTAGCTTAGCACGGGGTGAGATTTTTTTTCCCCTTTTTTTTCCCCTTTTTTTTCTTTTTTTTTTTTTTTAAACACCGAAAATCTACCAAAGTCCGAAGGGCGGTGGCACAAAAAAGTTACTGAGTAATCGTAATCCCAGCACCCTGTTGGAGATGATTCTGTTGCCTTTTCTAGTCTCAGCTATTTTACCTAGGTATGTTTGTTAGGTTTATCTCCAAGGGTGCTCACGAAAAGCCGGCATCTGAGCTGGGTAGGTACCCCAGTGTAGTGTCGGACCCATCCAGGCGGGAACCTCTGTTTCTGGAATTAATAGTCGTTATTGGATGGCGAGCCATCACTGATTCTGATTGAATACTTTATATCCGAAGTGCGGAGTAGTTGTTGGATGTTGTTCTGACGTTGTTTGTTCCCTGCATATATAATTGATCACAAGCAATCATGATTTGATGAATTGAGTTTTCTGCAGCGCTTGCAAGGACCGCTTAGCTTGGTGGCCCGAGCCTAGAGGCTATCCTATCCCGAACTTGAGTTGAGGTTGCCATATGAAAAAGCAAAGCTGCCACTGGAGTCCTGGACACGTTGCTGCTTGCAAGGTTTGGAAGGTGGCTGCGGAAAACCCTGCCGGAGTCGACTATATGGATCAGTGAAGGTTTGGTGTGTTTTTTTAGATGGATGGAGACTCTTTTTCCCCTTTTCCCCTTTTCCCCTTTTCCCCTTTTCCCCTTTTCCCCCCATGTCTACTACTTTCTCAAAAAAAAAAAATTCTTTTTTTTTTTTTTATATTTTCTGCTGTCTTCACTGGCCATTTTGGACTTGAAATTACTTTTTTTAGCTGTAATTTTCAACTTTGCCCCTGGTAAGCTTGTTTTCCACCCATATAATAATATTAGCACCACATTGGCATCCACTGGACCGAGGCAACGGGGCTTCAAAGCTTGGGTACCCGCTGTTTAGAGTCCCGCTCTGGCTTGTCTGCTCTCTTTCCCCTGGTGCAGAGTCGTCTTAAGAACTTAGAACTTGGGAGAACAACCCAAGGGGCCAAGGGGTAGAAAGACTGTAGGACACGCGCGAGTTTTTTCCCATGTACGTCATAATAGTATCCTCCTATAACAAATGGATCAACTCAATGAGCTGGGAACTCCCCTGATCACTCAGGTAGCCCACTAATCCATTGAGGCTATTCTATTCCGGATTTAGGCCTAGTTCTAGCTCCCTTGACATGGGCTGCTGGCCATGGCGCTTGAACAATAAAAATGGCCGAAGAAAAGCTTTCTTAGCGGCTTTCTTAGCGGCAGAGGCGTTAGACACGTCAAGGCCGCGCACTGGTGGCCTGAGTCAGAGCTTAATTGGTGCGTCGTTGATGCGCGCCATGACATCTTTGGCAGCAAGACGTGCAGAGTTCATCAACAACGATTGCTGCGGCGGGGATGGTCATCAGGTTCAGGTGACGGCAGCTCCTCTCGTATTATGGATAATTTTTCTAATATTGTTCTTAATTGCTAACGCGCACTCACGCGGCCCGCGGAGACTAGGATACTTTTCGTAGGACTATCCTCAGTAGACGGCGCGAGAACCTTGCTGCCATGCCAATCCATATATCCCATTCGTGCAGAACGCGGAGGGAGGAGGACGAGGAGGGGTTAGATAAGAGACCTGAGGAACCATACTTAATAATAATAGGCTGTGTGATCCCTGACTCCTGAACCGTCAACCTAACAATAGGGCGTGAGAGTGAGAGTGGATTAACCTGATGCCGATCCGTCTAAAAAGTATAAAAAATTTCATCCCAAGAAATAAAGTCTAGAACGAGCTGGCGGGGCGGAAACCGAGCAATACCCGCTTTTGTTGCCACTGGTCGGTATTTTACTCGCCCGTTACGGCGAAATACATCGGCGGCGGGATTGGTTCCATACGAGTTTTCTGCCCTTTTTTTGTTCTTTGAAGCTTGACTTTTCTGAGCTGCTATACTCAGTTTTGACAGCATATATATCACCCAGGTTGCCTTCCTCGAGTTATCGACGTTCTTCTTTCAGTGGTCGGGATATTGAACTGAGACTCAAAGTATTATCGGGTTGAACCCTGTTTGGTTGGTATAGAATACCTGGGCAAGCTTCCAATGACGAATTTGGGGACGAAATCGGAACTATAAGAAGAGAATCAGAAGAAGCAACGAGAATATACGCCAGAAGTGAGGTTGGATTGAAGAGGCAGCAGTCAGTCAAGTCACTCTTTTTAGTTTTGTCTGGCTGCTGCTTGCTTTGCTTTGCTTTGCTTTGCTTGCTCTGCTTGGGCATAATACTTCATTCACTCTCCGCTTCATCCGCGCCGTCATTCCTACCCACTCTAGCTTTTTGCAATATCTCTGGTGCATTGGCAATCACTACCCGTAACTACATAGGCCAGCCGTCACCATGCCAGGAAGGCTCATCTCCAGCTTTGTGCGGTCGTCGTCCGGGTTCCCGACGTCCGCTTCCTCCTATCTACTTCCCGAGCGCAGCGATCACGATACTATCAGATCTACCTCATCGTCATCTTCCCAAAGGAGCACAGCCTCCATAACAGATAGTCCAGAGCGTCGTCTTTCGTTCTCAATGGACCATTTGATCCACCCGTATCGCCATTGGGGACATCAGGAGAAGAGGCGGAATTTGATCCATTTGCGCTCTGGGGATAAATCATCGGATAACCGCTTACCTCCCGCCAACTTGGATATTACCATCGAGTCCCCCCCATTGGTTCTATACGGTCCCCCCAGTCGCTCTACTGGCGCATTGATGTCAGGTCGTCTTTTGCTCTCAGTCTCGGATGTACCAGGCCAAATCACCCTTAAGGCACTGCGGATGTGTTTGACCCGAAAAGTCTCTACGAAAAAACCCGTTTCGAGAGATTGTTCAGCTTGCAAATATCAAACTGAGGAGTTGACCAGCTGGGAATTCTTGACAGAGCCTGCCCACCTCAAAAGCGGCATTCATGATTATCCATTTAGCTACTTGTTTGCTGGCAACTTGCAACCAACAACCCAAGGGTCACTAGGTGCGGTTTCATATAACTTAACTGCATGCGCCGTGACTACATCTGGGAAGGAACTCTGTCTCAACAGACCCATCAAAATAAAGCGAGCGGTCATGCCTGGACCCGATAAATATTCAATGCGAATCTTTCCTCCAACCAACCTCGTGGGACGGGCTACCCTACCATCCGTAGTTCACCCAATTGGAAATTTCCCCATTCAGTTAACCCTCTGTGGCGTTGTGGAGAGAAAGGAAGGGGGCCGCATTAGATGGCGTTTACGGAAGACAATGTGGCGGATCGAAGAGCATCAGAGTATCATCTCCCATGTTTGCCCTAAACACCTTCACAAAGTGACTGAGGGAAAAGGAATTTTACACCAATCGACACGTATAATCGGTCATGGTGAGCAGAGATCCGGATGGAAGAGCGATTTCGATACTGTTGGTGGGGAAATACACATCGAGTTCGAAGCCAACATCAGACCAGGCGCGAACCCGTTATGTCACCTTTCGCCTACCCCTGAGGGAGGTTTGGAGGTCAGACACGATCTTGTTATGGAGCAAATTGTTTCAGAGGAATATTGCCCTGAAAACAACGCCAAATTCCTCACCCCAACTGGCGCAGCCCGAGTCTTGCGTATGGTGTTTCCACTGCATGTCACAGAACGTGGTGGCTTGGGAATAAGTTGGGATGAGGAGATGCCACCCGTGTATGATGATGTCCCTGACAGTCCACCAGGGTATGTCATGCCCGATAGAGCCTCCAGTAGCATAGAAGACTACACTGGCTCACCCCTTCCTCTACCGGATTACGAGGAGCTTGAGCAAATGAATGCTTTCGATGACTCTCCACACCATCAAGGGAACTCCAGTGAAGCCTCCCAACAAGCCCCACAGCGGGAATCGGGGCACCGTCTAACGGTAGATGATCTGGAAACAGAGCCGCAATTGAACACGCCAACACAAGATTCCCGTCACTCTCACTCGTCGGCCGCTGATATCGCTGAAGGTCTGTTGCAGTGATGGCAAAAATATTCCCGCATCGGTATTTTGCCTCATGGTTGGCGCTTTTTACTGATTTCGCCTGACCTTTTAACATTCGAACGTTCAAATGTTTGCCCTTACCCATATCAACCTAAATATTCCACTTTTCTTTCGCCTAGCGCCCGTTATTATGTCCCCTTTCTCGAGCACCCTGCTGAGAAAAACGCGTTACGATTCTCATAAGTGGTTTTTATTCGAGTACTTCTTCATGATATGTTTCACGCGTATCACTAATGCCTCTATTTTATCTTAATTTTCCTCGCTGAGTATTATTCTCTGATTACTTGTTTTAAAACAAAAGTTAAACAGCATTGGAGTTGGACATATGGGATCTGTACGGTTATTAATTTCTTTTCATCTTTCTTTTCTCCGATGGTTACTTGCTCCTCGATTCCGTTTAATGATTGTCCTTGGAAATAGTTTGTTACTAGAGTCGTTTATTTGATATCTATTCACCTGATTCCCCATACGTTTTCCGAATAGTTTCAATGTTTATTGTTAGTTTTACGTTTATTACTATGTTCTCCTTTGTGTCCCTTGGTACCGTCTGGTTCCCCTTATTTATCTTTGGTTCTGTATGACCTGGCCGACAGTAATGGGGAAATGGATCGAAAGCATGAGTTGGGAAGCAAAGAAACGAAGCAGTTACTCGGATTTGGAAAATTACTCGGATTTGGAAAATCGTTGTGTAGTTAAATAGTTATTTCCCGTGGAGGATGAAAGCAAGTTAGGAATTAAATCATATTAAAGAAATCTTCAGATATCTCTTTGCTTTGCTTTTCTTGTTTTTTTTAATTATTGTATTTTTCGGGATCTTTTGAAGTCATCCCTAATGTAGACCCGAAGTATCTTAACAGGTTGCCAGTTTTGCTCTACCATAAAATAATTACTCTACTCTAGTTGATTCGCAGGCTGAACATTCCCTGTACCCTACTAGTTGTAAACCAAAGAGCTAACAGATAGACAGGTGAAATGTAAGGGGAGAGGCTCTTCCAGGCCATAGACTTAAACGGACAATCGTACCTCTCCAGCGTCAACATATTGGAATATTAAAATGCACAAAAGTGTAATAATAGTAGAAAAGAACGCAGATCTCCCATAAACCAACTCAAACAGCAAAGAAAGAGAGACTAACTCCAACGCAAACTTACCATCACCACCTACTAACATGTCAAATTTGCTCTAGGGCTATCTTGCTTGGTCGAGGCAGTCCATTCATGGCTCGAATACCAAGCACATGCGGCCAAGCAGCGACGACGGGTAGTTGCATCATCTGGAGGTTGATTTTGCCACCTTGGTGGGGCGCCGATTGAAATAGATTCAAATGAGCTCAAACATTGTCCTTCTTGTAATTTTTATGTTCCAAGGTGGCAACGGCATCTGTGGAAATCCTAGAGAAGCCCACAGAAACGGAGAGCATAAAATTGAACATGCAGCTTGGTGTAGCTTGCATTAGCCGCTAGTTGCCAAAATCGGATTGAGCGTATCAACTACCTAGGAACACATGAGCCAAACAATAATGAGTATTGGCCCGCATACGGCCAGCCCGGGAAATTTTATCTTGGGACCTATATTGATGGACAATATATCTCTCATTTTTAGAAGTGATTATTGAATTAGGTTTCCCTATCAATTCCATAAGGCTGTCGTAGCTATAGTTTTCGGTATTTCGTGCTTGACTGTTTTTTTTCCCCATTGTACCCTCGAGCTCAATACACAGGAGTGAGAGCTGTGTCTATGTCCCTGCATACCTCCTGTGCCATCCAGTATCAAAATCGGAAGTACAGTACCACACACACATTCCACATTCCACTTCCGATCAGTGCTCTCCAAGCTCGCATAATGCAATGAAACGGGAACAAGCCGGAAAGTGATTATAGCCCTGCCTAAGACATAGTTATTTAACGTAGGAAATAACATCCCACGCCGCTTCGCTGTTCGTGTTCAAAAACAGCTCAGATAATCCCGTATCCTTTATATAGAACAGCCCAGCCGATTGGGCCCAAAACTCCAAAAATAGCTGGCACTAAGGGAAGCTCCAGCACCGCCCAAACCCATAGTGTACCGATAGAAGGTGTCTTTTTCATCACAGCATAATAGGACGCTTCATTCGTCATAGATATTAACCGCCCACCGAAAAATAAGGCTATGGGAAGAAATACCATGGACTTTGCCGAAGGGGGTAGGAAGTATGTAATGGCCCTTACAAGCAAGGATTTGCTATTACTTGCAGAGTCCTCAGGTCCCGTTTTCTGGTCCTTTTCGTCCCGCTGTTTGCCTGATTTGCCACTGAAAGTGAATCTGTCGAACGAAATAATATGGCCATGAGCAAGATGGATGACGAAAGTGAGAACAGGGAATGCTACAAATATCGTGTTCTGGATGAGTTGTCGGAGGGGGATGTCTTGGGCATACTGATGCGCGGCGAGAAATGATAGTGTAAGGTGGAGAACGGAGAGGGGCAGAGAGAGAAGTATCGTGTCTGGGAGCGGGGGAATTGGTTCATCAGCATCGACTTCGTCGTCCGCAGAAGATGGATTGCTGTGTGGATTGTTTGTGGTTGATTTAGAGTCTTTGGCTCGGACTATTTCTCCCTCGGGCGAAATAGTTACGAATTCTGTGCCTGGTGGTGGCTCGAGGCTGGTCTTTGACCTGGATCGTCCTAGCTCCGCTTCTCTTTCAGCTGCGAGCTCGTAGAGTGTTTTGGCCTTTGGTTTTTGGGAGGGGTTATTTGTCGGAGGGTGGCGGAGGGGGATTGACGCAGGGTCAAAGCCGTCATCGCCGGCTGCGGATGAAGCTTGGGCTGCTCGACGTTCTTTCCGGTTTCGAGGCGGCATGGTGATCTCGTTATTTGAACGAATTGCAAGCTCAAAATAAACTAACGGGAAATTTAAATGGGCTAGGCAGATTGTGGAATACGCAAGCTTGGAACACTATTGATGCCAGGGCAAGTGGGCAAGCAGCAGGAGGAAGCTTGCGATAAATTAAGGTTGTAAACTTTATGTTTAAGCTTATCTAAATCGGGTTAAAGGCCGAAGCACCCCTGTCAAGCCTTCGCCCTACGAGCAGGCTTCTTCTAGCCAATTCGCTTCAGGCATTGGAAAACAATTCTTCGGATTCCGGCTGTTATTAATTATGTCTGTGAGACATGAAAATAGTCGACTGGTGCTTTCAGTGGCTTGGAAATCTCCCAAGACGCATTTCGCTGGGAACATACGGAGCACAAACGCAAGAGCTGAAATTTGATACAATCCTCAGTTTTCCAGGAAGAACAGTGCATCGATAGTAAAATGATGGGCCCTTCCATTCAGACATCGCATCGGCTTCGTGAACGAAGATGTTTTCGGATACTAATAAAAGGCCTTGAGGCGAGCGAACTAGGCGCGTTCGGGTACGACGAGGATAGCAGCTAGATGGCTCTTGTGTGCGATGTAGGATTTGGAGGACAGCGTCATAGTTTGTTGGGATAGTGCATTATCTTCGCACAGTAGACGCGATCAGCCTGATATCTGAAAGGCGCATTCATATCTAACCCTAAAGTTCTCACTATAGTCGCATTCGGGCAAAGATGACGGCAAATCTTATTAGGAGTTACGCTTGTCTTTATAAACGACTCTGATATCCTTTCATCTGCCCTAGCTAATATTCTTGGGGAAAATAAATTATGGCGATTTTCGTCTCACTTGTTTTTACTCGGTGCAAGTAAGATCCCATATCCACACATGATGTCTATAGGTAGTTGATATTCTAACTCGAAAATGCAGATTTATTCTACGAAATATCTACTGGCGTGAAGCTTCAAATATTTGGCTACAGAAGAGTGCAGCCATTTTTTTCAATTCGCATTTGAGTCCTTTCTTCTTCTCCCGCATTGATATGCTGACCAGCGGAGAACGGCCTCGTAGACCTCTAAGTGATGGGGTTGTGATTATGAGTGCGAATAGTCGGGGCAGCGCGTGCTATTCGAAGAGGAATTCAACCCACGCCAATACACAATATCAACACAATGGCCGGACGCAAATGCTGGGCGAAGAGGATACATGGGAAGTTCTTGTTTTACCAACCACTCCCAGCCCTGAAAATGGAGAGGATGAGGATCTTGAGGTCCGCTGGGACGGCCCAGATGATCCAGCGGACCCGCGAAATTTTTCTCTGATCCTGCGATGGTCTATGGTTACCATCATAACTCTCTGTTCCTTGTGCACGTAAGCAAACAATCATATATATGGAAGGAAATATTACGAAATGACCTTGAATTTAACGAAGCATAGGATTTTCACCTCCGCGCTATACACGATGACATATGATCAGATCACAGTGGAATTCAACTGCTCAACGCTCGTTGCAACTCTTGGCCTGTCTCTCTTCATATTGGGCCTTGGAGTTGGCCCTCTGTTTCTTGCTCCTTTATCCGAAGTAAGTCCCTCAGTTCATAACCTAATCATTTTTCACGGACAAAGTATCTAGTCACAATCACACTAACGAGTTGTAGTTTTATGGCCGCCGTCCCGTATACCTAGTCGCCATGGTACTTTTCATTCTATGGCTAATCCCGTGCGCGGCTGCCCAAAACATCCAAACAATGCTTATATCGCGCTTCTTTAGTGGATTCTCGAGCAGTGCATTTATGTCAGTTGCTGGAGGGTCGATCGGAGATCTTTTCTCTCAGGATGATTTGCAGCGACCAATGATGGTTTATACTGCTATTCCATTCATGGGCCCCATCATTGGGCCGCTAGTTGGCGGATTTATTAACCAATACACCTCCTGGTATGTGAACTCAATTGTGATATCAACCGGACGAAGGCAGCACAAGGCTAACTCGCTATATTACTTGATTACGATGCGAAGGAGATGGTCATTCTACGTCGTCATAATCTGGAGCGCTTCCCTGCTGATTTGCATGGTCTTTCTTATGCCTGAAACATACCATCCCGTTCTGTTACGCCACAAGGCACAGAGATTACGCAGGGAGACTGGTCGAGCTTATTATGCCTGGATCGAAAAGACTGATAAATCAATCGCAACGGAGGTGATGTGGTCGTTTGCGCGGCCGCTGCAATTGCTATTCCTCGAGCCAATGATAACATGTCTTTGTGTTTATACATCCGTAGCCCTTGGAATTCTCTACCTCTTCCTTGGTGCTTTCTATGCTGTTTTTACCCATAATTACGATTTCGAACTATATCAAGTTGGCCTATCGTTTCTCGGTTTACTTTTCGGAACCATAACTTCCTTTGCTACGCATCCATTATGGAACTGGAACTATCGGCGACTTGTGCGTCAAAGGGAGGCGAACGGAGGAGAGCCAGGGGAGAGTGAGCCAGAATACAGACTACCCCCTGCAATTGCGTCTTCGATTTTGCTTCCTCTTGGTATGTTCTGGTTCGGCTGGACGACATATAAATCCATTCACTGGATTGTCCCAATTATCGGCAGTGGCTTCTTCAGCGCTGGGTACGTCAGATCTAACTGGCTGGAGATTTTGGGCGGCACTAATGAAATTAACCAGCGTCGTCCTCTCGTACAATGGGATTCTGACCTTTCTTGTACATGCATATCCACTATATTCGGCAAGTGCTATGGGTGCGAACTTGATCTTAAGAAGCATCTTTGCAGCCGCCTTTCCTATATTTGGTGTTCGATGTAAGTTCCAATAGTTTCGACAACCAGTCGTTTGCCCCGCGGCGCGGCTAACTTCTGCACGCCAAAAAAAAAAAAAAAAAATAGTATACGAAAAGCTGGGATATCAATGGGCAACATCGCTTCTTGGGTTTTTCACTGTTGCGATGATGCCATTCCCGTGAGTAACAGTTAGGGATCTCCCTTGTGTTGGATCCTACATCGTCCTAACATCTAGCTAGGTATTTGTTTTATAGATATGGAGCACAGCTCCGGGCAAAGAGCCGTTGGGCATCAAGTGGTCATTCTAAAAAATGACAAGTCATGACAAATCTGGAGAGCTTACTGGAGCTTGTCTTCCGGTTTTCGAGTTATTAGTTGTAATATGGCGTCCTTTCTTTCAGCACGGTATATCTCTAACATGCTGCATTGCATCCTTTTTTTCTTTGTAGCTGTACACTTTGAACTCAAGCCTCGAGGAAATTGATTTCTTGCGTAATAGTAGATATCCTCATTGACCAATTTCATCTTATACTCCGCGGTACGTACGGAACACTCGTGCGCGATCTGGGCGACAATCCTCAATTTTCTTTCTTTTTTCTTTTTTTAGTTCGAGAAATCCCCTCGTATTCCGCATGCAAATGAGTCATCCTGAAAACCCCATTGATGAAGCAGGCCTCAACTCCTGATAGATGAGCCGAGCCGCCATTCAGAAACCCGCAAGAAGAATACTCATTTCCAAATCATCGTAAGAAAGCAGAGTAGCGTGACAAGCCAAACTCCACGATGCAAGTAGCCATCGCGGGTGTCGGTGCTCTCGGGCACCATATTCTGCGCGGAATTCTCGCAACAGGGAAACATTCTGTGACCGTCTTGACAAGAGGAGAGCCCGTCAGTAATTTTTCCAAATGAGAAATGCATATTCTCTATATTTTGCAAGACCCCATATAGCCATGTTCTTCCATGTCCTCAGTGCTCTACAGCAGCTGCTACAATATCATTGTCGCTAACGAGTTGACGTTTCAGCGCTCTAATGACCCGCGCATCACATGGCGTAAAGTCGACTACAGTGACAAGTCCTCACTGACGGAGGCGCTCCGCGGTATCGATACATGTATATCAACCGCAGCAAGCTTCGACGACAAATCATTCGCGGAGGGCCAGATTAGATTAGTCGACGCATGCATTGCAGCAGGCATTCGCCGGTTCGTGCCTTCAGAGTTCGAACTCGATCCACACACCCGCAAAGACCGCTACCCTTATTTGGCTGCGAAGCGGAAAGTATTATCCCACCTTGCCTCGCCAGCGGTTCGGGAGAAGATCCAGTGCACGCTATTCACGCCGGGGATCTTCTATGATTATTACTCGCCGATGACTGAGGATGGGAAGAGGCATATGAGCAGTGAATCGCTCGTGCCGATTGGGTTTGATATGGTGGTTGATCTGAAGAATTGTCGCGCGCAACTTGTGGATGGGATGGAGGAGAAGAGGATGCGGTTTACCGAGGTTGATGATGTTGGGAAGTTCGTGGCGAAGGCTTTGGAGCTGGAGGAGTGGCCAGATCAGTTTATGATGTCCGGGGAGAATCTTACTTGCAAGGAGCTTATTGGGATTTGTGAGAAGGTCAGAGGTATGTATGACAGGTTTGAATTTGAGAATCCTGAATCCTTGGGCCCACTACCACCCTTTTAAAGAGAAGCTTTTATATATCGTATATTCACGAAAATCGAATTAGGAAAACCATTCGAAATCGAGCGCATATCAATCGCAGATATGGAAAGCAGAATAAAGGAGGCAGAGAAAGCGAATGATATGATGGGAACATTCATTTGGACCACACCCGTTTGTATCCTCGAGGGAGACTTTTGGTGGGACGACAAAACTACGCAGGGGGTAGATATCAAGACCGTTTTTCCAGATGAGAAAATTGAATCTCTGGAAGGATTTTTGTCAAAATGGTGGTGATTTGATTCGTATTGCATTGTCGCCCGACCAGCGTCGAGTCGTATTGTTCAATGATCCTTCGCGTCGAGGAACAGTAGTCCTCCAGACAGCTAGCTAGCTGGTTTAAGTTTGAGCCGCTCAATATGTCGATCGAATTTGTTTAGCAAAAGTAGTAAATAAATAAAGGATGTCCATTAAAATGTCTAATCTAGAGCAATTCTATTATTGCTTCGGCTCTAATAATCCGCCTTTTTTAGGGAAATTTTGCAAAGTTTTCCTTTTTATCTAAATAATGATGTAGAAAAGAGTGGAGTTTGGGAACCCTGAGTTGGGAGGGAGTTGAAGGAAGTAAGCGGTTAGTAACGTAAAACCTCTTTACCAAACCACAGGCAGCTCCGTGATGCCAACATCACCATCTGGTGGAGAATACTTGACTTCAGATAGTGGGATCCCAAGCTTCAAGTTTGGTAGTCGTTGGAATAGCGTTGCTGTTTTGTGTTTATATGTTAGTAATACGTAGACGCGAATTAAGTGGAGGACGAGGATCTATTCCAAAATGACTTACAGAAAACAACTTCAAGCTCAGTTCGAGCCAGTCCCTCAGCGACACACACATGTTCACCGTATCCGTAACCTAGAGCTAGCTCAGAACCGCGCTGGCGGTGCATATTGAAGACATCTGGGTCTGGGAAGACATCTTCATCTCGGTTGCCGGATTGGGTGGCAGCAATTATTCCCTCGCCTGCTTTGATGAGCTGTAGGGAACCATACACGTTAGCATTTGGGAAAGGCACCCGGTTGTCAGAGATTGGATACAAAGATGCTACAACGTACATGACCGCCAAGCATGATGTCCTCCTTCGCAACCCGCCTCGTGGCCATCGCTGATGCCGTGTGGAAGCGGCAGAGTTCTTCAACAAATTTGGGCGCGAGAGATGGATTGGCTTTGAGGTCTGCCAATTGCTCGGGATGTTGGAGAAGAGTGACGACGCCCTGAAAGTTCATTAGCAAACGGCAATTCTCACGTAATAGTACCGGGTTATAAAAACGTACAAGCGATATCATGTTCACCAGAGTGGCATTTCCGGCAACAAGCATCAAAAAGGCGATTTGTATGGCATCCAATCGGTCAATGTGGCCAGGTTTGAGCTGTGATTATAGGGATCGTGGTTAGTACTGTATTTTATTTTTATTTTTTACACATCCAGGGAAATAGAAGATTAGAACATTACCTGTTCCACTACAAGCTTGCTAATCATGTCCTGTCCTGGGTTTTCAAGCCGTTTATCAGTCAAGTTGCCGATGTAGTCCAGGAGCTCTCTATCGCCATTCGAAATCTAGTCAGCAAGCTTGACAATCAGACACCAACAAAGGCAGAACTCACTTATTAGCATTAGATGCAGCTGCAGCGGTGGAACTTCCATTGCTACGGACGGCGTTACATTGGGTGAGATATTCGAGATCTTCTTTTGGCACACCCAGCATCCCATATATTATCTATTTGTGTAGTATAGACGTCAGTATCCAAATTCATCAAAAGACTTAGCTTTAAGAAGCAGAAACTAACGTATGATGGTAGCGGTAGAGCAAAATTTGGGACCAAATCTACAGGCTTCTCACAACCCTTCTTTATCATTTCATCGAGAAGAGTGTCAGCCGTGGCTTGGATATGTGGCCGAATCGTCTCAGCATGCTCCCTGGTGAAAAGTGAAGCAACCATGCTCCTATATGAAGTGTGTCAGTAAGCCTCATGAAACATGCTTCACCCCCCAAGGAGACTGCAGTTTAGTACCTCTGACGCCCGTGGTCTGGAGGGTCCATATCTACAAATGTTGGGCGGTTTTTAGCAGCCTCTTTCCCTCCAGCATTCATTTCTGGGAACCCAGCGCGTGTTCGTTCCTGCAAAACGGTAGGGAACCGATGTTATTAGACACTCCTACGTTCCTCTGATCCAAAAGAGAGCTGATGGCCCATACCTTGGACAGGCGCTGGTCCGTAAGAACGCTGCAGATATCCTTGTACTTGACTACAAGCCATGGTTGACTGTTATCCCAAAGAGTAACTCTAGAAATGGGGTTCGTGGCTCTCAGCTTCGCATATTCCAGTGGGGGAATAGCTCCAGATGGGCGAGAGAAGGGGAATTTTGGAGGAGCTAATGTTGATAGTTATATATCTCAGCAACTGGATGCAATGTATACTGGTTTTAGTATAGAGCATACTTACTGGCCTCCGTAGACATGTTGGAACGTTGGGTTCGCGCGACAATGGATAATCGAGTAGAATTAAGTGGTCTGGATCTGCGCAACACCGTTAGAATTTCGTCCTCAGTGATGAACAGGGGTCCGTCATGCCTGCAGGATATGCATAGCCCTCTCAACGATCGAGATCCCGGGGTCATGACTGATTTGGATGATGCTCTCTCCACTGAACGGGACCAAGCTATCCTAGCAAACTGCGACTCCATCATGATGTCTTTGTCGACGGGACGAGGAAACTCTGGAGAGCCTTCAAGATATTTCGAAGTCCCACAAAATGATCAATTCGAAACCTAGGAAATGATTCTCTGCTTGCGAATGCGGAGATGCAAAGGAATTGGCCTGATACTCATCCATGGCCACAGTTCCCCGACGTATTTATAGGTAAAATCTGGACCATGTCTGCTCCAAGGATTGGACCGACAAAAACGTCAAACAGGATAAAACAAGGTAGATTTTGCAATTGGTACACTCCCATTGGTATAATGACAGGTGGTTCATGATCATACCACCACCGGAGTAGACTCCAAGTTGTCCCTAGATCGGGGGATGCCGGGAAGTTGCCCCTTGGGGGAAAATAACGAAAAATGTTGAAAACTTCCAACGGAAGTCAAAATAAGCAGAGAGTGGAGCTTTCCGTATATTAATAAAGAAGATATCGCTTGGGAGCTGGATGTCCGGCATCTTGAACCAACGAATAGTGTACGGAGAGTGACACTCCTACGTCATATGGCGAGTTAGCACGGACCTAGAGAGGTAAAGATGATCTCGAAGTAGACAAGAACAATTGAACTTGAGCAATCCAGAATACGCCACATCACAAACATCCCAGTTGCACCCAGTAGCACTCGGTAGCGACCCGCATCAGTTCCGAAGGATGACAGCGGGTGCGCCGGGACGAATCCTCATTCATGTAACGGAGTACGGAGTATGATAAACCAGGGCCCATCCCCAGAGTAAGGACCCAGCAGGGGGCCAGTGGTTGATCCGCGTTGTGTCACTCGGTGATGCTACCGCCAATAATGGATTCCCTTCCGTAGAACAGTTCCAGAGTTCACGGACGGACCAGGCCCAGCTAAAAGAAAAATGTTTAAGTTCTAGTTCTCATCCGCGGAGCAAAATGTAAAACTGCTTCACTTTGTTTTTGCAGGGTCCAGGCAAATGTTAAACATGCTAGTCCGTAGTTTGAAACTGGTAGTTAGGGGCCATAGGGCAAGCCATTGCGCGTAGCTTAGTCCCGCCCCCGCGCCACCGTATATACTGCTTCCGGGCAGCGTGAGCGTTGTCTTTTGAACAAATACGGAGTATAATTATTCTTATTATTGTAGGTTTTCCGTGGGATAGATAGGTGCAGGATTTGCCAGTATTTCCAGGTTGCGAGTCAACGATCTTTGAACGCGCGAATAGTCCGTCGCAGTACGGAGTAAATGACAGCAAGATTCCAAATGCTTTATGGGGCACCTGGTCATTATTAAGTGGGACTAACATAGTAGGATTTGCGTCCCGTTCCCCAAATCACTTGTTAAACAGAGCAAAAAGCGGGTGCTGGATGGGAGCAGAAGTCCACACAGGGGGGCAGAGGAGAGGGACTAAGTATTGTCATGCTGGAAGCTGTTGACTCGTCCATTGGTCTCAATTGCCGCGATCCTTATTCGATTTCACTGTGACGAAGTAGATAGCGCAAGGGTGTGAGGTCATTATTGTTGAATGCTCTCTTGGGCGGCAAATATAATAATAACTGTTGTAAATATTGAGTTCGAGGTTCGGCTAACTGAGCCGGCGTAGTAGAAAATACCGCGTATTTATCATCATCATCATCATCATCATCATCATCATCATCATCACCAAGCCTCGTTATCACAATCCTGAGCAAGCGACGTGCTAATTGCGACTCTCCAGGCTCAGGGTTTGTAGCAGTTAGTTGGGGCCCAACACGGCGAGTGGGAGCGTTCAGTACTGTAACTACTACGGAGTACAGTAATAGGTAAACCCGATGCTCCGGGGGTTGCATTATTACTACTACTACTACATAAGTTTGCCACGGTCTATTATTTTGAGGCCAGCTGACCAAACTGTTTCCCAGGGCTAACTTATGCTTCGTAGGTCTCCCGGAATACTGCGTAGGCATGGTCTCTGGTCAGCCTATTTTACTCCTAGTTCCATACGGATTACCAGTTCTTTCAATAATTAACCTGGAGACTCTCTCATGTTTAACACTGTGCAGAAGCTCTGACCGTTTCACGAGGCCCAGAAATATTAATGGGGCGGGGGGGAAGAGGAAAGGGGGAAGGATGTTGATTTACAGATATTTAATGGTTCTATCAATATTGCATTGAACATCGGAAATATCTTTGCCATGCATGTCCGTGATTGCAGAGGGCGATAAATGCAGTCCGTTTGGTGTGCAGCTGACGTGCACATTTTTCACGCCAGTCTCTCATTATGGCGTCGAATCGGGTCTGTCATTACCGGCAGAAGCTTCGAAGGCATTCGGCCGCCTAGAGACCATGGTCGTGGCTACAGTAGAAATGCGCGTTCCCGTGGCGCCTAAGTTCAGCCTTCTATCGGATCTCAACAATAAAAATGAAATTGAAAGCGAAAGATGGAAGGCAAGAATCATTTAATAAGCCTTGTTACAAAACATCGGTGGCATGTTTTTGGCAGCGCAGAAATCCTAGCTACCCTCATGGTAAGCAGGAAATATCAATATGTGTTCAAAGCTAAATGATCAGAATCATTTGCTTATGCTAGGGATCTGGTAAATTTATCCCTGGTGCAACAATAAAATGCGATTAACAGGAAACAGTAATTATTTCTTGCAAGGTTTGATGCCTGAACTAGGTTTCTATGCACTTTATCGTTGGAAAGTGAACAAGGCTAGCTAGTTATACTCCAACAGCCAGAAGCTCCTAACGCCATCTCACAGGTTAACTTATGGAAAGCTCATTCTAGCTAACCCGAAGCACACACAAGCTGCTCGCATGCTCTCCGTCTTTGCTCTCATCGTTACACGTCTTCTCATCAGCTACAGCGACTTGCATCACTCCATTTTTCCGTGGTGAACGGTACGCTTCCTCATCAATCTCCGCCAGCCGAGATGGAACCAACTTGTGCTTCCCCATCCCATAGAACTCCGAAAAGCACATAATAAGTGGCTGCCACTTCTCTGAATCAATCCTATTCGCATACCCACCTAGCCGCAAATCATCCTCGACATACACCCGCAATATCTTCAGCTCCATCGCCAATATTGACCCCTTCCTCTCCGGCAGATCACCCATCATCTCATTAACCTTCACCAACTCCGCCTCCATCTGCACGGGACATTCCAGAATCCGACATGGCACAACCAATTCCGACGGCTGTGGCGTGAGTTTGGCATGGGCGAACTTGTCCTTGACGTACCGGTAGCCGACGCTAGCCTTCCACGCGCTCGTCGGATTGGCACCCGTTGTGCGTGCGAGGGCGTTGACGTGCGCTGTCATGTCCTCGGAGGGTAGGTTGAGGACGCATTGCTTGGTGCGGAGGATGTTTTTGCTCGTGTGCGCTCCGCTTGAGAGGCCGATCATGCATCGGTCTCCCAGCCACCAGGCAGAGGACATGGGTGCGATGTTGGATGTGCCGTCTGTGTTTTCGCTGGTGATGAGAACGACAGGGGTTCCCCAGTATAATATTGCGGGTGATATTTGATGATGCATGTTTATCGGAGGGCGTTGAGTAAGCCGTACGTACGTATGAACGGGCGAGAAAGGAGCTAGCAATTGTGCGCCTAGGAAGAGAAGAATATGACTCCGGATTCTTGTGTTTCTCTTTTCTTTCCTTCTTTTTTTTTTTTTTTTTTTGGGTTGCTGCTTCTTGAATACAAGAAACTGCAGAAATGAATTTCGAAGGATGAGCATGAGCTGAATTTATATCCATTTCATAACACTGGGAATGCGACCTTAGCTTCCTCCTCCTCCTTCTCCTCCTCCTCAAAAAAACTCTCCTCCATCGTATCGCACTCTTAACTCCCCGACCTATTAGCCTCAAACGAGGTAGAAGATGCAATCAATATATCCAATGAAACACCGCGTTAGATGCCTGCAAGAAATATTCCTACCCCAGTTTCTGCCCCAAAATAAATGACACTCGAATAGCTCCAAGTCTCATTGGCCATATTGCAAACAAGCATCCGTTAGTGGGGAACTAAGTTAACGTCAACTAACTTGTAACTAACGTTACTGGAGGGTTGGTGTGTGGGGTGACTCCAGCTGAAGCTCCGCCGTGGGATGTTTTGTTCACTTGCTTTTTTGTTTTTTTTTTTTTTGCCAAGGGATGAGAATGCAAGTAACTAGATAATACTTGATCTTTCATGGTATAAAATGCAGACCTACTTATTCTTTAATTGAATAGTGAAAAAGAGTAAAGGGACTACTCAGAGAAGACAGAAAGTATGTACATGTACATACATTAGTAATAAGATTGTCAGATCAGAAGAGGTGACTTTGTTTGCAAATGAGTCACTCACTCAGACTGGTAGAGATATTTCTAGTCACTGTTTGTATGCAGAATATCCTAATTTTTCAGAGCAATCAGGCACACTCTAAAATTATTGCCATATGCATGTTAGAAGCTTTAATGTAGCAAGTAAGCACTGAAACGTTTAGCTTTTACTATTATTTCCCTAGTGCTTAAAATAAACAGTATATGTAGGACTTAGTTATGACTAAATTTTTGTGACTTTATTTTATTTGAACAAACTGCGTAAACTTATTATATTGGACGTTAAATCTCATTAGGAAGGTCCCTTCCTCAAACTAATATCTACTAGATGCATATACATATATATCTCAAAAAAGTGTTGAAAAAAGTGTTGAAAAAAGTGTAGAAGCCGGAAGAGCAAAAAAGTTCAAAGTTAGAAAAAGAAAAGTCATTCGACCAGAGAACTATGGAGGCTATAACATAAAATGGATAAAAATATAAATATAAAAATAAAGTAAAAAGACATCCCGCATAAATGAATAGATGCTTTCTAGCTCCGGAAATGTTGAAAAATGAGGATATAGGCAGCCCAAAAAAAAGTAAAGGTGCGTACAGCAACAAAAGGTGTATCCACAAAAGTATAAACACAGAAAAATATAAAACGAGGAGTACATAACAAAAATCTTTACTTCTTCGCATTCCTCCTCGCCGCCGCCGCAGCAAGCATCTTCATCGACTTCGGCGCATCTTCGCCAGGAAGATAGAGCTCGACAAGCTGCAAAACGTTACCATAGCAGAATTCACGATCGTTAAATAAATCTTGCAATTCTTTCCGCGTGCGGATTTGGTACGTTTTGCAGGTGTCGGGCTGGGCGCCGAAGACGGCAGCGATGTCGTTGAATTTCCAGGGTTGGATGTCATTATACGGTGCGTTCATGCCATGGACGTAGCGCTCGATTACGTAGCCGTTGTTGCAGATTATGAAGCTGTGATTTGGGGATAGGGGTGGTTAGTTTGGCGTGGATGATGGGATCATAACACGGGTGGGGTGTTGGGGGGTGATTTGGTTTCGGGAAATTGCCATTCAGCGAAGAGGAAGGGGGTCAGTGGGAGGGGGAGGTAAGCTTACATTGTGGGAGTAAGTTTATGACGGATGATCGTACTCAGTTCTTGGCAAGTGAGCTGGAAACTACCATCGCCGATGAACAGCACCGTTCTTCGCGAGGCATCCGCCATTTCCCTGGCTGCCAACGCGGCACCCTGGCACGCACCCAGGGAGAAACCAATACTGCTCCACAGCACGGAGCTTATACCAATGGTACCTTTCTTGAATCCTGTATCCCACACGCCGAAATTGGAGGTTCCCGCCTCAGTGATGACGATGTCATTGGTCTTCAGGAACTCGGTGACTTTTGGCCAGAGCCAGTCATGGGTCAACTCCTGGTGATCAGCATCCTCGTCTACTCGTTTTCGCTTGGCCTGGTTTAATGGAATTTGTGCTGGGAGGTCTAGCATGTCTAGGCTCTTGACCAAGTGGTGGAGGAGTCCTTTCATCCTGATACCGGGGAATTCAGAAAATCCAACAATGGTTTTGTCGGCGTGGAACTCGACGTTGGTCACTTGGTCCGCTTTCGATGTGAAGCAGCCGGTATTGATGTCGGATTTAAGAGGACCGATGTTTAGGATTAGATCAGATGCGTGGAAATTATCGCGGATGATTGAGGCAGATGCTTCTCCTACGTAGATGCCTTGGAATTGCGGCAGGGTCTCGTCAACTGCCCCTTTCCCCATGGGAGTGACGAAAGCGGGGATATTGGACTTGGTGATAAATTGGTTAATCTCATCGGTGGCCTACCACAAAGAAAATATGAAAAAATTAGTACAAATGTTGATTCATTGTGTAGGATTTCAAATAAACATTCTCACATGATGCCTTATCGCCAAAAGATCAACAAGCAGCGCAGGGCGCTTGGCAGTTTTAAGGAGTGTTGTTATCATGTCGACAACATGCGATTCCCGCTTATGATCATTAGGTGGAACACTGAGGTCGATGGGATATTTCAAACGATCCCCATCCACTTTTGCCTGTACCATATTGGAGGGGAGACTGATATAAATCGGACGACTTTTGAGGATGCACGTTCGTAGAGCGTTGTCGACCATGGCTGCTGCATTTGATGGATCATCCAGAATGGCAACAGCGCACGAAACATGCCTGCTCATTTCTGCAAACACCTGGTAATTGCCATCTCCAAGTGTGTGGTGAAGGAGAACCCCCTCCTTCTGGGAGGCGGTTGAGGGGGAGCCGACGATATGGATAACTGGAACATATTCAGAATATGCACCGGCAATGGCGTTGATACTTGACAGTTCTCCAACCCCAAACGTGGTGATCATAGCTGAAACGCCCTTCACTCGCGCGTATCCATCAGCGGCATAGCCTGGGGTAAAAGGTAAAGCCGTCAGTTTCTCATTCCATTCTCAGGGTGATGTTGGATATTGCGGAGTCATAAAAGCTCAACATACCCGCATTCAATTCGTTGGCATTGCCAACCCAATCCAAACCGACCTTGGGTAGGTAGTCGAGGGCTATAGACGCAGGAGTCAGCTAGTTATCTAAACATTGTACAGTACCCAAAATTAGGAGCTACTAACCAACCAAATTGTAGTCACCCGGAAGGCCATGGACGGAACGAATTCCCAACTCATGTAGACGACGGAAGAGGTATTCTGCTAAGTCTATGGGGTTCGAATGTCCATTAACACCGTTGGTGGTTTTGACGCCATTCGTCTGAACGGAATCAGCCGTGGCTTCGTCCAACCGAGCAGAGCTGCCAACGGTAGATGGCATTTGATATCGGTTGTGACTGTCCAACGGTAGAAATATGTGAAATCGGTAAAGAGTACACAGTGACTACAGATGAAGAGAAGGAGAAAGGAGCCGCAATATCAATGCGAAATTGCTGGCTTACATCCCGACGACCGGAGAGCGTATCCAGCTACATCCGGTATGCTTGGAACTGATAACTGCGCAGATTCTCTCCCCATCAATTCCGCCAGAGAGGGCAAAGCGTCAGCCGATGCCAGCCGGTTATCTCAAGGCGGCTTGGCTCGTTTGGGCTGCAGAAAGATCCGGGCGTTGAGGCTAAATCGATCCTCTAACTATGTTTTGTCTAGCGTCCCCTTGCAGCCTCATGCTTAAACTAACGTCTTGTAACTTCCTATTGGCCAGGAGTCAGTCAGCTCCTTGCGGTGATTCTCCGCCATATCTTGGGGACAAAGATGGAGTTAACATACTTACTAGAATAAGGCTGTTTCCAGCGGGATCAGCATAATGTCAAATCTTCAATTTGAATACTAAACGAAGGACGAGTATTCGTAACAATTGCCCCATTGCCATCTGGCTCTGCACCCATTTCCCGAAGCGCCTGGTATCACTCCCATCACCCCACGGTGTATCAACATTTCGCGATATATACAAGCATGTGCTGGATACAGTTGTTGATCTGTAATTATTCCGTACGTCACCGGCCGCAAGCCCGCACTTAGGCGCGACCCCGGCTTGATATTCCGACCGAAGAGAGCCGACTATAGCCGCCGAAGCTTCTTTGTTCTTGCGGACCTTGGAACCTCAACAAATGGTAGAAATGTATGTACTGTACTCTGTACCAAGGTAGGCCCTACCGTACACATTTAATTGAGGTATGGTATTATTTTTCGATGGATGCGCTGAGGTATTTATTCATTCGTCCTTCATAATTTCGAGCCGTTCAGATAATTTTAAAAGTGTCAAGCTGGTTATCCTTTAGGGCGAGTTTTATAATTATCTGACGAGCTATTTCGGATACCTAGAGGGATGGGACGGATGCGAGCGGACAAAAAACCAACGGAGCGCATGCCGCTCTGATGCTGGCCGTATCTTGGACGGAACGAGATCAATGGCTTGGCGCCGATTTCACCACTATCGGAATATCCACTAGATATTCCGGGGCCAGGGCGTGGTGGAGACAAAAGTTTGAGGACAACACATATTGACGAATGGAACTCTTTATCATAACATCTTCACTTTTGAGGACTAATAAATGGAGATTGAAGAATAAAGCCAGAGCCGGAAACCATTCTCTAGTCCCCAGAATTTCACTTTGTTTGCGGCATGTTAATGTTGAACCCGAGTAATCGCGGCACCAATGTCATCCGCAAACATAACAGAAATAATCACTCACAAAAAACACTGCCAAATTAACTAGGTTGTTGACACCAGTTCCCCAGTAAGACGAAATACAAATCGCTTAATTCCGAGCTAATAGGGAATCGAAAGACTCCTCATCCTATTTGGGTCATGGTCATTGTACTTAGACCTCGGGAGTGAGAATAACTCCAAGATATCAATACGTCTCCGTGAGCCTCCGAACAAGATACTCTCCCGAATTGATCCTTTCATACTTCTTCGCCCCCAGCTCACCGCCAAACGTACCAGGAATCGCCTCGATAAATTTGTGGAAATTGGGGTTACAAAAATAGGCCACACTATAGCGCGCCGGATATACGTCTGAATTCTCATCACCTCCTTGCCTTGGAGGAGGTTCCACAACTCGATGATGCGTGCTTTTGATCTGATCATTGGCCCACCGCGCGAGCAAATCGCCAGCATTTATCACAATGGTGTCGGCAATTGGGACAGCGTCGATAAAGGTTCCCTTGGGAGATCGGACTTGCAGACCGCCCCGGGCATCCTGGAAAAGTAGCGTAATAGACCCGTAGTCGCTATGCTCCCCCGCGCGAACTTGGCCCTCATTGTCCCTGAAAACGGATTTGGGAACGGATGGATAATGCAAGAGTCTCAACGTGTTATCCCCAGCGTCGGTGTACTCGTCGAAGAAGCTTTCGGGAAGACACATGCCTAGGGCTATGGCGCGCATAATCTTGATATGTAGCTCTTTGCATGTCAGGAAGAATGCTCTCATGATCTCCGTGAACACCCTTCCTTGATCATCTATCTTGTCGGGCCATTGATTCGGGCACCCCTCTTCATCTTCACGGCCGATCTCAAAGCTCTCTTTTAAATCGGGGATTGTTTCCCTCATCTTCTTGATCTCGTCCATGTCGGAGGACTGGGTGACTTTCTCCCGGCCCATGGCCGTATAACCCCTGTTCGCTTGCGCGGTTGTCCATGCTAAACTGTCCTTTTCAGGCCGTGGCCTTCCAAAGAATCCAGCAGATGTGTTGAAGATATTCTTCACAATCGATGGAGGAATTCCGTGGTTTTTCAAGTATAAGAATCCCGACGTTTTGAAGGCCTTTGTTATGGAAATTCCCACGGCATGTCTGTCGGCTGGGGTACCAGTAAGATAGGGTTCAAAGTCGATCACCTAGGAAATCGGATTGTGGGTATAGCTCTATTAGCTAATCTGACTTTCACGAGTATTTCAGGAATTTTTGACGGCGGCAGATTTAGAGGCAGGCTTACAGGAATGACCAAGTCATCTTTGGAGACTCCTTCTGAAATAGGATTGCATTCCTGGATGGGAGACATATTCCTGACAGCCCTTCCTCACAGCAATTCTCCCTGTGTCAGTCGTCGGATTGTGAGAAGTGAGTGGGGTACTTACTGATGGAGAGGATCAAACCCTGCCTGCACTGGGTAGAAGAGACAGTGCCAAAGCAAAGCAGGTGTGGTAATGCTATGATTCGAGCGAGAACAGAGAGTACTCTTCTGTAGTAGAAGCTGGTAAAAGTAGATGAATAAATGCGATCACTGAGAGCAGATTTTGGTGTTGTTAACCTTGCCATTCAAGTCTCACAGGTATAAGCACCGGATGTAACGCCAGTGCCAATTTTATGCAGGATTTGTCGGCCGGGACACGGTTCACCCTGCACAAATCCCCCAACGACAATTATATTACATGTGTAGAAATTCTCCAGGTGCAGTACAGCGCCTACGAAGAGAACGAAGAGAACGAAGAGAACGACACGCGCAACTTCGATGTCCCTTTCCACATTTCGTCTCATTATCACGATACAAACAGCCGGATTCCAGGGTCGCCTGACGCGATACCATTTCTTGGCACCGGAAGCTTATCTTTATCACTGGAAGTTGCCCCACCTCCCGCATTTTAGCGGTGCCGCTAAAAGAAGCCCCTAGAGCTTAACTAGACACACGCCGGACCGTTAGGCATGGTTAGGGTTCCCTCCTTACCTATCGCCCGGTATTTAATGGGTGTGTCTGGAAGACGCTGTAGGGTGTGTTAAGGATATCCCCCCGGAGATGGGGGATTCGATTTAGGGACATTTTTAGAACACTTCGTACGAGTACTCAAGTTAGAGCTGCTCGTCACCACGTAAACCAAACCTTTCTTGCGTGCGCTGCACATGAGTTATCAATGGCATGTAATTCTTGATGAAATACATATCCATGCTATAGTTACCCCTCCACCAAGCTGGAAATTCAAAGACACACACTTGAACCAAAAATCTCAGGAAGCTCCCTACATCACTCAACTACCGAACTCTCACAAAAGGCCATGACAGAAGCAAATGAAGGGCAAATGCCCGTGTACCCAATTATTGACATTCACACCCATGTCTATCCAGACTCCTACCTCAGCCTCCTCCGCTCGCGCACAACGGTACCATACATCTACGACCCCCCGGATGGTAGCCCCGCACGCCTCATCATCCTCTCTTCAGATGACAGCCCCTCCATCCCGAAAGAGAAGCGTGGCCGTCCCGTCGACTCCAGCTACTCAGACATCAGCCTCAAACTTGCATTCATGCGCAAGCACAACATCACCACAAGCGTGATATCCCTCGCGAATCCATGGCTGGATTTTCTCCCTGCGCAAGACGCGTGTCGTTGGGCAGAGAGGATCAATAACGATCTGGAGAGCATATGTGCTGAGCAAAATGCAAAGGCGGAGGCGAAGAGGAATAGCAGTAGTACTGGCGAAACATTGCCGTTGAACGAGTTCTATTCGCTTTTTGCCTTTGGCGTATTACCCCTCAGCGCGCCGGATCCAAATGCCATCGTGAACGAGATATCCCGTCTTGCATCGTTGATGTTTATCCGTGGCGTCATCATGGGCACGTCGGGACTAGGAAGTGGACTGGACGATCCAGCGCTCGATCCGGTCTGGGCGGCGTTGGAAAGGACCCGGACGCTCCTATTCCTGCATCCGCATTACGGGCTACCCAATGCCGCCTTTGGTGGCGATGAAACCGTGGAGCGCTATGGCCATGTGCTGCCGCTCGCGTTAGGGTTTCCCCTAGAAACCACAATTGCGGTAACGAGAATGTACCTGGCCGGTGTATTTGATCGGTTTCCGAAGTTGGGCATCCTGCTGGCCCATTCTGGTGGTACGCTGCCGTTCCTAGCGGGCAGGATTGAAAGTTGCGTTGCCCATGAGAGGAAATTTCTCGCGAACGGGGGGAATGTTGCTGGGCCAAAGAAGAGCTTATGGGATGTACTGAATCAGAATATTTATCTGGATGCTGTCATTTACGGGGAGGCGGGACTGAGGGCTGCTGTGCATGGGGCAGGGTCTGTGGATCGAGTTCTATTTGGTAAGTTGCATAAATTAAAACCCTTCACCATTATATACGTCCTACGCCGTTATTTTCTGTAAAAAAAAGTTCATATCTCATGACTTTGGCATATCAGGAACCGATCACCCCTTTTTCCCTCCCCTTGATGGTAAGGATAAGCAATGGCTGAGTGTCGTGATGAACCAGAGAGTTATCGATGGCGCTTTCGGAGCTGAGTCGGATACTGCAAAGGCCATTTTGGGAGGCAATGCTGTCAAGATTCTAAATCTTGAGAGCTAGGAGAAAGATCATAGTTCCAAGAAGTACGGAAAAGTAAAACTTGTTGCGTAGGCAATATGGTTTGGAGTATCATTAGATAGGATAAGTATATAGATATGCCACGTCAAATTGACAGAAAGTCCTTCCAGTCATAATCAGAATGCCGGACATTCGGCATCCTGACATTTCGTCTTCCCACAGATATCAAGATAGGAACTGTGATAATAGCGAATGTAGAAATAATACAGCTGTAAAAAACTCACTGAATCACAACAGAAATGTTGCTGAATCAATGCATAAAAATAAAAGAATCAAACTTTCAAAAACATGGCGACCGTGGGCAGTACAGATCGGGCTTGGACCACATCATTCCCTTCAACATTCACTTCTCATCAAGCAACACGTCCCACCCAATTAAGCGCCAAACTTCTTGTGTAAACCACTCAGCAGGGTCTGTTGCAGCTGAATCAAACGAACGGCCAGACGAAACCTCTGGTAGAGAATAAGACGGCTTCTCCGGCACTTTCAAGGAATCCCTAAATTTGGGCTCGTTTTCCCCGAAGATCCCTTTCAAAAGAGTATTTTGCAACTTAGTTTTTGCGCGCTGCAGTATTCCCTCGGACGGCGGCCCCTTAGGTAGAGTTGTTTCAGGCAGAACCAAATCACCATTTATCACATCGCTAGGGCGTTCAAATTGGTCTGTGAATGCTATTGCCCTTTCAAGAATCCAGATTAGATGCCTAGCTTCGCATTCCGCCGCGCGTTGGGCAATTGCCATTTCTCCCCTGGCAGGGTACTCTTTATCGAAGTTACCCGGCATGGGGAGTTTAGCAGGATTCAAACGGAGGTCGGAATTGGAATATAATTCTTTGAACACGAAAAGGCACAGTGTCCTACCCACTTTTTCTAGAATGGAAAATAAAAATCCTTCTAGTAAACTATTCTCTTGCGGTTTGACGGGATTGAGTGAGAGGATCATACTGGCGAGAAAATGGCTGAAGAGGTTTAAAGTTAATTCCTCGTCTGATGTGATCAATGGGCTAGCCGGTGTCTTCGTCATTTTCGTCTTAGACCGTTGCTTGCCCTTTTTGCCGGCGGGTATTCCTTGTGCTATGCTTTCTTTTCCTTTTGAAATTATATACTGATGCATATGACCGAGAGTTTTCTGGAAAAGCTGGATTATGTGGTAGGTTAGCACCCCAATACCGGATCCTGCGTCGTCACTATCGGACAATTTGTTCAAGGTCTGTAGGAGCAAAGGATATGAAGGACAGATTCCCTTTAAAACATGCTGTAAACCAGGCTCGCGTGGCTGCAATGTCTTTTGCTTAACTGAAACATTCGATCTGGTGCGTTTGTCTCCTATTCTCGACCGAATGGTTATGTCAATCGCTTCACATAGGCCCACGGAAAGAGACACAAGAGCTTCGTGGTTAATCTTTCTCTGTAGCTGCTTTTGGAGTGCATGGAAATGCCTCAGAAACGGAGTTGAAACTTCGATACTATCAGTATCAGTGCATAAAGAAGGATTAATGGAAAGGAAAGTATATCACTCTCTGAAAATCCAAGCTCATCCGCCGTACCACTCAAAAAGTCCTTGCTCTGAGGCCGAGATGTATTCAGTCTTCCATTCTTCGTGGTTTTGGCCCTCTTTTGCGCATGGCTCAGTACTGTTGAATCTCCATCACCGTTAATTTTCCTCTTCGTCCTAGGCGCATTGGTTTCAGAAGCATTGGACTCCCCGCCCTTGAGAAGGAGGGCCGCATTTCGTTGCTCTAACTCGTATATTTTGTCGAGAAGCTTGCTTTGGGCAGACTCTGACATCTCATATGCTTCCCGCCAGAAAGTTATACTGTCTAGATGTTTCTCTGGCAATTCAGGGGCATGATATGCTTTGCCGTTTTGGATGTGCCGTCGAATTTTGAGAATATGATCTAAATAACACCATTAGCAAAGGCTGCTTGCTCTATTTGGGATTCTGTAAGGTAGAAAGACAGTCCGGATAGAATAGACCTTTTATCGTGGTATTTGAAGGCTTCGACTTGACAATAGCCAAGGCAAGGGCTAGCTGAGGCTGAGATGGAGGACAGCATGAGTTCCAATCCTGACTGGGTGTCATTGTCAGTAAAAAGAGGGTCGAAGATGAGCAAAGTGATTTATGTCATCGAACAAATTACCATGAGGAATGGTTGTGGAGGTCGCGGCGGGAGTAAATAATGAGGCTCAACCCCAAATTCCCCTTTTGGGCGACCACCGAATTAGATCTGCGCCTCATACAGAATACTTTTTAACCATCCTCATTGTTGCCATTTAAAAGGGTATATATCAACGTATAAACTGTAGCTAATGTGTATTTCAGCCAAATCCAATAGTAGAAAGCGTCCCGCCATCCATGCAATCTAGCGAAAGGATGCCCGGTCTACAACACATAAATAAAGAGGCTGACAATGAATTGTATGTCAACAAAAAGTATGAATAGAACATGACGCCCGGTACACTAGCCTCAATCCAGGAAAAAGCGGCAGATGGATACCCTGTCTCCATTGAAGAGGGGTGTAATTCCTGCTCCGGATGCAGATTACAAGGACCCGGAGCTCCAGGTGATGGTTTCGCATGAACCTATCTGGATTCAAAAACCAAAGTTCAAGGCAACAAATTCCCTCTCGCCATGGCTTCTGTTCGCATATACATGACTTGGGAAATGATCTCTTTCAGATATATTTTACATTATCAATGCTGAACTTCCATGAAAACAGGACCAGATTTGATTTCTCGAGAATAGGGACAGTTGAAGCCGGAAAACACGCCGTCCTTCAATGATGTGACAGAGTAACGAGGTTTTCATCGTCCGCTTGCCACACCTGAGAGGAGTTCCAGGTAATCTCCGTCCCTGCGTTGGGTAAATAGTCTTATCAGCATTAATATACATATATAAAATGTAGTTCTAACGGAGAATCAGAGGATGTAATCATATCACGTGATAATTCAAAACAAATATTTACCACGCGCTTTCCTGGTGTTGCCACTCGCAAGGTTAGCCTACTTATTTAAATATACAACGTCTTATTCAACTTTTTAGTTTGACATACATGCGCTGATCATTTGAGAAGCTAAGGCCTTGAATCGCACCCGCAGCCATCATGGCACCGTCGGACGACCTAAAATCGCATGCTGCCTCTTCTTATGACTTTTACGGGCTCCTAAGCCTATCTCCCACCGCTGCGGACGCAGAGATCCGTCGCGCATATCGGAGGACGGCATTAAAATATCATCCAGATAAACTTACAAACCCTACACCCGCGGACATCGATAAATTCCATCTCCTGCAGATCGCCTACGATGTGCTCTCGGATCCATCCATACGGCAACTCTACGATAATGCGCGAGAAGCACGGGAGAGGAAGAAGAGGGAGAGTGAGATGCTAGAAGGGGTTAGGCGGAAGATGAAAGAGGATTTAGAAGCAAGAGAGCGCGGTGTAAAACGGACATGGACTGGCGCTCCCGCTACCCAGGGGACGTTTGGTGTTGATGATGCAGAGGCGAAGCTGGAACAGGAACTAAGAAGGCTGGCAGAAGATGGAAGGAGGAGGAGACGCGAGAAGGAAGAATTATTGAAGAAGGAGGTATTGGAAGAGGAAGAAAGGCTGGAGAAGGAAAAGGAAGAGAGGGAGCGTGCAGCACAGAGCGAAAATAAAGCCCATCGGAAAAATGGTGGCGGTACGTCGGTTCCTGAAATTGATCGAACGGTCAAAGTCCGCTGGCCCCGGGAAGGTGCTGGATTGGAATTTGACAAAGATCGCCTTGAATCACTCTTCTCCGTCTTCGGCAGGGTGGACAGTACTTTTACACTTAAAGACAAAAGGCAAAGGGTGGGCGAGAAGCGGGAAAAGAAAACTATGGCGACCGGTGTTGTCGTTTTTGCCTCGATCGTTGGCGCCCATGCTGCAGTAGGAGATTACAAAAAGCAAAAGGGCGACTATTGGGATATAATCGAATCTGTATTTTGGGCCTCGAACAAGGAACCTGACTTCGAAAAGCCATCATCACCCCCGCATCAACACGAGGAGCAGACAACGTCAACACCTTCCACTCCAACCTCTACCGCCAAACCAAGGAATAAATTTAACTTCCCCGGACTTAACACGCCATCATCAACTCTCTCTAAGGAAGAACATGGATCGAAGCATGTCCCATCGTTTGCCTCTTTCTCATCCGCTGGATTGAAGACGCCAAATGGTTCGCCGTCAGCACGACATTTCGGACTTGGACCCAACAGTCCTAGTTTAGAAGAGCTCACTATGATTCGGTTAAAGAACGCTGAGAGAAAAAGGCTAGAAGAGCAAATTAGGAAAGAGGATGAAGGTGCCTCTGCAGCAGGAGGAATCGCATGAAGCTGGCGCGGTAAATGAATCAACGACATAGCTGCGAAAGCGTCAGCCGAGCGAGTACATATTGCTGAGCTTGTGTAGATATTTTTTGAGCTATATGCTCTCTTAGAGATACCCATTTCAAATAAAGATGTTTCATTCCGCTTCATACAGACCATTTCAGCGTACAATTATGATATTAATCTGACATTCTTACCCAAAAATCGGGACATATTATCAAAATCAAACCCTTGGTCTTGTAACAGAGATGAACTCCGCAGTGGGTATCCCCTACACACACAAATAGGTGTTCATACCAAACACATATCGCTATAAATACAATGAATGCCAGGACACTTTACTCCTCTCGTTGCCGCTCAATCTCTTTAATCTTAGCATCCAACTTCTCCAACTCTTCCGCAACCTCTTCGTCGCTCTTTTGCGGTGGCGGTGTTGGCTTCTTCACCCCTCCACTAACAATATAATCCCTCGTCCATGGCGGGACCAACGCTTTAACCTTCAATTCTCCAGCCTTTTCAACTCCTGCTTCCGCATCAGCCTCCCATGATATCTTAAATTCCTGGTCGGGGTTATATTGCGACGACTCTTCCGTAAAAACGATATCTGTCATCATTTCCAATCGGCATAGCGCTAACCCAATGTTTCCCACGCCAGAGAGGAATTTTCCAGCGCTCCGACCTTTCCTTGAACTCACCTTTGCTATATTAGATCCAGCGGGGGGTAACACCAACTTAGATTCTGATGAGTAGTTTGGCACGTCAGTCTCTGGGATCGGTTCATCCATATCATAGAGCTGCACGGGCAAAATCCTCTTGCGGACCACTCCTCTATGATGGGTACGGATGGTCAACTCTTGTCCAGTGTAACAGCCCTTGTGGAAATCAATAGCCCCCATTATATCCATATTGCATTCCATCGGCAACGCAGATTCTCTAATAATCTCCCCCTGGCCCTCTGGTACGCCATGTAAAATCCGACGCAGATTATACGTAGCAAAATCAACCATCTCGCCCGGCATTATCGGCTGCTCGTTCACGACCTTCTCAGGCGCGAGGAAGCGGAATCCAAACCCAGGAGCGCGTGTATCCACACACGTAAAAGGCGGCGACTTTCCATTTTCTAGTTGAAAATCGTACTCCATAATCCCCGCGTCTTCCTCATTCCACAAGCTGAAAACATTAAGCTCGCCCTCGTCCATGGCACGGAACGCAAGTTTCGCTCGTAATTTATGTTTCCGCATGTGTTTCATCAAATTCGTAACCTCATTCTTGTCCACTTCAATAAGATATGCGAGGTCTGAGGTGCCGTTGTAGCTATCGTTCGGCGGGACGGGGTAAATGAAGACATCATGAAGCACTCGTCCTGGCGCATTCAGGAAAGCCGCATAAAATCCACTTTGCGGCACCGGTGTATTCTGCGGGGTGAGGAGATTTTGTGTTACCAGTCCCTGGAGGAAGCTCGTGCTGTCTTTCCCAGTTAGAGTGATGAGAGCTCGCGTTGGAAGTCGAGCATAGCCGGAGAGCGGCGGGAGTGAAGGGAGGGACCGGAAGGACGGGGCAGACTGCTGATTTCGAGGTCGGAACGTGGAAAATTGACGTCTAGAGATTGAACAACGGCTACATATCGAGCCGAAAGACACTCGAGGGGGCATTTTGAATAGCTGTCCCGCAACACTCTTGATATACAATCGGTTTTGGGGTGCAGTAGTTACTTCGAGGCCTAATTACTAAAGGGCGGTATGATGCGGCAGAATCGGTTAAACTTCTCACCGGATGTGAAACCACGTAATGATAACTAGTGGTTACTAGTGGTCTTGACCCAATAAGATATATAGATTGCTATTTAAAAGGCTAATGATAGTTGACCACCCAATTGATAATAAGGACCTAACTATTTACATTTCGGCTCCCAAACCGGTCCTGAACTTCGCGCCCTTAGAACATAGCGGTCATAACTAGGGTGAAATGCCCAACGTGGACAGAATTACACAATCATTGTTTACCCTTCGCAATGTTGTCCAAGTACCCGAGCAGGAATGCCTTGTCCCTCGGTGATGTTGGGGCTGCCTTCCGAGTTTCGTTTCCACCAACGGGGGAAATGCTTCCCCGACTGGACAATGGAGCAGGACCGCGTGCTGTTGGCATGCCAACTTGGGGAGAAGATATCTCAACTGGGCTTATGATGGCCGAGCGTGGTGGAGATTTTGGCGCAGGGGGAGAAGCTCGATTCTGCTCTGAAGAGAGCGGAGTGGGTGAAGGAGAAGCTTTTCCAAAGAGAGATAGCAAAGCTTCTTTTTGAGAGGCGGTCTGGCTCGGTCGTCGGTCATAATTTACATTAATTTGGGTAGGTTTATCGCGTAGATGATCCAGCACAGTGTCTTTTTCTGAGAGACTAAACGCACTAACAGTCACGGTGCCGTTAGGAAGCGAAGCCTCGAGATCTTCTTTAACAGGACGGCGAAGGATTTTCGGTTGAAACGGTTTTGTAATCTCAGAGAGTTTGACATTTCTTTTCGGAGGTGAAGTAAGCTGTGGTTTGGCGTTGGTAAGTTGCGGTGGAACGACTTCCTTCGAGGGAGGTGGGCGTGGAAGGATAGTGAAACTTCCTGTCGGTGTTGTAGCTTCCCCCTTGTTAATATTTCGTGGAGATTGCCTCGCAGATTTCTTAGGCGGTGGTTTTGCAATAGCTTCGAACTGAGGTATGTTCAAGGGACCCGACACAGTGGCCGAAGTTCTGGGAGCGGTGTTTGTAGACTTCTGCGGGGCTTGTGTTCTTGGTGGCGACTGTACAGGCACAGGCGCATGAATCCGTGCCGGATCAAAGGAAGGGCTAGGGCGAGCAGCTAGCTCTGCATGTCCCGGGGCAGGAGGGGCCGCCTGAGGCTTTTTCAAAAGTTCAAGGAGACTCTCGTGGTGTTGAGATTGAGCACTAATTGGTGGATGCGCTGCGCTTTGCTGCGATGTTGGCTCAGGCTTAGGTACGTCTGTTTTCTTAACGCTCTCATTCTTGAAGACATTGAGAAGAGCGAGTGAGTGACTTGTGAGTTTCGGCGGAGGAAGCTTGCTGGCTGGAGGAATGGACCGTGCATGGGGATTTGGAAATAGTTCCTGGGCAAATTCCGGGTCGCCAGTGCGCTGGTAAGGCGCTGGAGTATTTCTCTGTGGTAGAGTGGTATTGAAGCGCGGTGCTTGATTAGGAGCTGAAGACATTGGTGAAATTCTGAAAGGCGATCGTGGAAGGTTGGGTAATGCTGATGGCTGGTCCCTAGAATACGGGTCTCCGGGTGATACTGGGAATGATGGATAAGGCAATTGGCGCACACTGGCATGTGGTGGTTGCTGCTGTTGACGATGGAGCGGATGACCTGGAGTGTATGGGAAGGGAAACGAAGGGTGTTGGCCAACCTGCCTTTGGTGAGGTACGTTTCTAAAATAGCCTTGATTCACAGCCATTCCTGTGCTAAACTGTATTGGAACGCCGCTTTGATTCTGGGGAACCGATGGTTGTGCAAAATTCGGTTGGTGAGGAATGTTCTGATGCTGCTTTTGCTGCTGCACGATGTCTTTGGGAGAGTACAATGGCTGAATAGGGGGGCCCATCGCAGTGCCCGGCGCTTGGTGCGCATTAATATCGGATGCGTTTCGTAGCAAAGCCAGAAGCTCACTCCCCTTTGATAAATCCGGGGTTGGAAATTGGGTGTCAGTGGAAACTTCTGGCAAGGATGATACGCTGTTGATATTGAGGAGTCTCTTTAAGTGCGTCGAAGGGTCCTCCACCGTAGACACTTCAGGCAAGTCACTAGGAAGCTGAGATTCGTTCGTTTTCTCCTTCGGTAGTGGTTCATTGGCGGAAAAACCTCCGTTCTCCCCTAACAACAAGCCATCTCCGGATACCTCCTGTGCACCGATGTCCATGTTTTGCGTTGCAGCAAGATCGGCGCGCTTCTGTTGTGCGATCCATTTCTTCAATGGCCCCAAAAAGGGAGCGACCATATAGAACTTGTTAGATAGGTTGTGGCCATTGGTCTCAATTAGCTTGCTCTTTTTGAGCGTTGGTAGCTCTGAGAGCTTGTACCACTCAATCTTGCTGATTTCCTTCCTTGTCCTCGGTTCAAAAAGAGTGTCCTTTGGGACACCTCTGAGGACATATAACCTCATGTTTTGTTCGCGCATAGGAATCTCAATATACTTCATTTTCTTCTCATCCTTCACAAGTCCTGCGGCTTTGATATCAAAACCAGTCTCTTCGTAGACTTCTCGAATTGCACAATCCAAGTCCTTCTCATCCTTGTTGATCTTACCCCGGGGAAAACTCCAATTTGCATTCTTCTTCCAGCCCTTGACTAAAACAACTTCATCCATGTCCTGGTTAAGCAATATGGCACCACGCACAGGAACACGAGTTTTATACGCTAAAAATTCAGAAAACGCAGTCGAGTGATGATAATGAGACCATTGCGACATCAGCGGACAATGCTGAAAGATACGCAGGGCGAAGGCGCGCAAGCTTAGGGAGGGGAGATTCGGGTCGAGAGGCCGAATAAAGTCTTCGTAGAACCATTGTGCCTCTTCAACTTGAAAGCAAATGCGCTCAACAGACTCCAACTCCTCTCGTGGAAGGTTTATAATGAACCGGACACACAAGTCATCCAACCCTGATAAATAACAAGCCGAGTTAAAAAAGTGGACGAGTTAACGTGCAAAGAATCTACTCACAGTCCTCCAGACGCATTTTCGTTTCTGCCATGATCTCTGCCGCACTGTCGCATGGCAATACAAGAGAAAATGAAGCTTGCGCAGTCTTTGCTCAACACCAAGTCTGGCCCTGAAACGAATGTATTCCCCTCAGGTGCTTGGATATGGCTTTAACAGCCAAGAAAGAAACAGAAGGTGGTCGAGGTAAATTGAATACGTGCAAAGCGGCGGTTGAACTACAAAGGATCCAAAGTGAATTGCGGACTTATGAGGTGGCAGTTGACGTTGTTCGCAAGGTTGACTCAAATCACCATCACCAGGCTGAGGCTCTTCCCGATGAAAGGTGTCCATGCTGGGGAATCAAAATAAAGATTCTGATTGGCTACTGGATACTGTGGCAAAGCAGTATTGCACCACCACATGTGGCAATTGGATGCTGAGTCATCAAGCAACAACCCCCATTGCCAAATATTGAAACTTTGGTAACGGATGTATATTGCGCACCAAAATCAGTGACGTCGTTGTATGGCATAAATTACAGGGGCTCAACGTATCTTTTGGAGCTTCCAATGGTCAACTTTTTCAGGGTTCTAAGCACCGGCGCTAGGAACTCTCCAGTTTGTCTCCGGTTAAAAGACCTTCCATATCACAATGACTGGCCAGCAGGATGTTTGAGGATGGCCTCTTGTTGTTAAAAATAACCTGAAATCAGTCAAAGAAGTCGTGTGTCCATTAACTGGCCGCCTCATTCTCCAAAACAACAATCAGTCCTAGCAAACATTTTTCCTTTGGTTCCTTTGTTTATTCCTTTATTCATTTATAGTCAAAATACTTCCTTCGTTCTGTTTCCTTTTGTATATATTTCTTCCCACTTTTACTGACTTCATAGCTTCCTGGTTCTTCAACTCGCCATTTTGCAGCACTCTCATATCTTCATATTCAATGCTAGTTGATGCCAATATTGCCCATTCACTTTGAGTAAACACACGGTTGGCACAGAGATGGCCGCACAGATCGCAGGTGTCGTCTCTAAGAAGCTATTGAAGGAGTCTGCTGAAAATCGGTTTGGACAAGAGGTAAGCGCACTATTTACACCCGGTGTGCATGAAAATAGGGGTATTGCTGGCTAACTTTTCATCCTCCGGAGCACCAGGACCCATACTTCGAGACAGTACCTGCAACGAACCTCTTAGGACGCCCGACGACCAAAAAGAAGCGCAAGGCCGCCCCGGAAGGCATATCAGCCCACGATGCAAAGATATTGACCAAGGTGAAGCGGCGGGCATATAGATTGGACCTCTCTCTGTGCAATTTTTGCGGAATTCGCTTCGGATGGAGCAGCGTCATTGGTCTAGTGCCAGCGTAAGTGAATCTACAAAATTCTCCATTCTAAATAATAACCTCCCTTTGTCAAATCGTGTAGAATTTAACTAACTTTCTTCTTATTTTAAATAGAATCGGCGATGCGCTCGATATGTTTATGGCCCTGATGGTAGTAAACACTTGTAACAAAATAGAAGGTGGTCTCCCCGGCGGCATTCGAATGCGTATGCTCTTTAACATTGTTATCGACTTCTTCGTCGGCTTGATTCCTTTCATTGGCGACCTTGCGGACGCCATATATAAATGCAACACTCGAAACGCTGTTCTCCTCGAAAAGCTCCTGAAGGAACGCGGAGAGGAGAATCTGAAGCACTCAGGTTTGCCTCTGCACGAGCCTGCGCGGATTGATACAACTCATGACGGACAACCAACCATTGAAGGCTCAGGACGTAATACTTCTCCACCACGAAACGATTCACCCGCTCGACCACAACCAGCACGGGTTCACACGGACAAGTCGTCGAGAAACCCTGCTCCCTCCGCCGGGCGCAGGAGGGAGCCTGATATCGAAATGGGGAGGATGTAAACCTTTTTTCTCCTAATTTTCTCTCTCCTTCCCATTTTTTTTTATTTTCTTTCTCTTTTGTCCGCTTTCCATATACCCCATTTGCATTTACATGAGCATAATATGGGCCGGAGTTGACTAATTTGTATATCTCTTTCCAATATCTAAGCTATGTAATAATAATATATATTTAACAATGATGCAACTCCTCGTAACTTGTGTGTTCCTGCAATATTTTAAGAATCCAAAAGCTATTAGGATGCTGCCTGTTGAGATATCAGGGCTAGCCTAATATCATCAAAGCTTGACTCGCAGCCTTTGAGATGGCAAAAATTCAGGATTTAGCCATGCAACGAGATCAGAAGTCCGTTCTGTCAACCGGATACTACGATCCCAAGTTTGTTATAGAATAAAACCAGTGGTGGTTTCACCTGTGAAGCATGTCGATCTTGCGAAATTATGGAATGCGTACTTTCAGAGGAGCATCGGAAGAAGTCGTCACTCCCGGTGAATAAACAGTAATGGTGGGTATATGGGTACATTACGCTAGAAATCAACGCAGTGCAGTCAGCTCCAAGTTTCACTGGCGGCTTTAGAAGCGTTAGCCGCGCCGGCGAGGCTGCTTTAGGTGGCTAAACTGAGAAGGGAACAACGGCAGCGTGCGGAGTTCGAAATGTTTCCGAAAATTGATAGAACAACCAATACACTCCGTAAACTAAGCTGGCGTTGATTTCGGAGGTACAAGATCCAAACGCGTCCTTGCGCATCCATAACACAACGTGCCAGTCATAGGTCGCTCTCTCCTATCCTCTAAGACATACTGAGAACCCCCTGAGCCACCTAGAGCTGAGGGGTCTTCGCCGCTCATATCGACCGGCATGCCACATAATACGCACTTATACCCAGTATCGGGGGCCGGCGCCTGAAGTTTGTCAATCGTACGAACGATATTTGCCATGATGCCTGGATACTTTTCCCCTTGCGTCTCAACATAGTGCGCAAGGAGGTCCTCGATCGATAAGTTCTTACTAGATAGATTGTCCACAGACGGACGCTCAGAGTCGACAACGTTCAGTGATTTTGGGAGCGCCAGTGAGGCGTAGGTAGATAACTCGAATTTTAAGACGTCTCGCATTGGGAAATTGAACTGGATCCCCCACGGCGTCATCCCATCACATACATCCCAAGGAGCAGAAAATCCACGGCCCTTGGCTACATTTGAGAGAGCCTTCGAAGCGAGACGCGTATCAGAATCCCCCCATAATATGGCGTCACAATCCAGCTCCTTGGCAATGGCAACAACTAGCCTCGTCAACAATATCCCATCAATGTCTGTTCGCGCGGCGGCAGTCGAAAGTGATAACCGAAAATGGTCTAAGCGTTCTTGGTCCATCTTTGACTGGTCATCCCTAAATTCAGGGCCTCCATATTCCGATATTATATCCTCTATGGCTGTATCATACTTAAATATCGAGTGTAAGGGAACCTGGGTGTATGTATGGAGAGGATACGCCTCGCAGAATAAATCCAGTCGGTGGTTGTCGGGCTGTCCACAAATTCCGACATTTAGGACATGAATTTCATAAGTACGGCGGCCTAAGCCACTCGAAATTTGCCGCTCTAGCTGAAGATTCAGAATATGGAGCAATGTCGAAGACGAGACGCCGTAAGAGAGGGGCAAGAGAAATTTTCTCTGGTTATTCTTCTCAGCGTTGCGTGGTCGATATTTCTCCATCCGCTTCACGACTTTGGATCCGATAAACAGAAAAAAGCACTGTCTGCGAAACGCCGCATCAGTACTGTCAAACAGATAGATATAGGAGTTACACCTACTGACAAAGGTCCCTCTTTCGAACCGTCTGGGTGGCCGGAGCGACCTTGCAATCAAGGCAAGGCCCCATAGCCTTTCCCGCCATAATGACTGTCTAGGCGAAGAAAATGGTGATGTAACAAAATAGTTGAAAAATAGTAACTATAAAAAAATATCGAAACTCTATCATATTTTTTTTTTCTCCCTCGACGTCATTAGCCGCCTGGGCCTGGGGGAACTCTCTAGCTCACGTGCAAATTACGTTCCAGCCAATGATACCACACGAAAGTGCAATCGCGGCTAATGCGGCTATGCAAGGATAAGAACAGACGCGGACAAAAGAAGTCGACAGCTTTCCCAGTTTAAGGGTTTCACAGTTCAAGCAGCTTTATCAACAAATGAATAACGAAGCCCAGTATATCACCCATTTATTGTGACGGAGGAATACGGACTCGTTGAACTTCGCACGATACTCGACTGGCTTTGTTAGCTGGACGTTGAGAGCTGGTCCGAACCGGCTCTTTTAGGTTCCAGCTCCGGCCGAACCACGATGAAGGCATTACTCTCGTGCCTCTACTTAGGATTGCTTGCGACTGGAACTCTTGCGAATGAGGTGCGATTGGTAGGTTACCACATGAATCAACTCTCATCGAAGCGCACACATGGCTGACTACTTTGTTCCTAGAAACAAGATGAAGCGAATCGGCAACAATGCTCCGGGATGTACAGCCGGAAAGCTTGGGGAGGGGACCAGGATCCATTTATTCTAGTAGCGTTTGAGAAGGGTGAATTAAAGAATCCGGAGGCCGATCATCTTGTTAGTCTGGTGATATTTGAGTGGAAAGACGAAGATCTGATCGGGAGATATCCGGTAGGCGACAAGGAGAAGGCATGTCCCAAATACTTATCTGTTTCTTATTCCTCATCTTCATGTGCTAACCTATCTCAGGTACAGAAAGAGCCCATATGCGACCAAGAGAACGTCGCGGCCAAACTATGTACGAAGAAACAACTGGGTTCGTTTATCTTAGCTGAGGATGCTGCGAAAGTGTCAAAGTCTCCGATTATTTCAACAGCCATCAACCTAAAAGATCCTAAACCTATAAACTACCCCGTCGCGAAAACGGGATTTTATTGTGTCAGCACATACGCCTTCTCCGGTGATGATTACCAGGGGGTGGTAACATTTCAAAATTCGTACGGAGAGCTCCCAGCTCCCCAGATACCGAAACTCCCATTTTATGGCGCTCTTACCATTGTTTACGCGGTGATTGGGATGTAAGCATACTTCTGAGATGTCCCCTCTGAGCTGGACAAACTAACGAGACTAGCTTTTGGGCATTTTTATATGTACAAAACCGACATGATATCTGTCAGTATACTGTTTCTATTCGTCATCCCCGGCCATAGATGCGTCTTATTCTCTTACTAATGCGCCTGAAGTACCCGTCCAAAACTATATCACTGCTATCATTGTGTTCCTCATTGTCGAGCAACTTATGACCTGGGGTTTCTACGGTTAGTGCTTACTCACATTGATACTCGTATTGTCGTCATGTCTAACGAATTCCCAGACTATCAAAATCGGCACGGTTCAAATGCTGTGGCCAAAGTACTTATGATCATCGTTGCCGTTCTTAATGCCGGTCGCAATTCATTCTCATTTTTCTTACTTCTAATCGTTTGCATGGGCTATGGCGTTGTGAAACCCTCACTTGGCCGCACCATGGTCTATGTCCGATTCCTTGCGATTGGCCACTTTGTGTTTGGTGTTATCTATGCTGTGGCCAGTCTATCCATCACGCCTGATAGCGCTGGGCCGTTAGTTCTGCTTGTGATTCTCCCCCTTGCAGGGACTCTGACAGCATTCTATGTCTGGACGCTGAATTCATTGAGCGCAACGATGAAAGATTTGATTGACCGAAAGCAAAACGTCAAAGCTCTCATGTATAAGAAGTTGTGGTGGTGCATCCTTGGAAGTATTGTTGTCATTTTTGGCTTCTTTTTCATCAATTCCTTTGTGTTTGCGAGCCGCAGGGTCGCGGACTTCGTTCCCGACCACTGGAAGTCAAGATGGTTCGTGCTGGATGGTTGGCTTAACATTGTCTATCTGTTCGATATTGCATTTATCGCATACCTGTGGAGACCAACGGTGAATAACAGGCGATTCGCAATGAGCGATGAGGTAAGCTCCAAAATTCGTTCCTAATATTTTTACAATTATCTAACTTGTCTGTAGATTGCACAAGAAGATGACGGGTTCGAAATTCGCTCCTTTGGCAGCTCACTCGACGAAGAGGAGAGAGTTGGTACGGGAGGACCAGATGGCCCCGAAAGGGAACTTTCCCCTGTTCCACCAAAACCTGTGGCATCTTCGTCGAACCAAAACAGACACTCTCTCGATGGTGAGACAATCTTCGCTGTTGGAGAAGACGGCGATAGATGGTCAGATTATGAATCCCCCCGCAATTCGAGCGAAAGGAAAGGCCTAATGAAGAAGGACGACGAGTAATACAGAAGAATCAATTGTTTTCAATTCCTCTATTATTATAATTTAGCTCAATGCTCGATTTTCTTTGATGCTTACCAAATTATTCTTGATGTGGTTAACAGAATGGCGTTTTTCGTTTCTTATTTTGTCTTGACTCTTTTCTATATACGATTCCTATTTGTGTATTTTTCTTTTTTCTTTTTGCGTCCTTTTTTTTTTTTTTTTTTTTTTTTTTTTTTTCATATTTGTCTCATGCCCTTGCTATGCGCGCTTTCTATTTTGGTTCCGCTATATTCATCAACCTTCCCGCCTCGGATACACATGAATTCGATTTATGAAACTCGTTTGCTTTTACTGTCTGATGATTACTTAGGGTTTCTCAACTCTAGCAGATTCCAATGCATTCAGATTTGACATTCAGATTTGACATTTCACTTCAGCATAGGAGCCAGCTCCCCGACGTGTCATTGCATGGATCATTTTTGAAAAATTAACTATATATATCCATCTGTACACAACTTCTGACTATATCTTAAGATACTAAGAATATTGCTTTTCCTACATGTTCATAATCATCCTACATGTTCATAATCATCTACAACCAAATATGGTAAGCTATATCAGGCTTGAACAGCTTCAAGATTCGAGTGAGGGATAAAAATTACGTCAGGCGGATGCCAGTTTATGTAATCCTGGTTCCCCGCGTAGTTATAGAAACCCGTCCTCAAAGTTACCCGAACAATTAGCATCCATCGCACACTTATATATGTACATATTTTTATTTCTGACCTTCATCGTCCACGTTCACTCTCTGCTTTCCTGCGTCTCTGTATTTCCCTTCATTAATTTCCATTCTTCCCTCGTTGAGACAGAGAAAATCATGATGGCGGGGTCAGTCATTACCCCACCACAAACCAGCAAAGGTCTCGCGGCGTCTTTGCTCGAGGACTGCAACGCGCTCCTGTCCGAACTCGCATTCCTTCAATCCCATCTTGCAGCCATTGGTAAACCCAATGCAGTTGAATTGCGACAGTTCAAGTCTTTCGTGCAATCCGAGTTGAAATCTTTGAAGAAATTGTCAGAGCTAGCCGCGAAAACGGATACTCCGATAGATGGGCCTCTAGCCGATGGCGATGGTGATAACGATGGCGAGAAGGCTAGCCAGGATGAAGCGGAGATACGGGTCCTACACTCTCTACGATCGTCCAACCTCCCGTTCTATTCATCTGTGTGGAACGTGTCAAAATCGAGTTGTTGTGGTCTGGTTGCGTTCAGCAAGCGTTTTTACTGGTACAAAGCTAAGCGCAATGCTCATGGATCTGGAAGAGATGGAATGGACGGGATAGCTACGCCGACTTCAATCCGAGATCTTGAGCGCTCAATACAGGGATTACATGTTTCGGCAGATGCGCACAAGGCGGTCGAAGAAAATTTGAGCAAAGTAGGGTTGCAGAAGAGAAGTGTGCTGGTGGATATAGTAGCTGACAACGGGGAGGAGTGGGTCAAGGTGTCTACTGTCACTACTAGTCGGCTACTGTTCGAGTTGGCCAAAAGGGGCTGGGAAATGGGATGTGACTCGACCAGTGAAGATGGGGAGGCGCAAGGAGCCGAGGTCTATAGGCTACAGAATGATGATGACAGCGACGATGATGACGAGGATACCATCGAATTAGTAAGGCTTGCTACGGACATGAAAAAGGCGGCTGCCCTAGTCAGAGTCAGATATAAGCATCCTCGGATCCGTTTTGTGCTCCCAAAAATTGTGGAGGGGGAAACCCCCGAGGTTGATGCCATTATTAAAGATATTCGAAAAACCGGTGTTACAGTAGAGTGTAGCACGGACACAGAAGATGCGGCCAAGCTGCTGGCAGCCCCCAATGGAAAAGATAACGGCCACCACCAAACCAAGACAGTGGAAGAGCTTCTTCTGACACTACTACCGAATCCTCATCCACATATGACCTCTACATTAAATGTCGACTGTACCTTACTCCTTGCTCTAGTGTCCGATTTATCGCATTTCCAAAATATTGATCCATCAGCCGGTCATCATCCCGCAATAACCCGCCAGATTGAACTCGAGGCAAAACAGCCGTTGGTCACCTCTGAACTTTGGCCGGCAATGGGAGACAGGCAGCTTGTATGCACTGAAGAAGCCGCCAAGAGAATGTATGAAATAGTTGAGACAATCGGTACTGCAATTGAGAAGAAAAGGACGAAAATAATGATGGCGGGGGATATAAACTGTGATAGAGAGGATTTGATATCCCAGTTCCAGGAGTTATCGGACCACAAAGTTCCTTTAAATTGGAACATTCCCATTAGAGTAGTAAATGCCCATGCAGAAATTGAACGGGGCTGGGCAGACGGTGTCTTGCCGCCTGTCGCTCGCATAGTTGCGAGCCAATTAAGCGACATTAACACAAGCGTGTTCCTGTATGGCTGGGCAACTGGCCTCATGACGATCTCGAGCAATCGGACGGTAGCTAAGCAGATCGAAGTCCTTGTCGAGGAAAACAGAAATGGCGATGACGAATTGTCAGGCCCCCTAGTTTGGATATGCGATACAGCCAGAAGTTTGATTGGCAAGGACAGCAATAGGAAGGCCTGAAAACAGATACCAAATATATAGAAAAGTCATGCCTCCCATGATGCGGCGAACGCCGTGTTATGGATCTTCGATAGACATCGGCAAGAGGATTAATCTATTTACCCTATTACCCATATACCAACTAGCCTTGAAGAGAGGGTTTTGGAAACACCATTTCGAATCAGATAGTCCTTAATAAACGAACTTGTTAGAAAGCCCTTTTATTTTTCGGCCGGCTTAGCGTTATCATCTGGGAGCCAGAACGTGATCTCTTTGTCTGCTGTTGCGAACATGTTATACCGCGGATTGGCTTGCACGATAACGGAGCGGGCACGGTATGGCAGGCGGAACGCGGGCTTAAGGAATAAACTGGCGTCCGGAGATTGTTGGGTATCCCAGACGAGAGTATCAGATTGATCGCCAGCACCGCCAAGCACGTAACGTCCATCTGGAGTAAAACAAACGTCCCCCTGGCCTAATGGTTTTCCAGAACTCGAGACAGGGGCAGCACGTCCAGTGGGTCCACTTTTACCGATTAAAAACGCCTTAATATTACCCTCGAAGGCGTCCAATAGGAAATGACCGTGGTAGTCTGTTCCGACAAGAAGATGCTTGCCATCATTAGAAAACTCCAAGCGGGTCCATGCCCTGCCCCTTGTCGAAGGGGTGAATCGGTCTTCTTGTGGGGCAAGGTCAAATGTCGCAAAAGGAGGCTTGTCATAGTTTCTAAAGTCGTAGAGTAGTACTGACGATGTAGACTGAGAGGCAATTGCTATGACTGAACCCGACGGGTCAAAGGCAACTAGATAAGGGGTAGCTAGTTTAAGTTTCCCTTGGGCGTTCCTCGAATTGAGATCCCACAACGCAACGGTATCGTCCTTGGAACAAGACAAAACCGCATCTGTCCCTGGAGAAACTGCAAGTGAGGTAACCCTGTCCGTATGACCGGCGAAGTATCGAAGATAACTTTCATTGTGCAAGTCTAAAAGCCGTAACGAGTCTGTAGCCTCCCATGTTAGAAACGGAATTGCTAAGCTAGCAATCTTGGACCAAGGGGAGAGCTCACCGTCCACCTTCGTGCTGGCGTGAAGTATCTGGCGCGAGTGGTGGGTGAACTTTGCCAGATGCACTCCATATTTTTTACTTGGGACAGTCTTGGTCAGTTTCCCTTCCTTAATATCAAATACTTGTAGTGTTTCATCGTCTCCGGACGCTACCAGGTAATCGCCTTGGTCGTCGAAATCCAAAGAGGTAACATTGCTAGGGAGCCCATCCGGTTTGGGAGTTCCTCGAAAAGACTGAATGAAAGGCAAGAAGGTTAGCTCTCATGCACAACACTAATAATAGCTGATTGTGCTGCTGCATTTACTCACCTTTGATGCTCTATAATTCTTGATTATATCCGATACCTTTGCGGCGGGTTGAGGTGGGAGAGCCCCCGCGACTTCAGCCATTACGAAAAGAAAACCCGGGCAACTGAGGTGGGAATTGCGAATCAAGGAATGCCAAACAGATCGTTGGGCGAACAGCAATCAGATATCTGTATTTCTGCCCAACCCCAGTCGCCTTCCATCAGTTCTCGAATTTGACGTTGGTTTGGTTGTCTGTTTCCATTATTCAAAGCTCGCCTGCATAAAGAAGATAAATAGCTCAAGCTCGACGATCTGCGCCGGACATACATTGATCCGATCAGCCGCGGCGCTGCTGATTCCGAAGATCGGAAGTATAAGTTACAGTTTACGCATAGTAGAGTTGCGCCGATCAAAGCTATAATCTAACGCTGCGGCTGCAAAAGTCACTGTGCAACATTGTATATGCGAGGAACAAAGGAGCCAGATCTGTTGCCAAATATGCTCGTCTGACTTCTCCAGAGGCTCCATTTCCTTCGCCTCGTTCCTATTCCTCTACTTCTCTTCTTTCTTGTGTTTCACGGATTGACCGACCGTTGGTGTCTCGCGATTCCTTCTCTCCGCTCTTTATAAATTTACTTTTTTACTTTTTTTTCATTTTTTATTTTTATTTTTTTTCCCCTTGGCCGCATTCGTTTGTCGCGGTCACGTCGTCTATCCTACCATTACACACGAAATGTCTACTACTACCGGGTGAACAACCTTGCACACACTTTTTTTCCCGCGAAAAACGAAGAAATGATTCTGACTGGTGCTCTCTCTGGGTTACAGGGCGTTTATCGCGGGAGGTCTGGCAGCGTGCGGTGCGGTCACGGTTACACACAGCTTCGAAACCGTTAAAATTCGGTATGATGGCGGTCGCGCTCTATTGTCAGCGGGAGTTTACATGTACTGACACTCCCTTGAAGTCTTCAGTTGCAAGGAGAGCTTCAGTCAAAGCAGGAAGCAGTGCGCAAATACAAGGGCGTTTTTCACGGTGTCAGAGTCATTCTCCAAAACGAAGGAGCTCGGGGCCTCTTCCGAGGGATCGGATCAGCAGTGAGCCCCATCTCCCCGTCACAATGCTTTCCTCCCTTTACCTTCTGGTAATATACTTACATACATGGTAAATATAGTATATCTATCAGGTCCTCCTTAATGGCTGTCGTCTTGGGTTTTACGAACCTCTTCGGGTAGGCGTCACGAAAGCGATTTACAAAGACCCAGCCCACCAATCCCTCGGCATAAATGTCTTTTCGGGAGCTGCATCGGGCATCTTGGGTGCTGCCGCCGGATCTCCCTTTTTCCTAGTAAAAACACGACTCCAATCGTTTTCTCCATTCCTGCCTGTAGGTACACAGCATATGTATAGAAACTCCGTGGATGGACTACGCCAAATTCACAGAGGTGAGGGCGTGAGAGGCCTATATCGTGGAGTTTATGCCGCTATGGTCCGTACCGGATTTGGTAGCTCGGTGCAACTACCTACATATTTCTTCGCAAAACGGCGGTTGATAAAACACCTCGGAATGGAAGATGGCCCTGCATTGCACCTGGCGAGTAGTGCCTGTAGCGGCTTCGTCGTCTGTTGTGTTATGCACCCTCCTGGTATGACAATTCAACCCCAATTAATATGGGGTTTTCTCAAAATTCGGGCTTGGCTGATTGCATTTCTAGATACCATCATGTCGCGAATGTATAACCAAACCGGAAACCTCTACAAGGGTGTTTTTGACTGCCTCTACAAGACCATCAGTAAAGAAGGTGTTCTTGCGATATATAAAGGATACTTTGCTCACTTGGCACGTATTCTACCCCATACGGTGCGTCTCTAATCCAATCACTTCCTCCCCAGATATTCACACTCAGGCATCTGTAACCAACTAAAAAAAACTTAGGTTTTGACCCTGAGTTTGGCCGAACAAACCAACAAACTTCTACGGAGAGTAGAAGACCGCATCATACCAGAATCAGTCAGGGAAAAAATGTAGTTCTCCAATAGTTTTCAAAAAAATATACCCGACGATCAGATACCCATTTGCAGCAAATGTTGCCTGGTTATATCGTTTACTTCAATGACTCGATAGCGTCTCTTTACCGTTCCCCCCTACTTCGAGCATCGGCTAGAGAGCTTTGGAATTTTCCTCGTTTCAGTCTCATATTATCGTTTTCGGCTTTGTTCAGGTGGTTTAATATCAAGCTTTAGAATTTTAGATTTTGGGCCTCGTTTGTTTTCTGATTTCCCCAGCCGCCTTTTTTTCCCTTTCCCTTTTCAGCAGACTCGAGGCCCGTTTCATTGTCACTCAGGAGGGGTATCTTTGTTTTGTAACTACACTTCCGTGGCAGGTATGCAGTGAAAATTTATAACCGTGCCCTGGTTAAACGGGCTGATGTGCAAACTCTGTTGCCCCGATACATTTCGGATATATTCAATCATCAAAATAGGATACTCATCAATTTCCCAAGTCATTATTGGATCGAAGAATTTAGCGCTCAGAGAAGGGGGCAGATGAGATCAGGCAACAGTTGCAGCCACGAAAGCTTTTACAACGGCCGCAGAACCTCGTTCTTTCAAAGAAACGCAAGCGAAGCACATACATAGAGCAACGATATAACCCTGATAAACACACTCAAGTCTCAACCCCTGACAATGTCTTCCGGAGCCGAAACTCAAAGCTTTTGTCTCGTCGCGAATTCAACAATTCGCTGCCCTTGGTTACATTGATGTTGCCATAAATCTTATTTCCTGCCTCAATGCGCACGTGAGATATTGCAAGGCCAATGTACATGTACAACCTCTATGGCTACTGCGGACAGAGTTGGGCAAATGGCCCGTCGGAGAAGAAGAAAAAGTGAAACAGAGAATTACGAAAAGTAAGGAGAAAAAAATCTATACGCCTCAAGCGGGCCAGAGAGGAGGTGGAGGGGGAGTGAGGGAGGGGACAAAAGAAGCGGATGTAACGATGGAGGATGTCTACAATGAGATACGGGCTTTGGAAGATATATATGCCCGCACTTGGTTCTACAAGGCTCGAAAGATTGTTTTCAAGGCACAATCTGGGCGTGGAGAAGTGGAATGCTTGGGAAGCGAGGATATATCTCTTCCGGTATTGAAACCCTCCTGGACTCCTTTGAGAAAGTCAAGCCCAACTCCCGGGACGCAAGCACCGGCGCTGCTGCCATGACTGCGTCAGCTACACTTGTCAGCGCATTGGACCTGAGATGGTTGCTCAAAGAAAGGAGGTATGCGCAAGAGGGTCTTATTTCGGTAGAAGAGCTTGTGGGCATCTTTGCAAAGCGAATGGAGGCGAATGAGCAATTGACCTATCTTACGCAATCGCGAAGAGCTTGGGAGGCTTTGAAAGATGGCACCTTGGCCAGAGCTATCGGTGTAAAACGATGACAAAGTACGGGGCTACGCAAATGAACTCGAGGAGACTATTGTCGAGCGAATTCGGGAAGGGAGGATGGAGCTTGACCCCCTCACCATGCGAGAGATGCTGAAAATCCTAGACAACAATACCCGGACGAATCCTGACAGCCTCCGGGATTACATGGATGGCCCTCCTGGGTCCTTATTCCACGACCCCGCAAGCCTGGAGGAAATTGCAGCAACTGAAAGAGAGCTGGGCATTAAGCTGCCAGCAGATTATAAAGAATTTATCGCCATCACGGACGGGTTTGAGCAAAGCTGGAGCGGTATAATTTCGGACCCTCCTCTTCACCCTCTCGACGAGATACGCTGGCTGGAAGATGATGAGGACTACTTCCTTGATCTCGAGATCGAGCTGATCAACCCCGGGTTTCCATATGGCATGTGGCCAACGGTGGGGAAATCAATCGAGATCGGGTGCGAGGACATTGATAATGTCTGGTTGATTCCTCCCTCGAAGGTCCAGGAGGTCCAGGGTCGGCTTTTAGAGATCATGCAGAGTGGAAAATATGATGATGCGCTGAAAAGGCGTCTTGTGGGCGAGATGTAGTCCTTTGTAGGGAGCATGGAAAATTTCATGAAGCTTGAATGGTGTTTGGTTACATGGTCGTCTGGCGGCGTTGCGTCGATGAGATCCTATCCCAGCTTTACTACCTACACGAGGGAAAAGGTGGAAGGCTCCTCAAGAAGCGTTAATGGCGAACTGCGGCCAGAGAAGTTCTTCGGATATCAGTGCTGTTGAGGCGCCTCTCGAAATATTGATAGGAAAAAGACTTCCCCGACCAAGCAGCCTTAAGTAATGGAAGAGAGCACATTGTCTCCTTTCGGCGCGGGACGGCGGCGCAGTTGTGTGACATTGAGGTACCTTACCTTGCTTCGCCGGGATACGGACAAACTGCGCCAGCTACTAACATCGTTGGTAGGTTCCAGACACTAACCTAACTATTATTTATCGATCCCTGATATTCGCCGGTAGCAAACCACGACCGGAGAATAAAATGCTGCACCGTGGCTCAAGCGCATTTCATCTCCTGCCATCAATTCTTCAGAAGACTCAGCCTGCCAGGACTGCATTAGATATTTCACTCAGGTTTCGGTGATCGAGAAGAGTTAGCTGCCCATTCATGATTGTATTTCCCCCTGCCATCCACGCTCCAGCTTCCGAAGCTATTTTCATGTTTGTATACTACTCTCAAATTTCTGCCGATGCATGTCCAAACTACGGAGTAAAAACGATATTGATAGAACAAGTAACTACGCTGCGTATGCGCGTGCCAAGTAAATTAGTCAACCGGCCCCAAGTTCGACTCTATAAAAATATCCCGACCCCGGTCTCCGAGCAATGCGATTGGCACGGTCTCAGTTGGTTACTATTATTTCTTTCTTTTCTTTTGATGGAAGGTTGGAGTATGCATTCAAGAGCTACTACGTGGCCTTTTTATGATGCTTGCGAATCGCCGAATTCACCTGGCTGTGGGTGGAACCGGTCGGCCCGCAAATTTAATCTATCGCATTTCTTAGCATTCCTTGGCATAAAATGGAAACACTCAAATGATATTTAACCTCATTTATGGAGGATCCTCTCAACAGTTTTGATTAGTGCTAAGAATTTAAGCTGTAATACTGTTATCATTCCATTTCTCAAGTCCCTGGGATTTAGGCTAGCTTTAGTTAAGCTGTAGCTGGTTATTCAGGTGCCACAGACATTAACCTCTCTTAGAACTCTGGTTAAGAGAGGGAATGAGAATACTTTATGCCTGTAACAAAGTTAGTTACACCTTAAATTCGTAGTGCTAATCAAACTTTTGAGAGGATCCTCTGTAAAACGGATTTTAATATTACAGTGTAGAAGTTAAAACATGAAATTCATGATCCCATTTTAAAAAATGTGACGAGGACTAGACAGTAGTAACTAATAGTAGTAGTCCCACTGGTAAGTCGTCCCACTGGTAGTCCTACTGGTGGTAGTCCCACTAGGACTGTATGAGTAGTCCCAGTATTGTGCACTGGGACCAATCAATCTGGTAATGGGCCTACTAAATATTTTGGTCCTAGTCCCATGGTATTCGACCATGCTACTAAGGTAGTAGATAGGTTGGAGGAACTTCAGAGGGGTTGGCCCTAGGACTCCGGAGAGATGTCAGAGATGATGCTTTAGATATGGTTGATCGAATGGAATTCAGCTATTTGTCTTTTAGCTATAAGTATATATATCGCTGTTGGCTAAATCTGTTGGGTTTCAATCCTCCTCCACTGTTGCGTTCATTCCCGGCCCACCCCGGACGAAGAGTAGGCATGCTGAAATGACTTCTCCATGTGCTGCGGATGCAAATGAATTTTGCAAGGGAAGACGATTTGGTTTGTCCGTTCCCTCACGCCTTCTCCTCCTCATGGAATTATCTCTCCGCCCCGGGAAGACCGTTCTTGTGAGCGATAAAGAACGGCGTGCCCGGTGAGGATATTTAATCTCCCAAATTTGCCGGCACTCTCCTTATATCTTATTCCCAGGCTTTTATTCTTTTTTTGCTTCCTTTGGATTTTGATAGACTTCATTGATACCGTATTGGCACGATGCATTTATCCGTATCTATCCGTATTTGTGTGAATAGTTTTGTCGTCTTTTCCCAAGCGGCATATACTCTGATAGACGACTATACAGCGAGGACCTTTTTCCAGGCATTTGATTTCTTCTCGGTGAGTCCTGGCATCGATCGTCATTTAGCTGAGTGTAACCCAGCTGGAATATCTGCTCACTAGTTTGTATATTCCAGGGTGACGATCCTACTCATGGATATGTCAATTATCTCGATCGAACCACCGCGAGATATCAGGGGCTAGTCTCTTCTACAGACGACGTTATATATATGGGAGTCGATAGCACAAACGTCGCCTCCGGAAGAGGGCGATCCAGTGTTCGAGTTAGCAGCAAGAAGGAATATGATAAAGGCCTGATAATCACGGACATTGAGCACATGCCCGGTGGGATTTGCGGGACCTGGCCTGCATTGTAAGTAAAAACATAGATTATCCTCCGAGGTGAGTTCTCGTATCAATGAAGAACCAGACTGACAAAGTTATAACCTCCCATCAGCTGGACCGTTGGGCCAAACTGGCCTAATAATGGCGAAATTGATATTGTGGAAGGAGTCAACACGCAAGCTACTAACTTAATGTCCATGCACACCAACTACGGTTGCAGTATTACTAACTCGGGAAGTTTCACGGGCACCATCCTGACATCGAACTGCGATGTCAATGCTGCGGGACAACCCCCCAACGCCGGTTGTGGCATCAGCTCCTCGGACACGGCATCGTACGGTGCTGGATTCAACGCAAATGGAGGCGGAGTGTACGCCACAGAAATAACAGCATCTGCAGTCACCGTGTGGTTCTTCCCACGTGATGATATCCCTAAGGATATCACTGCTAGAACCCCAGATCCAGCGTCGTGGCCTAGGCCGATGGCCCAGTTCCAGGGTCAATGTGACATTGCCGCTCACATTAAGCTGCAGAGGATCGTATGTCATTGCTTGATTGCTTTGTTCTTGACACACAAACTTCCAGATGTGGTAGCTAACGTATCATCCCGTAGGTTTTCGACATCACGTTCTGTGGCGATTGGGCTGGTAATGTCTGGTCTAGCAGCAGCTGTGCAGCGAGAGCTCCGACATGCCGGGAATTTGTGCAGAATAATCCGACCGAGTTCAAGGGCGCGTACTGGCTTGTTAAATATGTCCGTGTCTTCGCCAAGAATGATGCCGCATATTAACACGAGGAGCTTGACCCAGTTTCATGTCATTTTCTGATGCTTTTCTTGGCTTATTTCAAATTTCGTTGGACCATCGCATGTTGCGTGTGTACATGTACATGTACATACCCCATTCGTTATCATGTACATAGATATAGCCATTGTTAGGAGTATTCCTTGACAGATCTCACAACATTTTCATGATCCCAGTTATAGAACGCTCTCAGGTGTATAGAGCCCCCAAGGTGTGATAGAGCCCCCCAGGTATAGAGATCCCCAGATAGAGATCCCCCAGATATAGAGACCTCCAGGTAAGAAATCACCAGGTATAGAGACTCTCTGGGTACAGAGGCCTCAGGGAATAGTGGCCCCAGAGTATAGAGACTCCTTGAGTGCCTATGCAAGTGTTGTGTAAATCGTTTACCAATTTGAAGCGCAGAATTTCTGATTTGGTCGAAAGGTGCCAAGCAATGACGTGACAGGACAAAACAAACAATGCAAACCCACCTCGCGTTTACGTGATTTGTTTGCTGCCGAAGTCGCGCTGATTCGCGTAGTCCCGTGACTTAGCGTGTTGCCTGCCTGCCTATTTATTTCTTCGCCCTCGCCATCGTTTGTATCTTCAATCTCCCATCTCACCCTCAACACCAGGTTTGCTGTTCTCACACCACGCAACTTCTCGTCTCTATTGTCTCAATTGTTTCACTGTGTCTTAATACTCGCTACAATGGCTTCTCAAGTCAGCCCGTCGAAACAGGTATGCTTCTGAGCCTCCACGCGCTACTCCCCTCGTACCCGACGCGTCCATGATAATAGATGACCGTGTGCAGCTAACAGCTTCATGTAGACTGCATCCTCGCTGGAAAACCTGAAAATGAATGACTCTCCTGCTAAGAAGCTCAACTTCGAGCCTACCGGCAAGGAAAATGCTACGACGCCCGTCGCTCTCGTCCTTGACCCCAAGCTGCTTGAGAAGAAAGAGACTACGCCTCTGAGACCAGAGGAGACAGAGAAGAAAGCTCTGACTGGAATGAAAGCGCTCGAGGCAGAGGAGCCATTGCTCCAGGAGAACCCAAACAGATTTGTTTTGTTTCCACTTAAATATCACGAGGTATGTTCCCACTCCCTTCGACGCGTCACGCGTAAAGTGGTGTTTTTCCTTCTCAACACGTCCTAAAAGCTAAACTAACGCGATTCAATATAGATCTGGCAAATGTATAAGAAAGCGGAGGCGTCATTCTGGACTGCAGAAGAAATTGATCTCTCAAAAGATCTTCACGATTGGAACAACAGATTGAACGATGATGAGCGATACTTTATCTCCCATGTCTTGGCATTCTTCGCTGCCTCGGATGGCATTGTCAACGAGAACCTGGTCGAGCGTTTCAGCAGTGAAGTTCAGGTTCCTGAGGCTCGCTGCTTCTACGGCTTCCAGATCATGATGGAGAATATTCATTCCGAGACTTACTCTCTCCTAATCGACACGTATATCAAAGAGCCAAAGCAGCGAACTTATCTGTTCGATGCCATTGACACCAGTATGGATTCTTCCCCACTCTAATTTTAGAGAAATTTCCACCTAACGCGTTCTCTAGTTCCATGCATCCGCAAGAAGGCTGATTGGGCCATCCGGTGGATCGAAGATAAAGAATCTAGCTTCGCGCAGCGCCTCGTCGCCTTCGCAGCTGTCGAAGGCATCTTCTTTAGTGGATCCTTTGCTTCTATCTTCTGGCTCAAGAAACGGGGTCTCATGCCTGGCCTTACCTTTTCTAACGAGCTTATCTCTCGTGACGAGGGCTTACACACTGATTTCGCCTGTCTTCTCTTCTCCCACCTCCGCCACCGCCCCAGCCCAGAGGCGGTTGAGAGGATCATCACGGAGGCCGTCACGATAGAGCAGGAATTCCTCTCAGATGCGCTCCCAGTCGCGCTTCTCGGAATGAACGCCAAGCTCATGTGCCAATACATCGAGTTTGTCGCTGACCGCCTCCTCGTTGCATTGGGCAACAAGAAAGTCTACAACTCCACCAACCCATTTGACTTCATGGACAACATCTCGCTAGCTGGCAAGACCAACTTCTTTGAAAAGCGTGTTGGCGACTACCAAAAAGCCGGTGTCATGGCAAGCACCAAGAAAGAAGCTGCTACTGAAGAAACGGAGAAGCAGATCGAGAATGGAGGTGCATTCACCTTCGACGAAGACTTCTAAACTGTTTCGTGTCATTGCTTTCTTGGGATGGATAGACTCCTCTCCATCTTGTATTTGACGTCTGTGACGCATATACCCCCCATTCTACTTTCTTGTTTCGGACTTCATACCCCCAGTCACAGTGTATATTTCTACACTTCAGATACCCTCTAGTGGTTTCTGCCTCGGATAACCTGTACTTCTATGTGTGGCTCTTTTTGGTGCATTGTACTCGCTTATGTGTTTTTCTGTTATCTTTTTTTCCCCTCTCACCTCGTAATATTGGCTCCATGACTGCATTTGATGTTCCTTTTTCCTTCGTCCTCATCGTTTTACCGGCTGGGTCTCATGACAAATTCTTACGTATTGGGTTACGGCGTCTCCTACTATTTATTTATATTTTTACTCCTGTCCTTGCCCGTCTTATGTTGTATCTTGCATTATGTTTATCCTCAATTTCAAAATGTGTCCCAGAAACAAGAAAAGCAAAGGGCAGGCGGAGATGAGAAATTTCTGTCTGCTCTTTTGCATAATCTAGTTTTTAGCAGCCAAATATATAACGTCACTGATGAAAAAGCCTTCCGCCCATCCGAGTTATACAGGTGCAAATATGGCTTGGGGTGGAACACAAGGATGAGGCCACCGGAATCATGGCTCTTGACTCTGTCATGTATGTATGAATCAATTTAACCAACCACAGCGCGGATAATTTATGTCAGATATTTTCTATAAACAATAAACGAGGGAGAAAAATGCTCTTGAAGTAGCCATCTATTGTACCCGGTCCCATGTTTCGAGTCTCATGATCTCTCTCAATAGAAAATCCCATAATTATGTACCTGAAAATGAAAGGGGGAGGGGCAATAAATAAATAATATCAAAATAGCCTACTTCTTCCCCTTCCCTTTCTTCTTCGATTTCCCCCCACCACCACCACTGCTAGAACCCTTTCCACCAGCACCAGCACCGGGTCCCGATGTAGTCGCAGTCGCAGACGCAGGCGCAGTCGCAGCATCTGTCATCTCCGTATCCCCAGCCATACCGGTATCTGCTGCTATTGGCTCAACAACCGGCGCGCCGCTCGCCAATTTGCCCAGGCCAGCAATCAGCCGGCCGACTTCCGCGGCTTTGTTCGTGCGGTATTTGAGGCAGATGCCGCTGGTTGGATGGAAGGTTTTGAGGGTTATGGTTGCGGGGGTTGGTGTTTGTGTTTGTGTCTGTGATTGTGATTGAGTCTGTGTGGATGGTGTCGAGGTACCTGTAGGGGCGGGTTTTGGTTTCGTGGAGGTGGGTTGGGATGATGATTTTTTGGGGCGAGGGTATGAGTATTTTGTTGTTATTCGGGTCTGAAGGGATTAAAGAGAAGGAGGGCGGTGTTAGTGATATATTTGTATATTTGCGCTTGGATGCATAAATAACTATTGATCAGGGCTCTCACTCGACATACCGTGTCTGGATAAGCCTGGAGCAGGAGCGCTGACTGCTCTAGATATTCCTGTGAAGTGGATAGGTACGGCATTTTTGTGGTTTTCGCTTCCCTCTTCCACTCGCTCAGGATCAATACTGGCACCGATTTCACCTCAGAGCTCAAACCGCTGAGCGTACTTCGGTCAAGGTGGTTGATCTCCAACAGGATGCGCCTGGGTTTAGCCGCCCGCTATCTGCTTTCAATTATGCAGGGCGGTGTCGAGGTATGATTTCGTTATACATATATGCTCAAAGTATTGAAGTATTGGCCAGGTATGTAAACCTCTGTTCAAGGTCCAAGGGTCTATCGAGAGGGATGATACGCGGACTTTCGAAGGGGGTTTTTTTTTTTTTTTTTTTTTTTTTTTTTTTTTTTTTTTTTGCTCTTGCTCGACGTGGAGGAAAGTCTGCAAGGTCTGTTAATTGGTTTATGATTCGTACATATAGAAGAAGATAGATGTGTACCCAAGTGGTAAGTAATACGGAAGTTATATCAGAAGGTTATCGGGTGTTAACATGGGGTGTTTTGTTGGAGCAAATAGACGTGGTGGTGTGAGTGTGGTGGAGTGGGGAAAGTGAAAAATTGGAGCCGCAACGTTAGCAAGTACAAACATTTTAACTATATCCGAAAAAATATATGAAAATTGAATGTCCATTCAGTCATTTTGAAGAGACAAAAAACAGCCTGGAATATTCCCGAAATATACATATATTCATCCCATAATATACCTCCCTATCATGATTAGATATTTGCTATTCATACGGATTATGCCTCCTAAAGATATATAATTAGTTACACCATACCCGCTTCCAAAAAAAAAAAAAAAAAAAAAAAAAAAAAAAAAAAAAAAAAAAAAAACAATAATAATGACAATACCAATAAACCAAGAGCTACCAACCAGCCAAAAAGCGAAACCCCTTGCCAAAAAGAAACTAAAAAATAAAAAGTGAAGAAACACACAGGTGCACGAAACGTTAGACTAATCGTCCGTTCGTCCCCTTCTATCAAAATCAGATTTCATAAACCATACGAGTAATTCCCTCGTTCCCTCCATCACCGCGCAGGAAACCGACACCCAACACATATCAACTTCGGATCCCCACTCTTCATGCGCATCGCACGGAAATTTTCCCCCCGACACCGTGGACACCTGAGATCCTCCCCATCAACGTCATCATCCTCCCCCCCTTCCTCTTCCTCATCATCACCACCACAATCTCCATAACCTCGACCATTCTCGGCACGAGCATGATAAAAATCCACCTCCGAGGAAAGAATATCACTACTCAACGTGCTCACCTTACTCACCTGTCGTACGAACGGGTGCCGCTCGTCATGCTCAAGCGACTCAACGGGCCGCAGGTTGCCTGACGCTTGGGAGGCGAACGCATCCTTATTCCAGTACATGTAGCTCTGGTCATCCAATAGCAGGAGGTTATCTGGCGAACACGCTCTTATTGCTGCTGGTCTGAGATTTTCGCTGTGGCGGCGTTCATGCTTGTTGCTGGTATGTGGTTCTCGCGGTGTCTGCTGCTGTGGAATACATTCAGAGGATGCTGCAGTACCGGAAGAGGGTCTGTCTATCATGGAGGGTTGTTTAGATGAGAAAGCGGGGGAGAACGAACGTATGGACGGCTCTTCCGCTGGGTTGAAAACAACGCTTGGGTTGTGGCCCTGGCCCTGGCCCCGGCCCCGCTGAGGCTTATCCTTATTCTTTTCCTTTTGTTTTGTGGAGGACTTGCGAGGAGAGATGCTTCGGGTTCTCATGGATAGGCTGGAGCGAAGGTTGTCAAAGCTGGAGTTTTCCGCGCCCATTACTGTGTTTCGCCATGATAATATGCGCTCGGATGGTGTTTTGTGAATGGAGTCTTTGCCTAATGATGAAGCAATACTGTGGCGTGTAGAGAAGGAATTGTTTCGGCCAAGAATCCTTCGCGAAAAGCCAGTATCCCACACATCACTCCGCAGTTTATGGTATCCACAATCCTGTCGAAAAGCTTTGATGGTGCCATTGGCATCTGCAGCGATGATTATGTTTCCGCAAGGGTGAGAAAATTTCGTTGAAGGTGGCTGGAACTCTTCTGGTTTCCGAGTAAGTGGAAATGTAGAGCTTCTGGGGGTGGGTGCCAACGACCCTTCCCGGGAGCCACCGGCATCAGTAGTTGGTTTAGACGCCACAGACGGTGCTTGGCTAACAAGAGTAATAGGAGGTGGATTGCAAAGGTCATAAAGGAGGTCACCAGTCGCCCCAAGCAACTGTCTAGTTTTATTCGGAGCGAAAATAGCGGTCGTGACGACAGAGGGGTGTGCTTCGAAGATCTCAACAGCGCGCTTCTCTGGGTCCCTTTCCGGAGAGGCGATAGGCCATATATACACTTTCCTATCCTCACTTCCACATATAACATATTTGCCATCGCTGCTGAATGTAGCCCGAATTTGACTAGAATGATTTTCGTTCCCTCGAAACTTCACCTCCAGTGTGCGATCCCTAAAGTTATATAGACGGATTCGAGAGTCATTGCTTGTGATGAGAAGCTTCACTAAGCCGTTGGGATTGTTAGGTGGTTGTACGATCGTGTCAATTCCGGTTATTTTACTGCCCTTGGCATTCAGCCCGCGTGCTGATCTCACATGGATTTGGGAATGAATTTTCAAACCGTCCGTGTCATAGATGAGACAGAGTCCGTTCCGGCAGCCAGCAATAGAGTACTTCCCGTCAGGGGTAAAAGCCACAGAGGTTATCATGTCAGGGAGGGTAGTCACAAACGCTACACTCTTGTCTGGTATGCTCCATAACCGTAACTTTGAATCTAGAGACCCAGCGAGGAAAAAACGATCGTCTTGGGGATGAAATTGCACGGACGTGACAAAGTCGTTATGTTTAAAGCAACAAAGGCATTCGTTTCTCGTAACATGCCACAATCGAACTGTTTTATCCATCGATGTGGACAGCAAGAAATTATTCTTCAAAGAGTCCAATTAGCACCTTGTCAAAATTAAACGGTTTGGTTTAGCGGAAGGGGTCGCCCAAAACACCAAAACACGTACCTTGCTCCAAGTCAAATCAACAATGCTCGCGGTGTGCGATTCATATTCCCGTACAGGTTGAAACTTAAACACAGGTGCTCTTAGTCGTATGAATGGCTTGTCGTTCTGGGCCTCTTCTTCAATCTCATGCGCCTGGCGATCCTCGCGTGTGGCAATGACAGCCCAAACGCGAACCTTTTTATCCTGCCCAGCTGCAGCTAGGAATTTTCCATCCTCGGAAAACTCAAGGGCCCATATTGCCTTACCGGTTGCTGGAATCTCTTCTGAACCGGTTGAACTATCCTTGCCATCTAATGACTTGTTCTTGGTGGAAGAACAAGTACCACAGAGCTCTTGAGCGATAAACAGGCGGTTAAAGTCTTTATCCTTCTTGTAATGAGAGCGAACTTTGATATATTTCGGTGGCGGGGGATATCGAGGGATAAATCCTATCGGTTGAGCAAATACTTCAGCGTCCATACCGGTGGCACGGATCTCGCCCGTTTCAGAGACATCGTCTTTCCACTCAGCGGAGGTTTTCTTCTTGCTGCCGATGATACGGCTCAAGAATGAAACGCCTTTCCTAGAGTCAAGTGAAAATCGGTGAAGAAATGATGTTGTTAGCGACTCTTAGAAACAAGAGGCCTTTCAGAAAAACGCTCAAATAGCGAGGCAAGGAAACGAATCTACCAATCCTCCTTGCGCAAGGGGGAATGCTGGTGACTTCCAGAACAGGGAATTCGAAAAACTTACTTCTTTTCCTTAGAATTTTTCTGATATAGGCTTGCTTCTCTTAATATTCCAGACGAAGAGTCTTCTTGGGTAAGGGCCCATTGGAACTCCGACCCACCCGGTTCCGTGTCAGATTTTCCTTGAGTTCGTAATCTTGGGGGGTTTGATCTATCTGTATTCGTTCGTTGGAGGATATGCTTGTAAGGCGCAAAGAGAAACACAAGCAATCAGCAAGGGAGTCCACAGTCTAGTAATTCCGGTTCCCTCCGGGGTCATATTTTACGAATATGGAGAATAGAGCAGGTAGAGGGCCATTTTTTTTTTTTGGTAGATAAGGGAATGACGACTTATTTTCGTCGCTCCTGGCGTCTTCTTGGTGGCATATAGAAATAATCAAAAAAAAAGGACATACCTGGGATAGAGGATCGATCAGGGCCTGACATTGTGATTCCTGATTACTTGTACTCGAAAGTTTGAACTGCGGTTGAGACAACGAAGGTGAGGCTGCTGCTGCCACTGGTGGCTTGGTGGTGGGAATCGCCGTATGGCTTTTGACTAGTGGGGGCTTGCTATCGTTGTGAAGGTTGCGCTCCTCAGCTTTGTAACTGGCCGTATTGGCTGTGCTTGTTCGAGACGCCTTGCGCGCATCTGGAGGTTGCAGCAAGGGGCTGCTGTGACTTGTAGAAGCTCCATTTCCTGCCACTGTGCTCCCTTCTTAATCAGCGTCCTGCACGAGTCTAGGCTTTCGGACCTATCGAATGGCTGATCGAACAACAACGTGTAGGAGGAACACGAGAGTCAACGCTTGACGGGCTGAAGAGAGAGATACAGCAATTGGGGGCTTGCGAATAGCGTCGAATATAATATTTAAACGTGAAGCATCCCTGCCCGCGACGCACGCACTACCTGGCAGACCAAATGGGCAATAGAAATAAAAATGCGCTACGTACCTTCGGAAATAGGTCCTCCGTCATGCTCCCTCCTCCTGTGCATGCCACCGTCCTGGTCCATATTGCGAGCTTTTTTTTTTTTTTTCTTTTTCTTTTGAATCAAGAACGAGTTAGGAGATCGCCAGGGCAGTGGAGGGCAGCGGAGTCCAGAAAGTCGCCGTCCATTAGCCGCAAGTGAGCTGTCGCGAGGGTGTGCATTGAAGGACAAAGGGGGTGGAGAGAGGAAGACAGGCGGGGGGAATAATTGCAAATGTAATAGCAAGCAGTGTAGACGAAGATATATATTGTTTATGCAGCGAGTGGGGTTGAGGTGAGTGACTGGCTCAATCCTTCTACACTGACTTAAGTTACTTGCTTAATATCGCAACCGCCTGGAAAGCCTTTTGTGGTTTCTTTTGAATGGCGGCGGTGGTTCAGGAGGATTGATACAATGAAATTGAAAATCAACCACGATCGGCCCTAGCCACCACCCACACTCCTGCAATGCGCAAAATAACAGGCTGAGGAGGTGTTGGGGTCCTGGGTTGACTCTGGCCCATGGTTGGATGTTTTTTCAAGGCAGATATTGTGTTGAGTTTGGGTTGTGCCTTCAATTTCAATGGGGGTTGAATTTATAACCTTTTCTTTTCTTTTCTTTTCTTTTTTCTTTTTTTGAATAAATATTGATATCGATTCCCCCGCACGCGCGAGAGTCGTTCCTGCTGTGAGTAATTGTTGTTGTCGAGGGCGCGCGCAATTATTAATAAGTAAGTTAAAACAGCTAACTTAAGTTAACTAAGTTAGTTAACTAAGTTAACTAACTTTTTAACTAACTTTAGCTAGGCAAGCAAATACGCTGCGCGTAGACAAGAAGAAGGTTGATCTCTGGCACCAACGTTGATTTATAACACGCAGGTTAACACGCAGGCTAACCCGCTCCTCCAAATAAGAATAACCATCCATCAACCAGGGGCCAGCTTATCCTGGGTTGGCTGCGGGTATCGCTGATAATCCTCCGCAGCTCGCATTCCAAGGTTGCATTGAGGCCCTGGATGTGGCGGCTTTGGACAATTGAAATCCCTCCCCTCTACATGAGTACGGAGTAGTGGCAGACCAGACAATGAGCCAGATATGGGGAAATTCGAAGGGGGAGGCTTGTATATGTACAGCGTATGTACTCCGTAGAGTCGTACTCGCAAGCACAGAAAAGTATATATCTAACTTCTAAATAAAACATGAACCGGAGATGCGAATACTAAAAATAATATCTTGTCGCGTCGTGCCGTTTCTCCCGCCAGATCGCCTTTCTCTGCCATAGTACGGAGTAGAGGCTGCTACTACACGGCCTCATTATTCCCCACTTGGACAGTTCTCCCGGATTGGTCTGGGTTTATGAATCAATCTTATGGTTGATTGCGCTATTCAGTGCGAAAATACGGATTAGTAGTGGTGTAAGTGTTGCGGCATTGGCCTTTTCTATTCAAAACCTCTAACGTACTATTATAAAAAAAAAAAAAGGAGAAAAAAGAAGACGGGCCTGCGAAATGACGAAAGGTACAGTACATACATTACAAAGAGTTAAAATGCTGCACTTGTATCGGTTATGTACTCTTAACATCGAGCCGAACCGAAGCCCTGAAAGCTGAGACGTATTTTATCTCATCATCATCATCATCATCATCATCATCATTATTATTATTATTAGCATCAGGCGTATGTTAAGTGGGGGTTTTGATATTTCTGGAGGGGACTCCGGGTTTTTTTTGTCTTTAACCTATATGTATGTATATTATATATATTTATATATATAGCCCGCAACTGGATCTTGGTGGCCAGCTGCAGTCCAAAATATTGTATGTTCATTAGAGGGAAAAGGATCCCTATCAGCATGCAGCACAGAAGCTAGAGTTTTCGCATGACAAATAGCATGATGATTGATATCCGGATAATCGGACCTCCATCGGCTTGCTGTATCGAATAAATAGATTGCGTAACCTCTAGATATTTATCCTATGATACTATCTGAATAAGTACTTGAGAGTTTTACTTTTATAAATACATCAATTAGATGTCGCAGGGTATGTATGTATGTATGCTTCTTAAAAAATCCTTCAAAACTCATAGTTTATATAAGATGCCATTTTGAACCTTTCAAAGCATAAAGAAGATAATGGAAAAAGACAATAGAAAAATCAATGCATCTAAGCAATTATCATTCATTGATATCATGAATTTATTTGAGCAATAATCATGAAATATGAAATTTCTTCTGCTGAATTTACCATGTATTTTTACAGCTGAGAATGTGACTGCTTCATGAGACTAGATTCTATATCATCAATTAATAACACTCAGCTACAAGAGTGAAAATGACATGTATATAGAGTATAGTAGGCCTTGTGTGTAGCTGAATAGCAAAGTAACTGTGATATGAGTACTCTGTAGAGAAATTGACTTATTAAGTACAGATGATATAGCATAGAATTATAGACAAAAAGAGAAAGAGATTTTTGTATTTTGTATTTTATATTTTTTATTTTTGCAGCTGAACTGTCAGCTCTAACAAGAGTTAGTAAATGTGATTGATTCTGTGCATTTGCTATCTTATGGTCTAACTATGTGATGAACAAGAAGTATCACATACTCAGACAGAAGTAAATACTCATTGAATATGATAGATATAGTAATATCAAGAGCAGTGTGTATTCTGCACTATCTATGAATTTTGTGTTCTCAGATGCAAGTATAGAATGAGGTTGCAGACTTGCAGTGATGGCAGTTTCAAGTTATATCAATCAATGAAAGAGTTGACTATGCATGCTATAAAAAGAGAATGTCTAGCAATGAGAAGAGATATACTGACAATGAAGAGAGATTCAAGCCCTGAGAGATATATTGTTGCAGAAATGATAGATGAAATCTGCAAAGTGAGACATTCAAAAGATAAACTGTAGAAGATGAGATCTAGTTAATAATGCAGCTTACCGCAATATGTTGACTTTTTTCAAAACATGAAAGGACTTTTAAACAGAGGGGGAAAAGAATAAAAATCAAAGCTGACATGAGTTACAGTTTCTCTGCAACTGCAAAGTGCATTCATTCTGTTTCCTACATTTCTACATTTCTACATCTCTGCTATGTGTGAACCATCACTGCTAACCAATTGTGCATATTTCATCCAGTGTCTCTTGGCCAGTCTATAGAGTAGAGTTGAGTAATCCTCTAGTTACTCCGTATAGAACAGCAAATTCTGGGTTCCGTGATTGCGACCCTGAACGCATAGTCGATCTTCATGTCAAAACCAACCTGCTATTAGAAATGCTCGACGAAACCCTTCATTATCATTTTTCAAAGCAATGGATGGAAGGAAGACATTGGCTTTGCCGACACAAATGTTGAATCGTTCGGTAATTTGGATATCAGGGAAACTTCGCAGAGAGGGACAACGGCATAACAGGCTGCGTGCTAACTAGTCCATAGACACGACACGCCAGAGCTGCTGGCGCGATATGTGGGCCGGAGTGGGATGGACACCGCTGGTAAAGCTCCTAGTTACATGCTGCTCCAACCCGCCACTCAGCGGCTGCACGTGCTGGCTGCCAGTGGATGCTTGATATAGAGAGCCGGATACAATAAAAAGCCACGGTGTCGCGAGTCGCCAAAGGATTGGAAAGTCAATGCCGGAATGGTTATCAAACTACGGCTTAGGGTGCCGTTGGGTGACCATGAATTCGGCTCTTGGGTCATGGTAGGACGGGACGGGATGTATATTGTTGAAACATACAGGCCGTGAGGAACCAGCACTTCATTGCCCTGAGCCGTGGCCTCGAGGGACCATAATCGTTCATGCTGATTGGTCTTTTATTTTCCTTGGTATCTTCTCTCCAGCAAGTTGCAGTCATGGCTTTTCTTGAGCTTGCCATGGCAGGGCTCTCCCTGAGCCCGATTACCTCTGCTTCGTTCTCATACAATTTAAGTAAGTTAGTTGCCTGCATTACAAGTGCATAGAGTTCACATTTTCCTCTATTACGCGATGTAAAATCCCTTGTTGATCATCAGCTAATACCAACCACCAGACTACCGCTCCCATTCCCATAATCACCCTGATATGGGAATTGCCATTAACAAGGTGCACAAGCGGAATGTTCCATCCTCTCCATTCAACCCCGAGGATCTGTACTTCACTCATAGCGTTGCTTCTGGAGATCCTTACTCCAATTCTGTGATCCAATGGACCTGCGTCTCACCTATGAACAAGAGCAGTGACTCCAACGTGGCTGTCAGTGGTACAGCCCCTCTGTATGACCATGGCAACGATAGATACGTTTCCGTTTCTACTGCGCCCGTTTGTGTGGAGCACAAAGTTGCAAGGGATGGCATGATGAGGAAAGTCGTCACCGGCAGAGAAGTTTGGACTTCCTCTGATGTTGACTATACAGTCAAGGTATATATACTCCTGACATTGAGGGAATTGGTCTGTCTCCGAGCTATAAACTAACCTGCCCTGATATAGGTTGAAGCGACTGATCTCAAACCATACACAACTTAGTACTATCAATTTACTGTTTGCGACTCGAAGAACTCTTCCCCCATTGGACACACCAAAACCACTCTAGAAAGGCCGACAAAGTGAAGAAGGACATCAACCTTTCTGTCTTTTCTTGCTCTTACTATTGTGAGTTAACGCACTACACATAATTATTCTTTATTATTTATGCCTTACTGACTTGCGACGATAGCCCAGGGATTTTTCAATGCCTACGGTAATGCTGCCTGTAAAGACAATGCCGATTACGTTATCCATCTTGGTGACTATATCTACGAGCACAAAGAGGGCGAGCACTATGCTTTTTAATGGTGAATATCAAACCATTCCGATACTGAAATGTCTTGCTATAAAGGTGGCTACGGATGGGGCTGGTTCATGGATCGCATCCCACAGCCTGCGGATCACAATACCAAGTCCTTGGATGTCCTTCTCGTTATCGCGAACGCATAATTTGTTCTAATAATATATCTGGCAGACTTGACTCTCGCATGAGATATTCCAGTTACCGCACTGACGCTGACATCCTTTACTCGCATCAGAACTTCCCTGGATCACCATTTGGGATGACCATGGTAAGAGCATTCGCTTTCCAACTTTCTCACAATCCCTAACCGCTTTTTTTCATTGCAGAGGCGAAGAACAACATCTGGAAAGCTGGTTCGTCTAAAATGAACAATACAGAAGAATCCTTCATTAAGGCCGGTGGAATTTCCATCAACCAAGTTAAGGCCAACGCCGTCCGTGCTCACTTCGAGTGGATGCCCATCCGCCAGGTCGATATGGACGAGACCCTCCGTATCTGGCGCAACTTCGAGATTGGCGATCTATTCAGTCATATCATGCTTGATACCCGTGTCTATGATGGCTCCGTTACCGACCTTACCTGGAATAGAAATTAGCTCGATGAGATCCGCGATGAGCAATCCCGCTCCATCATGGGCCACCGACAGGAGGTCTGGTTCTACCGCTAGCTTCGAGAATCTGCCAAGCGCAAAGCCAAATGGCGGATCGTTGGCCAGCAAGTACTCATCTCCAATATCACGTACACCGATGGCAGGGAAGAAACCCCCTATAACGCCGACGCCTGGGATGGATACCGCGCCAGAAAAAACAGGATCCTCTCCACCATCCTTGATAACGAAATCAACAACACCATCTTCCTTGCCGGCGACACTCATGCCTCCAATGTCTCTGACCTCGTCTACACGGGCCATGGCGAATATGACCCCAAATCCGGCTCAGGAGCCATTGGTGTCGAGTTTGGTGGCTCTGGCGTCACCTCCCCCGAGCCCGTCGGCCAGAACGGTACCTTCGCCAAGGGAGCCGAGAAGTGAAAGGCGTTTGTCGAGACCAGCACCCCCATGCAATGGCAAGATTCGTACTACCGCGGCTCAAGATCAACCATCAGCGCGTCCTTGCTGATTTCTTTGGTATTCCTGACATACGTACTCGCAACGGAAAGGAAATCAAGCTTGCCACCTTTAAGGTTCTAGATGGCGCGAATAAGCTGACGAGAAATGAGAAGGAGGAGCCTGTTTTTGGGAAGGCGGTTGGTGGAGCTCTTAAGAACGACGAGGTTAATCCTGATGATGCGGTCATTGTGGATACCGTGAAGAAACAGAATTAGGAGGTGGATCGCTAGAGATGCATGTTACATCTCCTCATTATTACTTTTACATGTATGTACATGTACTGTACATACGCGGACTTTTGTTGGACATACCTAGGAAGCTTTCCTTTTCATGGAACGGTCCAAGCAAATAGTTTTTCTCATGCTCGTCTCATGAAACGATACCGATGACAAAAAGAAATTTCATTAGTGTGGTGTGATGTCTATGTTCTTCGACCATGTATACTGAGGAGTGTTCCAACCCTGAGGCGCTTTTGTGCTGCGAACGGGTTCAATGTTTATTTTATTTGACCACAGGCGGTTCAATGGGTGATATAACCCCCTGCCCCCTTTCCACCTTACTATAATGAGATAGTTCCTCCATCCACGCCAATCCCGACTAAATCTGGAAAAGGAGAAGAGAAAAAACTGGTAGTTGGTCGAACGCAAGTTCTCAAGAGCCGAGTATAGATTGGGTTAGGCTATAACTAGTACCTGCATACTCTTCTTCTGGCGTGCATACATATGTAGGTAAATAGGGGTGAAATGTAGGAAGACCCGCGCGGCTTGTGTCCATTGAGGGCGTTAGACAATGATGGGTCATGGATGCTACTACCAAAATTCCTACAAATGTAAAAGTTACCATCGAGGTCAATTGCATTTGGTATAACTTATGTTCTTGTTGCTTTCTTCTTGTTGTGCTGTTGTTGTAGTGATATGTGAGACGTGTCAAACACAGCTTGAATAAACTGAACGATTTTGAGGCGTGAGATGTGGACTATGTGGTTATTCTGGGATGTGATATTGAATGAGGTGTTTTTGGGCTTGCATTTGGGCTTGTCAATGCATACTGTGCGGCTCAAAAGGAGGCTTCTGAGTCACAGATTCTATATAACATTCAGGCTTGCGGGGTGTTGAGATTACTTATTCCAGTTCAAGCCAGAAGCCACTTTCCAGCAGCTAACTAAGAGCCGTGCAACAGAAGACAAGTCCAGCGCCATTATCTCCAGTGAACAGGTCACAATAATATGAAAGGCGGGGCAGTAATCAGCCCAAGTCGATTCCTTTGCGCTCCTGACAAACAAATTCTTGCTGCTAGAAAACTCGGTGGCTTTTGAACAGAGCGCCATTTTCTGAACTTGGGAACCTGCTCACGCGAATGATATGTCTGGAGTCGTGGGTCAGTGAGCTCGGAAGCGCCACATTAGCGACTCTGACAAAGATCGTGTCGGCTGTGCTGCTCTTCCTGCATACTTGTCGCTCCATGTTTGCAGCAAACCATGGCTGTCGTACGGAGTAGTGAGCGCCTGGATTGGACGACTGGCCAGCGTGGCTTATGGTTTGGTCAATGAGGATCATCGCTTCTTTCAGTATGATGAAAATCTGGAAAGCCTCCGTCCGACTCGATCAGCTCGTGTTGCGATGGCGAAGGCTGCCACAATTACTACTGGCTACTGTGTCGTTCGAGTTGCGCTCTTTTGGAGTTATATATTCGTTCCTCTTCACTCATTTCTGAGGGAGAACATCGCTGGCAGTCGCTACACATTGACTGATTTATTCTTCCATTCATTATGCCTTCTGACACCTCCATCCAACAATCCCTGCTCGACACAATCGAGCGCTCTTTCTACCAAAAGCTCCCTTCAGACTCCCATCAGTCCGAGAGTCAAAGAACAGACCTCCATCCACTGGAGAAGGACCAGGGAATACTACCAATCAGCTCTTCTTTAGATCACTCGTATCAACCACATCCCATAACCCCGGAACGACTAGAGAGTACAAACGATACCCCACCACTCAGGCCCAGTCAACAGCAAGCCCCCGAACATCATCAAGGCCCGTTCAGCTATCCCACCAGCGGATTAATATTTATGCTCCGCTGGGGCTGCGCAATTCTCACAGTCGCAGCTACGATTCTGTTCGGAATCTGGGCTCCCCTGAGCTACCAGGAGACGAAGAACGCGAATAAGGATCACGATGAAATGCAGCGTGCCCTTATCAAATCCGCAAAATCGGCTAATGATATAGCGACAAGTGCACTTGAGGCTGCTTTTCTACAACTACAAATTGCGACTGCGCAGGCGAGTGTTATTGAAAATTTACAGACCCAGTTGGCTGCTATGGGACAGGTGGCACTGTTGCAATTTTGCAATGCGCAAACGAGAGGGGTGAGTAGAAAAAGCTAGTGCTGTAATTCTCTTTTGTTTTTCTTTATAGTGCGCGAAGTGCCTGCCCTTCTTGAAGTATCTTTTCTAAGCTCGCCGTATCATGCAACTCACACGTGCATCATCATTCAAAATTAGGATTTCGCGCCCTGCTCTTCCTTCATCAACTCCGCCCAACTTGCCAGCCTGGTTTCTCAGATTGCCACGCCGACTTCCACGCCGACTCCCACGATAACTCGTCCCGCGCCAACCGATTCTGCGCCGCCTAGACCTTCTCATCACACTCCCTCCACAGGCGATAACTATTTAGAGAATAGATCGGGAATGTCTATCGCCTCCATTCTTGGAATCGTTTTCGGCGGCACTGCTGCGATTGGGATCCTCACGGGGTTCTTCGTCTGGAGGTACCAGCGTGGGAGGTTGGTGGCTTCTAGGCGGTATCAGTGAGTGAAAGACGGTGTAGAGGAATTGGACTCATTTCAGAGCAATGTAATTATATTCATGAGTTGGATTGAAGGTACGTCATCCGTGAGTACTTGCTTCTGCTCCCCTTCCGTTATTTCTCTCTTAGACACATGTGACATTTGAGTTATCGCTGAGCACCGCAATTTTAGATACTGGGACAATGTTATATGCATTGAATTCATGCAGTACTGTCAGCCAGCAGAGCACCACAAACAGTGAATACAATTGGCCTACCTCACTGTGGGATTGTATATCCTTAATGTGACGATGGTATAGATATAGGTGCCTTGGGAGGCGGTCTTGACCCATAGTATTGAGAGAAGTGAGTGGCGTAGCAATTGATCGGCTGTTGAAGGAATGTTTCTCACAAGCCCCAAACCGTTAGTTGCTGTGAAAACGGTTCACTGAAGATTCTCTGATTTGATAGTATATGTTTGAAAGCATTTACCCGAATATCACCTGAGCGAACCACCAGCATGGTTAATGGCAGGCTTGTCTCTATGCACTGTAAAATGGGCGGTGTGGAGTTCGAGGCAAAATCTGTACTTAGATCATGCCTTGGTTGTGACGACACACTAGGTCAAAATCGACTTGAGATCAGGTAACCTTGGAAGATCAAAGAGAGTTGAATGATGGTAATGTCAATACTGTACACTAATTGTCCAATGGGTTGGCGTGCTTCAAATAGAAATGGTAAAACGCATTTCAAGAGAATCATTGACGAGCATGTTTGATTCACTCCAGACGACCTTGAGAGTCCATAGGAACCAACTGGCGGGCGTGGGGGTTTAAGAGTCGCGGCGGTTGCTTTGGATTCTTCATATTTCGATCCAAAAGCATCGATCTCCAACACTCCCAACGTGGCACCAATTCGGGTCAGCCAAGACATCACTGCTATAATATTCCTTGAAATACACAGTTTGAGAGCTTGTGGTCTTTTTTCTTTCCTTTCTTTTCTCTTCATTTCTTTCTTTTGTCGGTTCCTTGCGTCTAGGACTTTGTGTGATTCCGTTCGTGGAAAAGGGAAATCAGTCAGGGTAAAAATATTCCACAGACCAACAGGGTTTCGTAATGTCCCGTGCAGCTCAATTTTTGAGCAAGGAGAGCGGCATACTGGCTCTCCCGATAGGCAATCACCATGTCTTGGATCTTTATCAATTACATCCAGTTAATTGTAAAGAGTCACCTGGGACTGGAGTGTCCCACGGCTGGCAGGGGTGTGTCAAGTTTTCCAGCCACGAAGCGTTAAACTTGACAAGGCTGAGTGAAGGCAAAGGATGGAAAAACTTTCCTCTCCACATGGAAAAGGTGTACGGAGTACACCATGGGTATTCCGTGTTGCTCTGCTCTATAAGTTCCAACTTACGAGCCATACCGGCCACCTTGGACATCTGGTTGAACCCATGTACCATCCATTTCCAGTACTCTCCGCCGCACTCCATCAAATCACCTGCGATATTTTTCGCATCATAATCGCGACAAATGCCTCAGAACTCTCATGAGTGGGCTAAAATAACTAAAGCGACCCTCTCACCGGTTTCAGTACAACTGATTTTACTTCCACGCTCACTATTTAACATAAATACTTGGATTCAGCCAGAAAGCAACGTTTCTGAGGTGGAACAACCGAATCAAGATGAAATGCTGCCATTTGGCCTTGGCCTTGAACTGTTTCACCTTGTCACACTGTCTCGATTCTCACTTATATCTATACTTATCGAGCTATGGAATCTATTTCGCATTTCGTGTTTATCTTAATCAAGTGACTAGTTATAAGTGTGTTCATTTGACCAGCAGCAAAAGCAATCCTGGGTCTTGAAATTAAGTTGAATACGTTCCGCCATTATATAGCTCCAAACTATGTTGAAGGGGAAATGGCAAAGTTGGAAAAGGAGAAAACAAGGGTTGGGATCAAAATTGTCGTAAAGTGGGAAAATGAAATTTTTTCATTATTTTTTAAGACTACTAATAGCTTTGCAACTCGATGCATTTCAAGCAGAGCTTTGTTCATATGCACATATACTGCCCTCATTTTGCCCCTGAAGCTTCTGTGCTCGATCAATAGCTATATCGCACATTGCCTATATTTGTTTCATCGGGAAGAAAGCAAAATGCGGGTTAGTTCATAACGTTGGTATATTACTTGTATACAACCAACATGGGGAACATGCGAGTGGAGACGCAACGAGGAATGGGCAAAAAGGCCTACCTGTATAATATCCTCCTTCTCCTTTTCCACATCGCCCCTCTCAATTCGCCGTCGCATATCCTGCATTATAACATCTCTACTACGTCCGTTTACGAATACACTACAGCCACGATTATTATTTAGCACGCTTTATGGATACAGGTTTTTCTTGCTTTTCTCAAAAAGGAAAAAGGGAAGGGGTGAATAGCATAGTAATGATATTGACGGTACATACACATATCTCAGCCCCGGATATTTCTCTTCATACACACTATTCAACTTCTTCAAGTCCGCCGCCTCTTCCTCTCTTCTCTTATTAACACTCTCGTCCTGCCCCTCCCCTTCCCCCTTACTCGCATTCAACCCCGCCTGCTCCTGTCGACTCAATTCGCTCAGATTCTCCTGCTTCTTCTCCCCTAGGCGCGGATGTGCGCCTAAAATCCCATGCAGGACTTCTCTGTCCTTCGAAGAATTTGCAGCGGAGAGCGCCATCATGCGTGCGCCGATGGCGCTGATGAGGGACTGATAGGAAGAGAATGTTTGGTGGGCGAGGAGGGGGAGGGCCAGCGTGTGCAGGTCTGTAGAGGACTCGAAGAGGGTGTCGAGTATTTGTGTTTGGGTGGCTTTGGGGAGGTAGGGGATGGTGGAGATTGCGGGGAGGCAAGGCATGGTTTGGAGCTTGGGATTTAAAATTTGCTAGTATTATTGTTTTTATTCTATCTTTTGTTAATAGACTTACGTAGTCAGTAGGGAATGTATAAAAGGAGAAAAGAGAGTAATGAATTGAAGAGCAGCGGGAGTGTTTACTTATATACATCAATCACACATGGATCTCGGAGCTGGCCGTCAAAGGATCTCGAAGGGCGGGATGACGTTGTTCATGTGATTTTCTCGGGATATCATGTGACTCGGGTTTGTTGTTGGCCGCTGCGGCTATTTGTAGCGTCCGCCCTAGTGGCGTTGCCATAGCGATCGCTCCGCCTACACGTGATCTCATATGTAATATAAATATAGCTAGCTCTTCTCACACGAATACAATAGATTAATCATCTCACAGGTTATAGCTCAGATAGCATGTTTTTACAAAAAATTATATTATTTTTATTTTTATTTTTACTTTTATTTTAAAACATTTATGTAAGCTTTAAATGTATTCACTCTGAATAGAAGAATTCTTTTATATTTACTTTATACTAGACTGACTGCTGAGATTATAAATTTCATATTTAATTTCATTTAATCTGATCTTATATATTTCTTAGTATGAATCTCACTGAGACTAATCATTAAAAAAACATACAAAGTAATTAATATCAGATTTTAAAATAAGATTATAACTTATAAAAATTAAGAAAGTAGTCTTATTTAATCTTATTTAATCTCATTCTTAGTATAAAGTTACTATTTTTAAACATTTTAAGGTTTTTTTTAGACTATTTTTAATTTTTTAAAAAGTAATGCTTTTTAATAACACTTAAATGAGATTTAAAGTTATTTAAAGTAATAAAAATAATTTTGTGACAAGCTGCGTCTGATTAATTATATAGACTATTTTATTACACTTTATAGATTCTTTTACTTTATTCTTAAACATGTATACTCTGATTCTCAGCCATTCTTGATCACTGATTCTCAGCTGTTACAAATGTGTATAGATTCTTTCATCTTAAAGCTTCACTGTATATATTACTATATACATGTATAAATATTCATTCTAATCACTGATTCTTACACTTTCTCTTTCTTTTCTTCTCTAACATTTTTCTCTTTATTATATAAGATCTATCAATATTATACTAATCTATTCAGTATAGGTCTCTTATACTAGAAAAACATTCATTGTCTTCTTATTAGAAATAATTATTCATACATTATCTTCTCATTAGAAACAATTATTTATTAAGAGATATTTAAACATGTAATAACATATAAGAAAGAGAAACAATCAGTTAAAGTGTAATTCGGAAGAATATATAATCATCAGATAATAACACGGCCGCTTCTAAACTTACTTATAAATGTAAAGAGAGTCATAGCAGTCACTAATTAATTTAGTGTATAATATATAAGAAGCTGATGTACGTCTGTAATTATACACTAACTTAAGCAATCTTTGAATTACATCTGATAGCATGTCTAAAAACTAGTGAGAAGCACAGACTTCTTCAGAGTGTGATAATTCTATCTATAAAGTAATTCATAGTTATCATATCAGTGTGATTCTAGAACATTTTAAAAGATAGTATATAAAGAGTAGTGAGTGAAAGAGCATCTGATTAATACTGCTTTACTTATTAAGAGAAAACTTCACACTCAGATGAATGTCATATATGTGAATAAATAAGATATGAGAAAGAGAGATGAGAGTAGTGAATCAGATTTAAAGAAGACTACTCTTCACTTAGAGAGATAAAAGAGAGAAGTAATTATCACTGAAGTTATATAATAATAATAGAAATTATATAATAATACAGTGATATAACAATAGATATTGTATAATTAATAAGAAAATCATTAAAATGAATATCTCTTCTAGTTAATATAAATAACACTCTTCTCTGCTATTTAAACTGAAAGAAATACAGAATCTCTCAGAGAATTTACTTAAAGTAGTAAGAAAAGTAGCCGAAACTGCTGAATCAGAATCAAAGCTTTATATATATATAAGAATTCTAAATAAGATCAAGATCTTATATACACAGTGACAGACTGAGATGAAAGTTAAATAATAATTGATATTCACTGTAAATTAAGTATTCACTATGAAGAGCTTCACTGATATAATTATCATTATTAATAAGAATAGAGAAAATCAGATCTTAGATCTATAATAAGAGATTAAACATTTATACAGATAGACAACTATATTAAATCTGAAAATCTTATCACAATTATTCACAATCTCTTCAGAAGTGTATATATTATCAGAAATCACTATACAGAATGAGAATCTGAGTATAAGATATATTAAGTCAGAAGATCTATCAGAGTTATTAAGCTTTAATAATAACTGAAAAAATAATACTGCAATGAGCTGACTAAGTCAGATGTAATTATATTATCAGATTAAATATAAACTCACAGACAGATAGTTAATAGAATTTTAACAAGTCTTAAGATCTACTGTGTTTCTACACAGAAAAGCAAAGTCATTATAAATAACTAATAAAAAGATGAATCTCACATACTCAGAGTAATATTCATTTTTATAAATATAAAATAAGTTTTTCAAATGAATCTTGTATAACTTTGAGAAAGTGAATGTATAAGACAAGTATTATAAACACTTCACTGAGTGTAGATAAGTAAGTAATTTTATATTATACTTCATACACTTCAGCTGAGCAGCAACAACCGCTCCACCACGAACTCGCTCAATTTTTCGAATAAGAACCCGCCGATAGATTCATCGAAAAGCCCTCGATCATACGAGCATTCTGACCCCATCGCCGACCGCATACCCTGTGTGGTGGTGGAGTTATCCAGCCAAACGTGAACCGGACGTTGTTCGAAACTCCTGTGTGGGAGTATCCCCCGTTCTCCCCTACCACACCACAACCCCGGGCCAAAGTGCCATACAAATTGTAAGGTGAAGAGACCTAGCCATATGCACCAATCTTCTCGATTTTGGAAGATCCCCGATCTGTAGTTGTGGAGATATCTGAGGAGCGACCTCCGCGAAAACCCTGTCCATCTTTGATGTTCCAAAACACCAACGCCAAGTCCCACCGTTGTACCGCCCTTCCTAATCTGGCCCATCCCCGGCAGAAAAATACAAAAAGATACCTCGGCGATAATATCAAGCACATAACCAACGGCCACTTCTGAAGTGCAACCTCCGCGGTCTGTCTTCAGTGTATCTGGACATCAACGCCAAGTCTCGCCCTCGTACCATCTCTCTCAATCTGGCCCATCCCCGACAGAAAAGTACAAAAAGATACCTCAGCAACTGTACTCAATACATAATCAGCAGACATGACAACTATAAAATCAGTATACCTCAAGGTCTGACTGAGCCTTTGATCCCTGCACAGTGAGATATATTAAATCTAGTTTTAATATCTCAATATTCAATAGATTCTGCAAGGGATTGAGAACAGTAATACTAGGTTTCTATTGAATTTGAGAATTAACTCTATATTGATATAATCATTGACAAAGTCTTCTATTTTGAGATATAAATAACCAGTTCCTCTACATTCCACTGACAATATTTATATTATCATATAGAAACAGACTTATATTCTCTATAATATCAAGACTCTGAAGAGGGAAAGTCTTGATAGAGAGTATACAGTAGTGCATATCTTAGCAGTTTCTATCTCATTCTTCTGCAGCAGTTAATGCAAAAAAAAGATTTTAGAAATAGTTTTTTACTTCTCTTAAAAAAGTAAGGTGTTTTTCTCTGAGTTTTACACAATATTCTTACAAAGAATTAAAAACAGAGTTGTTTTCTGTCATAATTTCATATTCTTTTAAGTAAGAATTACTTTTTCAGTGGCTGAAGAGCTTTCATTAATACTTAATTCTTTTTTACACTCTTTATTAACTGATTTGAGTTGCACACCTGTTGTGTGAGGAGAATTGAATAATTTAGAATAAAATTGAATAGTTTTAATCAATTTCTCTTCAAAAAATTGATTTATTTTTTGTCAGTTTTTCTCTCAAAAACTGTCATATCATCTGATTTACTATCAATTGATATCATACTTTTTCTCATTGTATTCCAAGAAAGAGATTGTAAAGATTTTATTGATTTATCTTAAAAATCAATTTTAGTTTATTAGATTCTCTTCAAAAATCTAACCTAGTTACTGAACTAGTGTGAAAAAAATCAGGTGTTTTATACACAAAAGTCTGCAATTCTTCTTTTGAAATAGTCTGATCAACTTTTCAATTGAAAACAGACTTAGAAACCTCTTAATTGAAACAGTCTGACCAACTTTTCAATTCAAAAAGAGTTTAATAAATATCTCAATTGAATTAGTCTGATCAACTTTTCATTGAGTAAGAACAATGAGTTCAAAAGTACACTCAGTTAATGTGAAGAAAGATGCTTTCTTAAATACTATTTCTGAGATTGAAATTCTGAAGAGAAGAAAGAAAGAAGAGATAGAGAAATAACAAGTTCTTAAAATACAGAAACTTGAAAAAGCAAGTAAAATTCTTGAAAAGCAGTGTCTGAGTGAGATGAATGAAGAAGTTCTGTTAATTCTTCATGCTCAGGCTAGACAACTACAGAAAGTGATCAAGTTCAAACTTGAAATTTCAAACACAGTTCAAAAAACTTTGAAAATTTCTAATACAATCACTGACTCTTCAGTTTACTCTTCTTTCTTTTCTACTTCTTCTTCTTCTTCTTCTTTGAATCAGAAGAAAACATATGCTCAAGCAGCTGAATCTGCTGTCTCTAAATCTGCTGTCTCTAAACCTGCTGTCTCAAAACCTGCTCAAAATTCTGAGAAAACTGAGAAGAATACTGCTCATGCCTCTATTCATAGAAAAGTGAAAAAGAAAATGCAAAAAGAGAAAAACTTTCAAATCTTCAGAAATAGAAGACTTATTCTCAAAGTCTCAAACCAGGACATTCTGCAAAGAAACAAGCTAAACTCAAATCTCATTTTCAGAATTAGAAATGAAATTAACCAGCAGTTCTTTTCTCAGTTAATGACTGATATTGAAGTTTAAAAACCAGTTATAGCTTCAATTGAATCATCATTCTTTGAAAACTCCATCATTCTGACTACAATGTCTGAATTCAGTGCTGAATTCCTTATTCAGAATGAGAATCTCTGAAAGTCAGCAGTAGAATCTTTGTTAAACACAATAATTCTATCTGAAAGAGATGAAAAGTGAGACAAATTCATTCTTCATGATATTCCAGTTGAAATTTTTGACTGTGAAGAAGAAATGCTACTTCTCAAAAATGAATTGAAAG